AGCGCAGCCCTAGTCTCGATTACGTGGTCCACCTCCGTTAGGTGGACTGAATCGGTGTGTTCGCGCGATGGCGTACATTGCTGCTCTAGGTTGTCCGCAAGGCATTCGGCTTTTTCGGAGTCATCTAGGGCTACGGAAGCGCTATTAGGTCTAACTAACGGCGGTAGAGATTCACGGGGGTCTGCTTTCAGACTGCGGGCCAACCGCCAGTAGGCGGTGTGCGATGGCTCGATGTCCTCTAGGAGAGTGTCCCACGTTGTGTGTTGGTGTTCCGATAAACGATCTTTGACTTCTAGCTGAAGGCGTCGAAGTAGGGTTCGGTTCGATTCCGATCGGTATCGGTCGAAGGCGCGTTTGGCTGCATTTTTCTGTCTAATTAGCAGTCTTAGGTCGGGCGGAAAGTTAAACCGTCGGTCGCCCGACAGTTTCACCGTCCGTTCCGAGTCTGTGGCTGCGGAAGTAATAGTTTCTCGGAGACTCGCTATCGCTCGATTTGCGTCATCGAACGTAGCTATCGTCTCGGGTAAGTCTACTAAGTCCAGGGGGTCCAAGGCCTTGAGTTTGACCTCAAGACGATGCCAGTCCACTACGGATTTGGTCGGAGGGACCGCGCCGGCGTTCTGGCCCAGTTTACACAGGACGGGCCTGTGGTCTGAGTCTAGTTCATGGATTGTCTCTATCGACTCGATGTCGAGCGAGACCTCCCTGAATAACATGATGTCTAGGACACTCGGTGACGTGTGTTGGTAGTTGTCCACCGTAGGATACCTAGTGGGAGTCGCGGGAGCGACTATGCTAAAGTTTAGGTTATCGGATAAGCTAAAGAGATGCTTTCCGTTGTTATTTGGGATGCTGTTGGTGTCCCATGAGCCGTGTTTGCAGTTTAGATCTCCTGCAATTATCACGGAAGGGCCTAAGTTAAGAAGCGTATCTAGGTCGCTTTGAAGTAAGGTTCTATTCCCCGAGAGGTAGGCTGAGACTAGTACAAGTGGCCTGTGGCCGGTGAGCGCTAACCTACACGCGGATGCCTCTATTTGACTTAGCTCTGGAATGTCGAGCGGGCAACAGTGCAAGGACCGTTTATAATAAATTAATGTGCCTCCCAGACGGTTTGCTTACCGGTCGTGGCGGACAATATTGTAATTTGCGATTCTGGGATCGCGTACACTAGGTTTCAAGAATGTCTCTTGCACTAGAAAAATATCTACATTGTAGTCGCGAAGAAATTCCGCGATTTCGTCCCTTTGACCCTTTATGCCGTTTGCGTTGAAATACGAAACAACCAGAGCCCGAGGTTTTGTTCTACCTGCGGTTGTACTTCCCATTAAGGTGTTTTTATGGGTCTAATTAACGACGCCGCGGAGCGCGGTTTTATTGCGCGGACTATTGTCTTTTATGGTTGGCTCGTAAAAGCCCAAAGGGCTTCCACAAGCGTTTTTATGTTGGCAAATTGCCCTAAGGCGCTCGTTGCCAGATGTGGCGGCCGCTATTTTAGCGGACAATACGGCGAGTTCCTGCCTATTGATCGTATCTAATAGGCTGCAGATGTTTGCGATTTGCGCGAATGGGTCGTCCTTGTTTTCCGCGAAAACTGACGGAGTTGGCTGCACCTGCGGCCGCGGCGCCGTTTGAGAGGCGGGCAGCTGTTTTGCGATCGGTCGTGAGGCGACCGGGATTACCGGCGTGGTTACCTGCGCGGCCACCTGGGGTTTCGCCCAGACGTTAGTGACGGGTACGGGCGCGGGAACGTAGTTAACGGGCGCGGGTTTGGGCAACGTAGATTTCGCGGGAGATTTTCTCGCGGGAGATTTCGGGGCCTTAGCGCAGCCTCTATAACTAGCCGGGTGGCCGGTAGCGTGACAGTTTACGCAGTCCGGTGGATCCCCGCAATCTTTTGGCCTCGTGCACTCGGTTGTGCTGTGGTCACCGGTGCATTTGACGCACCTAGGGTGAGCGAAGCAATTATCGGCCGTGTGGCCAAAAGTGCGCGGGGGCTCGATGACTAAGTCACTGAGCCCACAGACCCTCTTTAGGTTGAAGATGGCCTTACCTTCCGGGGTAGGGTCAAGTTCAACCATGACCATGTCCATAGGGACACGGGTTCTGGGGTGCCTAAGACGTCGCACTGCATGTACGGGGTATCCCTGAGTGCGGATGTCGACTTTAGCCTTATCGACATCCGACTCTTTGGGGACGCCCTTTATTACTACCCGAAGTTTACGCTCTTCGGGCAACGAGTAGGTGTGAAAACCTACCTTATTTTCGCGTAAATACTTGGTTACTTGGCGGAAATCGTCTGTTGTGTCCAGGTATACGCGGATACCCATGTGTGTATTTTTTGACCGGAGGTCGCGGATGTTGTGGCGTTCAAACCACGAGCATACTTGATGCCACTTTGCCTTTTCTTGAATAATTATTGGCGGCGGTGGCTTAATTTTTCGCTCGGAGGCGAATTCGGGTACCAATTGGGCAGCCGCGGCTGCCTTTTTGGCGGGCGTTGCGGTGGGACGGTTAGATGGGGCGGCCTCGCATTCCGAGTCGCTGTCAGTTGCGGGGCGTTTTTTGGCCTTTTCACGCGACTTTACGACGGTGAAGCCGTCGGCGTTCGCGTTATCGGCGGGGGTCGTTTCGACCGCCATGTCCGAGCCGCCGTCCGATTGTGAGTCGGGAACGACATCGCGGAAGGGGGCCGAAATTGGTTGCGCGGAAGGCGCGTTGGGTTCGTTCGCGGCAGCGGAAGTCGACGCGACGGGCGTTACTAGTGTCGCAGAAGGCGACTCATTAGCTGGCGCAGAGGGCACCGGAGATGGCGGCGAGGCGACTGCCGGTGAAGTCGGGTTGTCGCTAGCGTATTCGACGACGCGGCGTTTCTCCGCGGCGAAGGCGAGAAAGCTGCGCCACATTTCGGGGCATCGTTCGCGGATGAATTCCTCTAAGAGGGAACCCATAACGTCGCTTGAACCTTTGTGGCTTGCGCCCCTCCGGCGTGTAGTTTCTAAAAAGGTGTGTGCCTAAAACTAACAACTATTTCACCTGCGTTTTAGGTGCGCTAGGGTGGGTACCCAGCTGTCGCCTATCGCAACAAGCACACAGTTATTAAATAAAACAATGCCGCCTCTGAGGCGAGAAGTGTGTATGGAATTCTACTTACAGAACAGTAACCTGCCTACGAGCACAACACTACACTAACACTAAACTGCAGCACTGCTTGCACAAAGATTTAATTTGCAGCCGAAGTTGCGAGTAGCATCTAATTCGAGTGGCATGAGCCCTCCGTCTTAGAGAGAGGTCCGTTCCGTACGAGAACACGAAGCGGAATCGGTGAGTGATGAGTGAGTGTTCATAAGTGATCAGTTATCCTGAGCAAAACCGTTTGCTACTTTGCCTCCTTATCCGTAAAATAACAAATAATACTTTTATCAAACTCGTTAGTGATGTTTACTTACGAGTTTTATAAAAGTATTAGCTGTTCGCCTGCGGCTTCGCGTTGAAGTCCTTGAATAAATATCTTTCTTTAAAAACTATATATATTTTAATGAAAGATATTTACAACCCTTTACAACACTTATTTCCAATTAAAAATAGCCTATGTCCTTTCTCAGGCTCTAGACTCTCTGTGTATCAAATTTCATTTAAATCAGTTCAGTAGTTTTGGCGTGAAAGTGAGACAGACAGACAGACAGAGTTACTTTCGCATTTATAACATTAGTATGGATTATTTTTTTATTAGGTACATACTTTCCGTAGCCTGAGGTAACAAATAATAACAAATTCTTAATATTGTAACCTTTCAAAAATGTACGTACCTACATGGAAGTAAAATTACAAAATTGTCTTATAGTTTATAGGTATGCTGTAGCGCCATCTAACTAAAGTTGTTTGAACTAGCTCGGTCATACACAAGTTTGCATCTGACTCACATTTTGTGTTACGATAATTATGAGATACTTTCCCTCGTAAATGAAAGATGGCGTGACAAAATTATTTAACATTCCACAAATTTAAACCTGGTAGGTACTACAAACTTTCAAGCAAAATAAACGTGGTGAAACGTTTGTACCTCTATAAATATTAGTGTGGATCACGCTTATTCTCGGCCATTCTAAGTTTTCACAATAGATCCTTGTTAAAACTTAGAACACATAATAATTTCAACTTGTTACAATGTCTTCAATGGATATTTTAATTCGTAGATTATTACTTATCTACAATAAGCTACATAATTTTCAGCAAAAACTCATTTTAAAATTTACAGTTACGGCATGAATTTTTAGTTCAACCTAGTCCTCAAAGAATCTCTCTATTTAATAATATGATTTTTATACTTTGAATCAGCTTTCTTAAAGTTATAATTACTAGTCATAATAATTAATATAATGTCGTGCACATGACATTGAGGGTATTCACCTGATGTTAAGTGATTACCGCAGCCCATAGACATCTAAAATGACTCTAGCATTGCAGATAAATTTACGACTTAATTCAAATTCAATATAGAAGCGTTACACTTAGTTATTGACTGTCCAGAAACAATACCGTCTCGGAAAAAATCCACTGACCTGAGTAAGAAACTCCGCTACGACGAAGATAACCCATATCCTGTGACATTGCACGTTATTTTTTTATTTTAATTACTCAATGCGCTACTGTAAGCTAAGAGCCGTGATAGCTCAGTCCGGGCGCTCATCTTTAATTCAATATACTCTGCAACCTGAGTTCGATCCCCGGTGCCGGCACCAATGAAATAGTTTTTTAAGAGCCCAATTATCACGTGCTCAGCAGTGAAGGAAAACATCGTATCAAAACCTGCATATTTTCGAAATAATAATAACAAAAAAAATTTTTTTTCGAAGATAAGTAAGTCCCCCAATCCGCAGTGGGGTGGACTATGCCCTGATATCCTGTACAGAGGAGGCTTTTGCCCAGCAATGGGACATGTATAGGCTGATACTTTACTATAGTAAGCTGACTAACTGTCTACTCTACAGCCGGAGCGTATCATGTCGCCCTACACGGCGATAGTTCGCCGAAGCGGGAACCCCTTCGAGTTGGCGCACGTGCTAGTGTCCTGGCTGCTGGGAGCTGGTTACGACGCCTACGTGGCCGTCGGCTGCGCAGTGAGGGACGTCTGCATGGCCATACGGTACCGCACCGAGTGCCCCTGTCTGCCAGACGAGAGCCAGGTGGTCTTTGCCCTTAGTTTATATGTTGATCCTTTTTCATTCAATGTCTTAGCAACAATTTTGCGCGCCCGCTATTGATTCAATGTTTTTTATTTTTTTTTAATCAGAACTGGCCAGCATGACTGCCACCTGATGGTAAGTGGCGATGCAGCCATTTAAAAGCGTAAAAACCTATTCACTCTTGCCTTGAAGACACCTACGTTCTGTGTTACCTATGTACTCGAGCGACCTGACTCCCATCACCGGTGCCAGCACTAATAAAATTGTTAATTGTAATTTTAAGTGCTGACTTTCGCTTGGTCAGCGGTGACCAATATATTTCCGAAATAGTAAAAAAGATATTTAGAGGATATGTGAAGTGTTCCAAAACGTGGGGTCACTTGGTGGACTGCCCTATGTACAGAGACTTTTGACCAGCAGTGGGACGTATTCATATACTTGTATACGTCGGTTTAACAACCGAATCAAAGGAAAATTAAAGTAACAAGTTAACACTTGTTACTTTAATTTTTCTTTCATTGTTTACATTCGCCACTAAGCCGAATGATTTCAGGCAGAATTTCACCCTTAGCTGAAAAGTCTGAGCGTGAAATATTTTACTCAAGGAGATGAATTTGAAATGACAGACCCTAGATGACATTTCAATTGTTCTGCTTCTCCTACCATCTGCCTTTTTGTAAATGGTTATATATATAACGATCAAAGTGGTATCTCATTACAGGTTGTTGAGGAACCTCCACCGCCTGACGAAGAACCACGTTATCGCTTAGTGCCACTACCCGACTTCACTTCAAAGTATTGCAAAGACATGGATAGACGAGACGCGGAGAAGAAGCAAGCGGAGATCGATAAAGTGGAAAAAGCGCGGCAGGACAGGATTGCGGTGAGCTAGCCTGTACTACTATTTTACTACTAAATTAAAGTACCATTACAGATGTAACAGAGTTAATTCTTAATTTTATTTCTCGAACCATTTTCAGTCCTCATAGTAACGGGACAGACAGAGGCGTTGGAAGTCTGAATGTCGTTGTTAGCATGGCCTAAAACCAGTTTTTAAACTATTAATTTTGTTTCACTCTACGCAGATAATACTAATTATATATTGGCTGGCTGTACTGGTTCTTTTGTGCCTAAATTTTATTTAATGATAGGATCCCAAGCTGACGGTAGCACCCAACCCTCTTCTATATTGAAGTTTGGATGTTTTATCATTTCAATGGACTTGCTCATAGTCGACATAGTTGTTTGAGTACACCGTAAATCATCCCAACCAATATATAAGGTTTGATAGACCACAGATCCTTGCAAAAGAACACTAATTCCACCCAAGGACAAGATACAATAAGCTCCTACCGATCGACACAAGAAAAGTAATTTAAAAACTGACATTAACCCGGGCAATCTATGTTATTTAGTTTCAATTATTGATGTGTAATGACGTAAATAAAAGTAATAATACCAGATCTTAATATTTATATTGAGTTGCCATTTAAATAAAAAATAATTTTGTCAGTAACGACAATCAATAACTTAGATTGAAACTTCCCTTTTTATCAAGACTGTGTCACCCAATGTCTTCATTTAAAATGTTTTCTCCTAACAGTACTAACCAATGAACTGGCCTATCTCCAGGAATTGGAGAAGCCACTCCCAGACAAGATAGACGGTTGGCGCACGCACGCCTGGGTCTTGGTGCTCCCAGGGTTTATGGGCGTCGGGGAACCTTTTTTCATAGAGCCCAGCGATGGCAACGGGTATCCAGTGGACGCGAAGCAATACCAACATCTGGACTCGGTTTATAACCATGAAAATTATTACGTAAGTTGGTGTATGGGGTGAAATATTGAAAAGCAACGTGAATAGTAGCATTTTTCCACATCGTATATTTGTACCACATGATCGTAGCAGAGAGCGTTACCTTTTTTTATGTGAGAAGGTGGCAAACGAGCTGGCGTTACACCGGATGTTACGTGAAAAACGCCGCCCATCAACATTTGCAACACCCGCAGGGTTGCAGATGCGTTGTCAACTTTTAGTGGGCCCCGGCAACCTCACTCACCAGACGAAACGCTGAAGTATAACACACCACATCACCTGTTACACGATGGACCTGCCCGTTCCTGCAACAGAGAAAACCGTTGCGTGGCCCTACCACAGTAAGTAACTTTAATTGGATAGCAGCTGATCAGAGAGGTTTTAGAAAAAAAAATGTATCCACTAAACACTAATGACGAAATGTATGTCACTTTGTAACATTTGGCTAATGTAAAGGCGCCCAATATAAATACATTTTTTTAATGTGAAAATTTGTCAAGTGAAGGGTTTCATGCAAGGAGTTCACGTGAAGTTAAGTGAATACCGCCGGCCATGGACAATACGCGATGGCTCGATGTGGTTCATTGATAACCTTTAAAAAAAGTTCGCCCCGGCTACTCACCAGACAAAACGCGATCTTCTGTGAGGCCGTGGTACTTCCCCGGACGCGCCTGCCCATTTGTGCAACAGCCGAAGCTGTAGCGTGGCAGTTATATGTATGTGTGGCCGTACCACAGTGATAGTAACTGTAAGAAATGGATGAATGAATGAATATTCTTTATTGCACCAAAAATAAAATAAACAAAAATCAAAAACTTAATGTAGAAGTGATGGGTACAATGGGCGGCTTATTACTAAAAGTACCTCCAACACGGTAAATTTTAGAGCAAAATAAATCATTGTCTTTCTCGAGAATCTGAAACATGATTTGCCCTATAGGGATGCGTTTTTCAAGGAATGCCAACACAAATTTTCAATTCCAGTTATCTACGTTAGTCTATTTACAATTTATCCACGTGTTGCATAGCGCTGAACATTGTCTCATTTTCAAACTTATCGCTATGTATTACAAAATGCGTTAGGGTCCTGAAGGGTTGTCGAGTATTGATTGTTATATAAAGCGAATCTCTCTTTCTTTTGTGGGTGTGGGTTCGATTCCCACTACTGGAAAATTATCGTGTGATGGACACAGCATTTTACCAAAGCCTAGATTTGTGTTTGTAATATGTTTATATATCTATAATATGTATTCATTTACAATAGAAAAATATGTTTAAGTACGCCAGTTATCCAGTGCCCATTTTAGCTTTGCTTAGTTCGCGACTAGAGAAGGTTATGTAAAAATGTGTCTTGAAATGTTTATTTACTTTAGTTATTTTAAATACTTTAAAGAGATGGGATGGTACTGTTTAAACTTGCAAAACTTATGCGTCCAAATACTGGGAGAACTTATGCGTCACGCAGCAGTCTTCGCTGTTACAAGAATGGGCAGGTCTGGGAATCGTCCGGGGAAATACCACGACGTCACAGAAGACCGGCGTGAGGCGGAAGTGTTCCACTTCCGCCTCACGCCGTTCCGTATGTCCAGCCATACAGGAGTATTTCAGAAAATTTATTACATTTCATCAATATGGTTTTACGTCTTCTCGATCCACTTCTGTTAATTTAACTTCTTTTATTGAATCAGTAATCAGGTCAGTAGACGAACATAAGCAGTCTGATGTGATATACACAGATTTTTCTAAAGCCTTTTTTGACTCCGTGTCACATGCGCTCTTAATTCATAAACTTTCCAAATACGGTTTTTCTGGTAAGTTTTTGGAATGGCTTTCGTCATACTTAAAGAATCGAGATTTCTTTGTAGCTGTTCACGGATATTGTTCCTCCTCCTACAAAATTTCTACTGGTGTACCACAAGGTTCGCATTTAGGTCCAGTTCTCTTTAACATATTTATAAAAGATCTTCCGGAATGCTTTAAGCACTCCACGCCTTTTATGTTCGCCGATGATTTATAGTTTTTAAGAGTAATTGAATCACAAAAAGATGTCTACTTATTACAGAATGATTTAAATGCATTGAAAAACTGGTGCATTAAAAATAAAATGCGACTTAATACTGACAAATGTTATTTTATAACTTTTACACGAAAATTAAATCCAATTATGTCGTTTTACCATATAGAAAATGAGAACTTTAAACAAACAAATTGTGTCAAGGATCTAGGTATTATTATAAACCATAAGTTGACGTTTATACCCCATATCAATAATTTAATGAAAAAAAGTTCAAGGATGCTAGGATTTGTCATCAGAAATGCTAAGCAATTTAGGGATATTAAAACGAAAAAGATTTTATACTATAGTTTGGTTCGTAGTTCATTAGAATATTGTAGTGTAGTGTGGCGGCCACACTTCGCTACCCATAGCCTTCTAATTGAACGTATACAGAAAAGGTTCGTAAGGCATCTATGTCACTCTGAGGGTATACCCTACAAAACCATGTCCTACAAAGATCAACTAGCACATTTAAATATGGAATCATTAGCGCATCGTAGAGACATCTTAGATCTTTTGTTTGCATATAAGGTACTTCGTAACCATATTGACTGTCCACAACTCCTTACTCTTTTTAACTACCGCATACCTCGAAAGTATCCCCGCAAAGCAATCGCTCTCTTAGCTCCGCAAATTAAACGCACTATTCTGGGAAAAAACTCACCAGTGTCTCGCCTGTCTAATTTAATTAATGAATACTAAATGTAATAATAATTAATGAACCGTTGATATTCATTTTGACTCATTAAAAGTATTTCGGAGTAAAATAAATGAATGTCTTAAAATAAGAAGCTCTTAAAATTTATTTTAATGCTAAGATTTAAGTAATTTTTATTTGTATAAGTCATTTGTATTCTGTTTGATGTTGTATGTAACCTAACATTTGTCATTTAAAACAAGACCACAGAGAGAGATATACCACATGACTTAAATTTCTTCATAGATTGTACTCTTTTTTGTCTTGCCTTATAAAATTACAATCTGCCTTTTTTAATCTTAATTTATTAGTAACTTAATTTAGTAATAAGTAACGATATTTTGTTCACACTTTTCGTTTAACTTTTATTATTTTTTTGTTTTAATTATTAAGCATGCTGTGTTTGCCTCTTAATTAGATGTAGATTTAGTTGTAACATTAATTCTTGTTTCATATAATATTGTTTTTAATGTAACATCTACTGGCAGACCTAATAAATAAATAAATAAATAAAGGTGGCGACGCATTTGTAACCCTGCGGGCGTTACAAATGCCCATGGGTGGCGGTTATAACTTAACATCAGGTGAACCACCAGCTCACTCGCCATCTTCTTACATAAAACAATCTTGGTCTTCCGTATTCCTGATGAGGTTTCCGGTGAACCGCAGGTGAACGTTCAGTCCTGTGAGAGCGGCCTGGGATCACTCAACTACGACCTTGGCGATCTGACCTGCTGGGAGCACCTTCTAGCAGGCGAGCCGTTCCACAGGAGGCAGTTGGTGGGCGTGGATCAATCGGCGAAGTCGTCCGCCGTATTGACGGAGAAACATCTCGACGCACCCTCTAGCTGGGTGGAGAAACTGGACATCAGCGCCGACGGTAATTCGAGATCTTTTCACACTAGATTACGATTTTACTATATATATTGTTGGCAACATTAAAAGAAGTCATTCCTTGAAGTTGTTGGCAACACTAAAAGAAGTGTCGTTCTATGAGGTATAAATGAAGCTGCATGAAGCATTTCATGAAATTTATATTTTAAAACTGTCATTCCCCTACGTGTAATGGCTAACAACTTGACATTGGCGGAATTGTGATAACTCACAAAGCAAGCCATTATTAAGAAGAAGAAGAAGCATTTCATGGTCTTCTTCTTTGGCTGTCAACAAGAAGTATACGCGATAGCGCAGCCTAATCGATATCATTAATTAATTAAAGATTGGTATTTCATTAGTGATCTAAAAGTGATAAAATGAGTAACTATACCAGTTTTATTATTGTGCAAATTGAAACTACGGTAATTTGGTAAAAGTATTTATATTTCTACCTTCTTAGTTCGATAGAACAAATTACAAGTAAAGCTAACTATATTACCATATACCCACCCCGGCTTCGCACGGGTGCAATGTATTATATATATGTATAAACCTTCCTCTTGAATCACTCTATCTAGTAGATGCATAGTTTTAAAGATCTAAGCATAAATAGGTATAGACAGACAGCGGGATGACTTTGTTTTATACTATGTAGTTATTTCTCGGTGTTTTTTGTTCGTATGCCATAACTTTCATAATTCTTCATCAATTTTAATGATTGAAATACTATTAGAAAGCTTATCAAAAAATAAAAGTTACAAAAATACCTTTCATCGGTAAATACTTATTTACATATAATTATAAAACTATTGGGTGACGTACTGTGCGTAAATTTGCCCGGGTCAATAAGTATTCATCTAAGTATCTGTTTGTGCTTTTTGTTTATGCTTTCCTATACTGCGTGACTCTAGAGCATAACGTTTTCTCATCGTTATTTGAACGGTATATCCGACCATTTTTCTGGCATAAACAAAAGTTTAATATTTCTACGTCCGTATATTTTAATGGTGTCTTGTCGATAGCGTTGTCGCTCCTCTTTTATCTTTATTACTTCTTAATAAGTCTTATATTTGTCAGGCAAGGTAAATGTTTATCGCGCCAACCAGTTGTATAGCATTTAAATGGTCGTAAGGAGGTTGGATCGCGGCAACATAATCTCTTTTTAGAGTTCGAGCAGCGCTATCCTGGAAGTCATAAAGTGATTCATTATAAGAAGGTGCTATTGGAGAAATTCTCACCGTACTCCGAGCGTGATGGTGTCGTGAAAAGGCTCAAGATATTCGATGACTACGCGTTGAGCGTGCCGCTGTTAACGTAACTATACACTTCGCCTTCAAATAATTACGATGTGTGTTCAATGCAAAAGTTCTTATATCCGGTTCCAAGGACCATTTAATCAGAATCACAAATGTTCTATGATTACTGCTGCACGTAGATGTTTACAGCACCTGTGGGTTTGTAGATGTCAACCAACGTTCAATACCGTGGACTCCTGTTCACTCACCAATCAGACGAAACGCAAATGTATCAAACTTCCCGCCGGTCTTCTGTGAGGTCTTGGTACTTTGACGGATGAGCCTAAACATTCGTTGCAGCAACAGCAAAATTAACAGCAGAAGTTGCTACATGGCCCTACCAAAGTAAAGTGACAGTACATTATAATTATATGTGGACATCCATCTGGACATTGTTCTCCTCTGTACAGAGGGTGTCCTGTACCACGCGACCACAGCGAATTGGCAGGGTTATTTATAAAATATGCTGGTTTACTATGTGAGGAGCACACCAGGATTTCAAGTTCAGTCGGTCGAATGTACAATATTAATGTGAGTGCCCACAATGAGTTATCACGAGATCGGAACTCCGGTTGCTCAAAATTATTAAATTTAAGCGAGCCGATTATCACGGCTACAGTGGCTCATTAATAATGATATCATCATCATCATCATTTCAGCCTGTTTGAGTCCACATAGGCCTCCCCCACAAATGCCACGAAGCACGACCCTACCATCTGCATCCATCGAATAACACTTATTAAGCCACCCATTTAGCTTTTTCTGTTTACTTTTTCTTTTTTTTTTTTTTAATTACTAAATCACTGATTCTGATTTCGATACCTTGATTACGCTTGATCTTCATTCAAAATTGCAGATATGAATGGTACAAAAACCGAGTGGACAAGATGGAAACAAGCCGAATCGATCACAGGAAAAGGGAGGTGCGAGAAACATTTGGCATTGGCAGAAAGGATCACCTATTGAGTAAGTTGTCTGCTTTTGATATGTTTATTTATGTTGATAGGGCTACTCTATTGTTTACTGGTTCGAAAATATATCTGAATATTATGTCAATAGTTTCATTCTGTCCTGAGTATATGTCAGTGTCAAGGAGTTGTTGGGAACACCAAAACCTCGTTTTAATAGTGAGAGAAAAATTTCTTCTCTTCAGACAGTACAATCTAGTATTTTGCAGTAATTTTCGTTTTCATGTAAGAAGATGGCGAGCGAGCTGGCAGTTCAGCTAATCTTAAGTGATAACCGTCGCCTATGGATATTTACAATACCCACAACACCCTTAGGGTTACAAATGCGTTGCCACCTTTCCGTGAAGTGGTTACCTCACTCACCAGACGAAACGCAGAACTATAACACTTTCACTTCACGCTGGTCTTCTATGAGGTCATCGTATTTACCGGGACGGACCAGCCCTTTCATGCAAAAGCGAAACCGCGTGGCCCTACCACAGTATACAGTAAATCAGAATAGAAAAGAAGTTTACTGATAGACCTTCCTCTTATTTTCTATCACCAGAACACGAGTATTCGCTCGATGTGTCTGCAACGTCCTTAGAGGGAGTGCGCACTCTACACTTCAACTACTACCCGCGACTAGATCATCTGACAACCATCGTGTGCTCACCACTCACTTTCGACGAGTACTACACAGACAGGAGCGACAGGTGAGTGATTTTAGATGATTATACCATTGCGGAATATCTCGAAGACGCCGATGTGTGGAGTTAATACTGTTGATACTCACGCAGAAAAAATATGACTAGTGTACCTGTACCATGTTTTATTGTAAACTGAGATTTAAAAAAAGAGCAACTGTTTATTTTCTTGCGAGTCTCTTCTCAACAGAAACTGCTTTCCGAACCTGTGGTCACTCACTTACGAATCAATTTTTATGTAAAATTCCACGTTTCATAAGACCGCGCAAGCGTCTATTAAAATAATGATTGAGTTTGATCGTCAGAAAACAAGTCCACAATTTCACTTCCCACAGATAAACTTCTATACAAGGTTGCATTAAAACTAGTCTAAAGTACTAACTTGGCAAGATTTTCCGAAGAGTCCTTAAGTTTAAACTTTTGTCCTAAAGATAACTACTAGAACCATTGTTATGAAATACTTTCTCAACTCGCAGGCTAGAGTCACGACTGATACAGTACACGGAAGGGACGAAGGCCGATCCCAAGCGTAAAATCAAGGACGTCGTGGAGACATACGGCCGTGACCCGAGCGTACCCTCAAAAGACGATGTGTGGAAAAGGATCTTCCACATCCAAGACAACTCTATCGAGCTGCTCTATCATTACGACTACAACTTCGTGACCAACGACACGAGGAGTTTCATCAAACCCAACCTAGCTGAGGCCGGCGGGAAGATCCTTTTCTTTCCGGACAAGACTTCCGGATATATTGTGAGATGGTTTTATTCTCTTACGAGGATCTATTCACAGCATTAAGACTTGGGTTTGTGCAGATTTATTAATGAGTTGCTTGCCACCATGAAGTTGGTATTGCCATTTCTCAGAAAGTTTTAATGTTTCCTCTCAATCGTGGAGATTAGCACTGTCTATAAAAATCTAAATTTCAAAAACGAAATAGAAATTGTCACGTTTCCACGACGACGAACCCTCCAGGCGGACCCGAGCGCGCGGCAGCCCCGTCCTCTGGCCGTGTACTACGCGCTCTGCGAGAACATGGACTGGGAGGGCCGCACCAACAAGTGCATACGGGACCGCGAGGGGGACGTCGGGGAGTACCTCCAGCTGCGCCATAAGGAGCTGACGGAGCCCCAGCTCTACGTGGCGCTGTTCGACACGGAGCGCAACGAGAAGGCGAAGCGCGGCTGGAAGGAGCAGGTGCGTTCGCCCCCGTTTCCCCTTTCCCACTTCTCCTACTACTCTCCTACGTTCTCGTTTTCTATTTCCCTTTATCCGTCGTTAAGATTTCAATTGGAACAACCTTTCCCACTTCTTGTTATCTCTTTCTCTTCCTCTTCACTCTTTCTATTTTCCCTTTCTCTTCCTCTTCGTCAAGATCTCATTTGGAACAGGTCTCAGCGAACCGCGAGTGTTAACTATACAAGTCCTACTTCTGGACAAAGGCCTCAGTACAGAGGGTATTAGGGCATAGTCCACCGCGTGATGCCACTGCAGATTGACAGACTTCACATATCTTCCAAATATTTTTTGTTATTATTTCGAAAATATGCAGGTTTTCTCGAGTGTACTGTATAATATGCAGGTTTCCTAACGATGCCTTCCTTCACTGCCGAACACGTGACAGGTCAGCGCTTAAGATTAACAAATTCATCGGTGCCGGCACCGGGATTCGAGCTCGGGTTGCTCGAGTGTAGTGAATCAAATGAGAGCGTGGGTACACTGAGCTATCGCACCGCGTTCCGTCGTAGGAAACGCAAAAGGCGGAGATAACGGAGCGCGAGAAGGAGGCCGAGATAGACCCCCTCGCGCCGTACTTGGCGCGAATGTTCGGCTCGGGCCACGGCTCTGGGTCTCCGCTCACTCTCAAGGAGGCCGCCCTGGTGCGCGACGCGTGCGTCAACGACTTCAAGGCGAGGCAGCTGGCGCGCCAACACCTCATCCAGGAGAGATACGATAAGGTCTTTAGGATAGCCTTTAGCATCGGTTATAGTTCATTTTTGATTGTCGCCCGCTCATAGGCATCCATAAGTTACATCGAACTGTAATCTGAATGTCTAATACCGCAAGGTTCATTTTCGATTGTCGATGAGTTAATTAATGACATTCGTTCAGTGATATCACTCACTCGTTCAAGTGGTTCGTAGACTTGTTTGATTAATGAAGAGATACACATGCAAGGTGCGGGAAAGTACGCACTCGAGTATGGGGCATTATCACACTTGATGTAATCCTATAAAATTGCTATGATGTTGGTATCAGCCGGTAGTCGTGGGTTCGATTCCCATTTGGGGCAAGTATCTGTGTGATGCACAGGTAATTGTTCCGGTTCTGGGTGCTTATTCGTAAAGAGGATTCACGTCAGGGAGGCGGCTGGTCATAATAACCTAGGAAATACCATTAATGACATGACTCACATGTAGCCCCGCCCCCACGAAGGTGGGATAAGAGCAGGATAAAGAAGAGGAAATAAAAAGGTGAGCATGTGCATGTCTTATATTATTTGAGTTACCGACTTATAAAAAAAACATATGTTAATCGATAGGTCGATTATTTTATTTCGTATATTTGATAAATTTTATTACTTCGTATAAAGTATAAAGAACCTTATTTAACCTGGAAAAATCATCAAACACCGAATTCAAATGAAACAGGCTTAATAGATTTTTACGCACAATGGGTTATACGATAAGATAAAGTGCTTCCTATTTTTCTTTTCTTCCTATTTTTTTTCTTTTATGAAAATTGCAAATTCGACAAACATTCAAGCCATGAAAGTATTCAGTTAAAAAATTACATTTAGATACAATTTATGATTTACATCAAACTTATTTTTTTTGTTTTGAAAGCTAATCTGTAATATAAGCACTGTCCAAATCGGCAACCATGATTCAAACCTGCGTCTACTTGAAGACGCTTTAGCCAACTGAGTTAAGCCAACACCAGTCAGCAAACAGTTATCTACCACAATTCGAAAATTTATCTATTTAACTTTGGCTATTTCTTTTAATGTACGTTAATTTAGATCAAATTTAAGGTTATGTGTGTGTTAAATTTTCCTCATCGCAATTTGCAGCTTAACGCTGAGTATAAAGCTAAGCGCCTGTGGTACTTGGCCAATCAGTTCATCCTCACACCGGAGAAGGAAACCGCTTACTTCGCTGCAAGGTACAAATTGAATAATATACAGAATAGTTTAAACAAAAACGCGATTACTCTCTACATGCCTTGACTAATTCACCGACCTTCGTTCCCGACTTCGAACAGCGCTGACTTGGCCTTCCGCGTCCATTCCCTGGAGGTCAGACTCACCAGGCACAGGGACCTTTCGGGGCCCAGGTTCAAAGCGGTCGAGGAGTACCTCGACAAACACCCGTTACTGAAAGACTACAATCGCATGCGGAAGCAGTACGCGCACAACGAGAAGTATTAAGAGAATCCGCTAGAATGTTCTAGACTGATTCAAATTTAATAGACGCCTTTAATTGTTACGTTACTTAATGTTTTGTAGTTTTCATAGTCCATTCTAGATATCAGTTAACGAAATTGTTTTTAAATCTGTTCTGTTATAGATTGTTACAAAATGAACATGTTTATTGTTATAAATAATTTTTAACAACATCGAACTATTGACGGATGTTTGCTTTATGTTTGTTAAAGATATTTATAGGCCGTTTTCGATATATGTTTCACTAATTTGATATGCCATCTAGGAATCTACATCCTTAATATCCATGTTTTACCATTTACTTTATTTAAATAAAGAAACTTAAAAGTTTGTCTTACCATTGCTATTCGTATTTCAATAACTATGCATCTAAACTTTATTAACTACATACTATTATTCAAGGTGGAATACAAAAAAAAAAATTACATGTAATTTTTAACTACAGGTCATTAAAGATGTGAGATATAAAAGAGAGCTCGGGCGGCGTTGTGGCTGTGTCGATAGACACAGCTATTGTGGGTTGTGATTTCGTATCCCATTCGGGAAAGTATTTTTACGGCCTATTTGTTTCAAGGCCAGGTCCGTATTTCATAGTTTCTTTTTCATATGTCCTTTATATGAATAGGTATGATAGCTTAGTGCTATGTTGAAATAGCTTTCTATGAATAAATATGAATGAGTTCTCTTATTCATTTCATTTCATGTTGTTGTAAAGAAATATAAAATTATTAGGGTGAAATGAAAGAGGATTAGATTTACGAATAAAAAAAAAAGTATATGTCACATTTTATTTGCCATATCACTGATAGTTTTTCACTTCTTTTCTTTGCTATCATATTAGTTCGACACGTTTATATAATTTTGTTTTAATAATAAACAATTGTTGTAATATTCTTTTTAGCAGAGTTACTTAGGGTTCAGGCGTTTGTTTCGAAAATATCTACGTCCTCATTCTTCTTCTGCTGTTATGTTCCTATTTATTGCAAGCAATTATTAAAAGGTGGCAATCAAATAAGCGCGTTGGTAAGCTATCACCCCCACCCGATGTCTATAGTTGCGGTTTTTGGCAGCTTTTTCGAGGGAAACATTTTGGCTTCGGGAAGCAAGCTCGATGACTGGATGGAGTGTTCCTTGGTGCTAGTGCAATAATTATTAAGAGGTGGCAATCAAGTAAGCGCGTTGCCTGATAAACCATCACCATCACAATGTTTCACAATTTTCCATAGACATTGGCATGCGCGAATGCGGTGAAATATGTATGTGCATTATTACATAGTGAAGAACTGGAAAAACCATATTTCTGCAATAAAGAGAAGTTGAATATAATTTTGACACGGTTGCGGTTTTGTTTTCAGCCTCAGTGGGAAAAACATTTTGGCCTCGTGAAGCAATGCTCGATGACAGGGTGAGACGTACCTTGGAGTTAGTGCAGCCATTATCTAGAAGTGGCAATCAACTTAGCGCGTTTCTTGGTGTAGTTGCATTGGCAGCCACCTCCCTTCTTTAGGGTTCCTTGGTGCTAGTGTAACCATTATCCAGAAGTGACAATAAACTAAGCGCGTTGTCTGGTGTAGTTTCGTTGGCAGCCTTCCTTCTTTGGGGTTCCTTGGTGCCAGTGAAACCATTACCAAGAAGTGACAATAAACTAAGCGCGTTGCCTGGTGTAGTTTCGTTGGCAGCCACCTCCCTTCTTTGGGGTTCCTTCATGCTAGTAAAACCATTACTTAGAAGTGACAATGACAATCATCTAAGCGCGTTGCCTGGTGTAGTTTCGCTGAAAGCCACCTTTCTTCTTTAAGGTTCCTTGGTGCTAGTGAAACCATTACCAAGAAGTGACAATAAACTAAGCGCGTTGCCTGGTGTAGTTTCGTTGGCAGCCTTCCTTCTTCGGGGTTCGTTGGTGCTAGTGCTTGGGCAGCACCCACGTGGGCTGGGGCCGGTCCAGGCCGGTGCCCCAGTCGCCGGCGCCACCCAGAAGGTGACCGCGGCCGTCGTGCGTCGCCAGAGCCAGCCGGGACAGCTTGTTGGCCAGGCGCCGCTGCGGCGAGTCCGGCCGGGACAGCGGCGGCAGAGAGATACTGCCCGAGTCTGGGGTTTGCGGGTTTTTTTTTTCTTTTAATGGATCGTCCACCGTCAGCCTTGAGGAGGGCTTTATTTAAGTTAAGAACTAAGAACCACCAACTGTACAGCGTGTTCTTTTATAAATAAATATGAAAATAATCGTAGGTGCTAAGATTTACACGATTCTACTTGAAGGTAGTTACAACATGTATATAAAGATATTTTATATGTACAATAACTTAATTAAATATTACAATTACGAGATATATAGTTACTATGAAACAAAAAAAAACAATAAGACAAAAAAATAGAAATTTTATTTAAAAAAAGATTAACACCGAGTTTGAGGTGGCTGGGCGCTGACGGCACCTAGCCTATACTCCTCGATATTGTAAATCAGCTCGAGGGCTCCCGATGAAGCTCTGAGTCTCGGCTCGGGTCACGGTATTGTTATTAGTACTGGTTTGGGAGGCCGACAAGCTCTTAGGGCGCTTTGGCGGACGCTACATGGGGTAACTAGGCTTAAAAACCCCCGAGACGGGACGTCGGCTTGAACTGTTGATGGTCGTTTAACATTGCGATTTGATGATGCCCAATAGGTAGCTGTTATCTGACTAGTTGCATAAGGTCAATGTGGATACATATATAGTTTGGCGCGTAAGCAAGTTGTTACGCATGCATAGCGCGTGGGCAAATTGACGCATATATATAGCGCTGCGCCGTTGTTATTGGTTACTCTCGAAGACTCACTCGGCCCTCGAAGTTGCTCGATGATATACATTGATTGTAACGCGTATGAGTCACAATATACGGAGTTACTTGAAACGTGTTTTATTAACTTTTTCCTACCTCAATTTTGTAAGTGAAGACAATATAAAAACAACAACCCACACAAAACAGCTAGAAATATTTTGATGAAACTTCCTTGCAATCATCAGATTAGCCACGCGGGTGATCTTTTGAACTGTGGTGGCGAACGGATTAGCATAGTTGCTATCGAGTAAAAGTAAATTAATAGCCTATAAATGTCCCACTGCTGGGCAAAGGCCTCCACTGTACAGAGGGTATCAGGGCATAGTCCACCACGCGACCCCACTGCGGATTGGCGGACTTCACATATTTTCGAAATATTTTTTTTATTATTATTCGGAGGACGTGAGCTGCGGAGCACGTGATAATTCAGCACTTAAAATCAACAATTTCATTAGTACTGACACCGGGGATCGAACTCTGGTTGCTCGAGTAAATGCAATCAAAGGCGAGCTCGAACACAGCTATCACGGCTGTTGAACGAACATATATTCTCAAATGTGAAAGGTGATAGCCCTATAGCGGTTTATAAAGCAGACCTTACCAGAATGGTAGTCGTAGTTGGCGTGGTCGCTAGGGGTCTCTTGACCCAGACGCTTACGGACCTCGCACGCAAAATGCTCGATGAGCGTGTCGATCATCACCGCTTGCTTTGAGAACACCTAGAAAAGACTGTAGTATCTAGTGACATAGTTTAGAACGCCTGGAAAAGAAGATAGTATCTAGTTAAGAACACCTGGAAAAGGCGGCCGGATATAGTATCTGGTGATCTAGTTTATACTTAACTCGCTGATTCCACTATCTATGGAATGGATGTATTAATGTGGAAGAGGCGAATTTATAAAAACGCGGCAACGCCTTTGTAACGCTATCGGTTATCGCTTAACAACACGTCAACCACATGCTCGCATGATTACTTCGCACATAAAAAAGGCGAAAGAGTGAAGAGCAGAAGCAACTTGGCTTAGAAATTGGGTTAGAAATTCAGATAGAAATTCACGCTTTTGCTATGAGATCGATGGGCGAACTGTTCTGTAACCAAATCCAATAGATAAAACAGATATTGTAGTTATTCGCATCGACAAGACAAAAAGTTTCATATTTTTAATTATTTTATGCGAGAAGGTGGCAAGCCAGCAGATGTTAAGCGTCGGCCATGGATATTTACAACATTTGTGGGGCAGCTGATGCGCTGCCAACCTTTAAGAGTAGCTCTCGGCTACCTTTCTAACCAGACGAAATTCAAAAGCATAACACTTCCATTCCGGTCTTTTATGAAGCCCTCATTGCTCATCAAGTCTTCAGCGAGTCGTCCATTCGTGCAACAGCGAAAGATTTCCTTTCCATAAAAATCGAAACAATGATAGGTCTGCCCTTTACCAGAGTGTGGAGAAAAATTATTAATTCTCAGTTGCGAAAAATTTGGCCACCACATGAAATACTAGCTACAGCACTACCGGTACTGTATTAAGTCTTTACGACGCCGTAAAGAAAAATTATAGTGTAGAGCCTAATAAAAATTATAAAAATGTAATTATAAAATTGAAGTGGTTCTCGCCGAAAGGCGCTACCATAGCTCGAACGGGGAAGGCCGCGCTGAAGACTTGGATTGTTCCGTTTCATTCGCGCAAGTCAGATCACCCACACCATATCTACAATAAGTAAACCTTTGGATCATAGTCTATGACCCAAATGTGGTTGCTTACGTCAACAAGCGAGTTGATCACATCGTCATCAACAGAAAAAGAAAAAAAAATTAACGACCACCAATTGCATTCACCGTTTGCCCGCGACTCTTACGATGGCGTTGGTCTACCTAGTGCTCCCACTGGCACCTTCCAATGATAGGTCTTCTAATATCTTCGCCACTGGAGAACTTTCCGCCCAGAAAGTTACAAAAGGTGGCTACGAAATGAAGGACTTCTTTCTTGCCATCTACTCTTTGGAAAATCATATTACCTGCAATAATTTCGAGACGCGTAGCCCGTTCTCCACTACCATGAACTGCAGGAAGAGGCAAGGGAAGCAGTCCTCGTTGTCTTCGGACGGTAGACCGAGATCCCATGATAGCTCCTCGTATAGTAGACCCAGCAGTACAGTCTGTTAAATGTTCACGGTGCTCTATTGATACAGATTTATAAATGTTTCACATACATAATTGTTTTATTTCTTCATTAACCCTTTTTCTTTGTTTAATGTACCTCTCTTAATAGAATTCTGCCAATGTCATATCAGTCATGAAAGTCACACTTATAAAGTACAAAAATAATTTTAAATCACGTGTTGAAGATTCTGTTGTAAGAGCGACTGGAGGCCACCAAAAAAAAACGTGCAAACCTCCAATCACTCTGGCAGAGGAATCCATCCACCCTTCATTTATTGTTATTTAGGTTGACAACACACTTGATTAAAAATATTTTAATAAACAATCAAAAACGTAATTATAGAGAGTAAATGACCTACCACAATAATACCAATAGTGTATTTATTTTAGACGAAAACTAAATACACCTTCATCTTAAACTTTCTTTACTATACACCGTACAGATAAGAAACATTTAGATTGACATTAAGAAGTCTTAATTTTTTTTTATGTGAGAAAGTGGTAAACGAGCTGGCGGTTCACCTGATGTTAAGTGATAACCAACCGCCGCCCATGAACATTTGCGTCACTCGTAGGGTTGCAGATGCGTTGCCATCTTTAAATAAAGTGGGCCCCGGTTACCTCTCTCACCAGACGAAACTCAGAAGTGTAACACTTCTACTTTACGCCGGTATTCTGTGAGGTCGTGGTACTTACCCGGACGGACCTGCGTATTCGTGCAACAGTGTTGCGTGGCCCTACCACCGCATAAACTAGTGTTTTGAATGTGAATCTGAGTATTTGGAATTGTTGATGCACACAAGATATAATATATACATTATATACAAACCTAACAACGAAGTAAATTCACACGTTGTCTACTAACGTAGGGTCTATTAAATTCTAAACCGAAGGAACATGGGTTTCACGACAGACTTTATATGGCCAGACTGAAAGTGCCTCATCGTCTGTATCAAAACGCGACAGTTTTTGGGAATGAACCCAAATGATTGTTTAACAGTTCTTCAATGACGTATACAGCGTGTCGTTACCATCGCGACAGTAAATGAACACACATATAGAGGATAACATTTTAAAATTGTATCAAACATTTACATTCTTTAAACATCAATATTTACCGAGTTATTACATTTTCCAAAACAAACAATTTTAGAACATCCTTACGTATAAAACTGTAACGTAAAGTTCGTTTGTAAAGGTCACAAAGCATATGAATGGGTTGAATGAATTTAAAAGAGACAAAACATACTGTTAGAAGGAGAGGCTTGTAATGCGACGCTGTGGCGCGAGTTGTATAGGATGTTACAAATTTGGTTTTTTTTTTACTTAATTAGTTTGTTTGAAAAATATTTTTTTTAATTATGGATTTTGTTTAACGTTAATATTTTTTATGATTATTGGCAAGTAGCGTTAGACATGTGTTCATTTATTGTCGCGATGGTAACGACACGCTGTATAATAACCTCACACTTGAATCCGATGTTTACTGACAGAGACTTTTCAGATATAAGATTTGGGACCACACGTGAAGGAAATCATTTTTTAATCCATCCGACAGACCTGTGAACATTATTAGATGTGGTTTTTGATAAGTCTTAATTCTGCCATATTTGCCTTGGCTCCGAATCATCCCTCAGAGAACGCCTATATTCGTCATAATCACCTTTTCCGACACTGACTGCAACGAATCACGATCCTAAAGCATCTACATCCTTCGACTACTTGCAGATTTGCACAGATCGTCACTCCATCTAGCAGGAGGTCCTACACTTGGTTGCTTGGACGGTCGGTGGCCAATACAAGGCTGCCGCTCGAGAAGCTTTCTTTCCCAACACCTATATTATACAAATTGCGATCCCAAGGTCGAAGTAAATCTTAACTCACGCTTTCCGTATCATCGATGACGTATACTCCGTTAGAGTTGACAGCGACGAGCACCGGTATGTCCTCGTGGGTGAGCAGGCTGGTCAGACTGCGAACGGGTTGCTCGATCTGGCCTTGGAAGAAGGCCGCTCTGCAACGCCACGGTTCAACCGGTTATAACGACTGCTGAACGTGACAGAGAAATGTTATATATCAAGAGTGATGACACTGCGGGACTCTCACTCATCCTTACACGCTTACTATTCTAATAAATCGTTGGTCCAACGCACACGTTTTGAGATTTGAGATTTTGGACTTATGAAAGAAAACCACTAGTTGCTAAGTTATTGGCTTGGATGATTGGGGTCGTGGGCTCGAATCCGATACGGGAAAAATACTTGTGACCCACATATATTATTTTTTTGGATCTGGGTAAGCACCCGAACCCAGTCTAACAGCGTTGCATACTATTAAGTTTGATATTGGCAATCCACTATGAGAGCAGCTCCCTGAACCTAATGCGTGGTACGGTAGTGAAGCTCAACCGTTAATGGACAACATCCACTATAAGAGTAATCGCTTATTCATACTGGCTATTGCAGCGAACCTGACCCCTTAATTGGCGCCAACTACTTTTAAACCTCTGTGCATATAGAGCGCTCCTTTAGCGTAACTCACCAGTTAGTAGGCACCACCCACTATAACAGAAACTCCCTGTTAATAAAGTGTGCTACTGAAGTCAAGCTGGCCCCTTGAAGGACACTATCGACCTATAAGAACAACCCCCTGTTCATAATGCGTGGTACTGTATCGAAGCTCACCAGTTAGTGGCCATTGTCCACTGTAACAACAACCCCTTGTTCATAATTCGTGGTACTGTAGCGAAGCTCACTCATCAGTGGCCGCTAGCCACTACAAGAACAAACCCCTGTTCATACTCCGTGGTACTCTATAGAAGCTCACCTTTTAATGTGCAATGTCCACCATAAGAAGAAACCTCTGCTCATACTGCGTGGTAATGTAGCGGAGCTCACCCGTAAGTGGGCAGCATCCTGGTGTGCGCGAGGTACTTGTGGCGCAGCTTGCGCGGCGGCGCGGCGGCCGGGCGCTGCGCCTGCTCCAGGAGCTTCGCCTCGGGACTGCCCTTGCGGCCGGCGGGGAGCAGCGACGCCCAGCGCCCGGAGCGCGCGTGCCGGGGCAGGTACTTCTCCTGGTTCTCCCTGGACGCAGGCGCCCCTTCCAATTATCAATCGAACATGCTTCAGCCAAACTGCTTGCCGATGACTTGAGCAAGGGAGCAAGCAGTTTAGCGAAAATTTTAGCCGTCGTAAGAATCGTGAGAGATTTTAAAGAGTACCAGCCGTAACATTTCGTACAATCCGATTAACGATTAGCTGACCTCTACTCGGCGAAAGGAATACTCCTACCAAATTTCAAGTCTCTACGCCTTTTGGTTCCAAAGAAATCGTGATGAGTCAATTATCGGTGGAAATCTCATGTATATGTAAAGAAAAATATTATTTTCTTTTATTTAAATATTTTCGCACACCGGCTGTTGATAAAATTTATTTTAAAAACTATGTTTGTACGCCGGATTATAACAGAAAAAGAATTAAGCTGTCATATGAAGCAATTCATGAAAATAATCTGATTACAAAGATATTTAATAAGTAAAATAGTGATTTAGGAATCGACATTGTGATTATTAACATTAAATGTCGTTTCTTTAATTACAGGTAAAGTTTTAATAGTAAAATCTTTTATTTTTGTTATTTTAATTATTATTTGTTATAGTTTCAAAATCTTACAATAAATCTTTAATTACAGAGAAACTCAATTGTGTTTTGATTGCTGTGTCATCCTAAACACTGAAAAATATCTTATATGTATATATATATATATATATATATATATATAAATATATATATATATATATATATATATATATATATATATATATGTCGTCGATTACGATAATTTAACAATAATTAGTAACTCAATTGATATTGTTGTAACGGGTAGGAGTGAACACCGTGACGTAACGAATCGTTCGGAAGGGGCAACTGTGACATTATAAATATGAGAGAGCGGTGAGTCTGAGCTCAGTATTACGGAGTAACTCAGTTCATTAGTGAGAGCGATACAGTTCGGACCTTCTAAACTGGACCGTTGGTTCACTTCGGTACATTGTACTATATTGGTTATTTAGACAGAATACAAGAGATATGTTACTGTATCTTTGTGGTTTAATTGCCTGAGACCTACGTCATGAACCCTGCACCAGAAGCTCCTACCGAAGACGGGCATATCGCTAACCTATCGCTGTCGCCGACATATATATATAAGATAAGGGGTAGTACTGCTCCTGGTTATCCCTGAACGCAGGCATCCGTTTCAATTGTCAAACGAATATGCTTTCCCCTTTTTCCCGATGAGTTAAGCAGTTAAGAGAAAATTTTAGCTGTCGTAAGCATCTTGATTGATTTTATAGAGTACTAGCGATCCGTCCTGGCTTCGCACGGGTGCAATGTATCATACATATAATCCTTCCTCATATCAGTCTATCTAGCAAAATAATGCGTAGTTTCAATAATCTAGGCATACATAGGACTTGTTTGTTGAGGTCCGCATATCTAGACAATTCTGGTGCGTAACATGTAGCATAGGTTTGATAGGGATAAAATGATGACTCATCATAATAAAAAGCAGAGCTTCAGGATATCTTTACGATACTTTTTAAATAACTCCAAAAACGAAGTAACTACATAACCATCAACAACACATAATCTCGGGTGATTGAGCGTGGTGTTGAGAGTCGATGTAAATAATTCCTATTCTACTTATAGTCACGAATTTTTTACCTGAAAAACTTAGCAGTATGCCTGTGAGGGTCGTATGGCCCAAGCTGCACCCTAGCTTGGATCCCGCCCAACATCACCGCCTGAGCACTCTCCAAAGGATATCTCCCATTAACGACGTTATATCGCGCCTCCTCATACAGCAATTCCTGGATCCTAGAGTCTCTGTTGAAAGAAGAGTTTAAGCACAAATTAAACAGGTTCCTTTTTATTTTTATTTACGAAAGACTAAGGTAGACAAAAAAAACAAAAGAAGGAAGTTTATTTGCGTTACTCAAATCTTCAACCATAGCGCTGATATAGCTTGTTCTCCATAAGTAGAGCAATTACAGCCACCCATGGACACCTACGACCACTGAAAGCTTCCAGATGCGTTGACAACCATTAAAGCCCCAGTCACCAGACGAAATACGAATGTGTAATAATTTCAATTCACGCTGGTCTTCCTTTACGTTTTACTTCCCCGGACAAGATTGGCCATTCGTGCAACAGCAGAGGACGATGCGTGGCCCCACCACAGTAGAGTGTACCGAACATTGGAAATCGTAGAAGCATATCATGTGCGACAATAGCCTTACATACTTGATTCCCTCTTCCAAGTGTTTCGGGAAGAACACGTTCCTCTGCAAACGCAATACGGGCTGGTCCCTCGATCGCCGCGGCTCCGAGCCGTGACCATATCGCTGCAGCAGATTCTGCCAGCTCGCCCAGATGCGCCAAGGGCAATGGTGGGGCTTGAGCTGGATTTCTGAAGAGAGTAATGCTAATATATTAAAATTCAATCAGTTTGGATACATTAAGTTTTAAACCCGGTGTGAAAAGAAGAATAAAGTTGAATCTATCCGAATATTTTCTCTGTCCGATTTACCACTTTAACCTCTTCTGAGAAGCCGTGGTACTTCCTCAAAAGAACCAGCCCATTTAAGCAACATAAGATTGCTTTGTATTTAACTTATAATGGTGAAGTAAATAATGGTAACTTCAAGTCACCTATATCTTTAACATATGAATAGAATTCGTACACATTATATACAGGGACGCTTTTCTAAGTGTATCCATTATTTGTAATTAAATTCTAGACATAAATAATGTTATATAAATAATGATAAATATTTAAAATCACTCGTAATTGATTAATTACATTCGTTTTAACTCATATCAAAAAGGGCGTGATTTATGAGCAACTCATTTATTTTACGCGCGATCTTTTATAACTTCTACCGTGTGTGTTGCACACAAGTTCGTTTCAAATATATACGACGCATTTATGAATGGCTACCGCATTGTCAACAAGTTCTGTTTTAGGGAAAAGAATGGCATTTTTTTTAAGTTTGTTTTTATTTCAATAAACGATTATATTGTCGAGTCTGAACTTCCTGTGTGAATTTAGGCACCTTTAGAAAAGCCACCCTGTATTACACGCCAGTGCTTACCTAACAACGGACTACACATCCATAGCGCGAACACGCTGGACGCCAGGCTCCTGGTGCTTGACTGCACCAGTCCCATATCATCGGCAGCCAGCACCGCGTTCAGGAACCTCGCGGCGGTCACATTTGCGGGGACTTCCTCCGAGCTCATCTCTATCATGATCGCGGTGCGAGACATCAGGTACACGCAGGTGACTGGACTCGATGTGGCTGTTGACGAGGAGACGGTGCTGCCGGAAGACCCTAGTGAAGACCTTCTTATATAGAACTTAAGATTATTCAGTCTTCGCTGTTGCACGTATGGGCAGGTCTGTCGCCGGGACCCCTCCGACCAGGTTCCCGCCTTGCTGTGGCGGAGGTGCTTAGTAGGCGTGGCTTGGTCACCCACGGCGCAACTAAGAGGAACCCGCACTGAGCCGATCTGTGGTGTAAGGCCGGCCTGAGAGGGCCGCTTAGAGTGGGGTCGTTGTACCCACTCTGGATGCGTGCTGGTGTGTGCAGGAGACAAGTCGAGAGTGGTAGAGGAAAAACCACTCTCCTTGTCTACTGCTACTGAGGAAGAGTCGCAGTCCATGGGCGGTGGTTATCACTTAACATCAGGTGAAACGCCCGCTCGGTTGCCACCTTCCCACAATAATAAAAAAACAAGCTTATCCGTAGTCAATGGAGATTTTTAAAACATAAAAATACATTCACAAACGTCTTTCGATAAATTGAGACCCATTTTGTGTGATGGCTAAATATTTGTTTGTGTTCCTTCAGCATTTTGCACAGTAGCCCATTTTCCTTTAGCTAACAGTCACCACCTTGTGCACTACTAGGATGTTGTATAAAATTCGAGAAAAGAAGTTTTGGCTGCTTGAAACCGGTCCAGCTACCTGGTAACGGTGGTGATATAGCACTAGATGAGCTGCCACCGCTTGTGATTGGCTCAGTGGTGCTGAACGACCCAGCTGCTATACTGCTCGATCCAGTCTGATTGGAGCAACTGCTGAGATTCGATCCTGTAATTATTATACGAACTGTCTCATCCTTTCATAGGAGATTAACGTGTGGCCGTAAACATTAGGTCTTATTTTAGGCCTTATTTCGTTTTACGTATTTGGTAACCACTTTCATTACATACATCTGGCATTTGGCTAGGAATTCAATTTCAAATTTATTGTAAATTTGGACTTTGAAAGTATTTGTGTTTCGAATTTTTTGAATAATTTGACGATAACTTTTAAAAGGTATTTTCCCCTAAAGTCAGCATTTATTATTTTTAAATTACAAAGGCTGAAAGTAGCAAAAATTCATCGTGGCATTTCTTGCTTCTTACAGAGATATGTCGGTTACTCTAGAGATTCTAGTACTCTAGACTCTAGAGTATCGAGTCCCGAAAACTTATACGTACTGGCGAAAAATAATAATCCATACGATGTCGTCATACACCTTTTTAATTTCTCTCTGGATCCAATATTGAATTTCATTCAAACGAAGGCGCAGAAAAATGCAGGTTTTATGAAAATAAATAGATAACAAGCTTGCCTTAACTCATCACTAAATAATATGCATAAGATAGGAGAAACGGCAAATTCAAATTTCGGAATTAGAAATCTTGAATTTATATACCACGACCGCAAAATGCGACCATAAAGCATATGTAACTCAAGTGTCAAACATTGGCAAATAATGTGTTTGTACATAATATACTTGTCGTTAATGTCGGAAAACTAGGCACCACTTTAGTCCATAAAAGTTACCAATATGTGTTTCATATACAAACTCTGCGTAGTTCAGCATCCTTGTAGAGTATATAAACGTGACAACATTTATTATACCATTGGAATTATTTCCGAAGTCACTTAAGTTTATGTTCGACTTTTAGTTAACGGCAAGACGGTTTTTTGAATCTCTGAGATGAGATGCTTCTAGAACCACAAAAGATTCTCTTTTGTGGTTATTATTGCTTATACACCCTAAGGTGATATCTAGGGTCTAAAGGGTCTATCATACACCAACCACACCAACCTTTATAAAATAACATAACAATAGTTTCTTACGATACATGACAGAGCGGCTAATAGTCAGAAGAATGAATCAAACCGGTTTTAATAATACTAAAATAAATATATCATGCACCTTAATTTATTTTTCTCACCCATAACACTCTTCTCCAACGAGTCCGAGCTGTTACTCTCTTTGGGATCCGGCTGAAGAGACTTGTGAGGATCATGCTTGTCCCATTCATTGTGACGACCCAACGGGCTGTAGGACAAGTGGGGGAGACGCTGCGACACAGAGTATAAATGCGCATTGACCTCGGCCTGAAGCTTCTGACTCTGGACACTGTAGTACTCTTCACGGGACCTGAACTCACTGCAGAATATAAATAAAATTGAATTGAACATCACTACAGTGTGACATACTTCGTCTCAAGATCACCGACAAAAATCACCGACTACAGTCGGTGATTTTTGACAATCAAAAACTATATTTAAAATAATAATTAACATTACATTTTTATGGATGAGGTGGCAAACAAGCCAAGCCCGAGGAGTTGTATATACCTTATTATAAAACATTGTATCCAGGTTACCACACCCACCAGAATGAAAAGATCCCAATCCCAGAAATGCAAAAATCCCAACAAATCTTCATTGTAACGTTAAGTAACGCTGAGGTCGTGGAACTTCCCTGGAGAAGCCGACCCATTAATGAAAGCTGCAGAAGGTGTTACAGGCTTTATCGCAAATAATTGTTGTAAAACAAACATTGTGTGACTTTATGAAACCACGATGCAAGTTACACCTTTATTAATTATAAAATAATTGATAATACAAATTTATTATAAATGCTACACGGTTGAGCTGATGCCAGCCACGGACGCCGCCATATTAGGCTTAGCTGCTCTGCCGAGTGCCTTTCAGCTTGCTCCTACTCCGCGGCCGGTTGTAATGCGACATGCGATAGATGGACGAAAAATTTGAGGCGATGGAAAAAAGTAACACTTTAAAAACCGTCGATTTTCAAAAACAGTGTAAACATAAATATACACAAACCAGACGAAAAGTGATAAACGCCGTTAATGGGTGCTTAGCACACCAAAGATGTTGCGCGACCTTTAACCCTTAATAAAATGCGGGGAGCTATAGTTCCCACCTCTCAAGTTGAAGAAAATCGCATTTATCGAAAATCGCAATTAAAAAGACGTTAAAACTAGATAACGTGATATATTGGACTTTTTTTATTGTTTTTAGTGTAGTGTCGAAAAAAAATTTAGGTAAGCAGATTTGATTCCTAGATATGTAAAGTAGACTAAATAATGGCTATATAAACCGCCAGATTTCCTCAGAATCTTTTGTTTTCAGCACATTCGACTGAATTTGGGTCTGTTATGTGGGAACATTTATCATCCCAGAGTTCGGCACTGTAGAATTTATATGAAAATATCTATTGATAGAATAAAACTTAAATAAAACATAGATTTTTATTCTGTATGTATATGTAACTTAATAGTTGTAATTCGTTGATTCACGATCGGATAATTAGACAATAAGTTATGAAATATATTGAAATTTATTGATAATTCTTATTCAAGACATTGCCTAAGCCAGCTAAGCTAAAATGTATACAGCCTGGGTTATACACATTCATGGGATGCATGTCCTATACATATTCATTTATTACATCTTATCATCATATACAATCATACGTTAAAATTTTATTACAAGTAAAGCAAGGGCAACTAGCTAGTATGATAAAATATCTGTGTCATACCGGACGATGGGAGCTATAATTCGCACTTATAAGATTTTGGAAGGGACAGGAACAGATGTTGGGAAATATAGTTTCCACTAAACAAGAGGTATTTTCCCCCGAATTATCGCCTTTTTTTGTGAATTTTTGAAATCTACGACCCAAAATAACCCGGAAATTCTTCTTACTTTTTTTAACTAGTCCACAGGCTCGCGTGTAAATGAGGGTTACCAGGGTAGGCCTCCTAGCTCATTCATCATCAACTTTCCCTTTCTTATCCCACAGCTGAGTATACGTCCCACTATGCTAATTTCGATATCGAAATCCAAATACAATCACACATCAGTTGCAAATCGAAAAAGTAAATTCCTCTTTACACTGATATATTCTGAGGCATTTGGTTCATTCCCTGGCGAGCGGGTCCATTCTATAGCATCAAACTTCTTCATGCTTCTAACATAATAAAAAATAGGTTTCTTATTACGACTTTATATATGATAGATATATCTAGGATTTATTGTTTTTAATAATGTTTATAGTCTATACTTACTTGTATTGATATTCAGCCTGAATGGGATAACCACGCCGTGAGTAATCAACGGGAATTATGGTAATATAATTACCGCTGTTTTGTACGTTTGAATTTTCACCATATGCTCCCATTTCCGACTGAGGGATCATTTATTTGAACAGTAACTCAATATTCATACCATGCTCTTACTTCTATTCATTCTGCGTTGTTCTTGCAAACATCGAAATATCGATCGGCGGAGCCATAGGATAAAAATAACGCCTTCTGTTACATGATTCTATTAAATCATCCTTTTTATGAGTTTATATAGATCATAAAAGGAATTTAAATCACATTACAAAATAAATAACAATTATAATAATTAATGGGCTGTAGCATATACAGCGTGTCGTTACCATCGCGACAATAAATGAACATACGTCTAACGCTACGAGCCAATAGTCATAAAAAAATATTAATGTAAAACAAAATCCATAATTAAAAAAAAGTATTTTTCAAACAAACTAATTAAGTAAAAAATAAACAAAATTTCTAACATCCTATACAACTCGCGCCACAGCGTCATATTACAAGCCTCTCCTTCTAACAGTATGTTTTGTCTCTTTTAAATTGATTCAACCCATTCATATGCTTTGTGACCTTTACAAATGAACTTTACGTTACGCTTTTATAGGTAAGGGTGTTCTAAAATTCTTTGTTTTGGAAAATTTAATAACGCTGTAAATATTGGTGTTTAAAGAATTTAAAAGTTTAATACAACTTTAAAAAGTTATCCCCTATATGTGTGTTCATTTATTGTCGCGATGGTAACGACACGCTGTATATTATGATTAAATAATCATTGTTATGAGACTATTTTTTCATCATTTGCCAAAACAAATATAAGGAAACAGACTCTTTTTCTTCACAATTTTTAAAGGATGAGTGTCCGTGCTTCATTTGTAGCTCCTTTGGTAAGGCCACACAACTGTCTTAGTTGTTGCACGAATGGGCAGGTCAATCACGAAAGTTTCACGACCTCATGGAAGACCGGCATGAAGTGCTAGTGTTATATTTCTGCGTTTCGTCTGGTGAGTGAGGTTGCCGGGGCTCACTTTAATAAAAGGTAACAATGCATTTGCAACCCTACGAGTCTTGCATCAATGGGCGGCGTTTATCACATAGCATCACGCGAACCGCCAGGTCGCTTGTTACCTTCTCACATAAAAAAAATTGGCAATATAAAAATTTATTCGAAAAATTTTATCTTCCTAACAGTCTTGCACACCGTCGAGGTCTAGCAACTTAGTAGACTTTCAACAATATTAATTCCAATATTGAACTAAAATCCAGATGACGCTGCCATCGAGAAATGTCTATCCTAGATTTATTAATCCTATGATGTACTAAATGTTAGTTCTGTTTAACTTGGTTTAGTTTTTTTTGTTCAACTATGTATAAAGGTATTTGTGAGAAAGTTTATTGTGATTTATAAATAATTAATATGATGAGTTTAAAATGAAACCTACAAGCAGGATCCACAGATATTTACAAGCTAGAAGATAAAAGATAAAGACCTGTGTTACGGACTATATTATCCAACTACTTTTTTCTTAAAAGGCGTTTTTATGAATTCACTAAAACTACCCACCTACACAGTATTTCAGTTTATAATTATATATGTGTTATCTATGCACCTACATGTACACCAGAGAGAATGTAATCACTACGTTTACATCGCGCATGCTTAATGTTTTGACTTGACAGCTGACTGATCGATAAATATTTACAGTTTTACAGTTACTCCAGTGTAACTTCAGTTTTACAGTTTCAGATGTATAAAAGTACTCTTTGAGTTACCCTTTATTGCACCTAGGTGCTTGTAGTGGTGATAATATGTCTTCGGCTTCGGCTTAACGTTCGTAATCAATATCCGAATCTAATTCGTTTTTTCACATTCGACGTATCGTTTGATTTTATTATAACGTTACTTATTATCGTTTTGACTAATCGATCAAACGATACGGATGGAGGCAAAGTTGAAAGAATATCGTGCACTTCGAAGACGTAAAGAAATGATTGACAATGCAAAGGCTAAATTAGAAGAGTCCAAGGAGAAAATAATAAACTTTTTGGTGCCTAAATCTTTTACCAATATGGCCCAGGATCAGGGAGAAGGAGTTGTTTTAGTACGTTTTTCCAATGTATTATTACGCATTTAGCTAATACAGATCCAGAACAATTATCTTTTTTTAAGAAAAGAGATAGTAACTGATTGATGGTGATTGAGCACATACATAACTACAGTTAAAATCTCTAGGTCTTACAAATTCTGGTATTGTATATGAATTAAATACTTGACCTGCAACAACAAAACCAATAGTTAACAAATAAAAATAAGCCAATATATAAAAGCTAAAAACACTATGTAAAATATGGACACATACCTTTGTTTTAGATATAAGCCACGTATAAGCATATCCATACTCATTCACTGTGGTAGAGCCACACAATAGTCTTCACTGTTGCACATGGGTAGGTCCGTCTGGAGGAGTACCACAACCTCACAGAACACTGGCATGAAGTGGGTGTTACACTTCTGCATATCGATGAGTTAGAGTGAGATAGCTGCGGAGCTTAATAACACTTTATTAAAAATTTGCAACGCATCTGCATCCGTTGTAAACATCAATGGGTGGTGGTTATCACTGAACACCAGGTGAACCGCCAAGTTTTTTGCCACCTTCTATATAAAAAAAAACCATGTTGAATTTTCATTCATAGAAATTAGCAAAAAACCCAAACATTAAAAAAAATGCTTAGTTAAATGTATTTTTAGTCAATGTTTTACATTTAAAATTATCACTTATGCTGTGCCAATGAATATACTAATTGTATCTACTAATATATATTTTCAGTTGGAAAAAGAAGTAGTCCCAATACACAGCAAGGTGCTAATACAACCTGAAGAAAGGCATGATGATAACTCAGAAGTTTGCGAAGCCTTGGTGAAAACAAAAGAATCTTGGAGGTATTTCATTGTGAAATGGTGTATTTATTTCATTATATGGCTCACACTGTTCATATTATTTATAAAACTTGAATTTGGTGCAGTTTACTTTGTTTTATCTTTGTTAGTAGGGATTTGTGTGAATACCAGTACAAGACCTAAAAAGAGGGGTGAGGTATCTGCTTATAGTGTGTTTAATGAAAACTGCACCAGCATAGATGGTACTTTAAAAGCAGAACAGTTTGAAAGAGAGATAAGATATGGACCGAGCAGTGTCAGATAAGTTATGAAAATGAACTTATTACATTCCAACTTTTAATGTAAATTGTATCCATAAGAAATTTTATAATGCTACATTAACTTATTTATATTGTAATAAATATTCGTCATATAATATTATTAGTGTTTTATTAAAAAACTCCTTTGTTCGCTGAAATGCTTGCTCTTAATAATCTACAGATTTAAGAAACAATATATTTTATACTAGCTGCTGCCCGCATCTATGTCTGCGTAGAATAGGCTGAAGGTTAACATTCAGACAGAAAGACAGATATACATAAAAATATGTATATAAATTATAGCCTATGTGTTATTCTGATGTATAAGCTATATTATTGTAAAGTTTCATTAAAATCCATTCAGTAGTATTTGTGTGAAAGAGTAACAAACATCCATCCCTACATACAAACTTTCGCCTTTATAATGTTAGTAAGGATTTCTTCTTAGTAAGGATTTATATAAATATCTTATTCTTAGTTATGGCTCGGCACCATTCATGCATTTAGCCAGTGTCAAGTATTTTACATTTTTTCAACAAAGCGAGGGAAATGTATAACGCGTATTAAAATAATTAAAGAAAAAAGCACGGGAAACCTTCGAACCCGCGCCCGCCAAGTTCGAAGGTTTCCCGCCCAATCTTATATAAATATAATATACTAGCTGACTTTGTCTGTGTTGCTAGTTATATTAACAATTTATTTTATGTACAGAGGAAAAAGCATCAAAAAGATTGGAACTTTCAACCCCACTTCTCACTGCATGAAAATGCACATCACTGAACATGTAGTATATTATATATATGAATATATCACATTATTTTGTTATAGATAAGGACATAAGAAATAATAATTGAAAGCTATCCCCAGTAGTGACAAGTAGATAATTGAAGCGAATAGTATTTCCGTGAAGCGCGCTCAATCTCTACAACCCTCTATCATTTTATTTATATGTAAAAATATTACAGGAACATGAATATATATATAAATAAATCTGTGTACTTCTTAAATGCGATTCAAGACCATACACTGATTTAACCTTGATAGGACCTTCCTATTTTTCAAAAATACAGCAAATGTGCAAGAGGTTTCTAGCTATATTATAAAGAACCTATAGGGTTTTATTTATTTTTATTTTATGCGAAAAGTTGCCAAGCGAGCAGGCGATCCACCTGATGTTAAGTGAATACCGCCGCCCATGGACATCTGCTACACCCGAGGGTTACAGATGCGTTGACAACCTTTTGACGATTGGGCTCTGGCCACCTCACTCACCAGACGAAACGCGAAAGTATTTGTTATACTTCCACGTTACGCCGGTCTTCTGTGAGGTCGCGGCACTTACCCGGACGAGCCTGCCCATTCGTGCAACAGCCGAAGCCGCTGCGTGGCCCTATCACCGTGAATATTAGTCTTTATTAAAACATCATTGTTTTTAGTCGCATTATTTCCAAGATTTCTTTACGTCAATCTTGTATACCTATTATGACCAATCGAAAAGTATGGAAAAAGCTTTAAAATGAAAGGCATTAATTATAATTTTATAATAGAGTTGTATTTACTAGTAAAATTTATTTTTAACAAACACATTCACAGATTGACAAGTACAAATTTAATTGATACACACAACACGGAAAAATTCTAATAAATTAGATACCTTATTAGGTAAATTCTAATAATTTAGATACATCATAACTTGAAATAAATATCTTAAACGAGTATTTGGATGGAAAGAGACAATAACTTTACAATATACAAAAGTCTATGCCAAGTGTTAAAAAGCTGTTTACGGGATCACAGTTAGCTCACTAAAAATATTCATAAACGAAACACAACATGTGTAAAAGACGTTGGCAACATAACTAATTGGTATTCCTCACACCTGGAAAACATTTACAAAAAATTCAATTAACATAAAAATTTGTTTATATTTAACATGCCATAAAATGTCGCAGCTATAAGGGATCATTACATAAACAGTCAACAAAGCTATATCACTTATATCACAAAAATATTATGAAGTATACAGATAACTTATATCACTCAACAATTGTCATGAACAATGCTTTAAAAATTTAAACTACGCATCCTCCCTCCTTGCTTATTTGTGGTAAAAAAAGATTGGTAGTGATTAGCGATTTACCCAATAAAACTTTAAATCGACTACTACAAATACAAATAACGTATTAAAAACTCAGCAATATCGTATATAATTATGATACACACTTTTGGTTGTAAAACAATAAAATGTTTATACGTAGTGATTTATGCTATGATCATTGGATAATTTGACGGAGCACAAAGCTAGGAAAAAATAAGCGGCGACTGAAAGGATTATTATAAGGAAAATGCTTATAAATTCCAAATTAATAATTATATCAAGTAACATAATTTACTCGAAAGCGAAAAGGTAAAATTTTAGGATGTCAAGAACGGGTAAGGAATTGGTCCCGTAGCGTTCAAAAGTTCAATGATAATTATAATAACAGGTCAAGTATTTGTAGAACAGAGGTCTCTTTGGTGTAACCGTGTTGTAGATACCTAAGAAATGGTATGAAAATTTTTATCAAAGAAAACAACTTTATAGCGTGAAAAATACTTGAATCAATCAAGTCGTTAAGAAGAAATATAGTCAGTTTAATAACATGATTACAAGTCAAAATAGCTATAAAATGTATAAAAAAGGCAATATCGTGTATCTAGGTTAACAAATACATTTGAAATAAAAGATCAAGACAACTACACAACAGAAAAGAGTATTAATTGAGCAAAAATTATAAGGAATGTTTTATATTAAAAGTGCATAACACTAAGAGTGTAACGCACAGTTTCTCAAACATTGATCGTCGTAGAAATTAAACTAATCCGTGATACCAATTAAAAAAAAAAACTAACCAGCTGTCAAATGGCTTGTCAAATGTCATTTGCGTTGCCAAAAGGATGGTTGATTTTATGATCAGTTTTTCAAAAACCGGGCGTAAGATGTTATAATTGACTTTGAAAATTTAAAGTTAAACGCCCTATCATCTACTTGAATTGAATATTTCCGAGGGTACGGGTTCTGTTAACAGAATTAAAAGATAATTTATAAAATTAAGGCAAAAGCGTTACGAACACTCATTTGTTATAAATATAAACGCTAAATGATTTTCATTATAATTAATATAGAACATCCATAACTAACTTATAAATAGTTTTAACCTAAAATATAAATGTTATTTTCAATCATCAATGCACTGATTAAATGGCACTCTATTATTTCCTTAATCAAATGTTAAAGGTCTATAAGGCACAGATTATATACAATTATGTGTGATGGACGTTGGTACTCAAAATGTTAGTTTACTGTAATTAACTTTACATTAGGAATGTTTATATGTAATGTAATAGATGAAGCAAATATTAATGTTTACAAATGCGGTTGAAACACCATTTACAAAATATTTACATTTATCTGAAAATACAATCACACTCACGACCTAAATTAACACCAAACTGGTATTAAATTTGTAAATTTCCGAAGGTCTGTCCTAACAGCTTTATTAACAAAACCCCACATCACACAAATAAATTAAATATAATATAACAAGTTGTAATTGCAGTCTCGGAGTGAATATTATTCATACAATCAAAATTTTTAAAATCTTGTCCAATGCACTCAAATGGCGATTTGTACATTACAGTAACATAATTTGAATGTTAAATAAATATTTTTCACAGTTCAGTGATAGATTATAAAGTCAATTCCTTAAAACAAACAATTTTTTTCTACATATTTCGCGTAACTCTTTATGAAAATCTAAACAAAATTTTGGTTAGTTGCTTATTGTGATGTAATTGTCTTAGTGTGATGAAGAAAAAAATAAGTTTGTTCTCCTATACATATTGCTATAGTCAATTCTTATGTACTTTACTTGAAAGTACCCGGAGGACCGAGCTTTGCTCGGTTTGATTTTTTTTGTTAAGTCATGTGTTTTGGAAATTACATTTAGATACAAATTACTGAGTAATGAAATATGCGTAATATTTTTAGATCTTACCGACCTAATAATAAGAAAATATGAAGTGGCGTTTTTCACAAAAGAAACAACTTTAAAAAAAGGGAAGAAAGTAACAAAATAACAAATCGACAAAAAAATTAAAAATAAAGAAATATATATATATATATATAAGAATTGCTCGTTTAAAGGATAAGATAATGGTTGCCGTTCTTAAATGAAACTATTTACAATATTTGAACACTTTTATACAATGGAGAAACTGTTTATTGTCAGTCGTAAAAACAGGATATTCCTATATTTCCATTGAGGATGTACTTATTCGTGTGAGTATTAACATCGTTAAAATTTCAATACTTAAGACTATTTACAGGCTTTTAAAGTTGAGTGCTATAAACGTTATGATAACCTCTTATCAAAACGTAAGTTTAGAATTAAATTTCACCTAATCGTTAATATAAAAGCTATAATAGGATGGAATTAAATAAAAATAATAATTTCTTGTACTAACGCAAACTAAACCGTGCTGATTGGAACTATTTAGAAATTATCGTTTTAAATTCTTGACGTTTCGAATACTTTGCAAGTTTTCATCAACCACGGTCACGTATTGTGTCTAGACATCAGTTATTTTAAAATTTTATTATTTTATTATATAACATCTGTTAACTGTTTTAAATTAACAAAACAATAATAACGAAAAATAACGAGTTGTGCGCTTTTACCTTTACAAATGAAAAGTCCGTGGCATAAAAAATATGCCAAGGCTTAAAATTTTGTACTTATATTTTTATTATTTAATCTACTTTGCATATCAAGCGCTACTCTTTTCTTAATAAGCGTTTACCAAATAAAAATTATATAAACTAATCGCCGTGTAAATTTATTTAACAAGATATACGTTATCTATATTTGTTCATATATTTCGGACTAGGTTATTACAACTTATTACTTAAAAACTAAACAGGCTCGCATTTATAATATGTATTAAACATTACCGACGTAATAAAAGCTTGTACAGAATATCGTCGAAATTAATCTTCTTAGAAATCCAACAACTATTAATATATTTCTTCGATCACAGGTAAATTTTGGTTGTTTTTATAATAACTAAAACAATAATTATTATTTATGGCAAACAAAATGTATCATATCTATTCTAAATGTAAATAGGGGAATTTAACTAAAGCTGGTGATGGAATAATATAAAATAAGTTTAGGGAAATAAAGCAAGAAATATTAGCTAGATGGTCCAACTTTTTGCAGAACGGCATTAATTACATAATTTAGTTATGACAATTTAAATTTCAAGGATAAATGAATGACGAACGGAAGTTGGAAACCGATAAATCAAAAGGCTACGAACTAAATTATTTGCAGGCTTTTATTTTCCCGGACCCCACTAATCATTCATATCCCATTCTAGAAAGTTTCTGTCACGAGCCATTCGTCGGAACGCATTTGTGATATTCTATCTACACTACAGATAAAAAGAAGACCAATTTAAGCGCGCCGTCCGGCACAGATTAAAAATTTCGAAAATGTTTGCTGTCACTTTCAATCGGTCGATACGCGCGCTTGGGACCTGTCGAAAACCCTCCAAAATGGTGACTTGAAGTAGCCCGGGCCCGGGACGAATGGATTCACGGCGGTGCGCCTCACGTCGGGCAGCAGGAAGACCACGCTGCCCGCTATTATCATGTGCCAAACGGAGTGGACGATTTTGTAGTTCTGCTCCGTCTGGAGGAAGGCGTAGCAGACCAGGCCTACGGAGACGAGAGCTACGCCGATCGGCAGGTGGGTCGTGTAGTACGGCCGGGGGTAGCGTAGCCGCCTGGTGCTACGGAAGTCGAACCACCAGGAGAGCAGGAGCACGCAGAGGCCTACGGCCACCGGCAGGAGGAACGCCACGAACGAGTGCATGTTCCAAGTGGTGAGAAGCGCGACAACTATGGCGCCCGTCAGCTGCAAAGACGAGCGCAGCCTCTCGCTGATGACGCCCATCGCCAGCAAAGTCACCCAGAAGGACATGAGGCCGCAGTAGAAGTCGCCGAACTGCAGTATGTTACCTCTGATGACGCAGTACCCCACCTGGGCGGGCGCGTCGCACGCGTGGTAGAACGTGGAGAAGACCATGGTGAAGGTGTACATCATCGCCTCGGAGTAGTACAGGCGGATGATGGCCACGTAGATGGAGAAGAAGAAGAGGAGGTTGCTGAGCGTGAGAAGAAGGACCGAGACGAGCATGTAGACGCGGCTGTCCATTCTTGAGTCGTCTGAACAGTCCCAACCTGGGAAGTTAAAAAGTACCTGTTTAAATAAATGACGACATTCATCTTCCATTATAAGTATATTAAATCGCGTAACACTTTATTTTAATTGTCAAAGCATAAGAGTTATTGCATTTCCTTAACTTTAATCTTCCCTGCCACCATGATAATACTCGTAACTACATGAAATGCGACATTGGAGCCAAACAATTTACAGTAATAAATTTGCTGTAAATGCTAATAGTAATAGCACTATAATTGCTTATAGTTAATTATAGGAACTTCATAATAAAATAATTAGAGGAACCTCATTACGAAACGATGGTAGATTTAAAAAATGACTATCGATAGATGAAATGTATATTTCTTATTTCGATGAATAAATGAATGATTTGATTTGATATGTTATATTCTACAGATGGCAGTATGTAACTATTGCCTAAAAACATTTGATGGCGCCATAGTGACCAAGTGAGTTAGGCTACTATGGCTACACAAATGGTTATTAACAAACTTATACCAAACGTTGAAATTAAAAGTAATAAATAACTAGAGATACATTTATTGAGTTTTCTAATAACTAGTCAAAAGTCTACAGAAGGCTGTGAGCAAAAGCTTTTTGAGACTGGTGAAACTGCTTTTACACATTTCTCTTATTTATCATAATTTCTAAACTCATATAAATTGAAAGTGCAGACTTAAATAGTGATTCGAAGTATAAGTACGATTAGTAGATTAAAGTTCTATTTCAGTGTTGCGATTGTTTCTGGGTGACTATTTTGGTATTTTGAGAACTAATTTGTACTAACTGAAATTTTTATTAATAAATACGCGAAACTCGAAATGCCAGACTGGCCTAATAAAATATAGGTTAGCTCGACATCGTGAGGACACCAATAACAAAATATTTCTGAACCAATTTACTAGCAAAAAAGAATTTGAATTTTAAATTGAATTTTTTTTTTTTCAATAAATGTAATTTATAACACAATGTTGTGTTTACAGCAACGTCCCATGTATTGTTGTTGATGGAGCGATTGATTTAATGGGAAAAAAAATCACTTACTTCCGTAGCCGGCGGAACAGGAGCAGAAAGACATCACTAGCCCCCCGAAGGTGTTGAGGCCGCAGCTGCCGTGGTTGCTGCACCTGCCGTTCACGCAGGAAGTGGACGACAGGGACAGGACCGCCGTCGCGTTGCAAACCGTCTCCCCCTGCCTGGTGTCGTTCTTGTCGCCCATATATCCGTCCCTGTCTAGCGCGTTCGGGTCCACGAAGTACTCCGAGCCGTTCTCCGACGTGCGACAGGGACAGACGGCGCTGTCGCAGAACAGGCGCAGCGTTATATACCACACGCCACTCTCAGGATACGGTATTATCACTTTGCCGTAGATCGTCTCCGAGTCGGTGCTGTTCAAGACGAACAGCGCCGGCCTGACCCGGTCGTTGAACTTGCAGTGGCCACTCTCCAGTGGCACGCTCGCGTGGCCAATGTCCAAGCATATCACGACCTTGAAGAACTGGTTGCGTTCGGTGAACGCGAAGAGCGAGCCGTTTCTCAGCTCGCGCCTGTAGCCCATGTAGTATTTGAGGCTCATGAGGAGACTGGCCTCTATAGCGAAGTTGCCGCCTATGTCCAGGAACTGGTTGACGTTCAGCCGCAGGCTTTTGGCCTCGCCCGAGGTGAGGTTGACGAGGCTGGTCACGTCCTGCAGGTCGGTGGTGGGCAGGCCGTAGTCGAAGGTGAAGAATCTGCCCTTGTCGTCGCGCATGAGGTCAACGGTGGTACGGTTGTCCGCTTCGTCGATGTCGGCGCGATAGCGGTACGACTCGCAGTCGGCATACCTAGAAGCGTTGCCGACGATGCGCTGGACACTTAAGTAGTGCCACGCGCTGGGGTACGGGGAGAAGTTGATGGTCTGTTCGTTGCTCAACCTGGGGTCGAACGCGCATGACAGCAGATAGCTCTCCTCGGTAGGAAGGGACAGAGATTGGACGCTGATAAGGATCTCGCCGTTCGTAATGGACGTGTTCCTTATCGTGAGCCTGAAATTTACAGCCTCTGTACTATCCACCGTCATGCATTTGAAGTCCGACGGTACTTCATCATAGTTTAGCGTCAGACCGGCGTAGCAGTCGACAAGTCGGATGTCCTTCTCCCTTTTCACCTGCAAGTCCGTGTACAGAATAGTGTGGCAGTCCGCGACTAGACCTGCAAACATCGAAACGGCAGATGTAACTCCAACGGCGATTTTCTTAAATATCCCTGCACATTGATGTATAATATTTTCGAAGTATTCGGCTAAATATAACATTTGCTTGAATCAAATAACTATAGTGCAAAATATATAAGAAATTGCCATTCACATTTTGAGGTGTATTGCGTGAAAAATATGAATATATATTATGTTACAGCATATATGTTAGAGCTTACACACATCCATACAGCAGCATATATTTACATACATAGTGCTATCTATTTTGCATTAAAGATTTTTTGGTGAACTTTACACTTAACCCGATCGAGTGCCGTGGGTTTTCGAGAACCAAACAAATTTTAATAACGTAGTGTAAAAAATTCGGTAGAATAAGAATTGGCACCCTACTGTAGTGTAATTAACATTACGTATCGATGGCTAATTGACTCACCGCATCATTTACTAATGTCTATTAATTTGACTAATGGAATTTTATCATCATCGTAATATAAGTAATGAACGACTATCATTTCAATTCAATTAATAACATAAAGAGCACTATGAGTAATTTATCGTTACGTGGAAAAATCGAGTTAAATTGCATTTAAGTTGTGATAACTTTAACGGTGGTAGGGCCACGCAGCAGCCTCGGCTGTTGCACGAATGGGCAGGCCCGTCCGGGTAAGTACCACGACCTCACAGAAGACCAGCGAAAGTGGAAGTATGACTAATACTTTCGCGTTTCGTCTGGTGAGTGAGGTTGCCGGAGCCCAATTTTCAAAAGGATGTCAACGCATCTGTAACCCGCGGGTGTAGCAGATGTCCATGGGCGGCGGTATTCACTTAACATCAGGTGAATCGTCTGCTCGTTTGACAATTTTTCGCATAAAAAAAAATAACGCGATGAACAATGAAGTTAATTATGGAAAGTCATCAACTAGGCTTGGACCTGTATGAGTTACTAGCCATTCACCAGCGACTGCACGCCTGCCTCTTTTCGAAATAAGACAATTTTCTTTGATGTTCAGGGATAACCGCCGCAATTAACATTTGCAACACCCTGACGCTCGGTTCCCGATACACTGATCATCGTAGAAGTTAATTAATCAGCTGTCAACTGTTGTTTAAGTGTTATTTAAAATGCCAAAAGGATGGTTAAACTCGGATTTGGAATTGATCTGAATATTCTTCTTAATGATCAGAATGATCAATTCAAAGAGCCCAACCATCATTTTGGCATCTCAAACGACATTTAAAAAGCCATTTGACAGCTGATTAATTAACTTTTACGATGATCAGTGTTTCAGAAACCGGGCGTTAGGATGGCAGATGCGTTGCCCTACCTTTTATAAAATGTGGGCTTTTAATAAAGTAGGTATTCCAGAATATTATAGAAACGTATCTTTTATGTTAGCACATTAGGTATCCTCATTCTAAAAAAGTCCATTGCGTGACGAGGAAACGGCTATACAGACTCGCAATTTAATATATAATAAACACAAATAATATATACTGTAATTTAAAATTCACAAAGGTACACTTTTACCTCCACCTTTTATATTGCAACTATTTAATTGGTCACGTTGAGAAAAGTTACATTGTATGCTAAAATTTAAAGTAGCTACGATAGACTAATGTGACAGGTGATTACCCCATCGCCAAGGAACAGCAAACAATATTTTTACAACAATAACATTCATTAACTACAATGTTTACTGGCGTTCCAAAAATTTCGCTTACAGTGTTCAAGGTATTTCGGTGACTCCGTGGTGCGATTGCCAAGATATTTCGATTAAGAAGACTTCGGTGTAGAGGGTCGTGGGTTCGATTCCCGCACGGGATGGTCTATTGCGTTAACCACATGTAATTGTTTCGGATCTGGGTGTTTGTCCGCATTAATTTTCTGTAATACGTCCTTACAACACAGGACAATTTCATCCTAACGTAGGCAATGTTTTTAAAAAGAAAAAAAGTATCGTATGAATGTCACAAAATTACTTTTACCTATCTTCTGCCTAGCTTGTACTGGATAATGACTACTCGAATACCGCAGACATTTTAGAGACAGTGGTAGCACAACGTACGGTGCGTCAATTGCTACAGAAGTGGAACAGGAAGCGGTGTCAATGAAGCCAATGTGAGCAGCGGCTGACAACTGGCGCGCGGAGGTTGACATACTGCCCTAAGGTCCAATACACACCGATCGGCGAGGATACCGCCCCTCGATACCGCGCGTTCCACCACTCGAGATAAGGTTTATAATGCAGTGTGTCCGAATCCGCCGTCTCGGTGTGAATAGAGCCTAATATCGTACACCCACGGTGGGTTGGCCGCGGTTACGGCCGTGATCCAAGATACTTTGAACGCGTTTCGTGTTACGTGTGTTATTAACTAATGGGAGGAAATGACGAAGATTAAATAAGTAACAAAGTGGCGGCAAATTTCTGCACTAACGTCCTTGTCCGAAATGTTCGACTGCTAACTGCGTCAGGTTAATTTATAAAGTTAATCCCGGTTATATAAGTACCTTATAAGGTGTTTTCAATAGTGAAGAAATTGTAGGCACTATATACTGATATCACATAGTTTTAAAATAAATAACGATTCCGCACCAACCTATGCATCGAATGCCGATAAACTCGACAATGTTTTAGGAACGTATAAAGTACGTAAATATAGCAATTCATTTTTATTCATAAGATTATTTTGTCATTATTATATTATATTGTACCAATTTATTTACTACTAGCCCACTATGCCCGCGAATTCGTCTGCGTTGCTTATTCCCACCGAGTTAACAGTTTGTGATCCACATAATATAATTGTTTCGCATCTATGCCGAATCAATTATCCGATCCAATACCTTGGCAACTGCGCCACGGTTGCATCAAATGAAGATATCACAATTTTTTTTTTAGATAAAAGCAAGTGTCGAACAATTAAAAACTTAGAAAAAATTTTGACATCTATCCAGTAGCTTCCCCGCGATGCGCAAAACGGAAGACCTCTTAACCCTTGAACTGTGGTATGGCCACGCAACAGCTTCGGCTGTTGCACGAATGGGCAGGTCCGTCCGGGTAAGTACCACGACCACACAGAAAACCAGCGTGGAGTGGGAGTGTTATACTTATGCATTTTGTCTGGTGAGCGAGGTAGCCGAGGCCTACTTTATTAAAATGTGGCAACGCATCGGAAACCCAACGGGTGTTGAACTGTCCATGGGCAGCAGTTATCACTTAACATCATGTAAACCGCCGCTCACAAAAAATATCTCTATAATATTATTTATATAGATAGACATGATAGATCGGACAATAGATAGACTGAACACTGAGCCGTGAGCTCAGTGTCCCGGCGCTCGCCTTTCGTTCAATATACTCGACAACCTCGAGTTCGATCCCCGGTGCCGGCACCAATGAAATTGTTAATTTCAAGTGCTGACTTATCACGTGCTCAGCGGTGAAGGAAAACATCGGGAGGAAACCTGCATATTTTTCGAAATATTAACAAAAAACAATATTTCGAAGATATGTCAAGTCCGCCAATCCGCAGTGGGACCGCGTGGCGGACTATGCCCTGATACCCTCTGTACAGAGGAGGCCTTTGCCCAGCAGTGGGACATGTACAGGCTGTTACTTTAGATAGAACATTTACCCTGTTGCTCGACCTTCTGCGTCCTGGGGTCCTCCCATTTTTTGTACACCAGCGCGTACCAGTTGCCAGGGCGCGGGTTCCGTATCGAGTAGGTCCTGTTCTTGCCGTCGGAGAGCAGCTCCAGCGTGTGTATACGCTGCCTGGTGGCGGGGTCCACAAAGTGCTTCGGGAAGTCGTAGCCGTCGGGGTTGACCGCCGGGTAGGAGCCGTGCTTGATGTTCACGATCACATCTTGGGGGCTGCAGGACCCTGGAGAAGTAATTGCCTTTCGCTTCATATATAAACATATACACCTATCAACCTTAGTTAGACATATAAATGTCCTTAAAATTAATAACCGATGAAATTTGAACATAGCTTGTAGAACTTTTTTCTAATAATCGCAAATTTTTGAACACGTAAATTCACGCACATTTTATTCGTAAATTGACTTATGCGCGGTTATTTTAAATTTCATTTATTTTACTTTGATAAACTCAACCCTTTGTATAAATGCAATTATGAATACAATAGAAGAATGCGCGTAGAAGTTTACATTATCTATGTTTATACAGTGTGTCGTTATCATCGCGACAATAAATGAACACACATATAGGGGATAACTTTTTAAAGTTGTATTAAACATTTAAATTATTTAAACATCTATATTTACAGAGTTATTAAATTTTCCAAAATAAAGAATTTTAGAACACCCTTACCTATAAAAGCGTAAAGTAAAGTTCATTTGTAAAGGTCACAAAGTATATGAATGGGTTGAATGAATTTAAAAGAGACAAAACATACTGTTAGAAGGAGAGGCTTGTAATACGACGCTGTGGCGCGAGTTGTTACAAATTTTGTTTCTTTTTTAATTAATTAGTTTGTTTGTTAAATATTTTTTTTTTAATTATGGATTTTGTTTAAATGTTAATATTTTTTTATGATTATTGGCAAGTAGCATTAGACGTGTGTTCATTTATTGTCGCGATGGTAACGACACGCTGTATAAACAAAGATAAATAATATTTGGGCTAAAAATAAAGATGTTAAACGTATAAGCATAAACATAAGTAGCAAAATAAGCGTTTTTGCACTCATTCTATCAACAAATCGACATGACAAGCGGTTATTACCAGCTCTGTTCCACCACAGCGTTTTATATCTTGTTTCTACTGAATGATATTTTTAAATGTAGGTTACATTTCACGATGCATTCCTATACGCAAGTCATCGATTAATATAAAACCTAAGTTAGGTTATTAAAGTATTAGTAAATGGAGGACCGAGCTTTGCTCGGTTTGATTTTTTGGTAAATCGTGTATTTTGTAAATTACATTTAGATACAAATTACTGAGTAATGAAATATGCATAATATTTTTCGATCTTACCGACGTAATAATAAGAAAATATGAACTGGTGTTATTCACAAAAGAAAGAACTTTAAAAAAAAGGGAAAAAAGAACAAAATCATCTGGATCAACAAAAAATAAAGAAAGCAATGATCTGGTAACGAAAAAAAAAGTAAAAAAGTGTGTAAATGATCGAACCACGGCCGTCTGTTTCGGGGCCGCCTGATTACCGACCGAGCTATTATAACATTTTTTTTGCGGCGAAATTTACCGTCATATCCGAATGATATTTTTCATTCCCTGAAAACAGGGATAAAAGGACATTTTCTAAAAATGAAACCTAGCTAGATCGATTTTTCGCCCCCGAATCTACGCACATACTAAATTTCATGAAAATCGCTGGAGCCGTTTCCGAGATTCCGATAATATACAGGGTGTCGTTACCAATGCGACAATAAATGAACACACATAGAGAGGATAAATTTTTAAAATTGTATTAAACATTTACATTCTTCAAACATCAATATTTACAGAGTTATTAAATTTTCCAAAACAATCAATTTTAGAACATCCTTACGTATAAAACTGTAACGTAAAGTTCATTTGTAAAGGTCACAAAGCATATGAATGGATTGAATGAATTTAAAAGAGACAAAACATACTGTTAGAAGGAGAGGCTTGTAATGCGACACTGTGGCGCGAGTTGTATAGGATGTTACAAATTTTGTTTCTTTTTTACTTAATTAGTTTGTTTGAAAAATATTTTTTTTTAATTATGGATTTTTTTATGATTATTGGCAAGTAGTGTTAGACGTGTGTTCATTTATTGTCGCGATGGTAACGACACGCATAGGAAGAAGGAAAACTGCATATTTTCAACAAAATAATAAAAAAACACCGTTTTAAAGATGTTCACATATCTAAGCCATTCTGTGGTAGGATCGCGTGGACAAAGCCCTGGTAGCCTCTGAACAGAGGAGGCCTTTGAGGCAACAGAAATACATCATCTGTGAAAACTTCAACTATCTCACTATTACCTTAATGAGATACAGCCTGGTGACAGACGGATGAACGGACTAACGAACAGATGGACAGCGGAGTCTTAGTAATAGGGGACCCTATTACTAAGACTCCGCTTTAACCCTTTGGGAATGGAACACTAAAAATTGGCATCCCAACGCCAATCAAAATCTACAATACGAGTGTTGCTGTTTAGTTCAAAATGAATTAAGCTAGTGCCTTGTTCTCCGATAAAAAATGTACCACTTAACCTACAACCTGCAGTGCTGAAGCATAGCAACTCCTTGAAACACGCCATCGAAAATTAAAATATTAATAATTAATAAGAGATGCTATCGGATACCAGGCTGAAACGAAGATCCTATTGTATATTATGCTCAGCGCTAAAATAGAGTAGAGGGAGTGGGAGTGGAGGGAACGGACTCTTTTTCCTAACGTGGCAGCATCAAGCAATAATAAGGAACTTTGTTACAAAAGTTTTGACAAATATTTAGCATAAGGCCCTTTGGTATTTCAACCATAGCAGCGTAATCAGAAGGAAAGTTACGTTTTACTGAGCTCATTTAGTCACAAATGCCGTGATGTTCTCTCGCCATAGACCTTGCATGTTGCCATCACATCGGCGGCATTAAAATGAGTGATCGAGCCTGATGCCGATCGTCCATGACCTGTGTCCCCTATGAGACGCATTTTTAACCGACTTCAAAAAAGAAGGAGGTTGTTTGTTTTTATGTGTGTTCCCTGATAACCGACCATTATAAACTGATTTTGATGATTCTTTTTTTGTTGGAAAGGAGATATCCCAAGGGTGGTACCATGGTAAGGAAACCAGGATCTGATGATGGCATCCCAGAGAATTCTAGGGCAATCCTCAAAAGTTATAGGTAATAATAATGTTTTTTGTATCCAGTTTGAAGTCGGTTTTTATTCATGTTACGAACAAGAAACAATTTTACCCTATTACTAAGAGCCCGAGACTACAGGGCTTACGGGGCAGCACGTCCGTTTCTGCCGACCCGACGCCTTCGTCTCTGAACGGGTCTTCCCTCTCATGCTCCCATTCGGCGATCTTTTCCTGAGCTTCGCAGAAGAAGAGCAGGGGCATCCATAAGGATTTCGCTACCAACGCAGCAGCCACTGCGACTGGCGGAAGAAGGTCACCTGACCCAGGATCAGTCGCTCTGACTTTGTCTCTCACAGCGATCGTGCATCACATGGAATCTCCGTCCCAATACCATTCACCATACATTCAGTGCTCACCAAATGCCCAATGAGTACTTGCGTCACTTAAAAGCGGCGTGGGAAAATCTTCTCGCACTTAACCAGGCTTCGAATCTAGGCAAGGGCGCAGTAACGATTCGTTAGCTCAAGTTCCGTAACTGCCAACTGCTCGCGCCATAGCTACAGCATTCTCCACTGTTTTTTTTCTCTCCTGTCCCCACTTCCCCACATCCAAGTGCTGGACACCATAACGGCTTAGCCGGTGGTGAGTATAAACTCACGAATTTATCTCCACCAGCTCCAATGTTGTAAACCATGCTAAGGTAAACTACCTTAAATACATTGATGGAAGAAATTATTATTAAATGTACACAATTAAGTGTGGATAAATTTACAAATATAAAAGCAATCAATCATACTGAGCTATGATAATGATATTTAGGATCATTATTGATAAGTTATCTATGTATAAATAGCAAAAATGCCAGTATCATTAAAAATCATAATTGACAACATAATGTACTTGATAAGTTTTGTAGAAATAGCCAACCTATACAAGATATAGAGTGGTAGGACCATGCAATAGTGTTCGCTGCTGCACAAATGGGCAGGTCCATCCGGGTTAGTACCACGACACAGGAGACAAACGTGAAGTAGAAGTGTTGCACTTTTGCATTTCGTCTGGTGATTGAGGTAGCCAGAGCCCACATTATTAAGAGGTGGCAACGCATCTGCAACCCTATGGGTGCCACAAATGTTCATGGGCTTATGTTCATGGTACTTATCATTTAACATCAGGTGAACCGCCAGCTCGTTTGCCACTTTCTCGCATAAAAAATATAAGTTCAAGCAATAAAACATATGTAGATGCTACTGATAAACATACCAATGTTATTCAAATGGAGCTCTTCTGACTGAACAGTAAAACGTGCGTCGGTAACGTCCCTCGCGATATGAAAAAATAGTACAGATACAGTGCGATAACTTCTGTACCTATATACATCTGTTGCAATCTGTCTCGTTACTAATTGATAATCGTCCAATATCACCGTCCTAGTCTTTGTCAACTGTTCAATTATTCTCTTTCTCTTACTATCATCTTCTGATTCTTTATCACTGTTACTTGATACACAGTATACATATAAAAATAAGAAATAAAAAACTTTCATTTTATTTACAATCCTCCTACCTGTAGAACACGATTAAAGTGAAGCACAATTCGTATAAATAACATTAAATCTTAATCTATTTGCTGTTATTAAATTATCGGTAAATGTCCAAAAATGTATAGGTAGGTAGTTAATGTTTGTTAGACATTTTTAAAGGACGGCACTTAACAAACTAACTTTTGATTTGATCCTAATCTTAATCACAATCGATCAGTGACCAACGTCAATGTCAAAGTCAAAATGACAATTGACGACATCGTCCAAAAACATTATGTTATGATTCTACTACTATCATATTAAACGCATACAAGAAAAATTCCCATTACATTTTTGATATGGAAGGCGCAGTTAGATATATAAATAAAAAGTTAGATATATATATATAAATAAAATGTAATATCCTATTACACATAAGCGATAAAACCTCCGTGATGTGTTGTGTGTTCTTCAAAGATTCTTGCCACAAGTTTTTAATGTTAAATTACCTGAATACTCACTTACTTGAATATCATCTCAAATAATGAATAGATTCCAACAAAAAATCAAGTAATATTTAGTGTAAAAGACTAATTAATAACCATAATAGAATGCTGTAACACCTAAGTTTATTTTGAATTTGTGTAATGTAAGTTATGTGTTTCATATTATTATTTTTTTTGTGAGTATTTAAAGCTTATTATAATAAAAGAGCACCATTTAATATAAAAGATATCACATCTTCCATGTTACAAGGCGGTCTTTTACTGGGAGCTATATATTGTCTGAAAAACTATGTGTTTGTATGTATTACATATACAATATTCATATTGTATAAAGTATAACATATTTCATCAATCTCCTTTGTTTTTTTTTTTAATATTTTTAAAAACAGGAGTCTATAAATTATCTATAATCATATTTATCAACAGCTTCTATTTATTAACTATATAACTTCTATTTATTTGTTATCTGTACGTTCTCCTATAACTTTTCGTTTCGGTTTCTGCGCGCGCATGTCTCGCTTGTCTGTATAAATTTTCGAATTTTGCACTTCGCAGAATAATAATGGCTTCGACTACAAATTCGAAGCAACCACAAGTAAACGGTGACATGACTTTGCATTCAAATAAAACATATAATATGGAAAACAAAAATAAAGTGACTGTTGTGCTGGGTGCTCAGTGGGGTGACGAGGGAAAAGGAAAAGTAGTGGATTTACTGGCTGTTAATTCCGACATCGTGTGCCGCTGCCAGGTATTATTTTACTAATTGTTTCGTTATTCATTCCTTAAAAACGTGATATGTTTATTATTGTTATTTACAAATTGTTCTCTAAACGAATAATTATAAGCAAACATTGCCGTTAGAAAATTGAGGTTATAAGTAAATAGTTAAGTATTTTTTTAAGTTTTAAATTTTTCAGAAACTGACAAAAATGTCATTCTTACGGCCTCTCTAAACATGTTGAGCTTCTATTCTGTTAGTAATGGAAAACATGATTGGCACTATGCCAGTCTGTTTGAAAACATGCGAACATTGTTTTTGTATAAATTCACTATATTTGCCAAAAGTTCTAGCGGGAACACGAAAAGTGACTTACGTAACACTTACTTAAATGACTTACGTAACAATAATCATGCATATTTTCCGCACACGATGCAAGAATTTTTTTTGTCATCTGTCATGTGATCGACGTCGATCTCTATTCACGTAAATAAACCTTGCGAATTGTAGTCTATTTTGTGGAATTACTGCCAAGGTCTTGGGCATTTACTGTCATGGTAACACTAGCATCATCTGTTAACTTTTTGCTGGCCTCCGGAGATATATCACTTCAATTACACATAGCAAAAGACAATTTAAATTGTTGGCATTCACTAGATCTGCATTGTTTCAATGTTATTTCGTAAAAGGTGACTTCAGAGTTATTTTATATCATTAGTAAACACAATGAGAATTATCTAGTCTATTTTCATTTCAACAATGTCGCCTATACCTGTAATTGATTGATAATGGTAAATAATTTGATAGTTTTTAGTTTGGTAGACGGTGTTTAGTAATTTGATTGTTTGGTTGCACAGGTATTTTGTTAAATAAAAAAAAATCATCAATAATCCTAAATCAATAACTTAGATAATTAAAAAAAATCCTTAATCATTTTATTGAAACTGATGAGTAATGGGAAGTTATCTTGATTGTACCACATTATACGGCATATACTGCATGTTTCATGATAATATTTATGTATTATATATTTGACACTTGAACTAATGTTCATACTGGATGCAACCAGTTACTGTGTGTTTTATTCTCATCTGTTTTTAATGTTATACATATAGAGAAAACAAAATATTCTAAAGTAATAGGAGTAAGGGTTGATTTCTTTAGCAAAAATTACACATATTTAAACTATTTTATTTAAAGTGAAAATCAGATTGTGAGGCCCAAGATGCAATGTTAATATTTTAATTCTAATTTAGTATGTTTTCCTTAAATATTCTAATGTCTTCATGAATGTAAATAGGGTTTACAAAAGGTTCAGGAAAAGACACTGCTTGCTATGGGTTTAAAGGTTTAGAGTGGAAGTGAACACGGTTCCTATCTTGAATTGGCTAGATCTTGGCAATTTTCTTCCTTAAATTGTGAGGCAGTTATATGTTGTCAATGCCCCATATGAGCAATAATTAATAATTTTAACTCTTCTGTCATTGCACATAAATCACTAAAAGGGAAAAGTCAATATTTTCCCTATTATGTTACTAACTGTGCCCGCGACATCATCTGCGTGAAATATAAAATGAATAAAATATCTCCTTAGCTCCTTATTAAATCAGCTATCTGCCAGTAATAGTCCCGCCAAAATCTGTCACACCATGAGATTAGATTAGATGAGATTAGCCAGGACAAACAGACAAAGACACAAAAATTGCTAGAAAAAATATTTTGGTACATGTACCGTGTATCTTTCCATAGGCACTTAGTAAAAAGCGGTTATTTTAATATTACAAACAGACACTCCAATTTTATTTGTCTGTATGGATTAATAAAGATCAACTAAACCAATAGGTTTGTAATCATAGTCTTAATAAATTATTGTGCCCCAAGCACTCTGTATGTTTATTATTTTCTAATAATTATCAATAAATGTTTTAGGAAACATTTTTACACAACATTCACTAGTCCCAAACTAAGCAATGCATGTTCTAAGGGCACTAGATAACTGATAAACATTCTTTTCTTATAATAAACACCCAAACACTTGAAAAACAATCAGTTCATCACACAATATCTTTCTAGTAGTGGGGTCGAACCCACACCATCCGGAGCAGGAGGCAGGTATACTACCCACTACGCCATTCGGGTCGTCAAATCTAAGGGAAGATATAGAGATTTTCGTGGTCTTTGGATATTGGAGGCTGTCTACTGAGACAGATACTCTAACTGCTGGGTTAGAGTAGAGTATCTGAGCGCGTTACACGGACGGTTCTAATCTTTTACCGCAGAACTTTTGAAATTTTATCTACAAAAAAATTACATTTAAGTTTCCGCTCAGGTCCAGAAACTAGCACTAAAAATAAAATTACATTATAGAGATCGTTTTACCCATTTACATCAGTCAAAAAGTCACTCTTACTACTGATCTTAAAAAAAACTGATTACCTGCATCTGTGATAGATTTGATTAGATTATGGGCAAGCTACTGCATCATGATGTGCTCTACGCTAAAGGAAAACATCGCGAGGAAAGCTGCACACTTTCGAAATAATAAAAATAAATATTTTGACGATAACATCTAGTGTGCCAATTCGCGTGTTGCACTACGCCCTAATACCCTCTGTACAGTGGAGTCCTATGGTCAGCAGTGATATATATATATATGTATTATGTTATTGAGAAGAAGGTGGCAGACAAGCCGGCGGTCCACCTGATGTTAAATGATAATCGCCGCCCATTGACATTTGCAACACCCGTAAGGTTTCAGATGCGTTGCTACCTTTTAATAAAGTGAGCAGCGGCTACCACTTCACGCCGGTCTTCTGTGGTACTTACCCGGACGGACCTACCCATTCGTGCAACAGAGAAGAATTTTGTGTGACTCTACCACAGTGAGATATGTAGCTGTTACTTTACTTTTGGGCATGGGGTGTACAATAACATTCTATTTGTGTCTTGACTATATAGAAGTCAGTTTATACAAGACAGCTATACCCCAAAGTCTTTAGCTACTAGCGTCAGAGGCACTGACAGTTTGAAGTAGGACCAACTGTACAATAATATATTTTTATCTAGCGACCCGCCCGGCTTCTCGCGGTTGCAATGTTTTATAAATATAAACCTTCCTCTTGAATCACTCTATCGAGTAAAAAAAACCGCATCAGGATCCGTTGCGTAGTTTTAAAGATCAAAGCATACATAAAGACAGGCAGACAGCGAGACGACTTTGTTTTATTATATGTAGTGATAGTTTCTTATACAATGCCGGTGGAAGAAATACTTCGATTGCGTTGTTGAAGCTTTAATAGTCTCGGGACGGAAAGTGTTAGCATCAGTTAATGCAAGAGGAGAAATTCTTCATTGCTCCAGGGCTATTGCAATAAGCATTCCTGAAAGCAATCTTATATTTAATGATACAGCCTTGCAACCACCAACAAATTTCGCAAAGCGATTGCAATCTTTTATTTATCTCGAGCAACACGTGATTATTTTAAACTAGATATGCCGCAAACCTTGAATAGATAACGCAACTCTATAAAACAGTTACGTGTAATCACAACAAACCGTTATTTATTAACAGTAAAATTTTCTTGTGAGATCGCGGTACCGATTTAGTAAATTATTCTTGTGAGATTAGAAATCCCAAGCGACTACTAGACAGTGGCTCACAATAGAGAAGACGTTAACCAGATTATCCGTTTTGAGATTTTGTAGTTGTTTGTAAAACGTCCTTACAACACAGGATAATGTTATCCTACATCAATGTTTTCTAAGGGAAAGACTACAATAGATCTACCAGGTCGCGGCGGTTGTTTGGACTTACTACCCGAACTTTTCCACACAAAGATACCACCAGGTGAAATGTCTGCCCGTTGGCTACGTTTTCTCTTTATCATCAACATCATTTCGGCACCACTGTTGGCCTTAGGGGCCTTTACAGATCCGCCGAACTTGAGGTGGCCGAACCGCCTAGCCTGAACCTCGATTAATTATTATTACGCGTTATGGTGACTGGGCTCGATGGATCCTGAGGGTGCCTCGGCTCGGGCTGTCACGTTATTAGTATCATCACCGGTTTGGGAGGCCACCAAGCTTGGGCGGGCGCTTTGGCGGACGCTCTATGGAGTGACTAGGCTCAAGGATCCCCGAGAGGGGGCCTCGGCTTGGGCTGTCACTCAATATGCGTTTAGCATTCCGATTCGAGGGTGCCCGAGAGGGCCGGACCTCGGCTCGATCGGTAGCTATTATCTGAATGGGGCCTGTTTGAGTCCACTGCTGAACATAGGCCCAGAGACTTCCACGTAGGACGATCCTAAAACACCTGCATCCATTGACTTCCCGCACATTTGCACAGTTCGTCGCTCCATCCACTGGTTTGTCGTACACTTCGATACATAATTATACAATATAGCGGTAGCAGCAGTCATTTTCAATTCAGTAATCAAAGATTGTGCCGGTGGATATTACTCAAGATTGTGCGCAGGCTGCGTTGCGACACGAAAGCGCAAAATTCAATTTGAAAAAACCCTTACTATTGTATTGTTGGCAATAACGAACCGTTACAAGGTTGGCTTTTTCCGACGAAGCCGTTATTTGCTAGTTGGTTAAACAAAACAAATAGGCTACGTTGGAAACTATTTCACTATAAGTAATATATATATGTCTGAAAACGCTGTGTAGTTGTTTCTAGTTCTTTGAAGGTGAAGTTGACATCACAAGCACATAACATTTTATTGACAAAAACAAAACTGACTTCAATTGTCTCACTATTTCTCGTCTTTTTGCTGTATACGCCACACACAAGTAATTTTTTGTCTGTGATGTCTATATCACAGTTATTATTACTATTATTTTCCTTTTACTATTGTTTTTTTTATGTTTGCGGTTTAACTGTTAAGATGTTCCAACTGTTCAATTCTTCAGTAGCGTATTTGTGCAATAAATATTTCTTTCTTTCTTTTTTTCACTAGTTGTACATTTTTTATTTGATGTTCAAGTGTTCCCTGATGTGTCTGCGAAGTTCAACGTCCAATACCATTGAAATGAATATGATACCACGCGCGAGCTATTCTATATTCGAACTATAACCAAATTATAATGAATAAAATCGATTTATAAATAAGTACAAACAGTTAGTTATTAAATTACAAACATAAAAAAAGTAAAGTAACAGCCTTTACATGTCCCACTGCTGGGCAAAGGCCTCCTCTATACAGAGGGTATCAGGGCATAGTCCACCACGCGGCCCCACTGCGGATTGGCGGACTTCACATATCTTCGAAATATATTTTTTTGTTATTATTTCGAAAATAAGCAGGTTTCCTCACGATGTTTTCCTTCACCGCGGAGCACGTGATAAGTCAGCACTTAAAGTTAAAAACTTCATTGGTGCCGGCACCGGGGATCGAACTCAAGTTGCTCGAGTATATTGAATTAAAGGCGAGCGCAATTACAAACATAATAAAAAGTAATTCAACCGAGTTGAGAAGTGAGAACCTCTTCTTTTAATTCCGTTGAAACATCCGTTACTCGTGCAAAACAAACGCATCAATTACTTCTCAAACCCGAGGGTTCTGGCTAGCCCACCGGTTCTGCGTCAGATGAAGCTTTAATAGTCGGGAGTGATAGCAAAAACATCAGTTAATACAAGATCAATTACTTGATTTTCAAGAAATAGAAACGCATAGTTTGTTCTTCATTGCCAAATCGCGTTGAAGTCGAATCCCATGACAGTCACGACGTGTGGACGTATGTCTATGTTGTATTTGCCAAAGCGCGTCATTAACACTTAGCTATGTTTCACAGCGACCACAGCGCGTTACGAGTTCTTCGCTCAATGCGCGTTTTCGTTCTTTGAGCCTAACAAGTACACTGTATTTTCTTATTTATTTATTAGGTCTGCCAGTAGATGTTACATTAAAAACAACAATTATGAGAGAAGGTGGCAAACAATAGACGATTCATCATCGTCAACCGTAAGACGTCCACTGTTGAACATAGGCCTCCCCCGTAGAACGCCACGACTAACTACATTTTGCCACCGGTTGCACGCGACTCTCACGATGCCGTTGGTCCACCAAGAGGTAGGTCTTCCAACGCTACGTCTTCCGGTTCGTGGTCGTCAGTTGTTCGAATGACATGGCCTACCCTTTGCCACTTAAGGCACTTTATTTGCGAAGAATGTTCGCACAATGTTAATTGACTGCCACCGCTCATGGCCATGGTTGCGTGGCCAACGTTGAAAAAGGTGATCGGATCACCTCACTAGGCCAAAGGCAAAAGTAAAAATGCCACTACATTATGCTGGTCTCATATGCAGCCGGGGCACTCCGACACACGAGCCCCCTCATATGGGTGGCAGTAGAAGCTGCAGCGTGGTTAAGAATTAAAAAAAATCTCGTTCTGGTCTTAGACTCTTTAAAAAAACGCCCCGCTCCAGATATGAATGCATTATATCGTTTGTTTTACATACATAAATCGAACAAAATCAAAATTCGCAGCAACGTATACTAGTTGCTGCGAATTTTGATATAAGTAATTTAAAGTTTTTTTTATAGTGCTAATCTCTGCACTTAAGATTAATTAATAACTTGTAGAAATGGCGACATCTCTCGTTCGAAGTTATCGTTGTAAAAACGATATTCGAAATTGTTTGTATGCTGGAAAGGATATAGCAATAGATGCGCCAAGCATTGCTTCAAATGTAGATAAAAGACGTTATTTTCCTCGGAGTGGCAATCGGCCGTTTAGCTTAGTTTCTAGAAGCGTCAGGCCGCGAATGCCGAAGACGTGGGTTCGATTCCCACAGCGGCGGCAATCTTTTTGTACTTTTTCTACAAGTTTTAATACTATAAGTAGTTCAACCTTGCATGTGCTGGTAGCACGGGATAGTTCATCGTGGCCGTCTTTGGTGGAGGCCTTTGTTCAGCAGTGAACTCTAACAGGCAGAAATGATGACAAACCAAGCTGTTAGTACTTTGTAACTGTCCCAAGAGAATATTAATATGGTCATTATTACTCTTTGCAATGTTTGCATGTAGCCAATAATTAGCAACGCTACGTCAGCGAATGATACAATGTAAGTCATTTCAAACATTGCGACACGTGTATTTCAATAAACAGGCGTACAGTTTCACGTTAGGCTGTGACCGATTGGTTGGTCGTTTAGCGATAGAAACGCTTTGATGGGTTAATAAGAAAAATACTTAAGTTTTGATTGCAAAGCGCAAAATTTTGCACGGATCGCATTTTATGTATTTAAATTAATCGTAAGAGTCGCGTCACCACGAACGTTTTATCACCAGGAAGCGATACGGTGAAAACATAGTGTAGCCATATCAGCGCCAATTGTTTATATAGGTGTAATTGTTTCAACATCCCGTAACATTTGACTCTGGGAACGATTGTATCCCCACCTAAAACCGTATTGAAAATAGAATAAGTTAGTTGTAAGCTACCAATTGTACTGTAATGTTTATATAAAAATATTAAGTTTTTTAAACCTTCTGCGACCTCTCACATAACAGCGTTTTCCAACGTTAGGCATAATAGATACACATGTTAGAAGAACTTGTTCAGATAAAAAATGACAGTAAACTTAGCTTCCATGTCAACCAATACCATTCATTCATTAGAAAAAAAGATGACAATAAAAACATAAAATAAACGAAATGTTTTACTTCATTGTAGCAATCCCACTTACAGCGAATCATCCTTATAACTTTCATCGTCACTCCATTCCAAACGATAACGATATGGTCCGTATCGCTAAGAATCCTTTCCTTATCTAATTATGTAATTATGAACTTGCGTACCCCCAATGAGCATTGAGGGCATATAACAAGGGAAGATGTGATATGCAAATACATCGACTGGCTCTACGAACCCAAGACTGCATTGCACAACTTATTCAACATAGAAAACAGTATAACTGCACTTATGCAAAATATAAAACAGCATTATAAGACAAATCCACGAAAATTATTGGCTAGCTATTTTGAAAAACCGGGAATTATTAAAACAATTTGTGGAAACGATGTTCAGTATCAAAGATCAATTGGAATATCAATTATAACCGTTACAAATAAATGTAAAGTTTCAATTTTAGAAAAAACACTATATAATTATGTATTCTGTGTGTTTATCAATGTTCAACTCGCATTCCTAAAACCTCCCCAGTTATTGTTGTTACACAGTATATTGTTGACCACAGTAGAAATAATATTCAAATAGTATAGTAATAGTTAATATAAGTAATAGTATCCAAAATCATTTCTTGTATTTACGCGATTACACACTACTAAATGAAACTGTTTAAAGATTTATCGTGTTTATTTTTCGTTTTCTTTTCCGACGTTTCGAATCCTTTACCATGATCGCTGACATAAATTCATAAACACAGTAGTAGTAGTAGTAATTTAGTACTAAAAATTCCATGGTGTTAATTTTTTTTTCTCTTTGCTACAAGTTTACACGCCTTTGTGTGCAACAAAAGTAATGAAAAGTAAATACAATGTTCTGCAATTACTGCTAGAACCTGATAATATTGTCGCCTATTCGTATGTTAAATCTATATATTTATTCAGGTGAAAAGTTGGCGAGCGACCAGGCGGTTCACGTAACGTTAAGTATAACTCTTCCACATCCTCTGACCCATTCGTGCAAACAGCAAGAGCTGCTGTGTAGCCCTAGCACAGTTGGATAGAAAAATCTATCGACAAGGCCAAACGTTTTAATTTATGCACGAAAATATTTTTATTATACATTTATTATACAAAATATAATATAATTGTTAAGTTTATTTAGATCTTACTATGTAAGTTTATCATTTGCACCACCTACCGTTGTCCAAAATATAATACTTGGAGCCACAAGGTTGTCTGGAAGAGATCTTTTACGGTGATAGGGCCACACAGCAGCCTCGGCAGTTGCACGAATTGGCAGGCGAAGTATGACAAATACTTCCGCGTTTCGTCTGGTGAGTGAGGTAGCCGGAGCCCAATTTTCAAAAGGTTGCCAACGCATCTGTAACCCTCGGGTGTACCGATGTCCATGGCGGCGGTATTAACTTACCATCAGGTGAACCGTCTGCTCGTTTGCAACTTTTCACATAAAAAAAATCTCTTTTTAGAGATAAGATCGCCTTATTGTTTCTACCTTATAATTTATTTTTGTAACATTCCTTTTATATTCTTATGGTGTTCAAATAAGCAGATAATATGTATAAATGCCGTCATCCGGTGTTTATAAGTGATTCATGTGCATCTCCCACTGCTCTCTTCTTTATGTCTCAATAGCAAAAATTCTTTTCGCAATGGTTGTATGAAAGAAATCGTTTTCCGAGCGATAAGACCACCTATTGTACTTCCTTTTACATTTATTTGTAATTTGCTTTTTATATATGTATTTTTTGGTGTACAAGAAAGTATAAATAAATAAATAAATGATAATATTTTTATCGTAGGGCGGAAACAATGCTGGTCACACAGTCGTGGTAGACGGGAAGGAGTTCGATTTCCACTTGCTGCCAAGCGGTATCATCAATCAGAAATGCACCTCTGTAATCGGTAAGTAAATCTTTGATGTTGCCGACATTTGATCTGATCAAAACTCGCAAGCGACAGAGTAATATGAATTTTATGTGAAATAACTTTCGTAACAATTATTTTAGCTTAGCAAAAACTTGACAGGTTCTATTTTATTCTTAGAATGATGAGTGAAATACACTAAACAAGCATCAAGATCTAAGATTTTTGGGATATTAGCATTAAAACTAATTAAACCGTAATTAAATGCATTTAATATCTTTTTCACTAACAAAGAGTAGTGGCACAGGGGATAATATTTTTAGTTATTTTTCTTTTGTGCATACATAAGTATTAAGTACACATATGGTCCGAATCTTAAAAGGTAAAAAAGGAACTCTTATAAGATATAATATGTATATTATCACTCTCTTATCCGTTTGTCAGCACCGATTTTCTCAGGAACGGGTGGACCGAGCAAATCGAAGTTATACCAGATACTGAGGTCTATAGTCCCTATTAGGTGTATAAATATCAAGGTACTTAGTCAACACGATAAAAAGATATGGGCAAATTTAGATTTTCGCGAAAACTTGTAAATACAAAAATTTACGTAAATTTTCAACTTCCACCCTTGTATCTTATATTAACTGATGTTTGTGCTTTCAGTCCCGAGACTATTAAAGCTTCATCTGACGCAGAACCACGTGAGACGAAGCTTTAACCGAGGGCGAACTAGTGAGTTTGTTTCTACACTAACTGTGTGCGTAGTGTTATCCGGCGGGAAACTTCTACCCTATAGGTTTTAGGTCGAAGAGCTGTATAGTTGGTTGGTAGTTCCCGTTGACCTAGAGTCACGATTTATGGCAAAAAGCAAGGTCTTATAGTATAGCACAAATGAAGGTAAAAAGTCAAATTAAGGTAAATTTTGACACTTTGTGGTCATCATGGATTTAGGGGCACCTGGGTATTAAATCCATGATGACCTCAAAGTGTCCCTGACCTATGTCCGTCCGAGCAATTCACGTATTGCATGTGTATGCGTGCGTATAGCATCTGTCAGTATCTGCCCACGCCCGGCGTTAACCGGCGTATGGCTGAAACGTTTGAAATGTCAGCGTCAGCAAATGGAGTGCTCCATACGAGCCGCCCCCTTAACGATGAAGGGCCAAACATCAGTGACGTCATCCTGACGTCGGACTACACTACACAGAACTTTGTGATGTAGCTTACATATGTCGCTAATGATAGTAGGTATACACAGAGATATGACATTAGCGCGCCCAAATTGAGAAACTCAAATTACACCAATTGGTGTAATTGCAATTCTATAGACTCTTTTCCATATCGTACGTTCTATTTCATCTGTCACATTCACCTTATATAATATGTCATATTATAATGTAAAGCGGAACAATTTTTGAACGACGCGCAGTACGGACACGTATCATCTATATTATTAAACATCATTGCAGATCGCGATTGCTTTGAGCGTTCGTTCAGTGATAAAGTTATCACACTGCTTGTCATTTGGCTCTAGTGTATGGTGACACCGCAAGCATTGCATGCACTTCCGCGTCGTAGCTCCCTCTTATGCCGAAAGGCGCCGTTACCACAGCGCATGTTTAACCCACAGCCTAATACGTGGGTAACACTCACACGTGGAAGTTCTTTGAAAATCATAAAACGGCTCAATATAAAAACTTGCCATAATACCATTATTGATGTCTCTTTAAAAAATAAGAAGTATTTTCCGTTCCTCTCTATCCATCGTCGCATTCGATAGAAAATCAGTTGGTTCTTCTTCCTAAGGGGTCTCTTCTACGGCATTTTGGAACGCACACACCGCATCTTCAGGGCAAGTAAAGCGAACGCCTTGAAAAACATCTTTGATTCTTGGGAATGAATGGAAGTCGCTACCTGGCGGATGACTCATTATCTTGACACCTGTCATAGTCTAATATTCAATTTCTATTTTCATTTATTTAATTATATATTTATATATATATAATCCCATCATTATTTACGTCGGCGCTATTATTTACGATCTAAATTTGTTAACTGCGGTATAACATTCGCTCATTTTTTGCTAAAATATCTGAGAGCTTATATTATCGTAATAAGGCATTTCATTGGTTAACCTGGAAGTTATTAGGTCAGCGTTAGAATGAGGTGTACAAAATTGGCTAAAGCTCAAGTAAATATCGACTTAAATGCATCTTTTCTTTTATCCGTGTTGCTAGAGAATGTTGTGTACCGTTACTAGAGAGGTTAGAAACTTATGCTGGGAAATTGTCATAGTCACCATAATTTTATCCTATTAATAAAACTGACTGCAGTGTCAGCTACGGTACTTAACAAATGTCAAAAAAACTGCACTCTAACCCTCGGTAGATGACCACACTCTGATATCCAGTAACTATGATAACCTGTTTTAAGTTATGATTCAGTTAACTCGGATCGGAATCGAACCTTGCACCAAAGGCTGAATAGCCTACATCTAGAGGCGTATTAGTGCTTAAAATAATAATACTTAGTCATTGTTAGTTAGTTCCCGTGATCGTGTGGTTATATGACAGGTAGAATTATTATTTATTGTCTAATAACGAAGAATTTAACAAATTTATCATGGCGTTGACTGTCTTCTGAAGATATTTACGGCGGCGACAGACGGTTGCAGTGCGATAATTTTTACACAGAAACACGTAAATTATACAATGCCGTAAATATTTACGTAAAAGCGTCTAAGCTCAGGTAATCGACAGCGAATCCCAGCTCGACCGATAACGCCTCACCCTTGAATCGGTGCCAAATATTGCATCAGTCGTTACGTAAAACAGGCAAAGACGTACAGTGTGTCCAGCCTCAATGAAATTTACAACCCGAGCGAGGAATTATAAGAATATGCCCGATATAAATAAACGGGACCTAGGCATTGACGGAGGGCGTGTTGCCCGTGACGTGGCGTTGTTAAAAAAGTAAACGATGGCTGCGGTGCCAAAAACTATTTTCATGCTGGACTTTCGTACAACGCCGCTCTGCAAATTCACAATTACTGACGAAAGAAAAATTAATTCCACCAGGCTGCAATCCACGTGATTAATTTCGCAACTAGATTTTTCTATTTCTTCTTCCCTTACTCTTATCCCGCCAAGATGTGGTCAGCACATGTTAATCGTGTAAGTGATTGGTAGGTTCTTTAACAACCGGCCGCCTGCCTGACTTCAAGGAGACTTGAAGTCAGGCGGGTTTGTTGCCCACAAACAGTCTGATCCGGAACAAAAATGCTTGCTCCGTGCGAAAATCGAACCAGTGACGCCTGGCGCCGAAGCCAATACCTTAGAAACTACACCATGTCATGACTTCTCTTTGTGTTTCGCTATAGGCAAAGCTAGTATTACTTATCACGTACATACCTGCATATTTTCGAAATAATAAGAAAAAAAAAATATTTCGAAAATATGTGAAGTCCGCCAACCCGCGTATAAGTACTCTGTAGTGAATTTCCATTTCGCCTCGAGTTCCGCATGTTCAGTTTTTTTAGAGTTTTGTTCGGATCCAAATACTTGCGAAGGCCCCTCCGGCGTGCGTGCAGTACCGAGCCTTATTGGAACGACGATAATATTTATACTGGAATAATGAAGATGAATTTGTACCAGCGTTTTGATTACGACCGCTTTCATTGCTGGCAAATCTTCGGATCGCATGCACCGAACTTCGTCCATTAAAAAAAAAACAATTCCGCGACTCGCGAAAACGACAGGCGGAGGAATGGCGCTGTGACCGGGCACGACTAGGTACGACTGCTAATGGTGGTTTGGAAATTAATGAGTATTTCGTGGCCCGACAAACGGATTTACGACTCGTAATGCTGGTACATAGCATATTCTTTAGCTATGCACAAGTCTCTATTCCATGCTGCGCTGTTAAATAACGGTTAAGTCGGGACGTTTCCGATATCGCGTTGTTTTCGTTTGCGTTTTTATTGCCTCGCATAGTGTAAACAATATATACGTTACATAAACTCCATTTACTCTTCGTTGCTTTCGTACTGCCGATTTCCAGTTAGGACCCGTGAATGCCAGTTGTCCACTGGGACGAAATAATCAACATGAATGATAAATGTACAGCGTAATTTGTTTGAGTTCACTTTTAAATGTACTGTATATTTGATTGAGTCATTTGTTTATAATTTCTTAGTAGCAGTCGGTTTTAATTAGACTCTGTAACATTTCAAATAATATAAAAAACCGGCCAAGTGCGAGTCGGACTCTACAACGGACAAATTATCTATGAAAATGGCAAAAGAATCATGTCTGGGGGCCCAATTAAATATTTTTTTATTCCGGTTTTTAGTATAATTTTTATTGTTGTTATAGCGGCAACAGAAATACGTCATCAATGAAATAAATTCAATTGTCTTAACTATCACGGTCCATAAGATATAACCTGGTGATTGACAGACATACAAACAACGGAGTCTTAGTAATAGGTTCCTGTTTTACCCTTTGCGTACGGAACCCTAAAAAGAAAAACGTCACCTACTAGAAACTACTCAACAGAATGATGTACTGTGTGTGTTTTTGAAAAATGCCTTCTACCATTGAAATGGAAACAAAAGTTGTTTACCATCAATCGTACTTAATGCTTGTGTATTGGTTGGGGGCCAACATGCTCTCCCACTTGAACTGTATGCAGACTAAAGGCCCATTTACACGATGCCATTTTCTTGAACATACAAGAGCAATAATTGAATGCAATAAATTGCGCGCAATAATTGTTTAGACCATTTCTTGTTTAGACCATGCAACTCATTTATTGCTTCAATTTAATTGTATATAACAGGCAAGAAACTTGCACCGTGTAAATGGGCCTTTACGATGAGGTTGCATTATTGCGAAAAGGCTGAAGTGTGAATTTAGTGTCTCTGACTTGATAGTTTGTATGTTATTATATTATTTTTATGCATCTATCTAAAGGTGAGTATAGACTACAACATTTTCTGGAACATTTCTGTGTAATGTAACATTCTTACGAATGGTACAATACACGCAAAAGCTCAGTTTGCAAAGCATTTCCATGTAATGTAACGTTACTGCGAATGCTCGGCGTTATGTTACGGGTAAACTCTCACAGCGAGTGTGCATTTACCAACATTTCTTTGTGAAATGTCGGACCTACAAGTTGCGTGTGCTGCGTTTATCTTGATGAATTATATTAGAAGAAAAAAGAAAAATAGAAATCGCATCCGCGCATCGCCTCGTGGCACTCGTGGCTCGACGAAATGTTACACCAATATGCAATATGGTTTGTAACAAAGAGGCGAGCGTGCTCGACGTTTAGTTCGTGAAAGGATGATACACTAGAACATATCATAGAGCGACTCGTTGTTCTGTTACAAGTAAATGTTGTAGTCTATACTCACCTTTATACAAACTGTGGCATTGCCACGCAACAGTCTTCGTTGTTGCACGAATGGGCAGGTCCGTTCGGGTAAGTACCACGACCTCAGAGACGACCGGCGTGAAGTGGAAGTGTTATACTTCTGCGTTTCGTCTAGTGAGTGATATAGTCGGGGCCCACTTTGAATTAAAAGATGGCAACACATCTGTGGGCGGTGGCTATCACTTAACATCAGGTGAACCGTTATCTCGTTTGCCCTGTCTCACATACAAAAATAAGCTGGAAACTTTTCACGATCGGCTATTCAGTGGTCATCGTTTGCAGGTAACGGCGTGGTCATCCACCTGCCTGGGCTGTTTGAAGAGCTGAAGAAGAACGAGATGAAGGGCATGCAGGGTTGGCAGCAGAGGCTGATAATTTCGGACAGGGCTCACATCGTGTTCGATCTGCATCAACAGGTACTTTATGCTAGTGTATCCGGCTAGAAGGACCAAAAAAATTTCAAGAGCTATAATAATCTATATATCGAGCGCTTGAGAAGCACATAATTATTAAGTTAAAAAACAAGTATAATTACACAAAATTAAAAAAAATGCGTCGTACTATTTCTTTTTATGTAACGTTTCATTGAATACAATTGCACTGTACTATTTTTACCGCCGTTGACAGCGTCGAGTAGTCTTCGACAAATTGTATCATTATTATTAGCATTACTCACATGAACGATTGTTTTGTGAAGGTCGTATGAATAGTTCACTCTGTATAAAAAAATCTTCCGTCCTCTCCACGGCGATACTTTACTGATTACAATTAGTGACGTCATCACTTCACATACTGCGGTGAATCACGCTATATCGAGTCTGAACCAGCTAGGCGATTATGCCAAGTATGATACCTCTGTTATCACATTCTCTCAACTTAAATATGTTCGAAAAATCAACCCACTTTAACAAACTATTTCAAAAAGGAGGTTTTTCTCAACTAGGTATATTTGTACTCAGAAATCTGTCATAAATTGGTTTGGAAAATGCTTTATTTGTTGGAAAGATATCTTTAAGGGGTTCCTCGTTTTAATTTCGTTGCCATTGATCCTTTGATTTCGAAGATACTAATACAGGGATCAAAATCGAACAGAAGATTTATAATGAATTAGATATATGTAGTCGGTTCTTTTTTGTCAATTAAAATGTTCATTTCATCAGACAACAATACGTTTCAGTATGCTGTTGTTAATGTAAGATTTTGTTTATGTTTAAATTGAGCATCAAATTTTGTGGTGGTGAGCTGTCGAGTAAGATATACCTGAATAGGCTATAATAGTCTGGATCCAGGTCCAGCCGACAGATTTTACACGTTACCCAACTTTGATGCAACAATACGATTAAGTTGATAACTAAACAATAATGTTAATAATATACAAATACGAGGTAAATTTGACATTAGCGCACCGAAAGTGATGTGCTTGAAAGTTAAGTGAAAGTGATGAAGTGATTGCAATTCTATAGACTTCTTTCTCTTTCCGTATCGTACGTTCTATATCGTCTGTCACTTTCATTTATATATTATGTCATATAATGTAAAGGGTAACAATTTTTAAACGCCGCGCAGTATGGATATCCGTATATTAAAACACAATCGGCTAAACATTTATCAGGTATGTTATTCTTGCTAATGACTAGAGACAATACTGGTCATATATGCGGAACAAGTTGATTTACTTTATACTATTGTAAATTATTATTTTGCTACGTCTATACATATATAGATAAGACATATCTATGCTATTGATCGGTTGCGACCACTTATATAGGTAGCAGCATCCACTACCGGGAGTCCATTTTTACTGGTTGATATTTGCTTGTTACTATTTAGTACAATTTGTGTTTTTTAAAACATTTAAAAACATTGTATACCAAAATTTAAATACATAGATCACTCCTGCGATAAACTACAAGTGTCCGTTGACACAACGCAATCAAGCACAATGTAAGTGGCCTATACACAATGCTCCATTATATTCGCAATCCGCAACACTTAAATAACACTAACAAACTTGCTCGGTTTCTACGAAATATGCTCGCCTATCGCGAATCTATTTACATTACCAAACGAACCGTTGTGATAATAAGCATGACGTCATGCATTAAAGCTATTAATTCCATCTTGGTGCTGTGGCAGAATTAAACAGGAAGTTTGCCCGATGAAGTTACGCAATAAATATGCTCCTACATAACTAAGCGAGAGAGACAGACTGAGATTAGGTGTTCCTTTTCGCACGTACCGTACAAACTTCTTGTACGTCATTCGTTCTTATATAAATCCCCTCTAGAGACTGTAGATGTCTACGGAGTACTTTCTGGGTTCTAGGTACTTGATAACGGCAACACTTATAACGCGGCTTTTTTGTTTGAAAGTGACAAGGGGCTCCAATGGACATTAGCGACAGCCGTATGGTTGAAGATGCGTTGCCACCTTTAAATAAAGTGGGCTAAGGTTACCTCACTAAATGATACACTGAAGTTTAACACTTCCACTTCATGCCGGTCTTCTGTTAGCTCGTGGTACTTCCCCGGACGGACCCGCCTGTTCGTGCAACGGCGAAGACTCTACCGCAGTCAAGGCGGCCGTGGTTTTGGTATCGCTACGAATAATCCCCCACGTTCTCCAGGCCGACGGTCTTCAGGAGGCCGAGAAGGGGAAGAACTCCCTGGGGACGACGAAGAAGGGAATCGGCCCCACTTACTCGTCGAAGGCGACCCGCAACGGCATCAGGATCGGCGATCTCCTCGGCGACTTCACCATTTTCGAGGAGAAGTGAGTTGATAACTTGGTAACGGACAATTTCTCTCCCCCACACTGGGTGCTAACTTTGTATAAAAGTTTTCAATCGTCGTGAAATCGTACACGTAGAGTATGAAATCGAATTCGAAACAGCAGTTTGTGAATTGCACAAACTTTGGGCCTTCTCGCAATCGAATAACAACGGTTGGCGAGAGACCGCATAGAGGTGTGAGCCATGTTCTCAGTGCTATTTTCTACGTGTGACATGCATGCGGTTCACCTGATGTTTAGTGCTTGCCGCCATCCATGGACTTTTGCGTTGCCAACTAATAAAAAACCATACACCGGTTAACCCACTCACCAGACGAAACTAGAAAATATAATACTTCCACTACACGCCCGTCTGTGAGGGCTTGGTACTTCCCCGGACGAGAATGAACCGTTTTCCCGTCTCATATCATTACTCCACAGTACAGAAAAAATGCTTGCTTGCTTCTTATCCCATCCATCAATTGTTGTACGTGAAATAACAAACAAACAAACTCTAAAGACACCTTGAAATTACTTAAAAGTTCGCCCAATAGTAACTCGTCATCGATTCGAACTATATAAAAGCTATATTGACTACTAGCTGCTGCCCGCGACTACGTCTGCGTAGGCGTGACATTCAGACAGAAAGACAAAAATATGTATATAAATTATAGCCTATGTGTTATTCTGATGTATAAGTTATGTTATTGTAAAGTTTCATTAGAATCAATTCAGTAGTATGAAAGAATAGCAAATATCCATCCATACATACAAACTTTCGCGTTTATAATATTAGTAAGGATAATATGTAAGTAAGGATTTATTCGCCGTCAGGTTTCGCACGCTCGCCGCTGGCTACAAGCGCATGTTCCCCGCCCTGGAGGTGGATATCGAGAGCGAGCTAGCCCGCTACAAGGACTACGCCGCGAAGATCCGCCCGCTCGTCCGCGACACCGTCTCCTATTTGCACGAAGCGATAAAGGACGGCAGGCGGGTGCTGGTCGAGGGGGCCAACGCCGCGATGCTCGACATCGACTTCGGTATGTGCTGAAACGGCGCGTCCGCGCGCCATCTAGGGGCGTGCGTGTGGAAAATGTTGAGAGCCCCTGCTCGCTGAACTATGTCCGTTTTTTAGGAAATGTTGTAAACCCCTGATTGTTATCGAATGTGTTTCGAAAAATATGTGTATGAAAAGGTTGCGAATCTCTGGCTGTTGAAAAATTTACGTTTTATTTAATTGCAATGTTTTACCCTCAATGTGTAAATATTTCAGGTACATGTTTTATGAATCATAGAGTTGTTAAAAATATATATTTATTTAAAGATAAAGCAACAGCCTATACATGTTTCACTGCAGGGCAAATGCCTGCTCTGTACAGAGGGTATCAGGGCCCCATCATGTGGCTCCACTGTGGATTGGCTGACTTCACATGTTATAGAAATATACTTCGAAATATTAATTTTTATTAAAATATGCCCTGTTTCCTCAGGATGTTTTCCTTCACCGCTGAGCACGCTATAAGTCATCGCTTAATTAACAATTTCATTGCTGCCGGCACCGGGCATCGAACTCGGGCCTCTAGAGTATATTGAATTAAATGCGAACGCCCGGCCACAGCTCTTTCGGCTATGTATTTGACATAAATTCAAGTTAACTTTAAGATGTATTAACCAATTTAGTTGTTAATATACTAAAAGTGAAGACTGTAATACCTTATAATAAAGGTTATACACTGAATACTTGGATGTCTGTAAAAGACCTCGCGCTCCTTTTACGGAAATGACTTGACCGAGTTTATATTTCCGTTATACGTGTACATATAAGGAAATATCTCAAATGTATCCAGCGGATAGATACATATTTATAGCGTTTCGAAGTTTCGCGCTGTGATGTATGTATACGAAGTATAGCAGAAACAGAATCTGAACGCGTGCGCTTGCCTATCGTTGTAGGGGACGCGGATATAACGCATTGCTTCCGTCGCAGGCACGTACCCGTACGTGACGTCGTCCAACTGCAGCATCGGGGGCGTCTGCACGGGGCTGGGGCTGCCGCCCAAGGTCATCGGCGAGGTCATGGGCGTCGTCAAGGCGTACACGACGCGCGTCGGCGACGGGCCCTTCCCCACGGAGCTGCACGACGTGAGTCTCGCCCCCTAGAGGGCGGAAGGGGGCGGATGCCACCCGGTTGGGGCTGGAGGGAGTTGCGCCACTCTATAATGGGAAGGTGGCTAGGTCCACCTGGTTAGGGAGCTGACGAGAGATGCGCCCCTGGTTAAAGGGAAGTTGGCTTGGTCCACATGGCCTGGGGACCAGTAGTGAGTCGGACCTGATAAGGAATAGGTGGCAAGGTTCACCTTGTTAGGAAGCTGAAGAGAGTTGAGGCTGTAAATATAGGGAAGGCAAGGTCGACATGGTTGGACCTGAGTTGGGACTAATAAAGAAAAGGTAACAAGTTACACCTTCTTAGGAAGCTGAAGAGAGTGGGGCTCGTGGTAAGGTCCGCATCGTTAGGGACCGGTAGTGCGTCGAACCCCTAATGAAGTTAAAGGGACAAATGTTCACTCGACCTGAAGTGAGTCGTGTCCCCCAATAAAGGAAAGATGGTTAGATTTACCTTGTTAGGAAGTAGAAGAGAGTCGAGCATGAAGAAAGGGAAGGGGGCAAAGGTTCACCGCAATGAGAGAATTGCCAGAGGATACTATGCGTCCCAGTAATACCGTTTATAGATGCTTTTTAAAGATTTTCACGAACCACATTTAACAGGTGTTAACATTATTAAAACCCAGTTGATTTTGATAGGTATTCAAAGATAAGATGAGCAATACTAAAAGAGGGCTAAGGATATGTATTGCGCAAACTTCTGGATGAGCAGCTTCACATACGCTGTCAATAACATAGTATAAATGTTGTTATCTCTTCCGCAGGAGACGGGGCGACTTTTGCAGGAGAGGGGGCACGAAGTGGGTGTGACAACGAAACGCGTCCGCCGCTGCGGCTGGCTCGATCTCGTCGTGGTGAGCTACACCGCCATGGTCAATGGATACACGTCGTGAGTTCTCTCTCTCTCTCTCTTTCTCTCTATTTCCTCTCCCTCTCACAGTCTCTGTGTCATTCTTATCGAGAACTGAGTAAGTGAATGTCATATAGTGAGCAGCAATCTAGCTGTATTTTGTAGGTTTATAGATAGATTTTTGAAAACACATACACTCTTGCCTATATGACACAACATCATGTTAGATTAGGTAAATTGTTAGGATCTTTCCTTCAGTCATACTAAGAGATGTCAAGCGTCATCACTAATCTACCGCAGCCCACTGTTGAACATAATAGATTTTACGGTAGGTAATATTTAGGAAACAAATGAGTCATAACTTTTGGGTTTTATTAGTCTGTAATGTTGAATACATAAAAGAACAAAGGTATAAACTATTTGCATAAGTATGAGGTAATCAATTAGTGTTTTCCCCTAAATTAGCAGCTAGTGATTTCTGGATCAGATTAACTAAAAATAATAAATAGACCAAAAGGACATTTGATATAAAATAGTTCATTGGGTCATCACTTGCAATCACTTACTTGCCGGTTGTTGCTTTTAGTGTGTGCCTCACCAAGCTGGACATATTGGACACTCTAAAGGAGATCAAAGTTGGCGTCGCATACAAGTTGAATGGCAAGGTCATCAACTACTTCCCATCGTCGATGCCAGAACTAAGCAGCGTTGAGGTGAGTGAAGCTTACATCTATATATAGTTTTGGATTGACTGTTCTATATAGGGTCTGTCCACAATTGTATAGAAGTGAAATTGATAGTATTTATGCAATGACTTTCTAAACACATTGACAAATCAAAAGTTTCTCTGTGGTAAGGCCAGGCAGCAGTTTTTAGTGTTGCAAGAGTTGGCAGACTCATCTGGGGAAGTAGCACTTCCTTGCAAAAGATTGGAGTGAAGTGAAAGTATTTTAATTTCGCGTTTCGTCTAGTGAGTGAGGTGACCGGGTCCACTTTTTCAATGCAGGTGCAACATCTCAGGTATTACGGATGTAATCACTTGCATCAGATGAACTATCTGCTTGTTTGCCAACTTATTACATAAAAAAAGCTGTGACAATACTTTTCAAATCTGTATATAATTTTTGTGTTATACATTTTATATTGCTGCAGTTAATAATCTCTGTTATTGTAGACAAGAAAAAAATAAATAAATGTGTAAACAGTTAGATTTTAACTAAATTTCTGTATACCTAATTATTTCTTTCAACCCTGATCTTGTGATAATGTATATAAATAAACTGAAACTGGTTCCTGTTAAATTAAGAGTCTTTTAAATATGTTCTTTCAGGTGGAATACATGACTCTACCAGGCTGGGATTGCAGTATAGAAGATATCCGGCAAATGGACAACTTGCCAGTGCAGGCAAGGAACTATGTCAAAGCCATTGAGGACTTCCTAAAAATTCCCGGTAAACTATACCCTACTAATATGGCATTATGATAGATCTTTGTACCGTAACACACTAAAACATAAACTAGATAGGAATTTTAATACCACTTGATTAAGAAAAGGCAAAAGTAAATTTTTTTTTTTAAACATTTCCGTTATGTAGGATAACATTATCCTGTACTGAGTGTAAAAGCATTTTACAAACATTAATTTCGAATGGACAAGCACCTAGATCTCAATCATTGGGACTGATCGGAACTGCTTGCTAACTATATAATATTTGTGTGATATGAATTTATCCCTTGTTTTCCCATGTGCTTGATGATAAAGGAAACAAGAAAATCACCACATATCCGAAATAATTTTTTCAGTAGTGTTGTACAAAGACGTATTTATTTAGTTCAGAGTTTAGGGTCGGTACTATTTCAACTTAAGAATTAAATAATATTTTATTGTTCCTGTTCTTGTTTCAGTGAAGTTCATAGGGGTGGGCCAAGGTAGAGAGTCCATCATCAGCGCCGATTAACGACTATTGAGGTGCTGTAACCTCACTTACATTACTTAAGCGCTTTGTGCTGAATTAGAGAATTGTATCACATAACCTTAAGGCCACTGGAACTGACAATCCGATATCAAGGTGCTAGCAAACTAGCACCAAAAGCTTCCAATATGTGATCACCGTCACAATAAAGTTGCATAGTTGCAGTTGTAGAAATTGTGTTGTTGTGAAAATGCGGTAGTGTGGTAGTATGGTAGCACCTTGTGGCAGCAAATCTAGACGTTTGAACATTTATATAGCAAAATTGATTTTGTATGATTCAATTTTGGTCAGTTTAGTTATATTTTAAAAATACAAAAGTAATTAACATTGTGCGATTTTGTCATATAAATTACTTAAGCATTATTTCATAAAACATAAATTTGTATCATTGATACATTAAAGTTGCCTTAACAAAAGATGGTATTTTGGGACACATCTTATTATAAATTAATAGATAGAATGATTTCTTACAATATAAAATCAATCTTTTAGAATAGTAGAGTAGAGGAAAACATATGCAAAAATAAGTAACTGGGTTGATTTCATGATTTTCTACATATTATAAGCAATTGATAGAATTCAGTTTACAATAAGACTAATAAGTTATTCTTTTTAAATTATCGACTTTGATTTCATTAAATATTATAGAATTAATTATTATATGCAACTGTACAAGATGCAACTTTCGCTATTGTAATTCAGGATGATTCAATTTAAATGCTAATTTCCATAATTACTAAGGAAATCAAAGATCCAAAGCGTTTTACATAATGACAATTTGGCCAATTTTTGATACTCTAAAACTGAAAACAAAATAATGTATACCAGCAACAATTTGTCTTGTACAAAAATGGGCCTGGGTTGTATAAATAATTTTTTATCAATTAAATTTAATTTTTTATCAAAAATAATAGAGTGGCAATTGTAACTCAAATTTTAAGTGAGTCAAAACAACACATTATACATTGTTGTCTGTGAGTCGGCTACCATCGTGGATTATTCTTGTGATACGGCGTTTTGTAAACTGAAGTTTTTTTTCCTTCAATTATACATGCAACACATTATAATTTTTTAATGTTATAAAACATATTTTACTCGAACACATTGTTAACAGTATTTTTTATTCAACATCTAGTATTATAACAGACTTAAGGATTCTAATACAACTGCCACTGAAACAGTGATGAGCCTACTACTTGTCACATTCGTACAAAACGCATTCATTGTCTAAACTGCAATGAGTTTGCGAGCTAGCATAAAAGCGAAGTTTTTAATTTATTGAACTTAACCATATCAATTTTATGTATTTCATAGACAAATATTCAAAAATATGTATAAACAAATATTAGGATATTTATGGAAAAATCAATATTGAAAGAAAATTAGGGTGTTTAAATTATAAATTTTACTTCCGTATTTTACTTTAAATATTCAAATATAAAATAGTAATGGGTACAAATTGAAATTTTGTCAGTCGTCATTAATGTTTTCCTTTAATTATTGTTAAAGGCCTAACAAATGATTAGTAAACACATAAAAATTTCTTTAAGTGGTTTTAAAAATCAAATATATGATAAGGTCTACTTAATTACTAACACGCTGCAGCAATAACATATGACCTCATTAAACTAGTTAGCGTATTTTGAACTTTGACGACCGCACTAAGCCACGCGAAACTAAAAAAATTTGGTTCCTAAATATTGGAAGAAGGTATTTGTAGAATTAATATTAAAATTGTGTTTCATTTTAATTACACATTCAATTCGTGTATAAATTAAAAAGAGGCACAAAATTTTAAGAGTTTTTAGATTGATTGTGTGAACTTTCAAAACTCCAGTGACAAAGTTCAGAAATGAATATTTGAACGAATATTCCGTGTTGTCAATAAAAAACAACATGAATTACATAAGTAATAAGATAGTTCAATGGCTACTTTCCTAAAAAAATTTAATCTAATTGACTTAGTATAAATAATATTGTTTTAAAAAAAAGTTTGATTCTAAATAAAAACTACTGGCTTGATGTGTTGAGGTTATATTAAAATGATTAATCACCTCTGTGTCTATATACATGAATACGCTTCCTATAATATAGTGATATTGCATTGAGAGCATATTTTTAAATGGAATTACAATGCACTCAACTTATACAGGAAAAAATTATAAATTAAAAACACATTCTGTGCGCGCGTTTCATTCCAATGAACATTTTGAACGGTTTTATATGTACTTACATTAAAAGAGATCATTGTTTCGCTTTTAAAAACATTTTGACGGTGTGTTTTATGTGATATCTATACTATTTTTATTGTAAATATTTTCATTACAGTTACTATTATGCCAATAAAATAATGGTTTATTCTTTTATGGTATTGTTTTATTGAATATCCACTTTTACCTATTAAACATGCAATCTAAATATTTAATTCAATACTCTTACTACTACTCCGCGGCGCAGTTGCCGAGGTCCAATACTTTAGGTGTCGGGAGTCGTGGGTTCGATTCCCACACGGGACAACTATTTGTGTTACCCACAGATAGTTTTTTCGCATATGAGTGTTTGTCCGCGTTAAATTTATGTTTATAAAACGTCCTTACATCACAGGATAATGTTATCCTAAAGTAAGGGCATTGTTTAAAACGCTCTTGGTATTTGAAGTTATATCCATAGAGTTGCTAGATATAATAGAAAGATATAAAAAATTAAAATATAGATATAGATGTTGAAGGTAAATATTGCACATCCAAATAACTTGTTTTTCTGTATTTATGGAATTTATGGTATTTCTAAATCCTCATACTTAATAAAGATTCATTGCTGTACCATAAGTACCAATTGCATCATTAGGGCCATCTGTCTGCACAAAGTGCAAAGGGTGAATCAGAGATCTTATTGTTTCGGAGTGGAGACTGAATGACTAAACTCAGCTGCTTTCCAGCATGGAATAAGAACTTGAGATGCATTGATAACATCATTAAAAACAACATTTGCATCAAATATTAATTTATTTGTATTTACAACATCAGTCCAATGTATAAATACGTATTTTACATTTCATCTTAAGTTATTATGAATTGATGACATTGGTTTAATTTTGAAGCCAATCAAATGGTATTAAATACACCATTGTTTATACAGCGAGATCAGAAATGAAGGAACTTGCTACATCTTTATCGCTTGATTAATCAATTTACAGATTTATTTACACACAGTAATGTTTCACATTTATATGAGTATAGCGGTACACATAATTAGCCATTAAAATGAGATTTACCTACAACTTGACCTTCCATAAGTAGACTCAAACTCTTAAAAGATTTTAAAATGGTTCAGAATAGAAATACTTTAAATTCATATCTTTAAAAAATAATGAGGTTAATGTTGAAATCACTGTAAAATGAGTAAATCTAATTATGAACAGAACAAACAATATGAAGATAAAAAACTGATTTTCTGTAGTACTGAAAGCCGTTACGCAAATTCACTTAATATTATACCATTGTAATGCATATAATATGAAGAGAGCTTCAGTACAGTACATTGGCAGGTAAATTCAAATGATTAGAGAATTTAAAACATAGGTTTTACAATGAATGTTGCCCCAACAGATTTATTATTAGATGGAATTTAATTGTCAAGCTAGTTGCAATATTTACAGTTTCTCCTAATACTAATTTCATGCTTATAGGACATTATTTCATGGTATATACATGATTTCATGAGAACATGTTTCTAAGGATTGAATGCATTTCTGATGAATATTTAATATACATGTATGGAAATACTGCAGCATACTTAGAAATCTTAGGTGGAATGTCTCATTACTTATTAACATCTAATGCACATGTACATATATATAGTATATATATATATATATTACAAGATTACAATCATGTACAGAGGTACAAATATAAAACAAGCAACCTTCCAATTTTTAGTGCTTAACAAACAATTGTTATCATAGAATCTTACACTCATTTGGATCACTAAACTCAAAAACAAAACCAATTTAAATTATAGTACATTAACGCCCGGTTTCTGAAACACTGATCATCGTAGATGTTAACTAATCAGTTGTCAAATGGCTTTTGAAATATCATTTGAGTTGCCAAAAGGATGGTTAGTCTTTGAATTGATCATTCGGATCATTAAGAAAATCATTCTCGGCAATTCAGAGTTAACCATCCTTTTGGCAAATAAAACAAAATTTGAAAAGCCATTTGACAGCTGATTAGTTGACATCTACGATGATCAGCGTTTCAGAAACCGGGCGTAAGTTTTGTTTTTGGTAGTAGAACATTTTAAATAGTTTTTATAAATAAGTTACGATTACACTTTTATTCAGAGTATGCTTAATATAATAGTAATGTTAGATATAGAATAGTAGAGATATGATTTTTATCATCGATCAATCCTAGCCCATAAATTGTATTGTGGTAAAGATTAATACATTTAGAGTAAATAAGCATGTGATAAAATAATATCTTTGTGATTATATGTAACATCAATTAATTTACATATCCCATATGGCACATAAAATATCTTGTTCATATTAAGATTGAAAACAGAACACATATCAATCTTAATGTTAGTAATTTTTACTTCAAAGTGTCTTATCATAGTATTTATTCATAAGAAGGCTGAGATTTTATGACTTAATTCCTATTCTTTGCATAAAGAATAGATCTTGGAAGTAACACATATTTTTTGTCTTTGTTGTCTTAAGTCTATTTATAAACACAAAGCATGTGGGTATAATAAAATATTTTTAATACATAGTCTTAGGTATATTACCATCAACACCATAGTACCCATTTACACAAAGTATATTTAAATTGTGCAGTTAAACAATTCCATATACAAGAACTACCTACAACATAGCGCGTTGTTATCAATTATTAAGCCTTCACAAGCCTGATTTTTAACAAGCACCAAAACTGACCCTAGGTAGTGTTATTTTCTTTGTAAGGAGCCATCTCCTTCACCAGCCAATATAAATGAAATTGGACAATCCAATTTAATTAATTTGACCATACTTGACCCATGGTGTGACAGGTGTTTCAAATTACCTTACTTAAACATATTTTTAATGGCGAAGCTATACCGTTATGGGCCTTAGTATGGGCTCTAACTACTGCAGATATATATGCCATATTATTATGGATTCATAAATGACTACATATAGACATGGTCAAACTTCCTATAAATTAGCTTTACTTCCTGCTGCTACCTGCTCCTTGGCTAACTAAATCAAGTATGGACAAAAGGTCGCTCCCAACGCGACGGGCCATTCTCGACCTTAGTCCCTACTGTTGGGGGAGACGTTGCGTTCGCGTTTGCTCTTCATCTTGGGCGGAGCGCGATGCCGGTCGCGCTTGCGGCTGGACGAGGAACAGGACGAGGAGGGGCTTGAGTCCGGGGGGGATCCTGCGTCGTCAGCGGTCAGCCCGATTCCCTGGCCTTCAGGTGTGGAAGGCTCCAGAACGCTGTTGCGCAGCGCCCGCCTCTGTTCCTCTGTGTGCTGGGGGCATCGGGTGGACCTAACGGGGCCCGCCGGTTCAGTGTTGATACTCATTTGAGAGCTCCCGGGTTTGAATCCGTGCTTTAGTTGAGTAAAGGCCCATTTACACGATGCCATTTTCTTGTACATGCAAGAGCAATAATTGAATGCAATAAATTGCGCGCAATAATTGTTAAGACCATTTGTTGTTTAGACCATGCAACTCATTTATTGCTTCAATTTAATTGTATACAACAGGCAAGAAACTGGCACCGTGAAAATGGGCCTTAATTGCTAGCATTGGTGCAAACTTTGATTTTACTATTGTAATTAGAAACGATACTATATAACAGTGAAATAAGTTGTATTTTAAAGCAAATTCCGATGGGCACATTGAAATTGTTATTAAACCCTTCACTTAAGCTTCCATAACATGGGAAAATGATCAAGAGTGATTGATCACACAAACTTAAGTTAGGTAAACCAATCACTAATAGCAATAATTATTTTCACTAATAACAATATTTAATATTTTTAAATAAAATCTTGATGATTATGTATTACTGTATTTAATTTCCGATGAGGAGCATACCTCATATCTGGTGCCTTGAAGTGGAAAAACCAAATTCAAACATTATTGCCAATGGTATCTTACCTTGTGCACAGCTTCTTCGTATGCTCGGAGACCACACCGCATATCTGCAGCAGAAGATTCTTCTTCTCGTTTGCAGTCATTGTCTCGTAAGTGGCGCCACCGTCGTTGGAGTCAGAGTTATTGTTCCCATTGTTATTCCTAGTGTTGCCGCTTCTATTTATGAAGAAAATGTTTTACTAGAGACTGACATCCTTCAAAAAGTTACGGCGGCAGACTTCCTTATGAGGTTTTCCTTCACCGCTGAGTATGTGATAAGTTAACGCTTACAAATGCAATTAACAATTAAATTTCATGCGGCCAGACACTGCGCCTCCGCCCCTCTAAGAGACTCGCTAAGAACCCCTTGATTACGCTTGTAGAAATCTCTAATTGGATGGAACAGATTATTTCCGTGAACGGCAAAATATAAACCGGCGGAGTGTCCGTAAAGAGATCACAAATGGATCATCGAAAGAGCCGTAAACCATTCCAACCGTCTAGTGGTAAACGCAGCGGATTACCAACCCGACATGAACATTATAATCATCTTTCCCACTAGACAAAACTATATAAAACATTAGCGGACCCAACAGACGTTGTCCTGTACACGCGACTAAAATCCGACAACTTATAAATAAATAAAAAAACGAATTGTGAATCTAAACCATTCTCCAATCGACCTGAAGACACCAAAAATGACACAAAAAATTTCATTAAAATCGTTCCAGCCATTTAGGGAGTTCAGTGACACACACAGGTACAGAAGATTTAAATATATAAATATAGTTACAGGACATACAACCAAATAGTTAGTCCTTGCCGATGAGTACGACGGAGCCAACGCGACGCCTACACGAGGTACACTCGCGTCTAGAGCGGTTCTCACCACCCCCGGTCGAGAAACGATTTACAGTCAACGACTTCGGGGCCACAGTCTGCACCGAGCCTCGATTGCCCATTGGTGATAATTCCCCCTTCAGTAGCGTGGCCCTGCCTAATGAGAAACCGCATCAAGCTCGTGAAATCCAGCTGCTCCGCGAGCTTTGCGTCCGGTATATAGAATACAAGTACCTGGGGGACCGGTTTTTTTGGTAAATCATGTATTTTGGAAATAAAAAAAATAAAAAATAAAGAAATAACTGTGTAAATGATCGTGCTACGTACAGCGGCAGACGGCCGCGGTTCGTTTGTGGCCGCCCGATTACCGACCAAGCTATTATAACATTTTTTTTTGCGGCGAAATTTACCGTCATATTCGAATGATATTTTTCATTCCCCGAAAACAGGGATAAAAGGACATTTTCTAAAAATGAAACCTAGCTAGATCGATTTTTCGCCCCCGAATCTACGCACATACTAAATTTCATGAAAATCACTGTTTCCAAGATTCCGATTATATCCATATATACACACATATATAATAAGAATTGATCGTTTAAAGGATAAGAGATAAGATAGAAGCTTTCATAGTTTACGGCAGCGGCGGTAAAAAAGGATTTTTAAATATTATCCATTCAAGGGGAATGAATAGTAATTATAATTAATAGTAAGCTTTTACGCGAAGCTAGATAGATTCTAAGAAAATCAGACAAGCAGACAAGGATATTCCACCTTCCAAAATTAAACTGAAGATCCGCGCCTGGTTAGAACGAATGTATCTGTTTGCCTACACCGGACCTATACAGACGGACAGAATACCGGAACTCACTTGTGGATCTTGCTCGGCTTCCGGTTGTTGTTGTTCTTCAGGCGGCGCTTGCGTCGCTCGCTGTGAATCGAGCCGCCGGACCAATCGGCGTCGTCCTCGTCGTCGCTTAGCAGCCCCGCGTAGGAGGTGGGCTCGCGGCTGTTCGACGCGATCCTGCGGGACGCTATGCGGGAGCTGTTGCGTCCCATCCCTAGCGAATGCGCGTAAAGTTGCCTCTTGAGAAAATTCATTTAGAATGTAGGGACCTCTCTAATTTGATCGCTTGGTATTCATGCAGTCTTGCGGCAGCATTCATGCATGCCGTAAAACCGAGTCTTGATCGGCGCGAAAATATTTCGTTATCAAAGTAGATAATTCAAAAAAATTTTTTTTTTAATGTAAAAGTTGGCAAGCGAGCAGCGTTCCACCTGATGTGAAATGACTACAGTCACAAATGAACATCTGGATGGATGGATGGGTTGCCTACCTATTTAAGTGGGCCCCAGTTACCTCATTGAGCAGGCGTAAAGTGAATGTAAAATACTTTCACTTCAAGCCGGTCTTCTGTGAGGCCATAATACTTCCCTAGACGAGCCTGCCCATTTGTGCAACCACAGAGTCTGCTGCTCAGCCCTTTCACACTTAAAGAAGAAGGACATCATTTATGTAAACAAACAAACATTTGTGGAGAATACTGCCTACCTAATTGGATCAGAGTCCAATATTGCATTTATGTAATGATGTCAGCCAATGTTTCAGAAATAATTTTGAGTGAAATTTATCCTTTGACATAATATAAAATGCTTTTGCATGCTGGTGCACTTATTGCTTTTTAAAATAATAAGTCAAGGGATGATGGGACATAATGATTAACGAAAAATTTTACATTCATATATTTGATAGTAATAAATAACTCTAATAATGTTATCAATGTTATAGAAAACTTATTCATTGCAAATGTGCCTCTCAAAACTAAGCCCGACATCCATCACAGAGAGAGAGTAACCCAATGTAATAAAGTTGAAGTAAAGTACCAGCCTATATATCCCTGTACAGAGGGTATTTGGACATAGTCCACCATGGAACCCCACTTCAGATTGGCGGACTTCACACATCTTTGAAATATATATTTTTGAAAATTATGGTTTCCTCACACTGTTTGCCTTTACGTCGTTATCAAAATTCAAAATTATATTTAAAATGTTTGTACTTCCAATTTTGATTTTAAGCTTGTTATGAGACAATATTCATTTGAAAATTACACAACCTTATGTTACAAAAATCATTTGAATAAGCAGCAATATTCAACCGAGTTATAAAAATAATGGCATATTTTGCGAAATTCGCTCAAATCGCAATAGCATTATGTACCTTATATTTAATGTAGGTATTGAAAATAGTGTAAGAATATACATGTGAAAATTTTCTTTAATGTTAACTTACCCATGCACTTTTCCAAATGTGGTGCGAACCTAGTAGCCGATACTGGTCTATCGCAATTCGGACACGAACAGTTTGAGTCCTGGGTCTTTTTTAGAATAGAAAGACCAAATACGTCACATTCGGGCGAATTTACAATTTTGAAATTTTCGTCGTCCTCTTTTTCCCCTTCGATTAGATCCGTTAGTCCAGTTTTAAGACCGTGGTGGAACTCGAACAGAAAACCCAAAGTAACATCATCGAAAACGCTGTCATAAATAAAATTGGCCGCTTCCTCGGCATTATTCTCATTCTGCATTATCTCAAAAAATTTATTGTTCAAATCGTTCATACTGAGTTCACTGACTATTGTATTCATTTTGAAGAAATGTATATTTTGTATTTTATTGTAAAAACCAAAATACTTTCATCTGTTAGGTATATAATCACCAGCTGACCCGAGGTAAGATAAAAATCAAATCATTTAATAAATCAAAGTCAATAAGTCAATTGAACCACAGAGCATAGAGGTAGAGATGCCCTACGTTAGGTTGTCCAAAGACGAAATGTAACTATTGTTTTTATTAAATATAATTCTATAAAAAGGTTAATAAGATTTTCATATGTGACACATTCAATAATCTTTTAATATCTCTCCGAAACTATCTGACAAAATTTGTTAAAAAAGAATAAATCTGATTTCCATTTTACTTCATACCCCGCAACTTCGTCAGCTTCTTTTTTTAGTTAATGAAGATTAGATCATTTTGGTACAATCATGAGTTATCAACATATGTAGTAAATTTACGAAAAAAAATAATTTACGAAAATAAAAATTCCCGTACATAATTACATAACTAGCGATCGATCGAATGCAAACTCGTTATTAAATAAATTGTTATTGACCATGGTGTTGACCAACACGATCTAAACCAAGGACATCCAAATATCCTGAGTAGGCTTCGAGTCGGGAACATCACATTCGTCGGCGAACGCTTGCCTGGTGTGTTTAAGTTAGTGAATGCGGTGTTTGGCGCTGTGTTTGGTCATTGACACTTTTCGGCCTCTATCAGAAACAGACACTTAGTTGTAACCCAAACTGATTTTCCCTTGTTGTCGGCATATATCGCCGATATGACCTTAAGTTTATAAAAGAAGAAAAAAATTGACTGAAAAATTATATGTAGAAGTAGATTAGATATTTATTGATTTGTTCAAATAGGTACATACTTATGTACGTTTAGAAGTAATTCTGAATCATCGTCATCATCATCATCCTTTCAGCTTGTTCCAGTCCACTGCTGAACATAGGCCTCTCCCACGGGCTGCCTGACAATACACGATCCTGAGCTACCTGCATCGATCGGCTTCCCGCATTTGTACAGGTCATCCCACACTACGCCACATTTATAACGTTGAGTGTTGATCTTTTTTGATTTAATATTGCTGTAATTGATTGTATTGTTTTTTCTTATATTGTTAAGAAAAGCTAGTTTCTAATACTAAATATTTTAAATAAATGATTGTGTCCAATGTTTATGAAATGACGAGTTTACCTAATCTCTAAATATTATTTCTCAAAGGTGTTTTATGTCGGAACGCTATAGCGTTAGATGATAGATATAGAGAAGATAATATATTATCTTCTATAACTGTCTTGTGATTTTATTCAAATATCTATCATTAAGCATCTAAAAAAGTAAAAGTAAAATTTGCCGCTATTTATGAAAAATAGATAAGAAGAATAAAGTTAATGTTTTCAAACAAAAATTTCGTACAAAAATATTTAAATAAAAGATGAAAGATTAATTGAATTTCAAAAACGTTAATGTTCAAAGAAGATACCTTCGATTAATACTTATTTACACATTACCATACGGTAACTGATCACGGTACTGTGAGACCATCAAAATGTGCTGCGACCGCACCATCGCACTGTACGGTGCACTCTGCGCAACAGACGCTCACACAGCTTATAATACTGTCCAGTAGTTTTTGAGTGTGAATAAAACATGGTCCTTACGGCTCAGACATTTAAGAAATAAACAAAAATCGTGTTATTTCACATCACAGCCACTAATAAGAGTAAAAAGGAAAAGAATGAGCTAAATTATATCTTCAAGACTACATCCATATAAAACTTATTGATAAAAAATATATCTACGAATTACTTATGATTTCGCTGCATCCGCAGTTGAATCTCGCCCACATAAAATTAAACTGATACACTTATACCCCTAAGACAAGCTGTCACTACTTTACATAGGTCTTTTTGTTTTGTGACAAAGTGGCAAACGAGCTGGCGGTTCACCTGATGTTAAGTGATAACTGCCGCCCATGAACATTTGCAACACCCGTAGGGTTGCAGATGCGTTGTCACCTTTAAATACAGTGAGTCCCGGTTACCTGACTCACCAAACGCAACGCAGAAGTGTAACACTTCTACTTCGTGCCGGTCTTCTGTGAGGTCGTGGTACTAACCCGGAGGGACCAGTACATTCGTGCAACAGTGAACACTGTTGCGTGGCCCTACCACTATATCTAATATAGGTTAGTTGTTTCTACTAAACTTATCAACAAACTTACATAATATTGTTAATTATGATTTTAAATGATAATGGCATTTTTGCTTAACACTTGTGTGGTCCTAGCACAGCTACTACAATTAATCTTTTTTATCTGATACGACGAGAATGTTCTTCTTAATGATCAGAATGATCAATTCAAAGAGTTTAACCATTCTTTTGCAACTCAAATGACATTTGAAAAGCCATTTGACAGCTGATTAGTTAACTATCTACGATGATCAGTGTTTCGGAAATCGGCCGTAAGTTTTTTCGAAACGTAGCCCGAACAAACTGATATTAAGGGGAATCTTAGAAATTTCAGACGTACAAAAATGTTGAAAAACAAAATGAAACTGTAATACATTTGTTCCGAAATTACCGACGACAAGACAATTTTATTTATTTGTATACCTTCATTACTAAATTTATATCTTCTTCATTATCAGTTTAATTTCATTTGAGGAGTTTTCACGAACACCAGTTGTATAATTTATACATTTATTATTTGGTAAATTATAATATCAACTGAATGAGAGTTGAAAACATAGATATATTAAGTTTGTTTTCAGATAAGAGTTATCAAATGTTGATACTCTGTTGTATTAACTCAACGAATAACGCTGTGTATCTTTAACGTGGAACGATACCGAACGATAAATATGGTAAGGTTGAGAAAATTCTTGTTTATTATTATCGTATTAACTATAAAAATATATACCACAATTCTAAAAAATAAAAATTTCTTAATTGCCGGCGTCCACTACTATTACTTTACTGTGAAATCTCTTAATGTCAATTATTAAATCAGTACTTTGTTAGTTTTTTTTAAATCGTTTCTTAATTTTGATTGAATAAATAACATTCAGAGTTTCAGACTAATAATGTTAGATTAAAAAATTGTATATTGTATAATAAACATTAGATTTCAGATTTGTACAAATAGTACATTTTCCTAAAATTTATTGCTTTTATCGTTATTTTTAATAGCAGAATATATTAAATAATTATAAATGGTGAAAAATAAAAACGCATTTTTTGTATACGATTTTATTTGCTTATTCTGCTCCAGCGCCATAGAATAGAAACCCACGAATTCATGATTTAGAATGAACTAGCTTTTCACCCGCGACTTCGCTCGCGTTGAAGCCATTAAATAAATATCGTTCTTTAAAAATTTTTTCCAATAAAAAAAACCTATGTCCTTTCTCAGACTCTAGACTATCTGTGTACCAAATTTCATTTAAATCGGTTCAGTAGTATTGGCGTGAAAGCGAGACAGAAATACAGAGTTACTTTCGCATTTATAATATTAGTATGAAGTATGAATTAAATGAAAAAGATGAATAGATAGTAATATCGTATAATAATTGGTTCTACATCATTTTAGCCATAGTATAGATAGAATAGCAAACAGTGAAATGTTCGTTCATGAAAACTAAGAAAATTCCAAACAATTCCTAAAGAGAGGAATAAATTAAAAATCTTCAGATTTCTGTCGTCAAGGATACGAAAGAAAGCTTTAGAATGTAATTTATATAAACTTGACAGTTTTTTATAAATAATTTTGGGAATATGTACGTATAATATATATTAAGGCTTCTAACATATTTAACCATTATTGAAATTGTGGCAAAAACTTTAATCACTTTACTAAAGTAATAAGAATAATACTCCCCATTTTTACTAAAAAGTACTAACGAGCTTTAACACTCAACATGAATCCATACTGAGAAGTATGTTGAAACCTAATTCAATGATACACATTTAATGATCAGTTTTTGAATAGGTATTTACTGTTTGTAACAACCTTTTTACCATTTCTTTTCAATAAGGTTGTCTTCAAAGCGCGCGGTTTAATGCCCCCCGTTTTTACTCCGCTAAATGACGATCAGACAGTCAACTATGAATTGATCCCTGCTTATGCTGATTACCTTTCAAAGGCCGGTATTAAATCCGTACTTGGTAAGTTCGATGACATTATTTTTTTATTTAAAATTATGTGTACAAATTTTGTATCACGCACCGCACACATTGTAGGCGTGTCGTCAAACACCTTTACCCAACTCACCTGTCACTCAGTATTCCCGCCAAAATGTAATCGCTGGCGGTGTGTGGAATCGTAGAAAAATAAAGGGTTGGTAGTTTTGTAAATACCTTCTTCAACACTCATTATTTCACTTGGGTGCGGGTGGCATGACATGCAATTAATCATGTGGTTAGTGCCACTGACTAGTGTCGGGTTCCTATATTCCACGAACGGCCGTTAGTTACATAGCTTCGTACCTTTCATAACGACTTGTAGATAAAAGGAACGCTAGTAACTCACTTTCCGTAGGTAAACAGCAAAGGCTCGTAAGGAAAACGGAACCGGGAATACACGCCTTTTATCTACCAGTCTTTATGAAACTTACGAAGCTATGTAACTAACGGCCATTCGTTGAATATAGGAACCGGTCATAAGTCGACCGGCCGCTTGTCTGACGGATACGGAACAGTTGTCTGTGAGTCACGCAAATACTTGTTCTGTGTGGGAATCGAACCCACGATCTACAGCGTCGAAGCCAATAGTTTAGCAACTGTGATACTGAGCTATTGAAAATTGCCAAATTTATTACTTATTAAGATATATACAGATAACAGATTATCCAGATTTGACTACTTTCCTCCCTATGGTTTGCGGTTATGGTTGGTGTTAAGTACGTGACTGTTATCGAGACTAAAATTCACGTCTTTTTTATGTATTTTATTATATTTATTTTAAATTTAAGACTTTATTACGGAGAAACTACAACACATGTTTATACTTTTAAACTAAATATTTTCTAAGTTGGCGGCACGACGGGCGAACACATGTCACTCAGCGTTGGCGACAGAAAGAAGGTGATCGATTCATGGGTGAAGGCTGCGAAAACGACCGGTCTGCATATTCAGGTGCAAGTCGGCGGGGCGCCTTTAGCTGATGTCTTGGACTTGGTGAGCAAATTTTTTTTTTATTTAAGGAGGCTTTATTTGAATAATTTATATAATATTATATAAATTAAGGTTACTCCCTTATATCCTGTCGTCGTATTATTGCGATTGTAAAGACACACTGTATATATATATATATAGATGTTTAAAGAATTTAAATGTTTAATAAAACTTTAAAAAGTTATCCCCTATATGTGTGTTCATTTATTATCGCGATGGTAGCGACACGCTGTATATATATATACATAGGTAAAACTACATAAGTAGTATATTATATTTATAATGCAATAGAATATGAAATTACTATGGTAGGGCGACGCAACAGCTTCTGTACGAATGGGCACGCGCGTCCGAGGAAATACTCGTATAACGATCTCCCGAGACCGGCGTGAAGTGGAAGTGTTAAACTTTCGCGTTTCGTCTGGTGACTGAGGTAATCGGGGCGCACTTTTTTAAAGCTTATCAATGAATCGGAACGATGTAAAGCCATCGGATGCTGTAGATGCCCATGGGCGGCGCTATTCATTTAATATCAGGTGAACCGTCCGCTTGCTTGATAATTTTTCACATAACAAAGGAAGCATGTATTGAGCATTATTGTAGTTTGTGTATAGCGAGTACAAGTATAAATTTTAACAAAAAAAAACCGACTGCAATCAGAAAATTAAAAACATTGTTAATACCTATAACATTCAATGATGGCCCTCGATTTCTCTGGGATGCCATCATCAGATCCGGATTTCCTTATCATGGTACCACCCTTGGGATATGTCCTTTCCGACAATAAAAGATCCATCAAAATCGATTCATAAACGAAGAAGTTATCCGCGAACACACATAAAAAAAATATAAGTATACGGTCGAATTGAGAAACCTTCTCCTTTTTTGAAGTCGGTTAAAAATTGAATTTTATTACGATCCCCGACTGGAACATAACATTACATTCAACATACATTCAACAACTCTTATCTTGTAAAGTATCGACTTTTTGTTTTCCATTGTAGAAACTATTAGCTGGATTTACTCATCACAAATAGGAACATTAAATAACTTTAAAATAAATTATAATATATTTAATTCAACCGGCAACGTTGGCATGTACCTATAGTAATTATGTAATATGATAATACATGAACGCCAATTCAGTAGATAACGATTTGATCCGCTCGACCTTCAAATTTGTTTATATCATCAAAATACATGTAAAAACATGTTATCTTGAAACACTATTTAATTATTTATTATAAACGTAGGTATCGTAATTATTTATTATATTCTTTTCATAAATACGCGAACGATACACATTTCCAACGTTTTTACTTTACAAAATTAATAATAATTAAAAAAAAAAAGAATCGCTGGACACCGGCTCTGTAAGAATACGGGATTCAACCAGAACTTTTTCATTTATTACACAGGAGCATAGATCGTACACAATATGAAAAAGACCTTACTTTGGCCCGCGTGTAGCATAATAAGCTATTACAAATATAGTGTTACGTACACTCAATACGTAAGCGACTATTTGCATTTTGGGCTGAAAGCTTTCGAAGTTTTATATGTGGGCACTAAATCGACGGATTGTGGACTTCATCAGACGAGATCTTGTCTGACGAAGTAGAATCGTCGTTCTAACTTGAATTTTAATCATCAATCAATGTGCCTCTCACCAAACGATGATCACTGCCGGGCATTCACACGCATCATTTAATATTTTGGGTCTGTATAACTATATATTTGATCAACAGTATATAGCACATCCGAAAGTGCAGTGCAATGCTATATTTATACTACACTTGGCAACTCTACCTTGGTGAAATGCCTGGTACTCGACTCATCGGGGTTTAAAAAGAAGGAAATTGTGTTTGTAAAAAATAAGTAAAAAGTAATATTTATTGTTTCGACCAGTGTTTCATTCCCTTATAAGACTGAATCATTTTTACGCCAAAGCGATAAAGAGAGAAGGTTTATATATTAATTTCTAGGTTTTTATAGTATTGTATGCATGTCGGACGGTGACATTAATTAATAGTCTATAGGATTATTAATTTTTAATACAGTTCTAATGCCCGGTTTCTGAAACACTGATCATCGTAGATCTCAACTAATCAGCTGTCAAATGGCTTTTCAAATGTCATTTGAGTTGCCAAAATGATTGATGAAGGTTGAACTCTTTGAATTGATCATTTTGATCACTAAGAAGATCGTTCTGGTCAATTCAGAGAATTTAACCATCCTTTTGGCAACTAAAACGAAATTTGAAAAGCCATTTGACAGCTGATTAGTTAACGTCTACGGTGATCAGTCTATGTAGTTAAATAATCGTACTCATTCACACAACACACTATCTAAGTTTCTGTATTGTTTGTTTGTATTTATCTCTTTTGTGCGTCGCAAGTCCCATTGGTAACGGATCTAAATGAGATATGGAATGAACTTGGCTTTCGTGCCGGAATGAAACACATATAGGTAGGTGCTTAGTAAATGACTCACAGTTATCTCGGTAAAATTCTAGGATAGCGTTTTGTTTTACACTTACAAATATATTTAAACGATAGAAAAATGTATCCAATAGTCTCTAAGGCCCTTTTAAGTCCCCAACTGACAGTACTTATTTCTCTTATTCTTCTAATTTAGTGGGCCCCTGCTACCTCACTCACCAGAGGAAACGCTGAAGTATAGCACTTCCACTTCACGCCGATCTTGTGTGAGATCCTGGTAAGTACCCGGATGGATCCACCCATTCGTACAATAGAGAAGACTGTTGCATTACCCTCAAACAATCCCCTGTTCACCACTTCTCCTAATTTATTTAATTTTGTATTATTTATGTACTCTCACAGGCTTCATATTGCGAGAGGGCTGGTGCCGACTCCCTTCTGACCCTCCCAGAACTGTACTTCAAACCGCAGGATGTGAGCGAACTTGTCGCCTACGTGGAGCTGGTGGCGAAGGCAGCGCCGAATCTTCCCGTACTCTACTATCACATACCGAGCATGAGCAAAGTTGAAAGTAAGTGGAGAGTTAACACCGACAGCTTTGTCTAAGTATTTAAATACCTTTGACATGAAATTTAATGTGATTTCAAAAATATATTGTCGAATATTTTTCGCCGTAAATACTTCTAATAATAGTTACATCACGACTTATCTTAGCCCAGTATCAGCACGTTCTTGGTGTTGAAACCATTACTACCCAAAACGTTGCCACAACTGTATGTATAAGTGTATGGGACAGATGATGATATGTGAACGTATGATACGGAAAGAGATACTAGTCTAGAGAATTGCAATCTATTACGCCAATTGGTGTAATTTGAGTGACTCAGTTTCATGGCGCTAATCTACCCCGTATTTGTATTTAAAACCATTGGCCTTTACAGCATAGGTTCATCAAGATTGAGAATTTTATACTATTTTTTTATTCAATACACAAGTAATAGTTAAGGAAGGGGTATTAAAGTTATATTATGACACGAGTCATTCAGAATTACCTCTTTGTCAGTTAACATGCCCGCATTCGTGAAGGCAGCGACGGCTCGTATCTCCAACTTCAAGGGCATCAAGTTCACATCCAACGACCTGAGTGAGGGCGCTCAGGTGCTGAGGGCACTGCGCGACGACCAGGAGATGTTCCTTGGTGCCGACACCGTAAGACGCGACATAATTCGACCACTACCAACCAACACGACTGTACTATATTTTTCGAACTATACTAAAAATTTTCAGTTATTGAATGAGCCCAGAAGCTTGTGTGAATCTGTATTTTTTTTATTTTCATTTGTATCCATGAAAATGAAGATGTATGATAAAAGCTGTGAAGCATTTGTATCTATGAAATAATACTATTCTTATTTATATAATGAAATATTAGTTTTATAAGTTAGTTTACTTCTGTTTTTTCACCAATGGGGAGGCTCATCTAGGGTAGTACCACAGCCTCACTAAAGACCGACTTGAGATGGAAGTATTAGACTTTTCCGTTTTGTCTGAAAAGTGAGGTATCACAGACTAAAAGATCTCGAGAGACCTCCTTTTGTTATTGTTCTGTTGTAATATATAAAATTCCCGTGTCACGGTGTTTGTAATTGAACTCCTCCGAAACGGCCAGACCGATTTTCGTGAAATTTGTGTGCATATCGGCCGGGGTGGACAATTGGACAACATCTATTTTTCATCCTCCTAAATGTTATGAGTGGTCCACCTCAAACATTTTTTAATTTATATTGGCAAAACAACGTTTGCCGGGACAGCTAGTAAATATTATAATTTTAACAATTGTGTTTTATTCGTACAATTCATCAAATGTTTCCTTTTATTTCCCAGTTGATCGCTCCAGCTGCGCTGTTAGGCATAAAGTCCAGTATTGGCACCACCTGGAACTTATTCCCGAAACTGGCGCAAGAAATACTGGAAGCAGTTGAGAAGAACGATGTGTCAAAAGCTAGAGAACTTCAGGAGAAACTTAGTTTGGCTATAGAAGCGCATACAGCTGAAGGTAATATTGAACAATAGTTTGATAACGAGGCTATTGAGTTCGGCGCTTGAGATAATTCTGTAATTAGTGACTAATAAAATTTTTTGCAAATAAACTGTCAAAAAATACGAAGACGGAGATTCGAACGCGAAAATTTTTCGATACTTCATCTACAAAAAATTCACATATATAATTCTGAAAGTTTTGTGTCCCACGACTGTCTTTGATAAGGCCATTTTATACGTCCGGGGATGTAAGTTCAATTTCCACTCCTCATAAAATATTTTGTGATAAACATAGTTTTTCTGGCGTCTAGGTGTTTAAATAGGTAATTAGGATATTGATTATTTAGAGTGCGTAAACTTACCTAGTACCCATAGTGATAGCTTTGCTTAATTTGAGTCTGGATAAGGTCGTGTGAAAATAAATCTTGATTTTCTTTTATTTATTAAAATTTTAACGTCTCAAATTCATGATATCAACTATTAGTTATTTCGAGCACGAGTGTACTTTGCGTCCGTTATTTCACGAAGTGCAACTTTGGCTCAGAGGGATTATTGCTACATGATACATTAAAATAAAGGGTGCTGCTTAGAGCGAGGCGGCTGTCAGAAATTTATATCAGGTATAAATTTATCAGTTAAGTCTTCGGATGGACTGTATTCCGAAATTAACTGCCACAGGTTTTGTAAAATATGTCGATGTTGATGGTCACTGTCATTCAGGTGCTTGGGTGCCGATAATGAAGGCCGGCATGGAGATCATCTCCGGCATCAAAGTGGGCCCGCCGTCGTTGCCGCAGCGGCCCATATCGGAGGAGGCGAGGAAGAGGATCGAAGACAAACTGAGGGGACTGAGAATCATAAACTAGAATTTTCTTCGTTACCTTTTCATAATACGTTGGAACACTGGCTATAACTATGTTAACGTGCAACTGCTTTGGATTTGTGCAAATAAACGTTTGTTTCGTAAAAATTCGTAAAATAAATGATTAAAATAAGCTGATTTAATTTTTTTTTATTTCCATGTATATACCTAAATAAACAAAATTGAATTAGTTTATTTAGTTACATGTTTCCTAACTTGAAAGAGTGCGAAATTTGTTAATTTGATAGATAAATCTATCTGAATAGTGTGAAGTCTGTATCACTATTTTCTTTATATAAAAGGCAAAATCAAAGTAAGAATGTACGTTCAAATGACGGTGTATGACAACAGGTAAAGGGACCACCGTCTCTGTTTTTAAATTAATACGCTCCTTTAAGTTTTAATGTTTCTAAGCTTCTAGATATTTCTGTAATGCGTTAAACGCATTAAGATTTAAAGACGTAAGTCATAGCTAAAGTTTGGATGATTGCGGTATAATTTTGGAAAGGCCCATAAAAGTCACAATACAAGCAATTTATTTTAATCTATGTAACAGAAAATCAGAATCCAACATAGCGCCTGCCAACTTCTTTCTTAGACAAGATCTATTATACGAAATTTTTGTTTTTAATGAAAGACTCGATTTTCCGACAAGCTGATTATTTCATTTCAAAGAAAAAGGCATTCTCCAAGTCATTATCTTCAACTAGTCTATGTTTATTTAGCCTTGGTAAATAGTCTTCTTTTTTTAATAAACGCATTATACATTAAGCATCAAGAAATTGATTTTTGATTGCAGTTAAGTCTCCGAGGTGTTTATTTGAAAAGAGATTCGTATGACAGCCAGGTTGATGGAATAACTTATGACCAGTATCAATTTTTCTCACCAAACAAAACGTAGTGATTCCACATTCTTTAGCGTGGCACACACCGTGTTTAGTCTCCCATATACAACAAGCAACGCAAAGCCGATTTGCAGCATAAATAAGATATTCTAGTGCTTCCAATCGCTTTTGAAGTTTTTGAACTGTCTACAATCTACATCGTGATATTCATACTCGTCGTCCAACAGCTAAGTTAACAGCAAATGAAAACTACAAAAAAAACTGGCAGGTCAACTAGCTTTTAGCTTTAGATAATTAGTAGGTACTGAACTGAAAGTGTGGTTGTCAACTTGCCTTGTCAATGTCAATTTGTCAAACAAAAATTATTCTCTGTTATTTCATAAAAAACTATTTTTGATTAATTGTAAGTTGTAAGTAAAATTATTATTTTTCTACTGTCTTACTTGTACTTAATTTGAGTATAACATTTTTAAAAGTTTGCGGTTAACGTGCCATCCATTAGCTACAATGTTGAGTACCTCACCTGCAAAATTAAAGTAATAGGTACTTTATTACAAAAAGGCGTGGAAGTACTTCCAAAATTCATCAAAATGCAAATTATTTTTAAAAATGATTTCACATTGTTGTCGTTTATTTAAAAAAATATTCTTTTTATCTTATTATATTTTATTATGTTATAGGCTTTGATTAGATACTTGACAAGTATATAATCAAAGAATATTGGCTTAATATGTAATTATTGTTGGATTTTTATTGCAATCAGTTTGTTTTGTTTCAATTATAACTTTGCTTTAAAAACGAACAATTTTAATAGATAGAAGTAGTTATATTATTAATAATTCTTTCGAAATTTAAATAGACAAGATTTTTGTGTAAATGTTTTATTGTTTTTTTCTGGTTATTGTTATAAATTTATATATTAATTGCTTATTACGTACTGCAGATTACTTTAGATACATTACATTAATAATTCTAGGTTCTGATCCATACTGAAAAGATCAGAAAAAGATGAGGAAAAAGGTTGAAGCTATGCCTTCCTTGGAAGTGATATTACAAAGATTACCAGAAGCTGTTATTGCAGCTTTAGAAGGTCCAATTGTAGTAAGCGTTTCTTTCTTATTTATGAAATTGATAAATTGAAAAAGACCAAAATCCGATAAAACTCTTTTCAATATCTTTTCATTTAGTAGTAGACTGTAATAACTTTCTGATATAGTAAGATTACAGATAATAATATTTCAAACTATAAACTCGATATGAAATACAGGTTTTATTCCTGAAACAAAAATTCATGGCTCTATGTTTTGTAAGTAGTCATGTTTATAAAAATTGTTAATATGTTATCACCCTAAAACATGTACACAAATGTAATTATACATACACATAGTAGTAAGACTCAATTGTTATTATTTTACATTAATTTATAGATTTTATGTACACATGCTACTTGAGAAATGAGGTTCACACAGAAAGTAGCCTAAATACCAATAAATGTTTTATTTAAATTTTATAATGATTAAAAATTGTTTCCTATACTTAGAAACAAGACTTAGCCTCACTCCAGTCCTTACCTGCTTTGGACATGAAGACAGTAGCAATGTTGCTGAGACGGAAAATTCCCTCACCAATGCCTTTATCAGAAGTAGTTCTAGAGAGGTTGCCACAGTCTATGATGACAAAATTGATCTCCCAGAAAAATTGCTATCCTGTGGTAACTATGACTTGTACAGATAATTCTATTTTTTAAAATTTTTGTTTTTTAATTTAGTTGAACAGATATTTGTACTTTTTTTGTATTTTTGTGTATCAACTTTCATGCTCAAAATGCCTGTCTCTCAGTTGAATAATTTCGTAAATAACACATTATAACTTTTATAAGGAATCTAATTTTAAGATTGTTGCTATTTTTTTATTTTCAAGTAGTAAGTAAATCATAGTGTAGGTACACAGATATGTATGTTTTTAGATGCCCCTATCAGATATCATCACACCAACTAAGTCTTTGCTGCCCATGAAGATCTCAGGACAAACTGCGCGTACTCAGAATGTAGTGTTAAAAGATATGTTGAGATTAGAGGTTGCATTAGAACGCTTACCTGAGGCCATAACAAATACTTTATTGTCACGGAGAAGGTCTATGTTGCTGGTATGTATTAATTATTTATAAGTGTACATTGTCAAATTATCATATGATGTCAATGATGTTTTAATAAAGATGGTGCATGTCCATACTGCACCGTGTTTAAAAATTGTTGAGCTTTACATTATATGACATATAGAAGTAAACGTAACAGATGATATAGAACATATGACATGGAAAGAGTTAGGAGTCTATAATCGCAATGTAACTAAACCAATTGGCGTAATTTGAGAGAGGCTCAATTTCGGTGTGCTAGGGTCATATCTACCTCGTATTTGTATATAATATCATTGTATTATTTGACTGGGTTCACTGTTACATGTTATTACAATGTCTTCCATGCAAAACCAGTTAGAGTATTGAGCTCATGTTGTCAACACATACCACACAACTATGTTATAGAAAGTAGACTAACTTTCATAATGAAAATAATGTTTTTTTGGAATTCACTCAAACAGAGCCAGTGTGGTAGCTTTCAATTGTGACAACTGTTTACAGAAGTAACATGTGTGTTAATTAATTTATGGTATAATTTAAACTATGGTAAAATCATGATTTTGTTCGTTTTTTTCAGGCGAAGAAAGGAAAGAACAATGTTGGCCGACCGAAAAAAACGCGTCTGGACTGCAAGCCGAATTTTCGGAAAGTCACATTCCTCGTGTAGTGTTAGAATGATAAAATAGTGTTATCAATGCAAAAGTCTCCAATTATTTCAGTCTTATAGAGCTTTTGACTTAGATTTTAAGTTCATGATGGAGTAGTGAAAAGGTAAATTAAGATATTGTCTTTGAAGCAATTATATGTTATAACCAGTAGCTCAGGTTGACTCATATCTATGACGAAAAATAATTATGTGTCCTGGTTTAGTTAGGGGCCTATTACTTTTTAAATAATGTACTTTATTACTATAATTATATACTATTTAATAATAGGTATGAACCAATTATTAAATAGTAAAGTTTTGTGTGTCATTCATTAGTTGGTAATGTTTTATCAATAATTGTAATTAAAATTTAACAATCCTACTTGATCTGTGTAGAGGTTGAATTTGTTCAATAATATTTATGCCCAATTATATTGTAGGTGTTTAAAATTATAATTACAAACACGTTTTACTAATAATATGTGAAGAAAAGTCAAATCAAAATCAAAATTCATTATCTCAAAGTTATATCATTCAAATGATGCATTTATAAGTGTGCTCTTATTAGATATAGCTGTTTGATTATATCTTTTGTGTCAAATTTTAATCAGATACCGTAGCGTCAGTAGTTTTAGAGTCTAAGGCCCTGTATATGATAATGGTCTGTAAAATTTTTATTTTCACAAGTTCAAACTTGAGCTTCATTGCACAATAACACACGTGCACACGAAATATCTAACAGTAATCTAATTTCTAAGAAGCAAAAGATCGAGATCACTAAGTTATTTAACATTAAATTTTGAAACCAAATATTGTTCCCACTTCATATAGGTACCACAAATGCTTACGTGTTCATTTTATATTTATATCTCGAATGTTTCCTTTATTAACAAGACATTCATATAATTGTACCTGCTCTTTTTTACATTAACAATCTGTTAGGTCCAGATGTAATTCAGTAAATTTTGCTTTCTGAAGTAAGAAATAAAAATAAACAAAACGTGGAGTTTCATTTTTAATTCACCGCTTATTGTAATAATTATAGTAGAAGATCCGAATCTAAATCGACCTTCACCGAGCTGATAATAGACTAAACTTTATTTTATAATAAATTTAGTATATTAGTAAATATATTAAAACTGGGTTGCATAAAAAAATCCTGGATAGAATATTTTTTTTTTAAAAAATGATTTTTCATGAACTGTTGCAACATCAAGATCATTTGAGCAATTTGATCGTCCGAATTATCGTTGTAAAACGATATTTGAAATTGTTTGTATGCTGGAAAGGATATAACAATAGATGTGCCAAGCATTGCTTCAAATGCTAAGAAAACAATGTAGAAAAAGACGTTAAGATTTTCGTCGGTGTAGCAATCAGCCGTTTAGCTTAGTGGCTAGAGCGTCAGGCCGCGAATGCCGAAGACGTGGGTTCGATTCCCACAGCGGCGACAATCTTTTCGTACTTTTTCTACAAATTTTAATGTATATTAAATGTTTTATTGATTACCCAAAAAGTTGCGCGTGTAGAACGTGGCACATGATAGAAGTGAAAATAAAATAAGGAGAATAGATACATAATTATGTTTCTTTATTTAAGTAAATAAATGTGCTTAAACGTGACGCGTCCATAAAATTTCACACGCATTTTTCGTGCACTTATCGAATCGCAACTTAAGAAGTTTCACAACAAAAGGTTAGGATTTGTAAGGTAAAAGAATTATGTCAATAATACTAGCGAACCCGACAGACGCCCTGTACATATGACTTAATCTGACATAAACTTATTGAAAAAAATGTAGTGGACCGCATTGCGAATCTAAACCATTCTCGAATCATTTAATTTTTTTGTAGTGCTAATCTCTGCACTTAAGATTTAACATTAAAATCAGCCGTTTAGCTTAGTGGCTTAACCGTCAGGCCGCAAATGCAGAAGACGTGGGTTCGATTCCATAGCGGCGACAATCTTTTCGTACTTTTTCTACAAATTTTTTTAACATACTCGAATCAACCTGAAAACACAAAAATTTCATTAAAATCGGTCCAGCCGTTTAGGACTTTAGTGGTAACATACACACGCACAGAAGAATTATATATACAAAGATAATGCATGCGAACGGTTTATGTGTTTGCGTGTGGATGTTTAGTGAGTCCAGTGTGTAAGCCCCGCTACCGATTACATTGATCGGTGATATGGGACTCGGTGTTTGGTGAACTAATATTAATGACATAGATAAGACACATATACTGAAATTTATGATTAATGACTTATGACACCAGTTAATGACATGATGTATAAATAAACCTGATATAGTTGAACAAGGAAATATCGATGTGCCGATAATATCCTACCATGGACGTATCGATGTTTTAGAGGACGTAACATCTATGTAAAACATCACTGTTTTTTCGCTAAATATCAACATGGTTTTTTTAATGCCAAAAGGAGTTTTAGAGTCCACTTTGGATGCGTGGAATGCGAGCACAAGAGGGTGACGACAGGTTGAGTGGGTGCGAGTCACATAATCCGCCCTGGGCCCGGTATGGCCCCGTAATGTGCCTAGGTCCTAGGTATTTCCTCCGCGTAAACGAAATATAAGTTATGTTAAGAATGTGATTGAATTATAGTGCGAATAATTAGGAAGAAAAAGATATTTTATTTCTGACAAACCAATAATTTTGAGTATTTAAATTTTTTATATAATTTTATTACATTTAACTTTTAAAATTCGCGAGATAAATACTATCGAACAACTAGAAATTTGTTTCACGAACGATAAGAAATCTAAAAGATGTCCAAATTTGTCAAAGATGTTAATTTTGTCGTTGGCGTTGAACCAACGACAAAATTAAAGCGTTTGGGTACGAATTTCGAAGACGTGGGTTCGATTCCCGCAGCAACGGCGAGAAGCTTTCCGTCCTTTTTCTACAGTCACATTACTCGTGTAGTTTTATAGTGATAAAATAGTGTTTTCAACGCAAAAGTCTTAAATTATTTCAGTCTCTTAGTGCTCTTGACTTAGATTTTAAGTTCATGATGGATTAGTGAAAAGCTACGTTTGGGTACGAATCCCGAAGACGTGGGTTCGATTTCCGCAGCAACGGCGAGAAGCTTTTCGTCCTTTTTCTACAAATTTGAATGTCAGTTTATGGTTTGAAAAAAAAATCCTTGTTATGTTACACTCATGGACGCAGCTTTATTGTTTTAAAATGTAAGTAAAATGAAATAATGAATTAAATATTCAGTTTTAGTTTCAAAAAGGCGAATATATTTTCTCGCCTTTCTTTTCACTAACGTGGTAACCGGCGTCAAATAGCCCATAATTATATTCATATAAAAATAAAGTATAAAAGTTTTCCGAACGACCTAAACCAGCAATATTAATAAAGTTAAAAATAATAAAGTTAACCCTCATCGAATTTGTTTCTTAGTAAATTAACACTTAGAGACTATATATTTATTTATTTCACTTATATTTATTTATTTATTACGTCTTTATTGCATTTCCTTGAAATCGGAATACAATTCGGACTTAATGCTTTTCGGCATTCTCTACCAGTCAACCTACGGTGTGGTGAGATCTTTAGGCAGGTGCAATAATAAAACTAATTTAAACTAAAGGTAGACAAAAATGAACAAAAAAATGACATGCATACTTTCTGAAAAAAAAAAAAAGAAACTATAAGTACCTATAAATATAAATATATTTTCATATTTAAATATGTACATTAAATTAATATTTTTATATACATTGGACTAGCATAAGCTTATTTTGTGAAGGGAGAAAATTCTTTAAGAGATAAAGATACCGCAGGGTGGCAACGACTTTGCGGTTGATATTTGAAACTTAATCTTTCCAATTTAATGAATTGTCCGAGACAAGATAAAGAGACCGAGATTTTTTGCAGATGAATTATAGGTTATCAATATTCATTAAGTCCGGTCTATACTTTAATATCTTTATAACGTTAAGAACAAATGGTAAGCTATCAATATAAATCTTAGCCAGCATCCTTGAGCTTCCTGCTAGCATCGCCTGATATTTAACAGGATTGAAAAGCCTAACAAGCATAACCTAATTACCAGTCCTTAATAATTTTTGAATTATGGTTTATTGTTTTAATTCTCTTATAGAGGTCATCAATGTAAGATTGAACATTAAACTGGAGGTCATCGGCATATAGATGATACGAGCAATTAATTTCGGATGTGATCTGGTTATTTTGTAAAAGGTATTTTAGTAAATAATCATGTCAAAAAATATTTCGACCCTTTTTTTAAATATTGGCTTCCTGTCTGTTTAACTAATGAAAGGTATATAGACGAGTTAAGTGAATTTTTTACTAAATCGGACATTTCGGAAATTTTAAATAATTTACGGCTTGAACCAGCTATAAGACTAAATGGAATTGATGCTGGTACTAAGTACCATTTCATTTAGGTAACGCTTATCTCGAAATGAGAAGATATTTTTATCATTATTAAAATGGGCTTATGATGAAAAATTCAACTGGTTGGTTTAGTTTATTAACGATTGATCACTCTGATTAATAAGATCATTCTGAACCTATGTAGATTTCCTTCGATTAGTAGGCTTAAAGACAATTCTTCAATTAATTCCTAAAGTTATTTGTGTTGTTATAATTTATGAGTATTCTATACTATTATGTTGTTAAATTGTACTATTACAGAGAGAACAATTTTAAAACAGTTTTTTTTTTAGTTTTTAACGACTTTTAGATACGAATTCTTTTCAAAAACCAGGCCGAGGAAGAATTCACAGGGGCCCAAATTATAAGTATACATACACGTAGTGCATAAACAACCAAATAGTTCGTCTTCGCGTAGAAGCGTTATACTGTAGTAGGGCCATGGAACAGTCTTCTCTGTTGCACGGATGGGCAGGTCTGTCCGGGTAACTCGACCCCACAGAGGTTTTTTTTGTGACCCCACAGAGGACCAGCGTGAAGTGGAAGTGTTATTCTGCGTTTCGTCTGGTGAGTGAGGTACCCGGGACCCACGTTATTAAAAGGGGGCAATTCATTTGCAACCCTATGGGTGTTGCAAATGTCAATGGGCAGCGTGGAACCACCCGCTAGTTTGCCACTTCTCACATAAAAAAAGCTCGACGAAACCAACAAGACGTCTACGCAGTAAACCTGTCACCGCAACAGCACCGCGCAGGTGACAATACTACCCTAATTGGATAACGCAAGCATCGCCGGTCGTATTAAGCTAGTGGAATCTGTTTCGCAAGCTATGCTTTCGATGAATCTTTAATAGTCCACAGAATGACAACGAGAACAATATTAAAAAAAGTATTACATTTATGCCAATTATTTTTTTCGTTAGGTACTTTTTACTTTCTATAAATAAAATTCATGGCAATGGCTCTTTTTAATTGGCTTATTTTTAATAATGTATTCCATTATTCATTCTGGGTTAGATGTTTAATCAAATTTATAGTTGTTGATATTCATTTGTGGTATTGAGAAAATGTGTTTGTGTTGGGATAATCGTGAATATGCTTATTCATTAAGTCCCGTCTATACAATACTACGTTCTGTGGTTGGGCTTTTGTAATATCTCACTATCACGTAACATTGCTAGTTGCTTTTGATTCAGTCTGCCGTTCAATATCGCGCGTGCGCCACTTTCTACAGCGACAGATAAAAAATATTAAATGTGAGAATAGATATGGAGTTACGTAGTGACGTTTTGGAACTTAGAAACAACAATAACGTCAAAAATGTGTTGATAACGAAAAATGGCGCGCCAATCAAAAGTGACACGGTTGAAAACGACGAAAATGAGAGAGTGACCGGAAAATTTAAAAATTCTCGGAGTTATCTTGAGCTCAGCAAAATGAGCTCCTTTCAGAGCTTAGACATAATTGAGCGTCGAGTGCTGGTTATTTATACTGGCGGAACTATTGGCATGGTAAAGAATAACATGGGTGGTAAGTTTATCTATTATTCAAACATGTTATAGAATTTATTTATTATATTTATATAAAATTTAATTAAACTTTTATCTATTATTAATATGTATACAATTTCAAGAGCTGCAATATGCTGCCAATTTATTTGTATAGAAATTATTACAAATCTTAATATAACTATTTCATAAAAAGGTCGCTCTTGTGTAATTTATGCCTTAACGGAAACGAGTTTGTGCAATAATGAGGCTAAAAGATATAAGACAAGTATTGCATTAAAAGGCCATTGTTGGCTTAAATCGTAATTGTCATAACTTTACGTTTTACTCTATTATGGTATTCATTCAGGCAAGTTTGTAAAACTTTCGCTTAAGCAAAAAGCCATAGAAAATAAGAAGGCGCAATAATAAGGAGTAGGTTTACTTGTGTACTCTCTCATTAGAGTTTCCGCAGTCACGATAATCCATATCGTGTCTGTCTTTATATGATCCATAAACAAGTATTGTGACGTTTTCATCAAACAGTACAGCTTAATTTGTTTATCCTATCAATAGAGCATTCATATCTCTATGACGCTGTGTTTGTTGATTTTACTAAGTTAAAGCTTCCGATTTTTGTATATTCAACAACAAAAATTGTTTTCCTTCATAAAAACATACTCAAGTTTACAAAACTACTAAAACTATCCTTTACTGCATGGAGGTACTGTTCACAAAAATGATTGTGATAGTCTTAGAGGTGAATACAGTCGCACAAATTATACCAGAATAACTGCGGTTTAGCCATTTCTTAGATTAGCGCGCACGAACGCACAAAATTTTAAAAATCATTGTTTTGGGTTCTATTGCGTTGATAAAAGCCCAACATAATATTTTTTCTCAAATATCTTCCATGTACAGACAACGATCAGTTACATGTTTATTTTATGTATAGATTAATGAAATAAAACGAATTAAAAAATTATAAAGTGCACAGTAATATACTTTCGTGGTGCATAGCAAACAAGAAACCATAGAAGTAAAGTCAAAGTCAAAGTCAAATATCTTTATTCAATATAGAAGCATTAACTTCTTATTGATAGTCAAAAAACTGTACCATCGGTTCGGAAGGAAAGCCACTGACCTGAGAAGAACCGGCGTAAGAAACTCAGCGGGACATTTTTTTTTACTTGCTAAAAAAATTACAAATATGTGTACAATTATTAAATTCCACTTGAAATAGCCTGGATCGATCAATTCATTTCCAGAGTGTTTTATCATTCATATAATCACTAATACTATAATAGCCATTAACACACAAACGTTCCTATACAAGTTTTTTGAATTTAGCAACGGATTCATTTTGAACGTTTTCTGGGATTTCGTTGTAAAAGCGTATACATTGTCCCATAAAAGATTTACTTATTGTACGCAATCTAGTTGAGGGTAGAACTAATTTATGCTTGTTCCTAGTATTTACATCATTTGACTTTGACTTTGAAATGAGTTTCCATTACCATTTTTTCCGTTTTTCTTCTGCGTTCCGTAAATGCACTGACGTATCCTGATTCATATCGAATTATGACCGATAATTACTATTCTGTCAAGTTTTGGGGGCAATGACCGCCAATTATTTATAACCTAGCTCCGACTGCCTGGCCTAGAACACGCGACACCTGCATAGTTGCGGTTTCTAAAATAGACGAGGTAATTAATTTCTTCCGCAGTTTTTTTGTCTATAACCCTGTCGGCAACTTCGCCTTGTGTTGTGTATTACAGACGGGAATGAGAGCGCGTCTATATAATCGGCAGATGTTTTATGAAAATATTTACTGTTCATTATGGTTAGTGTGAACAGTAGAACTTCATTCGACGCCAATAATCCTTGCAGCTTGCAAGTCTATAGAAGAGCATGAGCGCATGAGCACATGCGCGGCCCTAATCACAGCGGAGGGCCCAAACCCGTGGGTTCTGGCTAGCCCACCGGTTCTGCGTCAATGAAGCTTTAATAGTCTCGGGACTGAAAGCAAAAACATCAGTTAATACAAGATCCCCTCATAAAGGCTGGCTTTACACCCGTGAAAGGTTGATCATGGTATGGATGATGACAACATGGACGTCAGCAATACTACGGGTATTGCTGACGTCCATGTTGTCATATGACTTAAAACATTCTAGAAAAAACATCAATGTTAATGTTGTTAGTTTTTCTCCAATAAAGGAGGACGTTCTCAATTTGATTCTTTTTATGTCTGTTACTTTAGAACTCCGTTATTTATGAAACGATTTTTAAAATTATTTTTCTGTCCTAGTTCGGTTGAGCTCCCATGCTATTTCCGTGGGTATTGAACATGGACTCTGGAGATACACCAAGAAACTTCAAATTAAATAGGAAATGTATAGTGAATGAGTCATTTGATGTCGGTTTTGTTTTTTTTGTCAAAATAATTGTTTCAACGCAAATGGTACCTTACGAACCTATATACATAATCTTTGATGTAAAATTTGACGATTAATAAGAGCGCGCAAGCGTCTATTTGAATAAATATATATATATTTTTTGAAACCTACATAAAACAAATAAGGATCGATATTGACTTTGAACTGTGATATCGAATCTTTACTATTAATTGTAGAGGTCATAGTGTTAAATACATGCATTTGTTATCTATTGACACTAACACTTAGATCCAATCAATGCTATGTCAATATTAATATATTGGAGTGATAAAAACATATAGGTACGTACGAGTAGGAAGTAACTTCGAGAAATACTGAACTTTGCTATTAGAAAATATTAGTTCGAAAAAAGAAGTAAAGAACACATTTTTGTAGATAATTCAACTTAAATGTAGATAATAATTTTCAAACAATTTTTATTAAATTTTCAATATTTTTTTTAAAGATATGTTAAATTACAAATACGACATAGGTTTTCTCAAATAAATAGATGATTATAAAAAGGTTAAGTTACATACCTAGTATGTTTTGGTAGAAATTCAATATTAATCAATAATTACTATATTCATCTATAGTAATTATTGAGTCTTCGACTCCGACAAAATATTAACGAGTTTCTATATTAAAAAGTTGTTAATGGAAAAATTAAGACACCTGAGTTTTTATTTGAAATCTTGCTAATGTCTCTTTACCAAATAAAAGAATACGTAAATCTTTCCACATTCCTAAATCTCGTACAATTTATAGAAGTAATTATTTTATTATAAGGTTAGCGAAATTTATAAATAAGCAATTGAATATTGACCAGTTTTATACCTCACCAGCGTTTGCCAAAGCAATCCTTACTAAAGACTACTTCAATGATATAACTTTGTAATAAAACATGTTGTTAGCTTAACTGTCTCATATTTTAGTTAATGTAATTGTACGTAAGTCCTTTTATTTCTTGTATTTATTTTGTATTCTCCGTTGCATAAATGAATATTACTAAAGGTGAAAACTTGTAAGTGGCTTCTTAAAGGCTTCAAAATCACTTTATTATTATAATTACTTATTAATATTATAAGTATCCGGAGGACCGAGCTTTGCTCGGTTTGTTTTTTTTTCGGTAAATCGTGGTAAATCGTGTATTTTGGAAATTACATTTAGATACAAATTACTGAGTAATGAAATTTGCATAATATTTTTCGATCTTACCGACGTAATAATAAGAAAATATGAACTAATTTTTTTCACAAAAGAAAGAACTAAAAAAAATTTTTCGATCTTACCGGGAAAAAAAAATAACAAAATAACAAATCGACAAAAAATTAAAAATAAAGAAAGCAATGATCTGGAATCGAAAAAAAAGTAAAAAAATAAATGTGTAAATGATCGTGACGCGAACCACGGCCGTCTGTTTAGGGGCCGCCCGATTATCGACTGAGCTATTTTGACATTTTCTCTTGCGGCGAAATTTACCGTCATATTCGAATTATATTATTCATTCCCTGAAAACAGGGATAAAAGAGCTAGATCGATTTTTCGCCCCCGAATCTATGCGCATACTAAATTTCATGAAAATCGCTGGAGCCGTTTCCGAGATTCCGATTATATATATATATATATACAAGAATTGCTCGTTTAAAGGATAAAAGATTGTATGTATTGCTGTCAGTTGTCAGAAAGAAATTACGCCATACCTGGCGTATCCGCAAAAACACCTTTGAGAAATATAGAGATACTAGCGCACCCAACGGAAAGGAAACCTCTACTCAGCGAAAGGAATATTCCTACCAAATTTCAAGTCTCTACGCCTTATGATATATACATATATAGTAATAGTTTGATATCATTCTCGGGGATGTCTTCATGCTATGATTTCCATATAGACGTACAAATAAGAAAGCATACAGTAATAAAATCAACTCAATAGGAAATATAAGTACTACTACGATAACATTGTAATGTTGGTGCATCATTTTATAGTTCAAGATAACATTCTTTAGGAATATCAAATAACAAGGTATTGTTTTAAAACATTATTACTATGAAGTCAACTATGGTGAATAACTTTCAATACAATTGAATAGTGGAAGGCATTGATTTGCAGAAGAGACAGGGTACGTAGGTGTAGTATAGTGTCCTTGTGGGACACCAGCGTTCACGGGTTTGGCGTCTGACCTTCGTGCTTTAAAGTATGAGAAATCTGATGGTCTAATTGCATACTTTCTCAGGAAGCCTGCATCAAGTGCTCTTGGAACGAAGTGCTTTGTGCCATACTTCATCGATATCTTCATCAATATCTTTTTTATGTCTATGATGATTTTACGTTCTATTTAGCTCCAAACGCTAAGAAAACAATGTAGAAGAATGCGTTAAGATTTTCGTCGGTGTGGCAATCAGCAATTCGTTTAGCTCAGTGGCTAGAGCGTCAGGCCGCGAATGCCGAAGACGTGGGTTCGATTCCCACAGCGGCGACAATCTTTTCGCACTTTTTCTACATATTTTAATGTTCAATCTTAAGTGCAAAGATTAGCACTATAAACAATTTAAATTTCCAAACGAAGTTTGTTTTTTGATTGTATTATCTTCCTTAGACCTTACCTCAAACTGTACTATTACAGGCACAATGTTAGATATCTAGACTTTTGCGGCAGAGTTTAAGCAACAAAAGAGTGGATGAGAAATTTCCACATTCAATCCATTACATTAAGGACCACGCATTCCTAATTCAATCTTTAAACTGTACATTAATTTATCATTCCTAAAATAAATCTGCTGCCCTAGGCCAAAAACCTAATCCTTTGGTGGGTGATTAAAGTGTTTTTGTTACAGTACTGGTACCACAGAAAGGTGCTTTTGAGAATTTGATTCGTACATATCCACAATTGCACGACAGTGCGTTATGGAAACAAAAGCTAAGCGAATGCGGTTTCGACACTTCGTTTCTAGTATTGCCAGGTTGGTAATTTTAATATTTTACAATTTTTATTTGCATCAGTGAAATCACTATGGACTATACCGATAAAATTATTGATCAAAATCTAATTTAAGAAACCTAATCGATTCGCTAGTTCTATTAATATGTTGTAGTGTTCGCTTACACTATTCCTATAAGTTATCATGTTTTCATTGCCGATTCTGTAACTCGTTAGAAATCTAAATACGCCTATGTCTATCGCATTAAAATTATGCTCGATTTCCTAAATCTATGTTGCATCTACATATTTAATATATTTATCATCAATATTAAACTACAAGCAACATGCGAAATAATCGGAGATATAAAATTTCCTTCATAAATGTAATGAATCTTGTGACAATTTCCAGATGCCAAAGACTTAGCCCTAAAGATAGTCTACAAAATAATAGAGTACGAAGATCTAATGGACTCTTCGAATATGACAGAGGCGGAGTGGATTAAAATTGCAGAGGATATAATGGTAAATTTATTGCGTTCTTATTTATGTACTAGCTTATGCCCCTGCATTTATCCCCGTGGATTTACGGTATTAAAATTAAAAATTCAAGGTCCAATATTCATTACAAATATTTCTGTTCATTTCTTCTGAACCTGATTTCGAACATACACGGAAATTTAAGTTAAAATTTTTTATTTAAAATTTAAACCCCACAATGTTCATTGAACTCCGAATGTTCATTGAACTCCGTTTAGCCGATTCGAAGCTCATTTGAGAAAGATCTGCGACAGATAGACAAACAAAAATTCTATAAGCTGTCAATCGTGATTGGGCATCGTATATAAATAACAATTAATTTTTGGCATTTGTTTTGAAATCAGAGAGAAACACTTCATTTTGATATTAATTTCACATATTGAATGGACTATGTTTCTTCGATGGGCGGATATTTTAATGAGGAACCTTTGTATCCTTTATAGAAAATTTTTGGGCGCCGTTTTCATTAATGTCTGTAAGTAATTAAATAATAAAAAATAAATCACATAATTCAAAATTCCAGCACGTCAGGAGTTAGGAATTAAAAAGTATGTAGTACTTTTTATTTCTAATCGTAAAGTCTTAATTATTATCTCAATCTAATGAGGATCGAATACTAAAGACAAATTGGACAAAAATAATTAAATCAAGGTCGGTGACCTGATTCCAATCAGACGATTGTCTCATTCGATCCCAACATTTTAACCAAACATTTGGCACTATTTGTATCGATTGCAATTTGTAAGCCTAAGTGAATTCGTCTTCCAGAAAGTAAAAAAAAAATGAGAAGCATTTTTTTTATTCTTAATTAGTTATTATTTTTCTTTTGCTAGGAGTTTTGCATCATTTATCGTAACCTACCACGAGGGCGCTGAGCTAAGTCTGTTGCATTCAGTTATCAAGGTCACTGGCATGGTGCGGCTTGAGAGGGGGAAATCCACTGCAATTATGAAACTGATGTAAATTACAATTGCTTACTTTTACCATTGGCAAGCTTAGGGTCCAAAATCCGAAGCTCTCTCGGATGTGTGGAAATGACTCTTGCTCTGCACTTGCAAGTCCCCTGGCTGCTGCTGATTTTTATTAAATTAGTTTGTACAAATGTATCATTAAAAACGACAGATAACAAGACTGCAGAGTTTGTCGCCGGTTCTTCTTTCGTCGGGTCTAGTTTAGTGAACCGGTGTTACTTTTTTTTGACTATCAATAAGAGATTAAATTAAGCTTAATAAAAGAAATTTTGACTTTTGACTACTTCATAGGTCGGAAATGTCTTTCAATTCTTCTAACTACCAGCTGGAATCGCTTTTCAACTAAGATCGCTGCTTTGAAAACTTCCCTCGAATACCAGTTTCGAATTTTTGCCTTGAACCGTATCAGCTGTCAGTTCGTTGTGCCCTCTGTCCAGGGTTGTGATATTGCACTGGTTTGTCCAGAAACATTACTCGCAGTACGACGGGTTTGTGGTGCTTCAAGGAACCGACACGCTCTCGTACACGGCTTCAGCTCTTTCCTTCATGTTCGAGAACATTGGGAAATGCGTCGTCATAACTGGATCTCAGGTACGACATAATGACCCATTAGCTTAGAATACTAAGTGGAGATGTTGTTATTGATAACATGGTTATGCTTAATACAGCATTATATTGGGCATTGTGAATGCATCGATACTAAAATAAAAAGTGGTATGTATGATGAATTAATTATTAATTTATAATCAGTATCTTTAATTTAATTGTGAACTATATTTTGTGTAACAAACACATGTATTAAAAGGATTTTATTGGGTTTTGGAATTGATTTCCGGCGTTAAAGATTGCGGAAGAGCTAGCAGTTTGTACACTTACTTGGTTTTCTTTATAAAAGGCATTCGGAAAGGGAGTTTTAGACTGTTCGACTTGTTTTAACTGGTTGAGTAGTCCAAGGTCCGTCTCCACTATGGCCGGTTTTAATAAGGATTTTACTATCCTGACGCGGGGGAATCCTTTCAGATACCGATATTCGAGCCGCGAAGCGACGGCGCTGACAATTTTGTGTCGTCCCTCATGATCGCTGGCAGCTTGAACATACCTGAGGTCACTATATTCTTCGGGAGTAAGCTGTTTAGGGGTAACAGGTAGGTAAATTTATTTCCTTTTTTTTAGAACGGAAAATGAATGGTTTACTTGTTTTGAATGATTACTGCCGCTCGGGTGTTGGCATGGCAGCTTTGAAGAGATCGGGCCCGGCTACCTAACATAAAGGACGGAAGGCAGAATATAGGTACTCCAAGCCTACGGCGCTCTTTTCGCCGTGCTTCTCTGAGCAAATAACAAAAAATCCATAATATGAATATCCAAATGAGTGTGTTTGGTGATATCCATTTTTTGGCCATAAGGGACAACTCGCACGATGTTAAACTTTATGTGTTTATAAACAAATGTTGTAAAAAAACTATAATTATGTTATATTTCGTACTTAGTGGCAGTCTGTGGTGGAGGTCTATGTTCAGTAGTGGACTCAAACAGACTGAAATGATGATTTTGATGTTATATTTTACATCATCCGAGATTTTTATTGACAAGACAGAATAGATAGATCAACGCGAAAAGAAATGTATTATAACCTAAAATTTCATCCCAACATAATTGTTTTCATATATTATGTTGCAATGTTTAACTGTATTTTTCTCGCCCATTATATTGCATGCTGTCAGCGCCTTTAATTGTAATGACACTAATGAACAGTTGATGTATATTTATTTTCCTAAGTCTTAAGTAGTGTACATTATGTTGGCGTTCTTTAAATAAATAAATAAATAAAAATAAATAAATAAATGTAATATAAAATATTGTCTTAAAAGTCCTTTTCAAACATACCAAATAACATGTTCCAATGAAAAGTCTCACCATATTCGGACACTTTCACAATATTCGACAGCTCAGGGTGTACCAAAATTCTCATTTGTCCCATTCAAACCCATATCCGAGGACCCGCAAGATATCCGTGAACAATTTCTTCGCTTTCGACTCGCCGAACTGCGTGCCTCTGGTCGAGGTGGGCATCGAGTTCCAGGTGAATAAGAAGGTCATCTTCAAGCCGACAGTCATCGAGAGGTTCCAGCTGCACGCCAAGATGTCGAAGAACGTGGGCCTACTGAGGATATTCCCCAGCATCAGCGCCTCCGTCATCAGGGCTTTCTGCCAGCCCCCTATTGAAGGTACGTAACTTGCGGGGAAGTCTTTTCCTTTCTTATTTTTACATATAATCTACTAGCTGCTGCCCGCGACTGCGTCTGCGTAGAATAGGCTGAAAAGGCGTAACATTCAGACAGAAAGTCAGATATACATAAAATATGTACATTATTTATAGCCTATGTCTTATTCTGATGTATAAGCTATATTATTGTAAAGTTTATTTAAAATCCATTCAGTAGTATTAGCGTGAAAGAGTAACAAACATCCATCCATACATAAAATACATACATATTAGTATAAGGATACGTCTCCTCGTGTTTCATAGACAAAAAGAAGGTAAAAAATAAACCTTAATATTTATTTCATTCTATTATTTCATTACATTATATTTATTGAAACTATAGGGTCATAAACTACATATAGAGAGTTCTGTTACATTTATGTTATTTAGTAACGACCGTTAAGCTTCACTCTGCTTCTAGTTAAACCTCTTTTGAATTGTTTCCATTATTTACAGCTCACGTAAAATTTTTGTGTAAGTTGTTCTCTCTCGTTTGAATCGGTGTCTGAATCGCTTCCTGTCTCGCTCGGTTGAACATACTTTTTAAAAGTTACATAAAGTTCTGTTAAGCGATTTTTGAACTTGACGATGCACACATTGTTCTAAGCCTCCTTTACTGATGAAGTATTGCGCAGCTATTACATTAACAATGAACAATAACATTTTTATTACCAAGAAACGAAACCGTGTTCAAATGTCTCAGTTACGATACATTTTCTATTTGGTATTGGGGGTTTCCTGATGTTTCTCCGGAGTCCAAGATACAATATCAAATAATTGATATGAGACTAAACGGAAGCTAAACCGAACCTTATGGTAGAAGAATTATCTCACTGGGTTCGGTGATAGAGCCACGTATCAGTTTCTGCTGTTGCACGAGTGGGCAGCCCCGTCCGGGGGAGTACCACGGCGTCACATAACTGACAATATAAAACTTTCGCGTTCCGGGTGAGTGAGGTAGCTGGGGCCCACTTTTCAGTAGTCGACAATGTATCTATCTGCAACATATAAACACTTCTGCGTTTCGTCTGGTGAGTGAGGTAGCCGGGGCTCACTTTATTTAGAGGTGGCATCGCATTTGCAACTCTACGGGTGTTGCAAATCTTCATGGGCGGCGAATATTACTTAATATCAGATGAACCGCCAGCTTGTTTGCCACTTTTCCAAATTAAAAAAAAGCATTTTTATGTCAGGAGTAGTTCTGGAGAGTTACGGCTCCGGGAACATACCGTCCAATAGGCAGGACATTTTGGAGGAGGTAAGGGCGGCGGTGGGGCGCGGCGTAATCTTCGTCAATATCACGCAGTGCAATACAGGCTCTGTCACCTCCCTCTACGAGACCGGGCGGGTAAGTAAGCAGTTTTCTATAGCCGCGCTTACCGTACCGCTTAGTACAATCGCCACCACTTTGTCTAGTAGTTTGCATCGTGTACTTTGTACATTCGCTCATTCCGTAATATGCAAAGAAAACAACGCATTGTTCACCGCGTTGTACAATCGAGTAAAATGTGCTGATTTATTACAATTTTGTAAGCTGTGTTGTGAAATATGTGTGTACTTTTTTTAATCATCGTATAATCGTGTACATACTAGTCTGAACTGTATTCTGATATACCAGTAGTGTTTGTACATTAACGTACAGTCGCGTCAGTTGTGGATTATCTACTTACTAGTAATGAATACAATTTTACATCAATGTTTGGTTTATTGGTTTTGTACTTAATAACTAAAAAATACTATTTGATATACAGCGTGTCGTTACCATCGCGACAATAAATGAACACAGGTCTAACGCTACTTGCCAATAATCATAAAAAAATATTAACGTTAAACAAAATCCATAATTAAATTTTTTTTTTAAACAAACTAATTGAGTAAAAAAGAAACAAACTTTGTAACATCCTATACAACTCGCGCCACAGCGTCGCATTACAAGCCTCTCCTTCTAACAGTATGTTTTGTCTTTTAAATTCATTCAACCCATTCATATGCTTTGTGACCTTTACAAACGAACTTTACGTTACAGTTTTATACGTAAGGGTGTTCTAAAATTGTTTGTTTTGGAAAATGTAATAACTCGGTAAATATTGATGTTTAAAGAAGGTAAATGTTTGATACAATTTTAAAATGTTATCCTCTATATGTGTGTTCATTTATTGTCGCGGTGGTAACGACACGCTGTATAATTAAAAACACCGCATTGTCACGTACAATAATTAGAATTATTTTCACACTGTCATAATACATACGTGTATAATGATAGTATGCAAATAATTCCTGTTAGGTACATAATATGTAACTCTTCTACCTAACAGGAATTATTTGCATACTACCATTTTCAAGATTTTTTACATGCTTTACTGTACAGTCGCGTGTATTTTTATTAACAGCTGATTGCCGAGTGCGGCGTTGTGTCCGGCTTCGACATGACGCCCGAAGCGGCGCTTACCAAGCTCTCGTACGTCTTGTCCAAGACCGAGCTCACTTACCAACAGAAGACCGAGGTGATTTTAAACCTTCCGCAATTGAGCTAGAGCTCATTTTTGTTTGCATGCTCATACTTTGTTTATGTTCTAGATGATGGCGACTAATATAAGGGGCGAGTTGACCAGCGTATCCACAGTAGCTTTTGAGGTGCGTTATAAATAATTACTAAATGATCGTTATTTATTGTACTACGACTTAGGATTGAGCTATACTAGCCTAAATCGAGTACCTGTTACGCCTGTTCCTGTTCCTTAAAAGTAACAGTGACAGAAACCTGTTACAAAATAACAGCTTGTTATTTCATACTATGTTGTGAGCATTTGTGTAACTGTTATCATAGTAACAGCTGTTACAGTATTTCACTTAGGTTCAGTAACAAATGTGACAGGGTGCAACAGCTTTTAACTATATCTAACAGTCGTAAGTATGAATAAAGAAAAGCTTGTGACAGCGTGTTAAGGAGCAACTTGTGTGGAACAGAAACTGATGTTTAAGTTTGTTCGTAACACGTACAGTCCGTTATCTCGAGATACCTGTTATATTTACCTGTTACGGTAAATACGCCTCACTCCTGCTATGACTACACGGCAGCCTCGCCTGTTGTCTTACAGTGTCTACGTCAAGGTGACTTCTACTGTTATTAACACTGAAATTTTTATGATGAGCCAACTTCGTGTAAAGCTTATAAATTATCTGATAACACGATATTTGTGTTGAAATTGAAATGAATATAAATATGGGAGGTTTTAATGTTTGAAGACCCCAAGACCTCCCAGAGATCGTCACAATGAACAATACATTACCATTTAAATCTATTATTAGTTCTATGAGCGGTGTGGCCTGACAACGTCAAATTACAAATCCGAAGAGTTATGTCGGTGATTCTGGTTCTTCGACGAATTTTAGCGTTGAGAATCGTTGCATTTACAGAGATTGGATGGTCTTTTAGAGAAGCTCAAAACCATCTAAAAGACCATCTTTCTAAGATCACGTCTCAGTGCCATACGTGATCACTGGAAACAACATGGTTGTATACCCTTGTCTCCAGTCACTGCGGAATCTTAGAGAAGATTCAAGTTGTATATTGTTGAATACAAATACTGTTTTATGTTTATATGATTGTATATTGAAAATAATTAACATATATAAGTATAAACCAGTGAACAGAATAAAAATAACAAACTTACTAAATCGAAACACTAATCTACCAAAAAGAGAAAGAAAAAAAAATCAAAGTCGCAAGTCAAAAATAGTCATACTATTAAAATACTTACAAATTAAATTTGATTTTTATATATCTCCTGTTAGGACAACACTTTGATTGACGCAATCGCGAGTAGTCTGAATATCCAGAGCCCAAAGAAGTTGGTAGAAGTGACAGAGAAGGTGTTCAGCGCCCTCCTTATGTACGCGATAGAGAAGGACGACTTACGCGGCGTTAAGAAGATGCTGGGTGAGTCTGTCTCTTGGAATCTTTCGGGTGTTTTCGTTTTTTCATGGATGGCCATGCATTTAGTTTATTGTGACCTAAGAAAGTTTAATTGCACAATCTACAAGTTAACTTTAAAAAAAAATGAGAGACCAGCGAAACGTCAAAGTCAAGTGACCGAGGAACAAAAAGATGGATATAGTATACTGAAATTCTTTACTGTGTCCATCCTTCTGCGCGATAGTTATGTTTGTAAATGGACCAAATTATTTATTCATCGACATAAGATACGTCTATCGGTAGTCATTCTTTTTAAATCTACCATCGTTTTGTAATGATGTTCCTGTAACGAAGAAGAAACAGAAAGAAACTCCGCAGATATACAGGCTTTGCGTATTTACTGGGATAATTTTACTTTTTGTAAAGCGTAATGCTTGCTTTGTAGACGGTGTTGATTCAAATTTCATTCAAATATCTTTATTGAATATAGAATCATTAAACTTATTGATTTTATCTACTTACTTATTTATAATACAACTATCGGTGTCGGTACCGGAGCTTTTAAACCGACTTCAAAAAAGGCGGAGGACGACTCCAAAACTGTTACATTTTGTTAGAGGTTAGGTAGGTTCGGTTTTATAGGTGATTATATTAGATTTGGTATTATTTTAAACTTTCTAGTGCTGGTAGAGCTGGTAGAGTTTTCGGAGGCGGTTCTTTTTTTGTTAGAAACTTTTTCTTTGAATTGATCTTTTCTTTGATTTTTTTTTATTGATCTTTTGATTTTAAAATATGTAGAAGCAATGGCGACATCTCTCGTTCGAGTTATCGTTGTAAAACAATATTGGAAATTGTTTGTATGCTGGAAAGGATATAACAATAGATGGCGCCAAGCATTGCTTCAAATGCTAAGAAAACAATGTGGAAGAATGCGTTAAGATTTTCGTCGGTGTGGTAATCAGCCGTTTAGCTCAGTGGCTAGAGCGTCAGGCCGCGAATGCCGAAGACGTGGGTTCGATTCCCACAGCGGCGACAATCTTTTCGCACTTTTTCTACATATTTTAATGTTTTTCTACATATTTTAATGTTCAATCTTAAGTGCAAAGATTACCACTATAAACAATTTAAATTTCTGATCTTTTGATTGTTAGATATGGGCGCGGACGTGAACGCGCAGGACTCTGACGGAAGGAGTGCGTTGCACGAAGCAGTCTTGAAAGGAAACATCACCATAATAGAGTACCTCCTGAAGAGTGGCGCAAGCGTCCATTTGAAGACTAGGCAAGTCGGCACGGTTATTAATGTATACGGAACTTTTGCTTGAACAAAAAAATCTAATTAGCTTATAAACTTATCAAATCAAATCAAATCATTTATTCATCGTAATAAGAAACATACATTTCATCTATCGTTAGTCATTTATTAAATCTACCACCGTTTCGTAATGAGGTTCCTCTAACGGACTTAAATCGTGGTACTTTCCCGGACGGACCTGCCTATTCGGCCACGCAGCAGCTTTGGCTGTTGCACGAATGGGCAGGCTCGTCTGAGGAATTACCACGGCCTCACAGAAAATCGGCATGAAATGAAAGTTATATACTTTCGTGTTTCGTCCGGTTAGCGAGGTTACCTTGGGCCCTTTTTTTTAAGAGCTGTCAATGCGTCTAAAATCTGTTTTGTAGATGTTCACGCATGCTGGCCTCACAATTTGTCACTTGAAAATATTCAAAAAGAATTTTTAAAATCAGTTTATAAATAACGGAGTTCTGAGGTAGCAAACGTAAAAAGCAACGCACGGCCGAATTGTGACCTACTTTACCCTTGGAAGTCTGTGGAAAAACCTATGACTCTAGACAGGTTAACTGTGGTAGGGCAAACAATAGAAACAGGTTTCACTGTTGCACTAACGGACAGATCCGTTCGGTTAAGCACCATTCCCTGGCAGAAGGTGGCACTGTTACCATTCCGCGTTTCGCCCGGCGGGCTACATAGCCGCAGCGCACAAAGGTGGCAACGCGTCTGCCACCGCGCGGGCGTTGCAAAGCGGCGAGCTCGCATGCCACCTTATCACGTAGCGATGCCACCGGCCCACGCTAAAAAAGGTGCGGCGAATCGCCGCTGACGGCCGCGAGGAGGGACGACGCGCCCGCGCACATCGAGGGTGGCAACGCGTCTGCCATCGCGGGCGTTGCAAAGTGGCGAGCTCGCTTGCCACCTTCCCACATAATGCCAGCAGCTCACATTAAACAGGTGCGGCGAGTCACCGCTGCTGACGGCCGTGAGGAGGGACGACGCGTCCGCTATCGAGCTGCTGCTCCAGTGCGGCGCCCACCTCACGACCGCCGACCACAAGTCGGCCGCCGTGCTGATGGCGACCGCGGCGAGGGGCGGCGACGTGAGGAAGCTCGAGGCGCTCCGGCTGGCCGGCGCAGATCTCAACTCCAGCGACGAGCTGCACCAGACGCCGCTGCACCAGGTGAGCGGATCGCCGTGGGCCGCGCTCGTCTTATGCCCGGTTCCTATAATCAACGAACGGCCGTTAGCTACATATCTTCGTAACGTTCATAACGCCTCGTTGTAACGACTTCATAGTGACTATGTAACTATTTTTTTTAATGTGAAAAGTTGCCAAACGAGCAGACGGTTCTGATGATGTTAAGTGAATACCGCCGCCCACGGACATCTGTTACACCCGAGGGTTGCAGATGCGTTGACAACCTTTGGAAAATTGGGCTCCGGCCACCTCACTCACCAGACGAAACGCGAAAGTATTATACTTCCACTTTACGCCGGTCTTCTGTGAGGTCGTGGTACTTACCCGGACGAGCCTGCCCATTCGTGCAACAGCCGAGGCTGCTGCATGGTCCTACCACCGTCAAGTCAATGTTTGGAGCATTTGTTTTTGTATACTTAATTGCACTGCGTTGTACTCGTACTAACGTCATATATAAAACGACAGAGTGTGAGTCCACCGTGAAAACGGCCGTTCGTTGAATATCGGAACCGGCCATTGGGTCCCGCGCCCAAAGGGTGAAACGGGACTCTATTACTGAGACTGTCTGTCAAGTGTGGTAGGACCATGCGACAGCGTTCACTGTTGCACGAATGGGCAGCTCCGTCCGGGCAACTGCCACGACCACACAGAGGACCGGCGCCCACTTTATTTAAAGGTGTTGCAAATTTCCATGGGCGGCGGTTATCACTTAACAACAGTTTAACGCCAGCTCGTTTGGCACTTTCTCACATAAAAGAAGGAAGTAGTATTTTCGTCCGTGAAGTCAACTTTAGGCTCCATTTGAAAATCAGCCCTACGGACCAAAAGGACGGCAGCAATTTGCTGAATCGGAGTTCCAGTTTGACGCCGCAAAAGTTCTCTTTCCGTATCTTTTGTTTTAGTATTTCTTAATTAAGTGATGTCAAATGAATAGTTTTTCTTTATTTCTTCTTAAAATATGTAGAAAAACATACTACCTTTCTCTACATATTTTAATATTCAATCTTAAGTGCAAAGATTAGCACTATAAACAATTTAAATTTTTATTTCTTCTTTCTCATCGTTTTTTTAAACTTTTCTCTTAATGTGTGATAATATGATGTAAGGATGTCTTACTACTCACGTCAATTTCACGCGGACTAACACCCAGACGCGAAACAGTTATCTGTGGGTCGCACAAATAGTTGTATCGTGTTCGAATCGAATCCACTACCCCCGGTCGAAGCATTAACTGCGCCATGGTAGCTTAATTGTCATCATTATTATTTCGGCAAACGTTGTTTTGCCATATAAATTATTTCTAGAGGAATCGGAACGCACACATAAAGTGTTTGACAGGTTACACATGCATAGTTGACAGGTAGAGTTTGTATGGGAAAATAAAATTGCTGCTATTTCGGTTTTCCATGCAATTTTTCCATAATTTCTTATCGTTTAAACCTTCACTGGACTGCCACAAATATTTCACAACCAAAATTAGCCATTTCGGTCGAGCCGTTTTCGATTTTTAGCGAGACTAACGAACAGCAATCCATTTTTATATATAAGAAAGATTAATGCTTCTTTTTATAATTGAAAACATTCACTTTGTGGACATTACAGGGTGTCCGGTTAGTGGACCGACGGGGGTTGTTGATAGAGGGGGTCCCTATTTAAGTGAAACATTAAACTTCGTTGTCTTAAGCCATTTTTATGACATTTACAAGAAATTTTTATGACTTTAACGAATTTATTATATGTAATAATATATTCAGGATAATATATAAACCCAGAGAGCCGTGATAGCTCAGTGTCCGGGCCCTCGCCTTTAATTCAATATACTCGAGTAACCTGAGTTCGATCCCCGGTGCCGGCACCAGTGAAGTTTTTAACTAAGTGCTGACTTATCACGTGCTCCGCGGTGAAGGAAAACATCGTGAGGAAACCTGCTTATTTTCGAAATAATAACAAAAAAAAATATTTCGAAGATATGTGAAGTCCGCCAATCCGTAGTGGGGCCGCGTGGTGGACTATGCCCTGATACCCTCTGTATAGAGGAGGCCTTTGCCCAGCAGTGGGACATGTATAGGCTGTTACTTTACTTTACTTTTATATAAACCCAATTCTGACCCTTAACTTCAATTTTGACCATTAGACCTCAAAGATGATGTGTTTTCGCCACATCTATGTTGCTATCTCTTTCCGAAGACTTGTCAGCTCATATTGTCTCTTTCTCTCTTCCGTCTAATAGGCGGTACTCTGCAATCAAGAGGTCGTCGTGAACTACTTGATCCAGAATCAAGTCAAAAGGGAAGAAGCCGACCGCGCGGGCTACACGCCACTGCAGTACGCGCAGAAACTAGGATACTCCGAAATTGCGGACCGTCTAACTATTTGAACCCAATAAATCGATTGCGAAGTTTGATTTGTTTTATTTGATATCATTTCTTGTATTGATATTTATAAATAAACAAATATTTCCAGACACATTTTACACAACGTCATCTAGTCCAAAACTAAGCCAAGCTTTTACTATGGACACTAGGTAACTGATAAACATACCTAAACGTACTTTTCGCTTGTAAATAAATACATATTATACATATGTAAACACTTACTCACTAGAAAAACATTACGTTCATCACATTTTTTCATAAGTGGGGTTCGATCCCACACCCTAATGATCGCAATAAAGCCGACTTTATATGGCTCATCCTTACATTCATAGATTATTTCTTACTTGATCAGACTATCATGCAACTAGAGGTCGGTACAACATCATAATCATGTTGTTAGTGGTATTGGTTTCCTGACAACAGTCTACGGTATGCACAAACATTTGGGCCCTGTGGTAATTGAGCCCATGACCACCGCCGAGGCCACTTAGCAACTGCACCACCCAGTTACTATATGGAGGATTCACGTAAAAGGCGGAGAACCAGTGGCCTTGACGTCAATCTGATGTGCTGTGAACTCACTCGCTGTCAATGCGGATCGTGGGTCTGTTCTTCATTCAGTTCAAGGGTTGCGCACTGATCAATCGGTATCTGCTTTTTAAAGAAGCTAGCAGACCATAAAAGAAGCAACAGCTAGTTGCTTCTTTTATGGTCTGCTAGCTACGTGATGATAAGTGATAACCGCCGCCCATGCACATTTTCAATACCAATAGGGTTGTGATGCGTTGCCGCGTTTTGGTTTCCTGCCGGTTTCTCCTCAACAGAAACTGCTTTCCGAACCGGTGGTAACTTACGAACGGATTAATTTTTTATGTAAAATTTTGTCATTTCATTACAACGCGCAAGCGTCTACGTGAATAAATATATTTTTGATTTTGATTTTGATAAAGTGGGCCCCGTCTACCTCACTCAGCAGACGAAACGCAGAAGTACGACATTTCCAATTCACGCCGGTCTTCTCTAAAGTCGTGGTATTTACCCGGACGGCCCTGCCCATTTGTGCAACAGCGAAGACTGTAGCGTGGCCCTACCAACATTATTCAATTTACATTGTTGCCATCAGGTCCTTCACTTTGTATGATATTGATGTTTCCATATTTGTTACGATTGTTTCTGTAATTAATATTCATGTTATTTTATTATAACCTATATGATAATCCACCATTCCAACAATGACAAACGTTTTGATCACCGCGTAAATGTTGGCACATAGGTATAGCGTAAGTTTATGGAAATTAGATATTTATTTTTATTAAAACGAAGCTTTAACTAGGTATTTCTATAACCAAAAATCGAGTTTAAACCTTTTAAGGCTATTCGACAATATGAACTCGAATAGTCGTATTTACGTTATAACTAGACTATATAGATAAATGGACCAGTTATTTAGGAATCTTATCATAGTATTTATTTTTCACTTCCCTCTACAAAAAGTCCTATATTACATTTTTATTTGTATGAATATAAACATATATGCAGAAAATGTTGGCACCTGCCGGTTAGTTGTTCTTCGATATTGACGGATTATGAGGATATATTTTAACTCTTCATTGCAATTTTTCCGAATGCACATTCCAAGAAAAGTTGTTGAATCCTCAAATGGGAGTATCTTCTTTTCATTATACAGGTACGACATACATATAGTTTTAGTAGGATTGGTAGATTAGGTTGGGTTTGAAAATAAATTATTGATTGCGACACAGTAAATAGTGACATAAAACAATTATTTTGGGTCATTGAGAATTCAAAATAAATGCAGCACGAGTGCAATTTTATTAACAAAAATAACAATCAATGACGTAACAATTATAGGCAAAATGAGGCATGGTTTAGTTTAGGCTTTATGGAACATGATGAATTCAGCGAGGTTCGCGCGTTGTTCCTCATCGAAGGGGCAGGGTGCGAACGATTCGCAGTCGACTCCGTTCCTTCCGGCCCTGAAGGCTTCCTCTACGGCGGTCGAGTTCAATATTGTCCCCAGAAGTGGGTTACTGTTGGCACAGATAAAAAAGGACGTAAATTTTATCATACCGCTATATATTTTCACAAAACTGTACCTTTTAACAGATCTAATAAAGCGGCTCCTAGTTTCCAGTCACTCCCTCCTCTGTTATACAACTTATTAAGGTAACGACGGGTAAATGGAATAAAGGCATATCTGAAAATGAATCTCAATTCGTTGTCGTTGTTTTGATATCAACGTTTTGCATTTAAAACTGTTTTCCGTAAGCAATTTAGCTACATATGAGGAGTGATCAGATATAAAGGCAAATAAATAAAAATTTGTGCGTCTCCAAGATATAATTTTTGACTTGGTGGCGCTATTGGTAAGCCATTGGCTTCAGCGCTGGGTGTCGTGGGATCGATTCCCACACGGGACAAGTATTTGTGTGACCCACAGATAATTGTTCCGGATCTGGATGTTGCTTCCTAGCAGGGGTTGACGTCAGGTATGCGACCGGTGGTAATAATTATATATATGTATATGTTTTTTTACGATATATATATATATATATATATATATATATATCGTAAAAAATATATATATATATATATATATATATATATATATGTAAACCATTAACAACATGACTCACAAGAAGACAAGAAACAATTTGTCTCAGTATTACAATATTCTGTATTGTTTCATGAAATAATAGCGTATTTATTTCAGCAAATTACCTGATCATTTGCTGCCAAATTTCCAGGTTCTCGCGGTTGGAAAATCGGCTGGCCCAGCAGGCTAGGCGGGATGGACAGCTGTGACTATTCGACGTTAGTGTCTTCGCAATGTCCAAAATTGCACTAGTCATAAATTCACCGTCGTTAGCTAAAAGAGTGTATTAAAAAATTGAAATAAACGCATGACAATATAAAGTTTTTTATTGTACTAAAACAGAATTTTATTCATTGGAATGTTTAAAAAAAAACGAAAGTAACCTATCTGTTGGCTATGGCGTTCTAATTTTAAATCGGCATTACAAAATTGTCAGTTATATTAACGTCATGGCTTAGAAAACAAACTTTAAGGGTTACAAAATAAAATTTCAGTGTAATAAAAAGTATCCAACCACTAAACCCGGTTATCATACTAAAAGCCGTAAGTACCTAAAAATATGAAATAAAAAAGAACATATTTTTACATATATAGCTATTTTGTTAGACGTCGACCGTCAATGATCATTCTATCATCGAACTATACTTATAATAATGAAAAACATTGATTCTAAGAGTCAACCGCCCGTGACAATATTATAAAAAATTACGAATTTTTTACAATATTGTCACGGGCGGTTTATTTGCCATCAAAACGCAGAAATCAGAAAGCAGATTAGATGCATCTATTTATTCCTTAATTGTACTAATGTCAGCTAGCCTTTAATTATATACAATCGAATTAAATTTGTACAGCATAAAATAGATTCCTCTCGTTGGATTAATCGTGTTGTATCGCTAGTTACTAAATCAAATTTCTATCCGTACACTAAAACTCTATCACTAAGTCATTTTACAATAACAACTGAGATATCTTTATAAGCTAAACATATCTTACTTTTAAATGTTAACTTAAATTCTTAATGTATCTCGAATAACGTATAAGTAAATTTAAGTTAACAGTGTGTCATATGAGGTCCGATTAACAAACCTTTATATCCCCACGAGCAAGCTTTTGTATTGCAATTTCTTAGTCTCCTGATCTCATATCTTAAGTGATATTATGCAATAGTTTTAATAAGCTATAACATTTGAAATAAATTTGATACTCATTACTAATTAATGACAGAGTGGAATGGTAAGAAAGGTTTTTAGCCAAAGAAAGTAAACTGTTAAAAATTATGGACATCAAACTATCTGGAAAAAAATTGTCAACAATTTTCAATCCTGCCAATGGTTCCCAAGATTGAATGCAATCATTAAGAGAGACAGAATCTGACATAAAACTGTTGATCTTGGCAGGTGATGGAGCAACTATACTTAATAGAGATGTTCATTGACAAAGTATCGATTTTCGTAACCGAGGAAGATGAAAATAGTGCAAAGAACAAAAAAATTATCATCAAACTGAAATTTGGTCCTAAGTTCGAATTCATCGTAAAGGAAGGCCAGATGGCGATTAATGAAGGCAAGGAAGATGACGTCATCGAGACAGACGAACACGGGCGAAGGAAATGGTCGAGAAGAATTCGAGTTGGTAAATCGTTCCTTTTCCCGTCCTACCCTGACACTTTGCTGATGTTGCTTAGCAAATTTCCGCTGGAAATCGAAGCATGGAATGACGATGACACAGAAGTAAATATATTCGTTGGTGTAGGTACAATGCAATGGCACACTCAGTTTTTCCACATGCTCAAAGAAACCGCCGACATATGCAAGGTTCATGAACCTTTGACCATCAAAGAGAATACACCATTGATGGCCGAATGCTGTTGCAAGCAAGCCGGTGAAATCACGTTTATTCTTAGACTCAGCGCTTTGGGAAACAGTATCACAACAGAGTTTCAACAACCAATGAAGGATCCTGAAGCATTTGTATTTAGAACAGATAAAGCTCCGAGCATGTTTCAATGTAAAAGGATCGAAGGCAGTGACCCCAATTTCTGTATGGTGGGCAGTCTGTACGAGACAACCACGCTTGAGGATCCTGACACTTTAAAGAACGCCGAAACGAAGATTGAAATTTGCACCGAACTATCGAGTTGTGGCAGGAAATCGAATGATAATAACGTCTGTGAACACACGAAAGCTGAAGATGAAAGTAATAAGAAGTCATATCCTATAAATAAGATTCGAATGGGTGATATAAAAGGCCCTTGTGGTAATACGAACTGTCCACTTGCTCATAAAGTGAAGATGTATATAAGGAACCTTGAAAGCTACAAGCGGGAAGCTGGCAGTATAGGCCATAAGACAGGTAATGTTACAAAGAAGGTTTGCGGTGCGTGTGATTGTAAAGACGACAGATGGCACAGAGAAACTTGCCCCCAAATGCAGGAAAGGAATAATCCCCAGTCGGGTTCTGGTAAGGCTGAATGTCCTGGTTGTAGCGGCGCCACTAACGCAGGAGACACGTGCGAGGATAGAAAGCAAAAACTTTTTGGTACCGGTGTAACTCCGAAGGGCAGTAAAACTCAAATTAATTACGTGTTCAGCACGCCAACATTTCAGAGCCGTAAAGAGGCCGCTAAATTAAGATACGATTTTATTATACAGAATTCGACTATTGATAATTATCTTATGCCTGAACCGAACGTTTCGGGCAATTGTTTTTGTTCTCAGTCGACGGTTCCCAATTTAGAGCAGGTCAACTCGTCCGAGAATCGAAGCATTTCGCCACAAAGGCGTGCGATGAATAACGCTGGTGGAAATCGATCGGAAAAGAACGTCAACGCAGACGATTCTAAAAATTACTTCGACGTGTACAACTGCGTCGTGGTGCGCGACGAAAAGGATTGCAACTGTAATCCACCGAAACCGACCCCACTGTGCAGGACTTTTGACTGCGAATGTATCACTGAAATTACTGAGGCCGCGTCGAGGAAGGCGCATCGACCTTACTGCCCTATGTACAAGCATAAGAGCACCTGCCCCGTTACTATGATGCACGAAGAAGAAGCGATGAAGGACGAGGACGAAGATGACGTTGAACCTTTGCCTTACGGCTTACCTCCAATATCACTGGGACCTTGTCCCGTAATGGGCAGACCTTGCAGCGTACCCGACGGCTTCGCCAGAATGTACAAAAACGCGCTGTTGCCACCCCTACCGCCGAGCTACAGCGATGCGGGCAAAGTTTGCTGCTCCAAGGAGTACGAAAGGATTAAGAAGGCGCTGCAAGATTATATGAGATATGAGAAGGATCACGACTTTAGATGTGTAAATAAATTCAACGTGGATACCGAGAAACGATGCTGTGATAAGGAGCAGCACTTATTGTCACTGATGGGCAGAGAATGCTGTGGAATGCATAAATTGGCGATACAAGAGAAATATAAAGAAGAGAAAAAGTGATTAAAGATAATTCGTTGATATTTTATTTTGTAACCCATTACCGAAAAACAAAATAAATTTCTTTTTACAATTAAATACTTCTTTCAATATAGGACATTATAACCTTTAAGATTAGGCAATAGTTATTAATTTTTATGCTTAACGTTTCACAAATCTGAAATGCTTATCAGACTACTCTTTACGTCATATTATTATAAATAATAACATCCAACATATCAATAGCGGTCAAGTTGTTCCTGAAACTTTCCTTCGGCTTAAGGGAAAATGGGCGAAGAAGAGGAAAATGAAAAGAAGAAGAAAAAGAAGAATGCATCCAAATACAATTACTCGTTTGGTGATGATTATCCTGGTAAGTAAGAGCCTGTGACTATTGTTTCTAAAAATAAAAGTAAGCTTAACGCCAATACCTTATGTATTGAGAAATATAGGCACTCGTAATTTACTCTAGTAGTCATCGCATTGAAAATAATATAGAACGAGGATTAAAAGCCATTTTTAAAATATTAAACAGTTTAAAGTATTTTGAACAGTCCTAACCACAGAACTTGTCACAGAAATTTATTTCGTTTTCATTTAATTTATTGATATTTAATATGTGTGATATTTTGCTCTTTTTGTTCCAGGGATTGTGATTGGGCACAAAACATGCAATCCATTTTTCAGACCGGGTCTTCCAGTCCCATCCGAGATGGGGTGGCTTTGGAATGCGTCCGACATACCTGGTCTGAAGGTGCATTATTCAAAGTTAACGCCGTTTTATAAAAAAAGTATAAATTATATATTCATTATAGGAATTAATTTAAAGCTATTTCATGCTTCTAGCCTCGACGTGGTTGGCAGCCCGGCGTTATCGGGAAGAGCGTTGCAAAAATGATGACCTTCAAATGCCCACGTGGCGGTCAGGACAAAGACAAAAGCAAGAAGAAGAAAAAGAAGGGCCAGAGGCCTGGTACGGATATGGGTGGTGGGGATTCGGAGCCCGAGGAGCCGCTTGAACCCAAACCAGCACTAAAAGTACAGAGAAAAGGAGATGTTTTTACCATACAGGTGGGTACGCATCATTATAGCAATCGAAGTCTTGAAGGAATTTAATGTACCTTTATAGAACTTTTAAGGTTTTTTCTCCAAGATCTATCTGCAAAGAGACCGAAAAGATCTGGAATCGGATCGAGGTCAGAGTCTATATCAAAATGAAAACGAGCTAGAAATCTAAATTGTAATATAATACCGTATTCGCATCGCGGACAGTGTCGACACAATATGCAAATCATGTTATTAGATATATTTCATTTAGTGGTTTTACGACCGGTCGCCAGCCAGATGTTAAATCTCTCTGGGAACGAATGACCATATCCGGAACAATTATCTGTGGGTCTTCCTATACTTGTACTGCATTGGGATTAAACACAAAACCTGCGGAATCGCTCAAGTCGCGCAAGTCAATAGCTCAGCAATTGTGCTGCCACTTCTGTGTTCTGTTCTGGTTCTGAATTTCCTTAAGTATTTTATTGCCGTTAGTAGCATATTTACAAAATTTTTGCAGTTGTTCATTGCAACTGTCATGGTTATGGTTCTTTAATTATCACAAAGTTATTCTATGTTACGTTTAATAGCAAATAAGTTGTTGCTGATATGGTAAAACAATTAAAATTTGTCATTTACATCTTAGCTTGAATCAATTACCTAGTAAATAGGAAAATATAATGAAAATCAATGATCTATTTACTGCTATTTAAGAATGTGTATCATTTAACTTAGCGTAAGTGTAAGAAATCATTGCGTATTTTCAGTTCCTCATGACCCTCCAATGTTAACTCATGACGACTGTATGATACGTCCAGGTAAATCCACTAAAGGATCTAACGGAGATCGCTCCAAACGAGGATCCATACGTCGACTGCGACCCTATGGTGTTCAAGATCATAAAGAAGCGCAGCCCGGAGGAGCAGGCGAAGGTGGAGGCGCGCAAGATGGTGAAACTGAAGAAGCAACGGGACGCTGAGATCCGGAAGGCGCTCGCCGAGGCCGTGGAGGACATATGCAAGTGCGCTTACATGGACGTCTACTGCAACGACCTGGGCGCGATAGACAAGACTATCGAGAGCTGCCCCGCGTTCAAGGAGCCGGAGTGCGTTTGCCGCGAGGAGTCGCTCAGCTCGCTGTCGAGCAACGCCACGTGGGACATCGAGTACACGCCGCCGTTCGGCTGCTTCGACCTGGCGCCGCGGAAGCGAGGGAACTACGTGCACGTGGAGACCCAGTACGTGCCAGCGGATGCCGGCATAGCGGAGTCGCCCAAGCCGACCAGAAAGTCGTGCTCTTCGATAAAGCCGAAGAGGAAGATGAGGCGTGGCTGCCGCCCGTGCCCCGAGTGATGTGCGAAACGGGTTTGCATTGCCTTTTCCGCCTTAAAATTTTGTGGTCTATTTAATAAATGACGATTGTAAAGTTGATGCTACGTTTTATTATCTAGAAGTAATCCAATATGTGAAATTGAAGCATAGCTATACCGTCTTTTAACTCTTATAAGATTTTCACGGTTTCAGTAATGTTTAACTCTAATAAGATTTTCACGGTTTCAGTGTAAGAGCCGTGATAGCTCAGTGTCCGGGCGCTCGCCTTTATTTCAATATACTCGAGCAACCTGAGTTCGATCCCCGGTGCCGGCACCAATGAAGTTTTTAACTTTAAGTGCTGACTTGTCACGTGCTCCGCGGCGAAGGAAAACATCGTGAGGAAACCTGCATATTTTCGAAATAATAACAAAAAAGAAATATTTTTCGAAGATATGTGAAGTCCGCCAATCCGCAGTGGGGCCGCGTGGTGGACTATGCCCTGACACCCTCTGCATAGAGGAGGCCTTTGCCCAGCAGTGGGACATGTATAGGCTTTTACTTTACTTTACTTTACAGTAATGTTCTCAAGTCGCTAATGCATTTTCGCTGGTCTTAAAGAAATCACAGGTCTCATTTTAAGCATATTCGTCGCTGGTCTTAGGTGGTCTAACTTAATCATAACATTAATAGGCCTTCAATGTTATGCTGTCTACTTAATATATTTTAGCCTACGGTACCACAGAAGGTAGGCGTGAAAAAGAATTGATAAATAGTTTCATTTCTTCTTAGGGAATGATGTTATCTAAAAGTGTGTGTTTGAAAATCTTCTAGTTCGGCCGGTATGATTAAATTTATTTTTAGCATGCGTTGTGCTAAGAGTAGGGGGGAAGTACCGACTTCATCCCCTCGGGTCGCTGTGACGGGTATTCTGTTTACGGGGTGAAATTACTCAAATATAAAAGGTTAATTCCAAAATGAGAAAAAATTGTAGTCAAAAATAGGAATTATAACACTTATGCCTGTAACTGTTGAGTTTCTTGTCGGTTTATTCTCGACAGAAACTACTTTCCGAACCGGTGGTAACTTACTTACGAACGTATTAATTTTTATGTAAAATTTTGACGTTTCATAAGAACGCGCAAGCGTCTATGTGAATAAAGATATTTTGAATTTGAATTATGTACCCATGCATACATGAGACTGTGTTATGGTTGCTTCAATCGGTACAAATATAAGATTTAACCCACCAAATCAACAATATGCAACGTTTGTTAAAGCAAAATATTTATTTTGCTTAAACAATCGTAATTTATTTTCGTCAATACATCGATTTGTCGAGCTTTTTTCGCGTACATACTTCTGCTGTATCGATGTCCATTCTGGTATGATGGAAAGCTTTTGGCGTTGAAGACTGACGCCAGTATACTCGTCGCAAGCACCAGAACTCCGCCGAACGCGAGAGAAGTCGGGTTGACGTCTAATTTTGGTAAGCCCTGGAGAAAACGAACCAAATGTAGATTACTTTCACTATAATTACATGATCTGTATACAGACTCTCATATAGCGAATTGCTACACAACTTTAAATGGCAGTTGCCTACGAAAATTTTGCTGGCAGCTGAGATTTTACCAGTTTTATACAAAACCCCTTGATTGGTAGTAGTCTTGATGGGGTCTTATAAAGTATATCAACATGTAGGAAAAACTAAAAAATCACAAAATCACTACAGAAGCTTTAGATTTGCGTTAAATTATTGTAGTTAGTAACATCGTGGCTAAAAATAACGTTGACGGAACAAAAGCAAATTTCTTTCTTAATTCGTTGAAGAAAATTAAAAATTGTTTTTTAGATAGTAACACTAAAATAAAATTATATAAACAATAAATTGAATATATTTATTTGACTATTAATGAAACTTGAAGCCATAATTTCATTGCCCACTTCCACGCAACCATGATATTTGTACAGTATGAGTATTGAAAACTCCTGGTATTAATATACGTTAATATAATAAGTTTGCAGTGGACGTCCTACGGCTGATATGATGATGATGATGATGATGATGATGATAATAATAAGTTTTATATAAAATTCGCTAATCCTAAACTATATTATATAAATTCCAACAAGAAAATCACTGATATGAAATTCAAGTCAAGCTTAATGATCTAGGGGTCTTAACTTCCATTAAGATGGTTTACCTTAGGCTCGGGAACTAGTGCTATTGTAAAAATTTTCAATTGCTCTGACCCGGAAGTAGGACAATACTAATCTTCTGAAGTGCGGAAGATTGTAGATAAGTTTGATAATGGTTTGTTTTTACGTCGCCACTCTGAAGATGTTTATGTTAAAGAAGAGGAGAGATTACAAAATAATATGCATTAAAACTATTTAAATGAGAATTTTGTGTAAGTGTGTTTAAGTGAGAAGTTTGTGAAAGGTTTTGCCAGCCCTATATTTGGCTTGGTTTAAAATATAGGTATACAATAAATTAACGCACAGTATCAACTTAAAATCTTGTTACGCATCCTTATACTCACCAAGCCTTGTCCGGATTCAAAATTAAAAGTATCCTTCAATGGTATTTTAATAAATGGGATGGAGAAGTCCAATCCAATCTGAAAAAATATTGTTCTTGTTGGAGACACTCACAAACACGAGATTACTTATGGAAGTCAAAACTTTATACAAAACTTACACTAATATCATTCGGAAATGATTTCAGGGAAATGAACCTTGAATCTCTCGAATTTTCAATTCTATTCACATCACCGGCCGCTACTGCCACGATCAAGCAAAAAAGTATAACGTATGCGGATGACATGTTAATATTAAAAAAAAAATGAATTTTCCAGCTAATATGCGCGGTTTCTTTCGCGCGCTAAAACATTACTGCGTTTGGCGCCATTTCGACGCGTATTAACAGAAGACATTTCTATTGTGTGACGGTGTTTAAGGTTTCCGGGTATTGTTCGTGAAGAAGATAAGTAAATTTGTGAATGTTCAACAACTTAGAGTATATGGAATTGTATTGTAAAATAAATAAAAATGAATGTTACGCATAACTCAAGAATGGCTGGACTGATTCGGGTAATTTATTTTTTTATATGTTCCTTAAGGTCCACGGAAGGTTTTAATAGTATTAACAAAAAGAACGAAGTCTGTCCGAGCGGCTAGTTGTAAAATAAAAGCGACAGGACAGGCATGGCCAATTGGCCACCCTTATTCGGTGCTACATTTATAAGTCAACATGAATACGTTCGTTAGTTTAGTTTATCACTTTTTATATACTCATTACTTATTAAAAATTATCCTGATTAGGGATGTTAGAGTGCTCCGTACTTGTAACCAAAAAAATTGATCTTCCATAAATGCCTGCATCGGCCATTGAAAGAACATTGCGCAATATTCTAAATCAAAATTTATTATGTATAATATATGGTTTTCTATATCTATTGTAATAAATATAGACACCACTACTATTATGCGGCTAAGCGATTAATATTATCATCTAAAATGAATATTTATTTAAAATTATTATTTGTCCTGTCTGCCGTTCCTATGTCTATAGTTTGAATAACATGTAATTTGCTACAGTTTCACGCTACTGTTGTCTAGGTTACTTATTTTCTAGCATTATTTGCAATCTGTTGATTCTATTGTCTCGAAATCGTAGTAACATTGTAAATTTAATTGTTTTGGAATTGAGTTAACATTGGCAATACTTCTCACTTTTTTATTTTCTACACGCGGAGAAGAATTCTACGTAATTAATTATAATGTCCATTTAAAAGTGGCCGGTGACCGGTTGTCAAAGGCGCAATGTCTTGTGAAGTAGGTAATAAACTGTGGTAGGGCCACGCAACAGTTTCCTCTGTTGTAGTAAAGTAAAGCAAAGTATCAGCCTATATCACTGCTGTCACAGCTGGGAAAAGGTCTCTGTACAGAGGGTATCAAGGCATAGTCCACTACGCGGCCGCACTGCGGATTAGCGGAGTTCACATATCTTCTAAATATTTTTTTTTGTTATTATTTCAAATATATGCCTTTCCTGACGTTGTTTTCCTCTATGGCGTGAGCACGTGATAATTGAGCACTTATAATTGACAATTTCATTGGTGCCGGCACCGGGGCTCGAACTCAGGTTGCTCGAGTATATTAAATTAAAGGCGAGCGCCTGGACACTGAGCTATCACGGCTGTTCACGGCACTTCTGTTGCACGAATGGTCATTTCCGTCCGAGTAAGTACCAAGACTTCACAGAAGTGCGGCGTAAAATGGAAGTGTCATACTCTTGCGTTTCGTCTGGCGAGTGAGGTAGCCGGGGCACACTTTATTAAAAGGTGGCAACGCATCTGCAATCCTACGGGTTTTGCAAATGTGAATGGGATGGAACCGCCAGCTCGTTTGCCACCTTCTTGCATAAAAAAAATACATTTCCTAATGTGCAGTAATAAAGAGTAGTCCGCGTCAGCTCTATTTTCCCAAGTTTGGTGTTAAAATTAGGTTAGGTTAAGTGTTATAATTGTACGAAGTATGCTATCTTGTGTTTTTGTAATCGACCGTATGACGATAAATTAATGTTTTCAGCGCAATTCACATTAAGCCTTCTTTTTATCAATAAGCAGATGCGTCATTTCAAAAATCGGAGCGAGCGTTATACTATCATCACATTTTATGGTGCAGGTGATCGACTCTTTAAACAGATAAATTGGTTTTAAAAGTATCTAGATTAAAATAAAATAAGACGCGTATTAACACAAAGACACACAAGGTAGGTAGGTAGGTGTGTTTTATAAATGAGGAATAGCGGAAGAATGTTTACGAGACGCGCAATATGGACCTGAGTCATCGTTCAAACGTTTGACTTCTTTGAAATTCATCTCAAATTCACGTATATCACGTTAAATTTTAGAATGTTTAAAGATTATTTTATAAAAGTATTTTGCTCAACTTATGCAGTTCTTATCTCTATCGTTCGGTGTAGTTTCGTTCGTTTGGAGTTAGCTCTATTGCCAGAATAATAAAATAACTAATAAGCATGGAAATAAAAGTAATAAAACTATTTCACATTTGCATAGCTAATTTATTGAAAGATGTTTAACAACTTTATAGAACTGGATTTATAAAAATACTAGCCGCTGCCCGCGAATACGTCTGCGTAGAGGGGTGAAAATTTAGGGTTGTATGTATTTTTGTATGCTGTATCATAAAAAATAAAAACAAAAATTTTTATATAAAAAATAAAAAAAAGTTTAGGGGGTGGACCACCCTTAACATTTTGGGGGATGAAAAATAGATTTTGTCCAAATCTCTATCTCTGGCCGATAGGCACACAATATTTCACGAAAATCGGTTGAGCCGTTTCGGAGGAGTTCAATTACAAACACCGTGACACGAGAATTGTATATATTAGATAAAAAGAATTAATATAATGCATTGAATGTTATAAGTATAACTCTTAAATTCAGCATATTTCGTATATCCCGTATGGTCTAGTGGCTAGGATACCTGGCTTTCACCCAGGAGGCTCGGGTTCGATTCCCGGTACGGGAATTCTTTTTTTTTTTGCAATTGTTACTATAACGTATTATACTCGGATAATAATATATATTTATCTTTAAAATTGATAATGATTAAATCTTACTAAGATAATGAAATATTTTATTACAGTTTGTTAAATATTTACATGTAAAAATTTTGCTGCTGTGTGTTTGTGTCCACAAAACTCAAAAACTAGCAGATGGATTGTCTTGATATTTGTTCACGATATAGCTGTTGAATAGGAGTGGTTTTTTATACTTTTTATGCCGAAATTCCAACGGAAATGAAAAAAAAAAATGCCACAGCGAAGAGTGGCCGGGTTCATCTAGCTTTACTTGTAAATTATTTTCGAGGTTGCAAAAAAAAGTTTTGCGTGTCTGTTCAACTGCTCGTTTATGAGGACTTTCTCAAAATTAAATCCGTTGTTTTGATGTTTTACTGTTATTACTTATATCGGATCCCCAGCCTCCTAGGTGAAAAGCAGGTTTTCTAATCACTAGGCTATAGTACGGGAGTTACATTATTGTACACAAAACATTATCGATATTATTTTTAATAAAAGTTACATTACAAAGGATAATACATAAACATATTATAAATTACTAGCGACTCATATATATCATTATACATATAAACCTACCTCTTGAATTACTCAATCTAGTAAAAATACCGCATCAAGATCCGTTGCGTAGTTTTAAAGATCTAAGCATACATATGGACAGAAAGACAGCGCGACGACTTGTTTTATACTATGTAATGATTATCAATAACAATAAAAGCAATGAAATTTAATAATGAATGTTGTAAAATGATAATTTTAGACTTTAAAGTGGTCATTTACCACCTAGAAATTCAAACACATCGTTATTTTTTTATTATTCTTTGGTTTTGCAGCAAACACGTTCTTAAAGATCTTTAAGATACATATACGAGCATACATAAACGAGCTAAACTCATACTCATTATGGCTACTTAAAAATTGATAATTATACTCTTATCATATTGAGTTTAAAATAAATACGTAACGATTTTATATATGACGACCCAATCGGTGTAGTGAATAGTACACCTGTCTCTTGCGCCAGAGGGTGTGGGTTCGAACCTCGCAACTGGAAAAATATTCTGCACTTTCATACTTCAAGAAACGCTGACAATCCCTTGAATGTAATCATTTATTGCGTAATTTGAAAACGCTGTTCATGACAGATTTCGGAGATTGCGTTATTTTGAGCCGTCGGCAGAACGCGGGTATAGTAAACAATGAACAGATTTTATGCTCCAAATGATAAACTTAGTTGCTAAATATGCAGAGTTATAAATATATATATTTTTTTATTTGACGCCTCTTATCGCTGTCTTTAAACATTAATAATACGAGTTGATGCTAATGCTTTTCCGCCCTATAGTGGGACTTCTCAATTACTGTATGAAAACTATATATAAAGAGTGGTATTTCTGTATTACTATATGAAAACTATAATGGTTTCGAGCTAGGCTGTAGTATTTTCCGGACAAGCCTGCCTATTACCACATTCGTCAAAAATCAAAATCAAAATCATTTATTCATCGACATAAGAAACTTACATTTCATTTATCAATAGTCATATTTTTTTTTAAATCTACCACCGTTTCGTAATGAGGTTCCTCTAGCGGAGAAGAAACAGGCGAAAGAAACTCCGTAGGTATCCTCTTTTTTGTAATTCATTTTTTTTTCTTAACAAAAAATTCAAATATTATACAACTGATTTTTTTCCTTTTAGAAATAGCTTGGGAGCGATCAACTCATTCCCAGGGGTTATTGTCATTAATGTATTCATTTGTATTATAATAACCCTTTTTATAAAGTTTTTATTTAATAAATTTCTTAAACCTGTCAATAGGCAGATTTTGCGCATTTACTGGGATTTTGTTGTAAAACAACACCGCCCCATGAACGAGTTGTGTGTGAACATTCACACTCACAACATTGTGTGTGAACAAGTCGTGCACATCACAATGTTAAAGATGCGCTGAATTTTCGTCCGAATATTCGTGTTCCGTTTGTGCGGTTTAATTTTTATGTTCATATTCGGCTGAATATTGGGCTATGTCCAGAATAATTACCGAATATTTAAATAGTATTATTAACAAGCTTTTATTAGTTTGGTAAGAATGTATGTAACAGAATTTTCGAATGTGATTCTGACCCACTTCAAATCCTCGAGTTAAATTCAAACTGCATATGACCGATGATTATATTATTCTGATCAGGACCTTCAGGATTAGCGAATTTCCAAATCCGATACCCTTTGGTGTCTTTGTGCCCAGAACGAAGAATAAAACATTCACTTGTAGATAACCGAAGTAAAAACTAGAAAACAATTGTCAATAAGTTTAAATTAAGAATATTGTTATTAACAAAAAACAACTTTTGTTGTAGAAAAAACGTGAGGTGCTTTTTAAGATATTTCCGAAAAGACTCTGCTTTTACCAATATCTGTCATTAGTATATTATCACAATTGGAAGTCTCCAATCCCGTCAGGTTAGGCAAAAGAAAATACGGTTAAATTCAGAACATCGTCCTTTTTTGAAGTCGGTTGAATAAGATAGAGTTTATCGTATATTCTACATTTTTTTTATTATTATTATTTTTTTTTAAAAAACATTGCCCTTACTTTTGGATAACATTTTCCTGTGTTGTAAGGACGTTTTCACAAACATAAATTTCACAACAAACACTCAGATGCGGAACAACTATCTGTGGGTCACAAAAAGAGTTGTTCCGTGTGGGAATCAAACCCACGACCCCCGACACCGAAGCCGATACCTTGGCGACTGCGCCACGGAGTCAACAAAATCAAAATAAATTACCATAGTTCTTGCTTATAACGTCTATAACACTAAAGTTATGGAATGTAGCTACTGCAGTAGCTTCCAACGACGCTACCAACTTGTTGAAGTAACTCCTAGTACTTTGTATGCTGGAAAGGATATAACAATAGATGCGCCAAGCATGCTTCAAATGCTAAATAACAATGTAGAAGGAAGGCGTTAAGGTTTTCGTCGCTGTGGCTATCAGCCGTTTAGCTCAGTGGCTAGAGCGTCAGTCCGCGAATGCCGAAAACGTGGGTTCGATTCCCACAGCGGCGACAATCTTTTCGTACTTTTTTACATGTTTTAATGAAGTAACTCCATTTATTGAGCTACCACGTCGACGGCGCCAACGTTACAGTCTTAACCGAAGTTGGTCATCTTTTGCATTCTTTCTTTGTTTTCACATTAAAGTACAAAATTACCGATCGGGAATCGAGGCTAGTTATTCGCGGCACCTTCCCAGTTCGATAGCATCGTACCTAAGAAGCCGTGACGTCCCAGTAAAAGTGTTATTGTGCAACGCTCGTGCGTAAAGTGTGCACGACACACGACAATGGGGTTTCCCCATTCGATTGTTCCGGAGCACGCTTTGGAACGTCTCATATAAAATATTAATGGATGTTTGGAACGCGGCAGTCGTGTCTAAAACTTTGCCAAGATGGCTGACAAGATAGTAGGGTGTTTTGTCGTGTGCTTCGCCGCCTCCTTCAGTGTGGCAGCTGCAAGTTATAGGAGCGATGGGTATTGACGTTTTACACAATCTAGAATAGTCTACGGTATCACTTCAGCATGTTCGAGTCCTCTGCTGAACATAGGTCTCCCCCACAGTTATGAATAGTCCAGCGTCCAGCAACTAGATTTTGAATCTAGGATATATATATATATGTCTGCAATTAAGATGAAACATTAAAATTTATGGAAAATATGGACGAAAAGATTTTCTCAGGAAGTCTTCCAGAATCGTGCACAAATGGCAGGTATTGTTATTAATAAAGTAATGGAGAAACATTTGTATGCAATTTATAGATGTGAAACGAACTAGAAAATTCTGATGAATCATGAGAATTGAAGAATAGAAGTAGGAGTACAAGTATAGTTGATATATATTGTACTTTTTGAGTTCCGAACGTTTACTTTGTCGTAATTAAGTTCCTTAATGAAGTATTCTGAGAGCGGGTTACGTGTTGATAAGCAGGGGATTCCTGCCTAGCACAGCCTACCAGCCCACTGAGGATCAGCTAGCAGAGCCGTCTGCTAGAGTTGACAAAGGAAGCAGGGAGGACAGAGACAGCCAGCCGGACAGGACACAAAGATTCGGGATTTCGTCCTTTGGAAGTACGGGGGTGAGTTCTTGTAGTGAAAGTGAAGTAGATTTATAAGATATAAGATAACTTTAGGAAGCTAAATAATCCACTTTTTCTTAGAGCTTAGTCGGACCGCATTCGTCATAATATTTTAGAAACCTTGCAAACCATTCTTGCTTGGAACCGCTGCATATTTTGAAGAATTTGAGGTTTGAAACTTTTATTTTCTAAATATAAGCTTCTTTATTTTTTTTAATTAATAAGGTTGCCAGTGAGTTGGCGATTAACCTTATGTTAAGTGATTAAGGCCGCCCATGGATATTTTAATACATTTAGCGTGACAGATACGTTTTCACCTTTTAAAATATGTGGGCTCCGGTTACCTCACTTACCAGACGAAACGCAGGAGTGTAACACTTCCACTTCATGCCGGCCTTCTGTGAGGTTGTGGTACTTACATGGACGGCCTGTCCTTCTTGCAACAGCAAAGACAATTGCGTGGCCCTACCTATATATGTTTTTGTAAGTCAATCGCTCTTCACACCACAACGGGATTTAAGATTTGACAAAATTTGTAAATTCAGATAAACTTACAAAATGTTAAATATGTTTTACCGTTTATAAAGGTTACATTTTACAGGCGATACCGTAACGTAGTTGGGGCGATATATTAACGTGATTAACTGCAGACATTTCATCCCTTTTCAGTCACCATACGGTGGCACGGCGCCGGGGCTCTACGGGCCCGTGAAAATCGACTTGGGCGGAGTTCTGCTCGGCTCAATATTGGGTTTTGGGGCGGTAATCATCCTACCGAAGATTATACATGCATTCTCCTATAGCTACGGCGGTGGTTATGGTAGAAGTAAGTTGGGTATCCATCCCATTTTGTATACTTTCCAGGGTTTATAGAATATGATATAAATTGTAAAGAGCACAAATTTACAAAAATACTTCGTTTTCGTGCTCATCTGTGGTAATTTTATCTTTCGTGTTAGGTAATGTTGAAAAATCTATAAATTGACTTTTACCCATTTCAGTTAGGTCTAATTGGCACATGTAATGTCTTTGCAAGATAATAGTATAAGGTTTGAGTCTTGTATAGTCTCATTACTGTTGTTGTAATTTTTTAAGAAAAGTTGACAGAACTTGGGACAAGAACTAATCGCTCACGAGCACATATACAATGACACGGAAAGGTGCTTTAAGTCTTAATATAGTGCATTTCCATGCCAAAAGTTATTCCGAGCTACATCAATATACGCAGAGACGCTTACAGTATCTGAAATAGAGCTGTAGCGCAGTTACCTTACGGTACGGTGGTGGTGTCATCCGCGCAAAATCGAAAGCCTTGTCTTATTACAAGATGTTGTTATTAAGCTCATCAAGCCTGATATAAAAAAAAAATTGATAAACGCATTTGAGATCCCGTGGTTTAAGTTTGAGAGAACGGCTCCGTTGGTCGAACTTAGCCAATTTCTTTATTTTATTTTTAAACTTCATGCACAAAACACAGTACATAGGCGGACTTAATGCTGACAGTATTTTCTACCAGTCAACCTTAGGGTGGTACTGAGAAGTTTTGGTAGGTGCACAAACATATAAAAGAATAAAAAAATAATACATAATTATTATTCATTTAATTAAATTACACCATGCCAATTAGGTACGGAGACGGACTTCTCGATGTCGGACATGTTCAGCAAGCTGGACAACACATTGAGCAGATATAACATCGACTCGGCCGCCTGCATGCAGCGGCTCGCCTGCTCCTACGTACAGCTGGCCAATGACAACTTGGCAACTGGCAACGCGACGGAGCTCGACGCGTTACTGGCATCACTTTCCAAGTGAGCACTTAACTCTGGCATCTTGGATCAACGGCCGACGAAGCAGAACAATATGAGCAATGGAAGTGATATAATATCAGAACTGCCTGATTTTAAATGTGTTATGAATTATTTGATGGTTAAAAAAATATGCAACAAATGTACTATACATTTGTTTCATAGAGTTTCTCAGCACCTAATGAAATCTCATAATATCTTTAGTATAAGATATCATTAGGTGCACAATCATCCAAATACTTTCATTGTAAATGTGCCCACGACACTGATGCCAATCCTTACTTCCTTATTAATATTATAAATGCGAAAGTATGTATGGATGGATGTTTGTAACTCTTTCACGCAAAAACTACTGAATAGATTTTGAAGAAACTTTACAGTAATATAGCTTATACATCAGAATAACACATATAAATTATAAAGATATTGTGTGAATTGTCCCAAATATAGGTAATGAAGTGTCAACTAAATAGGAAAAAACTAAGCCATCTGCGAGATATTCTGGTGTATATTAAAAAGTCATTTTTAATTCTGTTCGACCACGCGCGCGGAGCCGCGGTTAAAAGCTAGTAGCTAATAAACTGCGCCAAACAAACCACCACCACCAATATTTTGCATTACAGCAACTCTCTGGTGCGCCGAATGATGGACGGCACGTCGATGCTCGAAGCAATGTCTGCCGGGAGGTCGTCGGACACAGACTGTCAGGTTCTGTACCCAAAGTGTAAGTTGGACAAGAAGACGGTTGTTAAAATTATGTCACAACTGGTACCATCATAAGCGACGTACTATATTTAAATTTAAGCTTAGCCAAAAAAAGTTTTGTTGTTATCTGTACTGCCAGCTTGAAGATATGCTTTTTAATCTGTATTGGTTTTAAAAAGAATCCTATAAAACTTTTTTTAAAATGCAGTTTCTTGATTATTGTTTGTACGTTCATTATTTCGTATTTTTTTATTAATTAAATTTACTAAAATTTTAAAATTCACTTAATTTTAAAAACAGTGATTATTTTGTTCAATTAAAATCTTTTTAGCTTTAAGTTCTCCGTAATATCTCCTAATAATACTTCTTCATGTAGCTTGTGTAACTTTTTTAATTAAATAAAACCACCAATGTACAAATTTAACAATTTTATTCATTAAGTTAACGCCAAACCCTATCTACATCTGATATGCTCGGAAACTCAATCACCGACAAATAAAACGTTACCTCACAATCACGCATTTCCTCGAACTAAGACTATGTTCCGATGTGTAAATTAATTTTTTCCTCGGATCTTGTCATATTCAGATTGATACGCCCGGTTTGTGAAACACTGATCGCCGTAGAAATGTACTAATCAGCTGAAGTATTTTCATCATTATGATGAGCATTCTGATCAATTCGGAGTTCCTTTTGGCAACTCATTTATTTATTTATTTGATACACCAAAGAAATGGACACTGAAAAAATTTAAGTGTACACTAATTATATGTAAAAACATGTAAAGTGCCACCTCAATTATAGGCGTATACGACATTTCAATTAAATGTGGTATTTGCATGAGAAACAGGATTATTTTAAGCATTGAAAAAACAACGATTAAACTAATACAATTCAAATCAATCCAAAAAAAAAAAAACACAATTCATTACATTATACACATATGAAGGTGAAATCGAAAATGTTATAATAAACATAGCAGTAAAAGTAAACGTCTGTGAAATATTTTGACATATGACATTTGAAAAACCATTTGACAGCTGATTAGTTAATTTCTACGATGATGACGCCCGGTTTCTGAAACACTGATCATCGTAGATGTTAACTAATCAGCTGTCAAATGGCTTTTCAAATATCATTTGAGTTGCCAAAAGGATGGTTAAAGACTTTGAATTGATCATTCGGATCATTAACAAAACTATTCTGGGCAATTCAGAGAGTTAACCATCTTTTTGGCAAATAAAATTAAATTTGAAAAGCCATTTGACAGCTGATTAGTTGACATCTACGATGATCAGCGTTTCAGAAACCGGGCGTCAGTGTTTCAGTAACCGGGCGTTAATCTTTTCCTTGACCAATTACTTTAATAAAAAAAGGTTCTGTTTAGAAAAGTAACCGCATCGAATTTTCATATGTAGCCCGTTTTAAGGAATGTTTTCGTTTCAACCTTCCGGGGAACACCGGATAAACTTTGTTACACTTTTAGCCTAGTTACTTTAAAATGTTTTTTAAATATAAAATTCTTGCTTATTGAGCACATGACTGAACTTCTTAAATTGGCGCTCCCCCATCGTGTATTAAGTGTATATATGTGGATTTTCTACACATATATCGACCATCGTTGTGTACTACAAATTAAACATTCAGCACCGGTCGCTTAATTATTAATTGTTTCCCGCATTTTTATTGTCCTTCATTTAATTTTTCAATATTAAAATAAACGTCAAATAGTAAAATTCAATTGTTTAAAATCCGTTTAAATATTTTCTTATGGCGCAGGGCACGTTAACTTAGGAGTTTAAAAATACTGGTTGAAAATAAAATACTTTCTTTAGTTAATTTTGTTAAGGATATTCTAATAGATACAAAGTGGAGCGCCAAATTAAGAGTATAAATGCTTAATAATGTATGTAGAGTATTTGTTATAATCAAGCGACATGACTGTTAATTAGAAAGTTATCGCCAGCTTTGAGCCCAACTTTATAACATTTTACAAAATAGCAATACATAACAGTATTTTATAAAAATAAGGAAAGAGAGCAGACTACAATTAAGACCACTATTACGAACAAAATTTTCGGCATAAAAGTTCTGCCCAAACGTTGCCTGTGTACCAGTTCCTCTGTTTTTAAGATTAATAAACGTAAATGTAACTATCCTGTTGCAAAGTCTCTGCACTTCTATTATAATGCGTTTCAAATAAAAATAGGGACGTAAGAATCCTGAAATGACCGTGATCTGTCAACTGTCATTTGAAAAGTACAGAATAAACAGAAATCTTTGACTCGTATTTGACCCAAGGGATACGGAAGCTAATAGCAGCAAAAAAAATCAAAAAAGAAAAAATACAAGGTTGCTTCTCGGCATAATGTCGTTTTGCAAGCAACTTCATCATGTCGCTTATATTACTCATAATTTTTTTACGCGCCAAGAGAAGTATAACTTCAAAAAGGTGATTATCATGTCGAAATCAATACTGCCAAATTCACTAAAACATTATTTTCCACTGTTAAAAGTTATACCAAATCTATTGAAGCCACGTATTAACCACGTCAAACGAATCGAAAATGAATACTGGCAAAGAGGAATATTTCAAGAAGACGAAAACTTTGGTTTTATTGTAAACACTAGTTATAAGCTATTTTGTTTTAAATTTATTTTTAAATATATATTTCAACAATATCCGGACTGGTAGGCCACCTAACTGGTTTAAATTGACGCCTATGAGTCATAAGATGGCGCGAGACTAGTCCTATTCTTATTTGAATCGCACTGTACTTTGATTGTATTTAAAATTTACATAATATAGACATGAAAAAAAGTCAAATGTAGAATTACGATATGACGTAAACGAACAACGTATTACATTGGATATGTGTTATAGGTACAATTTAAGACATTACACCGAATTGATGCAATAGTCATTTTTAAAACGACTTTTGGTTAATTTTTAAACGAGTCTTGAAATGTCACAAACTCTCGACTTCCTGTAACCTTTCCATTGCGACGAGCTTTCTAAATTTGCCCAAACAAAATCCAAATTATAGATACAGTGGACCCCCGGTAATACGCCGCACCCTGTAAATCGACCGGTCCACAACATTATTTTGGCAAATACTTAAATAGTTACTATTTTTTGTAAAATCTTTAGCATTTATGACGTTAATTTTATAATAAAACGTAAGCTCTCTATTGTGTTGTTTCATTGATTAAATTCGTCATACATACATATCATGTAGTATTATTTGTAGTTCAGATAGAATATTATCATTTAAATCTTTAATTCGTCGGATTACAAGGTACTCTTTTTCAAACAATTCCGGACTTAGTATATACTCTATAATGCGACAAATTCGATAGACTATAGGGGGTCTAAGGCAGTACTCTATAATCCTACAAATTCGATATTCAGACACTGTCCTGCGTTTGTGGGATTACCGGGGGTTCACCGTAAATGCATGGTTATACTAAAACGATTAATTGACATTATTGAAATGTCCATATCGACTATTCATATTACAAGAAATAGTTTAAAAAACAAACTACCGGCCATAAAGACTAACTATTTTATCAGCGTAGACAGCCCCTGTTACTCCAGTAGATTTCACACATGACGCGCATAACATTTTTTAGCGAGAACGTAATATGCAGAATATTCTATGATAATTGTGTATTTATACTAATTCTATCATAAGATCAATACACGGTTTTGGTCGATATAATTCGTTTGTATTATTGCATTATTCGATTACGCTATTAACGACAATCCCCTAGTGTCGAAACAGATCTCGTTAAATTTTAATTAAAATGATTAAAAATTGGAGAACAAAAAAATTTGATGTAAGTGTCGAGAATTTGATGTAAAAAAATAGAGTGAATATAGTTTAGAAATTATAAAAAAAAATAGGTACATAAATATGGTAACTGTATCATTTGAAGCGGATAATTACATTAAATTGTGATCGTAAAAATAATCGCACAGTGTTGTTTCTTAAAAATATTTTATTACCTCCATTGTAAAATGTACATAATATGACGCATGTTAAAATTTTGTCTCTACATACAAACAGGGCGTTTTAAAACTAAAATTTTCCTAAAAAAAAAAAGAAAACAACAAAAAAAAAGAAAACAATGAATAATAGTATAAAAAAATAACCTTTCATTGAATTGTATTAAGTAATAAAATGTGTCCGTGATCAATTTGTTTGGTTTTTGGTCATTAATGTGAACATATTGGAAGTGTAGGAAATAAATACATTATTGGTTCACCGTGGTTACTTTTTTGGGCAATAAGGTCCACATCACGAAGACCGTATACATACAGAGTGTCGTTACAACCGCGACAATAAATGAACACACATATAGAGGATAACTTTTTAAAATTTTACTAAACATTTACATTCTTTAAACATCAATATTTACCGAGTTATTCAATTTTCCAAAACAAAGAATTTTACGAACACCTTACGTATACACAACAAACAACAGTAACGTAAAGTTCTTTTGTAAAGGTTATAAAGCATATGAATGGGTTGAATGAATTTAAAAGAGACAAAACATATTGTTAGAAAGAGAGGCTTGTAATGCGACGCTGTAGTAACGAATAAGTCTCTAAATGTATGAATCAGTCAGTTGTAGTTGTATAGGATGTTACAAATTTTGTTTCTTTTTTACTTTATTAGTTTGTTTGAAAAATATATTTTTTTAATCATGGATTTTTTTTAACGTTTATATTTTTTATGATTATTGGCAAGTAGCGTCAGACGTGTGTTCATTTATTGTCGCGTTTTTAACGACACGCTGTATATAGTGTTATAGTCAAAGCAATTTCCTCTACAGGGTCATCGACCCAATTGGCCCATGAAAACACTCAAATAAAGCAATACTTGCGAGCAGTTGGTATTGTTCCGTTCATTTTTAGATATTTTATTATCCATAATAATATTATAAATGCGAAAGTAACTCTGTCTGTCTGTCTCACTTTCACCCAAAAACTACTGAACCGATTTAAATGAAATTTGGTACACATATAATTTAGAGCCTGAGAAAGGACTATTTTTTAAATTGGAAAAGTGTTGAAAGATATTTATATAAGGGCTCCAACGCGAGTGAAGCCGCGGGCGGAAACCTAGTGAATTATATATTCACTGTTGAACTTTAACAGAAGTGTTCACCGTTCATCTGTGACTTTTCGTATTAAATCGCGAAGTGTTGAATTTCATTCAGCAGCACTTTAGGCACCCGCCAATCCCGCTAAGCACTCAATCCCTACTATCCGGGCAGGTTTTAACCTTTATTTTTACCTAAAAGGTTTGCAAAAATGAGTTAATTATGTAACATGAGATTGTTCCGTAAATAAAAAGTTTAAAAAAGGGAGTTATGGACCTTAACTATGGATAAATACTCAATATATTATGACTCCACGAGCAATAGGATCGAATAAAAATTTTATTGGCACATTGTCATAGAGCATAAGGCATTCAGAATGTCTACATAAGTAAAAAATACAACAAGTGATAGTTTTAAATTTTACTGACTAATCGAATTTTAAACTAGTTTCACTCAATTTGAGCATTAAGTCGTAGCAAGATGGACATAATATGTTTATTAATATAATGCAAATTTTTATTTTTCAAAAATATGCACTTAAAACCAATTTGGAGAAAAACGTAGAATAATATATATTAATAAAAACCTTTTCCGATTATAGTTGAAATAAATCCGAACCATATTGATTACGCAAACTATATGTTATGAGACTTACAATTAAATTTGTCTTTGAATATTTAATTGTTTTAATCCCGATTGTACGGATTCACATAAATTTTATTTACAACCATCGTTCATCATTATTAGGATTTAAATAAAAACAAAAAGTTTTTTAAAATGGATTTTTCGCGGGGAAACCTGGTCACTTTAAGTAACCGTTGTTTTAGAGTAATTAATAGGAAAATAATACAATCGCCGATCGCTAAATCAACTGTTAAACAACATTAATTTCGCATAGAAGTTTCGCGTGACATCTGGTAGCACTATTTATCCTAAGGCACTTTGTGTCACCACAATTGACTTAAAGCGAATCGTTTAAGTAATTGCAAGTAATTTCACCGTCGGGATTTCACGGGTCTCAATATAACCGACATGCAACTGAAGCGATACAGCATCAACCACACGATTAGAGGACAACTTGAAACATCGCAATTAATTCAGAGACTCGGTAAAACACTTATGCAAAAACTTATCTTAATAAAAGGCAACGAGGGATTGCTTTCGATTGGCCGCACATATGAGATATTTTTTTTATAAATGTCCTAATAAGCTACTTAATGGTCCGTTCACTATATTTTCGTAGTGCAACTATAATACACGATAACAGAGATAACGATTCAAACAAAGCGGAAGTTGAGCAAGTCGAATGGCTGGCTTGCTGCCGTCGGTGGTCCGATATAGAAATAAAATGCACTGGGCACAGACTACGGCATCAGAGGCGGGTCTAGCCGTGAGTGAATACAAAGTTTCCTCAGAGTTTCTTCTTAGAACTTTAGACTAATGAAAGAATCACTTTCGAATCGTACAAAATCCTATTTACCACTTTACTATTTATATAACAACATGTTCTGCGCGGTTTTCGGGAGGATTCAATTTGCAACTCCCCCGTGGTAACTAGATCCGCGCCTGGCGACGAGCTCGGCGGCGCGACAAGAACGTCGTATCGCACGACAACAACGTCGTATCGCGCGACAAGAACGTCGTATCGCGCGAGCAAGGACGTCGTATCGCACGACACGAACGTCGTACCGCGCGACAAGATCGTCGTAGCGTGCAATACGCACGTAGCGCACGTATTGTACGTTGCGCGTATGTCGAGTGGGTGCGTCCTTTGTGATGTTCTACCGTGGTGATTTATCTTAGACTGCTTTCGGTTGCGACGACGCCTCTTCTATCTACGGCCCGTCGTCGTACCTCCTTACTGGCACATCATGCTGAAGAAGGAATGGGCGTACCTCATCGGCTGCACGTTCGGGTGAGGCTGGAAGGAGAACGGGTCACGGTGAAACGAATCATCTTTGTAAAACAATACGGATATAGTAATTTCAGAAAATTGTTCATGTTCTGTGAAGGAATCATGGCAATAGATACGCCAAGCATTCATTGTACTGAAAAAATGTGGATAAAATACGTTGAGATTATCGCCGGTGTGGCAATCAGCCGTCTAGCTTAGCGGTCCAAGTGTCTGGGCGCGAATCCGGAAGACGTGGGTTAAAAATGCGAAAATGAGAACTAAAAATTTTATTTTTTCTGCTAACTGTACCGTTTCTGGGCGCACGCACACATTCACTGTGTGCAAATGCTACTTTCAACTCAATAAATATGAAAAGACTGCGCGCATCCGATTTGCAATAGCATTTTGGATAGTGATAATTAAATGTGAGTAAAATAACAACAAATAAATAGTAACATTGCACAGAATATAAGGGATTACAGGAGCCGTGATAGCTCAATTTCCGGGCGCTCGCCTTTAATTCAATATACTCTAGCAACCCAAGTTCGATCCCAGGCGTCGGCACCGATGATATTGTTAATTTTAAGTGCTGATTTATTACGTGCTCAGCGGTGAAGGAGAACATTGAGAGGAAACAAGAATGAGGAATATTTTCGAAATAATAACAAAAAAAAATATTTCGAAGACACGTGAAGTCCGCCAATCCGTGGTGGGGCCGCGTGGTGCACCATGCCCCGATACAGTGTACGGAGGAGGCTTTTTGCCCATCAGTGGGAAATGGCTGTTACTTTACAGAATATATAACATAGAGCGCTTTCCATACTCACCACGGCCTCGTATGTGGTGAACTCCGGTTTCAAATCCTTTCCGTTCATCGTGATGAACGCGCCAAGGTTGCCCATTGTGTCGCTGGAATTTTTAAAGGATCATTCGATACGCGAACGCGATGGCTCAAACGCCTCATATGGGTAACGTGACAAATCCTGCGTATAAAATAGCGTAAGAAAGACAATGCGGTCAAATAACACGTAAGGTTGACGTGATAATCTTCATCATAGCATCCCCGCTCTTAACAATAATGATGACTCCGTGGCGCAGTTGCCAAGTTGGCTTCGGCGTCGGGGGTCGTGGGTTCGATTCCCACACGGAACAACTATTTGTGTGACCCACAGATAGTTGTTTCGCATCTGGGTGTTTGTCCGCGTGAAATTTATGTTTATAAAACGTCCTTACAACACAGGATAATATTATCCTAAAGTAAGGGCAATGTTTTTAAAAAAAAAATGATGACTCCAAGGCACCGGGGGTCGGGGGTTCGATTCCCACACGGGACTATTATTTGTGTGACCCACAGATAATTGTTTCGGATCTGGGTGTTTGTCTATGTGACATTAATACAACACAGGATAATATTATCCAGCAGTAAGGGCTTCCACCATCACCGTATCAGAACACCACACCTTTTTTAGTACTTGAGAAAAATCGTATATGGATCCCCTGCCAGGGGATCGGATCGAAACGGGTACCTATAAAACCCACGTTGCATCTGGCTCTCTCGTATTGGCCGGGAACAACTAGACTAGGGAAGTCGAAAGTGAAGAAATATATCGATATTTTCTGTTTAGGTCCTAGAAATCCCGTAATCCAAAAAAAGGTACGTCAAGTATTAAATGATTGACACCTCCGCACTCTGTGCCGGATTCGAATTTCAAAAAAAATATCGTTTTTGATACGATTTCCGGTATTGAATATTTCGTATCGATATATTGGATCTAAATATATCGGTTGAAAGTATCGATATATATAAAATAAAAAATCGATATGTTTCCGACATCCCTAACGCGGACGCGACCTGGTGTCCCTGCGGCCATAGAACACCACGCACACCACTCACCAGTAGTTGGGCGCGGAGAAGACGGTGATGCACTTGCCGTCGTGCGCCACCTCGTAGCCGTCGTTCTTCACCTCGTGGCTCCTGATGATGTAGTCGAGCCCGTTGCGCTTCAGGAATGCGGCCGTCACGTCGGGCCCGAACTGGCAGCCGACGCCGCGCTTCGACGGCGACCGGCCCTCCATCGGCTGCGGGTCCGACCACAGCAGCTCGCACATGATGCCTGCGGACACGAACAACGTTGCCCCGTCACTACTAGTAAACACATGTTGACATGTAAGATTGGGCGGTGCGCGCATGTCAACATGCGTGACTACACTAGGGTGGGGATAGGTCGAAATTGCGAAAACTCGCTTTTCTACATCGAGTGACCTTTATGTGTTCTCTTTATTGAAAGTGAAACGTCATTAGATTTTAGCGAAAACTTGTAAGCACCAAAATTTAACTTAATTGTCAACATATTTTATTTTTCGAAATGTTCATTTATTTTTGTTGACCTAGGTTCGCGAGAAAACACACGGACAGACAGACCGACAGACAAGAGAGTGTTGTTATAAGGGTTCTCTTTTTGCCTTTTGAGGTTCGAAACCCTAACAAAACATTAGTACTGTATATATTTTTGCTCTCCAACACAGCTTAACGAGCTGTTTGCGCTAGGTGACAAGCCTGTCGCCTAAGCCGCGAACAAACGTGTGTCAATGATGAACTATGAAGCTATTATCGTCCTATATGTGTATCCTATATTAGAACATTCAATTTCATTAATATTTCATTTATATTTATAGTGGGTATTCATTTATAGGTACTTATTTATAACAAGGACCTGATGAACTAAAATGTAGGCTTTGCTTAGTTTAGGCATCGGTCTTCCCCATTGCTTTGAACTTAGTTGTATATTCTTTAAATTGTACAAACCGATGTGGTGAGAGGTTTATTTTGTTTTCTCGTCTGGTTGGATTTATTGGACCCAACCAGACCCCCGGAAACCCTCGGCAGGGGAGACCAAACGGCCGAGGGTTAGGGTGAAAGGGGGAGAAACCGGCGGACGATGCGCGGATATTACTATTGTTAACAATAACACTAAACAAAAAGAAAACAAAGTCGAAAAAATAATAACCAAAGTCCGCTCACCGTCTTCGGGGGGCTGCTTGTTCCTGTCCACGCCCCTGATGTCGTCGAGGGTGACGTCATCGCTGCTGAACAGCCCGCCGTGCATCACCAGCACCCGGTTATTGATGCAGTGGGCCAGGGGCAGCCAGTTGTACACCTCGGTGAACAAATCGGCCATCTGGGCGGTGTACTTGAAGGCCACCTCGCCGCGGAAGCCGTACATGCGGTTCATGTCCAGGGTCTCGTGGTTGCCTGTGAGATAATGACGAGAGATTAAGACAAGATTATTCTTTTCATTCTAGAAGGTGGCAAACGAGCTGGCGGCTCCTGATATTGAGTGATAGCCACCACACACGGCCATTTACACCACCCCTACGGTTGTAGATGCGTTGCCACCTTTTAATGAAGTGGGCCCCGGCTACCTCACTCGCCAGACGATACGCAGGAGTGTGGCACCGTCCACTTCACGTCCGTCGTCTGTGGGATTTCCCCGGACGGACCTGCCCATTATTGCAACAGTAAAAACCGTTGCCTGGCCTTACCACAGTTGAGATGATAACAAGACGATTTTGAGTATGGAGATCCAAAATGTGTCTGATAGTCATATGGGTAGTGGCCATAATGGGTCTCGCGGTAGAAAATCCCTCGGGGATTATTCGTCAAAATTAATTTTCACTTCGCTCATTTTCTCTTTCTTTGGCGACCCAATTGGCGCAGTTGATAGTGGGCACGTATCTTAGACGATAGGAGTGTGTTCGATCCCCACTTCTTGAAATAATACAATGCGATGAACGTTTTTTCCAGTGTCCCAAAAGAATAGTATATTTATAAGTTTACCTAGTCTCTATAGTACAAGCTTTGTTTAGTTTGGGACTAGAAAACGTGCAAAAATGTGTCCAGGAACATTTATTTTACTTTTTTACTTACTTTTACTTAATTTTAAAAATTGAAAATTAGTTAATGTGTAACATTTATCGTTTTTATTTCTGTGCCTGATGTTTTAAAATTCTTCATTGCTTACAACACTAGTTTTTTTCTTCTTTTCAAAATGGAACTGATGACCTCATCTTAACATGTTCCTCTTTTTTGAGTATTCATAAAATATTATAATATTAATTTCTTTGACAATAATTAAATAAGAAAACACATCAAAACAATTGAATATAATGTACATTATTGTACATAAATGAAGTGGTAAATGTGCATATAGCACGCACCAGGTAAAAAGTGATTGCACATATAATAAATCTGACAAAATGATATGCACTGTGTCAAATCTATGTCCACTTATGAGGATCATCTTAAGGTGTTGTCCGTGGTGATGGCGAAGATGATAATGGAGAAGTGTGGTGATGAACAAGTTCTCACCTCGCGACATGAAGAAGTGGTCGGGGTAGAGGAGTTTGAAGCTGAACAGGGTGAATATGCACTCCACACTGAACGAGCCCCGATCGACGAAGTCGCCGTTGAACAAATAGGGGTTGGTCTCCGACGGTAGACCGTTCAGCTTGAATATGTTCATTAGGTCGTAGAACTGGCCGTGGATGTCTCCGCATACGGTGAACTTCTTGTCGTCTGGCACCTTGATGTCCACCAGGGTCGACTGCTGCTGCAGGTAGGCCTTCACGTCGATGAGGATCTGCGGGGAGTCGGTTGTGTTTAGCTGTGATTCATTTGTGTAGGACACCAGAGGGCTAGTACCCCAGTAGGGTTTGCAGAGCTGGCCAGTAACAATAAAAAAACACTGAACTCAAAAATGGAATTCACTGGCATTGCGTAAATTTAATACTTTTTGCAAGACTGTCATTTGTTTGTTCATTGTGACGTCCTTAAAAAAGTTGTTTCATATTCCAAGGTATTTTACTCTTAAAAATGTTCACTCAGTGAGGTTATACGATGTTCGCTGTGGTTTATAAGCCAACAATATCGTTGCTAGCAATGACACGTACATATACGAGGTATGACGATGGTGAGGCGCTCAAATTACACCAATTGGTGTAATCGATTAGCCTGATATCTCTTTCCGTATCATATGTTCTATATCATCTGTCACATTCACTTACATATGTCTTATAACGTAAGGCGGATAATTTTTAAACGCCACGCAGTATGGACATCGCATGTTATCAAAGACCTCTATAACAATTTGGGGATTAAGCACCATGTGGTAGCTTTGTTGGTTCGCGTTTGATGTTCAAACCCCCATGTGATGTAGGTGAAGGCCAGCCGGCGATTGTGTTTACAGAATCCAACATTGTTATTTATATGCGAGAAGGTGGCGAGTGACCTTTCACCAGATGGTAAGTGGTAACTGCCTGGACATTACAACACCCGTAAGGTTGCAGATGCGTTGCTACTTTTGTATTAAAGTAACGTAAATGTAGAAGTATAACACTATGGTCATGGTACATCCCCCGGACGGAGTAGAACATTTTTGCAACAGCGAAGTACAGTCAGGACAAATAGAGTCATGCAGGTAATCAAGTACAATTTATCTGGATAGTAATTAAGTGCTGGATGTTATGTAGTCCAAGAACAAGTGCTACTGTTGACAAGGACTATGGTACTTCTGTGGAACCAGTTGCCGCCGGCTGTCTTTCCGAACCGTTTTAACCTGGGAACCTTCAAGAAGAGAGCATACTCTTTTCTAAAAGGCAATTGTGAGCCCTCGGGTGTTGCAGGTGTTCATGGGCGGCGGTAATCACCATCAGGTGAGCCTCCTGCTCGTCTGCCCTTGTCTCCAAAAAAAAAAAAAAAAGCGCTTGTGGAAAAAATAGCAGCAGCATTAGCCAATGCAGAACAATACACAACTTAATTAACATGTTGATTTCAAATCTTTCCCTGGTTATGAATGTCACATTCGTTTTCCTTAATTTATGATTACTAATTTTCCTGTAAACATGTCCAGTTCCTTTACACTAATTTAATTTTTTAAGCAATAATGACTTTTATTACCTTATATGCATATTTTTTATGAAGACATTTCTGCTGTTTGTAGTACTCCATTAGTTCAGTGACAAACTTGACGGTTACTTTTCCATCTTCCAATGCTGGACCTTCATATTCATCTTCAATAGCTACAAATGAAAAAGATCTCCTTGAAAATGTTGTGTTATACAGCTTTATTCGGATTTGTAAATTTATTTTTAACATTTCTATAGATTCTTCAGTTTTATTTTTATATATTAAGAGAGATTAAAAAAATCTGGATAATAAATCATATCATACTTTTACATAATTATTACAAAAATGAAGTGTTATTTAGTGATTAAAGTTACTTCTATAGCAGGATTAGAACTTTGGTATTTTGTAAATGTTTGTCTTATTAAAATATTATTATTATTTATAAAAGTAGTTAAGTGCCTAGATTAATACTATAAAAATTTAAATTTCTGTTTGTCTTATGTTTTTTTTTATTAAGTCTTGAATTAGTGGTTCAAATTGAAAACTAAACATAGCACCGAACAGAATATTACTTAATAGTGACTTACTCATGGCATCTAAGTTGATTGAATCTGCTAAATTAACCTCCTTCCTATCAACTGATATTGCTTTTTCAAAGGCAATCTTCTTCACAATCTTATTGCACTCGTTGTATTTCATTTTAGCATCCTGGTCATTTGGCCTAGCTTTGGTTACCTTAAAGAACAAAAAAATATTATTCATTCAAATGTATAAATATAGATGAAACATTGGAGTACAAGACAAATGTTAAAAAAAGATTTGATGATTTAGTAAACTCAGATTAATAAATAAATGCATGTGTTTGACAGTTTGCTAATGTTTAATACATAGGATAATTAATATTAGGACAGTTTCTATAACAGAAGTCAATTCACTTGTTCTTAATTAACTTCTAGTACCATACCATTCCTCCATACATTCACCATATTTTCGTGAGTAACACTATAGCTTTCTTGATTACTTAAAGCTACAATATTTTTTAGAATTATGTTATATAAATAAAAGAAAAATTACAAACTCACATTAAGAATGCACAGCATGTCTTACTTTTGATTTCTTAATTTTATGCGAATATGATATATGTTAAAATGAATCAATTTTACGGAATTTATTGCATTTTAATTTGATGGTCTATGGACATACTGTTATAATTCAAAAAATGAAATTAAAACGCAGGAAAATCTTCAAAATAGTTTCATTTAATGAATAAGCGCAAGGTCAATAAATATGTATTGTATATGACAAATTAAGTTTAATACTCGCAAAGCAAACAAGCTATGAAAATTCGCATTTTTTTAATAATGCAATATTTTTCCTCAAATTTCGTACCTTAGCAAAAGCTTTAAAATGTTATCAATGAATTATTATAGTGAAGTGTAGGTGCTATTGTTGTACCAATTTTAGTTTAATGATAATTTTTCCACATACATAGGATTCTTTAAATCATGATAAAATAGAAATTAATGAATTCAGAAGAATATGTAAACTTGAAACTTAAAAAATAAATTATTTGTGAAACATGTAATAAATCGAGTTTTGTATTTGGATTAAAATATTAGTAAAAGCTTGAACAATTACCAGGTGTATGTTAATGCACATGTTACAAGCCTTTACCATTTAACACTTCTTTTAGCAACATCTGATTCACACTTTTCTCTTCAAATACCTACAGTAGACCTTTCTTTTTTATTTTGTGACTTAATAACTGATAAAATTTTTACTTTCAGTTCATATAATGAAAAAGTATGCATATTAATCTATGGTTGAAAAAATATGCTACTTGTGGTTTACCCATTGCTTTATAACCACTCTTAGCATATAATTAAATGCTTATAATATCAAGTAGGGAAAGGGGTAGTACTAAAGCTAAAGTTTAATGGTTGAGAATTAGATGTCCATAGGTTTGATTTCTAGTTACATTGGAGCACAATGGGGCCAAATGAAACAAAGATATGTAAAAAAATCCTAGGATTTTTTTATTAAAATTATTTGTTTTTAATTTATTAACTCTAAAACAAGAGTCCAAACATTTTGGATTTTGTAACAAAAAAAAAATATCTTTAACTGTATTTTTCTCGCCCATTATATTGCATGCTGTCAGCGCCTTTAATTGTAATGACACTAACAAACAGTTGATGTATATTTATTTTCCTTAGTCTTAAATAGTGTACATTATGTTGGCGTTCTTTAAATAAATAAATAAAATAAATATATTATTGCAATAGATTTATGGGTCAGGTATGGTTTCACCAAACATATATTGGAGTTCAACAATCTTACTCTACTTGTTATTGGATATTTAAGCTTAGTGCTTGTGCTATACAAGCAATATTTCATAACAATTAGTTGTTTTCTTTAAGAATTTTTAATAATGAAAATGTGGAATGTAGCTACTTTTTTAATAAAAATAGTACACCACATTTTGTATGTAACAATAATGAAGAATCAGAAATCATGAGCTTTATAGCTTTTGCTTTTTTAATTGACTTGTGAGGGTATACCAGGCAATAAAAGGGATAAATATTGTTATTAATGTCACTGATGATATAAAGAGCAATCTCAAGGTTAATTATAATTCACAGTTCCATGTTCAAATGCACACCAAACTATATCTGTGTATGTTTATATTATTTCAAAGAGATACTACTAAGGAAGCGGTTCACCTGATGGCAAGTGAGGACCACCTCCCATGGGCACTCAATACCATAGACGTTGGAAGCGTGTCACTAAAACTATATAGAATTTATGGTAGAATACAAGTTTCAAGATAAGCTTAGTGAAAATTAACTGTCTCTAGTAATTATATTGATATTCACCTATACAGGCAAATGTATTAAATACTTACATATTCAAAATCCTTAAGTGCTAATTTGTACTTTCCTAAAGACATGTGAGCAGCCGCCCGCCTATAATATGCCTTAGTATACGACTTGTCCAAATCAATTGCGAGGGACGCATCTTTGAGGGCATATCCAAAATTCTCCAATCGTAAATTCGCTATACTTCTATTAGCGAATAAAACGGCACTATTTGGGTTCTTTTCTATTGCTTGTGTGTATAAATCGATGGCTTTGTCGTAATTTTGTTCTGAAAGATTTAGGTTAGGTCGTGTATTTTTTTTTGTTTAGGAGTTTTTTTTGTTCACTTTCAATAGGAGTTTGATTTAATTTAATAGATGGATATGTATAAAAACTATTTTTATTTATTTATGGAATATACTTACTTTTAAAGAATTCATTAGCTTCACTTTTCAGTACTTCTGCTGCCTCTATATCCTCTTTGGATACTGGCCCGGTTACCTCAGCGTTTGTCGCCATAATTTCGAATAAATGAACAGTAAAATTAAAGCGATCTAGGATAAAATGGTATAATCATTGAGAGTAATAATGATTTTCTCATAGATATAGAAACGTAATTCGTAATTCATGAAAATTCAAGTTATAGAATGATGAATGACCGAACCGAATGACTGATAAACGTCAATGTTACCATTTTAATAAATTTAATTACAGACATTGAATGGGTTGTATAATAATAACGTATCAGTAAATTGTAAAGTACTAAAAAAGTATATATATGTACTTATGTACGCACGTAAGAAGTTATACTTCATCAGTATAACAAAAAAATACATTAATCTTATCCTTTGTACCAGTGTTTGTGATAAAGACATTATAGGCAACTGTTAACGGTTTGTTATTACTTGGATTTTTATGTGTCAAAAAGTATCTATGGTAAAACTATGAAGTTGGTCGTAGTTTGTCGCTTTGCAACCACCAATTTCATCAGGTCTCTTTTTCCCTGTCAATGTGCACCCATCATAAAATCATCAACAATAATCATTTCCAAATGCGCTAAAAGAAGTATAATTTCAATAACTCATTCATTAAAAAATTAAAAACTTGCAAAAGGCTTTGAATATATTTATCACATTTATTATTTATTTATTTGCATACTTTTTTGTACTAACTGGTACAAATGGCGCCAGTTTAGTTGAGAGCGATATGATGAAATATGGTCAAACTTCCGAACACCATAAATGAAGCGAATACATTGATTAAGGAGGCGATCCAATTTGCTCCGTGTTTGCATCTGAGTAACACACATCAGCGTAATCGAGATGTGGAAGTATAAGTGATTGAACTAAAAGTTTTTTAGTATAAGGTGGTAAGAAATTATTAAATCTATATAATTGTCTCAAGTTGGAACAAACTTTACACATACACCTGCAGGTCGTTGGCGTAACAGAATTTATGAAAAAGGAAAAAAGTATTAGTGACAGTATTCTGCCTTGCGGAACACCGGTGGCCAGATCACATCAACTGGAGAACTTTCCATCGACACGAACCGCCTGCCAGCGACCACGAAGATAAGAACAGAACCAAGTCAGTGCTGAGGAGGAAAATCCTAGGTGAGTTAAGATGGCAAGAAGGATGTCATGGTCAACAGCATTAAAAGCGTTGGAGAAGTCGATCAGTACTAATACTGTCACCCTGCCATCCCCCATACCATGTCGCACATCCTCGGTAACCGCTAAAAGAGCAGTAGCGGTACTATGACACGGCCGAAATCCCGATTGGTATTTATTCAACAGGTTGTTCTTATGAGCGAAGGTGCAAACTTGTTTAAAAACAATAGTCTCTAAAGTTTTTGTTAAAAACGGCAAGATAGAAATAGGCCGGTAATGATTCAGTGAACTGGGTTTACTAATTTTGGGAAGCGGGATAACAAAAGCATTACGCGAACAGATAGGAACTTCCCCAGATAGCATCGATTGATTAATAATGAATGTGAGAATGGGTACAATCTGGTCCAAAACATGAAATATCATGACACGGCCTATTTCATCCCAACCTATAGATACATCCTCCTCATACCTCATACCTCATCCTCAGCGACCGAAGAAAAAGAGAATGTATCAGAGTGAGTTGAGGCCATGGAAGATATTAAAAGAAGAGTACTAGCTTTAATGTGAGATGGCAATACAGAAGATGAGGAAAAGTGAGCGTTAAGTTCGCTTAAGGGCATATTAATACTCATTTCATGAGTCATGTGAAAAAATTAATACATGATTTAATTATTTATTAAATAAATAGGCCCACATGTGACGTAATGTTGTAAGCGGTTTGGCTTTGTTTTTTTACGACCAGCCGCCTGCCTGACGTCAACCTGTATCACCATTCCTATTAACTTTACACAATAGTTAACAGTCATGCATAAACAAAAAAAATTCAAAATTAAAATCATTTATTCATTGACATAAGAAACTTACATTTCATCATCGATAGTCATATTTTTTTTAAATCTACCTTCGTTTCATAATGTGATTCCTCTAGAAAAGAAACAGGCGAATGAAACTCCGCATGTATCCTCTTTTTATTTATTTTGTCATCCTCTTGTCATTAACTTTTTTTTCTTAAAAAACTCCTTGGGAACAAACACCCAGATCCGGAACAAATATCCGCGGGTCACATCGATACTTGTCCCGTGTGGGAATTGAACCAATGACCCCAGACGTCGAAGCCAATAGCTTAGCAACTGTTGTCGGTTACACTATTGAGCCACCGAGTTATGTTCGCTTCGGCAGTTCCTAAGATTACAGTCCGACAAACTTTATATAAAATTTAAATATTAATAAGTGTTTACTATATTATTATGGTTGTAAAGTTTTACGTAGCTCCGAAAATTTAAAAGAAGAAATTGTTGAAGTATTGTGGATTGCACGAAAAAAATAGGGGAAAAAAGCAGATAGTGCATAAGGAATATACTTGTAAATACCAGAAATCATAAAACCTTAAAACCATCGTAATCACACTACAATTTTGTTTACCAAGTGCCACATAATTCAAACATATTCTGTATTTATGTCAAAATAAGTGGATGCTGTTTTCATTTCATTTTGTTAAACATTTATTTTTAACATTTCTGTGCTACTCATATGTGTAATGTGGAGTTGCCCTAAAAATTGCACAGATACAGGCTGTGTGATCAGAGTTTGTGATTTTAATATATTCATTCCGTGATTCTATCTTTTGTAAGATCTCTGTGTATATTAGTGTGCGGATCGTTTTTAAGATTAGGTACATGAAAAATATTTATTGGTGTACAATTCAGTAGTAAAATATTTTATGTCAAAAATTTGCTTTGAAATTTATATACAAATTAGGGAGATAATGTTTCGTGTTGCGTTAAGACGTTTTTATATTAGTTATTATAGCTAAATGAATAACGCAATATATTTGTTAACTGTTTTATTAAATGCAACAATCTAATTTATTTGTTCACAGAAATGGATGGAAATATAAAAATAGGATATAACTTATAAAATACTATATGTATATTTAAAATGGACGTACATCTTACGAAAATAGAACATTACGCGAGCATCTGCAAAGCCGCACATATGAGCATAACAATAATACTGCTTTTGACTAAGAAGGCCGAGCTGGGCTCTTCGCAGTCCTCGCTCTGCCCAACTTGGAGGAAGTAGGGCTGGTGAAGTTCCTCCCTGCTGCCCATATAGGCGTTGATCGCCGTCGTGCCTGCTTGGGGCATCGTTCTGGTTCGGCTCAGTTTCCAAGCCGCAACTGAAGGACAGAAGAATAACAAACTGGATAAGCAGCGTTTTTTATGTGATATGGTGGCAAGCGATCTGGCGGTTCACTTAATAATCGCCGCCCATTGACTTTTGCAACACCCGTAGTAAAATGAGCTCCGGCTTCCTCATACACCAGACTGGAACGCAGAAGTAAAACACTTCCACTTCACGCGGGTCTTCTGTGAGGTCGTGGTACTTACCCGGACGGACCTGCCCATTCGTGAAATAGCGAAGACGTATGCGTGGCCCTTCCACTAAACTAGTTAATTTTGTACAATTCAAAGATATTACGGGGCCACTAATTAGGGAGAATCATTTGGATTTCTTTTACTATCAATAGACACTAAAATGATGTATCATAATACTTTAGAACCTCGTCCAATGTTTGGGTAAACAGTAACTGTATGCTGGAAAGGATATAACAATAGATGCGCCAAGCATTGCTTCAAATGCTAAATAACAATGTAGAAAGAAGGGATTAAGATTTTCGTCACTGTGGCTATCAGCCGTTTAGCTCAGTGGCTAGAGCGTCAGGCCGCGAACGCCGAAGACGTGGGTTCGATTCCCACAGCGGCGACAATCTTTTCGTGCTTTTTCTACATGTTCTAAACAGTAACTCTTTATACAGTCCATGAATAAGATCGCCTATATAGCGCTGGGTAACCACGGTTCAATTATCATATGCTTCTTTACATATTACTTAAGAATCTAGTCTGTTTCACGTACCAACTCTCTGGAACGGATTGACGTTTACACAGCTGTAAGCCAGCGAGTACGTGACATAGTCAGTGGTCAGGACGTACAGTCTTGTTGTGACCGTTGCCTCAGGGTCTGAAATTACAAAAATCATTAATTTCAATCGTGTCCAACATCTCTATAACTAGAAATGACGAATTAAGCTCATACTAAGTGACGATGTGTAATTTTCCTTCTCTTTTCTCTCTGATTCTTTATTAAGCTTAATAAAAAAATCTTTAGTTAAATACGTTTTTAAAAATTTAATTACATCTAAGGCAGCTGAAATAATTTGATTGAATATATCTTACAGGTTAAAAAAACTGAATTAAACCCACAAAAAAATCATTCACCTCGAATATTGTACTAATATATTTAGCTGACTTTCAACATCTGATACCAGTAAATATTTATATGTTGTTTCAACTTTTTCGAAGCAAAATACTTTATTTTTATAGAGTGAAATTTGATGAATCCTATTTGCCAATCCAAGTTGTGACATGGCATGCATTACAAAATATATTCAAATCAGCTTATTAACCATTCCGACATAAATAATGAACAATGTCAAATGCAAAGTTTGGCATTTGTTCCCTTGCGGCAAGTTTGAATATTCTATCCAATGATGTTTCATAATATAGATAACGCATGTCCATACTGCGTGGCTTTTATACATTGTTCGGATTTACGTTATACGACATATTACATAAGTGAATGTGACAGATGCTATAGGACGTATGGTACGGAAAGAGATAGGAGGATAATTACACCAATTGATGTAATTTGAGTGCCTGAGTTTTGGTGCGCTAGTATTATGTCTACTGTATATTATATCATTATTTATATTTATCTTTAGATTTGATTAGTAGATAGCGATAGGTATTTGACATTAGCTATCTACGGATAGACAGAATATCTAAATCAACCGTCGGTATTTCCCTCACCGTCGCTCAATCTGTCTGGCAAGATCACGAGCAGTTTCGCGCTGCCGTCAGTAGAATTGATGGTGGCGGTGCCTTCGATGACGTCCAGTTCACCATTCACCACCTCCCAGTTGACTAATGTGACAACACCAGTCGCTTCGTTCAGGCTGTATCGGGCACCGGTGCAGTTGCCATTCTCGAAGAATTGCGGGTAGCGCTCGATTTGGTACCAAGTGCCCGTATACTGTCGGTAAAGAAGGAATATATGAGTACTAGCTGACCCGGCAAACGTTGTCTTGCCGTATAAATTATTTCTAAGGAATTTGTAGGGTAGAAAAATATTAAGAAATATTTGAAGTCGACCATCCTTAACATTTAGGGGGATGAAAAATAGATGTTGTCCGATTCTCTACCCTGGCCGATATGCACACAAAATTTCACGAAAATCGGTCGAGCCGTTTCGGAGGAGTTTAATTACAAACACCGTGACACGAGAATTTTATATCTTAGATTATGCAATGTAATTGGGCTTTAATAGTCTTTGAATATAAAGTGCTTAGTGAAAACAATCTAAGTGAGGAAATGATTTTGCGCAGCTTCACTAGTCTCATAATAAGCAGAGCTTGTAACTAGTCATAAAAGAAATAAAACATTATAGCTACTGCATATAAGTTAAGAATAATGACATTGTATTTTGCTCTGTTGATTTCATACTATTTGATTGATGGTGGTACATAAGTAGAATTATTGTATATGATAATTTTTATTTCAGTCGTAGATTGATCATGCCTTTGGGTTTAGAGATCTCATGCATCTTATTTAGGGTCGGACAGTTATCTGCAGATGGAGAACTATTTGTCGTCACTACATAGTATAAAATAAAGTCGTCTTATGCTTAGATCTTTAAAACCTCGTAACGGATCTTGATGCGATTTTTACTAGATACAGTGATTCAACAGGAAGGTTTATATGTATAAAACATTGCACCCGTGCGAAGCCAGGGCGGGTCGCTAGTTGTAGTTATAAGAAAAAGCGCACCTGGGCAGCGTCGAAGTTCTGCACCACCGGTATGTTCGCGTCACACTGTCCGGGCAGGATGACCTGGCGACCGGTCTGCTCCGGGTAGTGGAAGCAGGCGCTATCGCTCTGGTCTACCGACTGATAGAACTGAGGATAGAGGACGCGGTTTGCCGCCACGATGGGCGCCATTGCGTTCTGCGCGGCCTGCGTAAGCTCGCGGGACTTGCTGTGCTTCGCGCTCCACACTAAAAAGTTCCTCTGTATCAATTTCTGGCCAGTATTGGGGTTACGTCGCGAAATCACAGTACCAAGGCCAGATAAAACCAACGCGACTGCTAGCCGTACAATGTATAAGTTTTGTATTTGGTACTTTAAATTTATGTTTACTCTTTTAAAAAGCAAGCTTACATTAAATTAGTTTTTATTTGAAATGCAATTTATATTTAATTATAACGAGCGATAAAATTTCGATAGCCGTTTATTGCATGCTCTTTTGCATTGATAATGTAGCAACATCAATCACTAGCGCAGAAGGCGTTTCCTTTTCAATCGGCGAGACTTGTACGTCGTTACACAAAGACACATCTTACGAAGCGATCGTCATTATAGACTTAAAAAAAAAAAAACGCCGATTGATAAAGTAATAAGAGAAGAGTTTCGTAAACTTTTATACTCACCACGTCTGTATTCATTGTTGATGTTCTCGCACGAATACAGGAGAGAGTACGTTTCGTAGTCGGTTGCCAGCACCCAGGTATCTGAAATGTACGTAAATGAATTTCAAAAACGACTCAACAATACGAGAAAGCCTGTTATTAATAGAATGATGACGATAAATACTTTTTCTTATCAACAAAAGTGTTACAATATGAATTAACTTGAATAAAGAGTTAAATCAACATTTTTAAAGTGATAATCCAAAATTGTTTGTTTCATTTTTTTTAAATACTGCTTAAGAAATACAATTACAGCTAAATAAATTTACAAACGAACGCATTTAAGAATAAGTTTGTGTTAAACAAAGTTAAATTAAGTTATTGACCATTACACTTTCTACGGTGGATTTCGCGATTTATTTTTAACGATTGTTTTAATTGCATACCGATTACACGACCATCGCTCAGGGTCCTCCTCAGTCTACCGTTGTTGGTGACCGTGAGGGTGCTGGTGTTTACTCGGGCCGTGACGCCAAAAACGTTGGTATCGACGACCTGGTACTGGTTGCCGGAGGCGCGGAAATCGGAGCTGATGCAGTCGCCGACGGTGTCGTCTGTGGGGTAGCGTTCGATTTCGTGCCACCATCCCAGATACTGAAAATCAAGTCAACATTGTTATAAGCGGGGAAAGGCTGCATCGGTCCTGGACTGTCCCGTGACAGTGGTGTAAAGTTTTTTTGACGTTGCGAGTTGACATCACTACATAGTCCCTACTGTCCCTATGTATGCCTAGATCTTTAAAACTACGCAACGGATGTTGATGCGGTTTTTATTAGTTAGAGTGATTCAATGTGCGGGAAGTCGATGGATGCAGGTGGCTCAGGATCGTACTTCATGGCAGTCTGTGGGGGAGGCCTATGTTCAGCAGTGGACTCAAATAGGCTGAAATGATGATGATGATGATGATGAAGAGGAAGGTTTATATGTATAATACATTGCACGGGGCAAAACCAGGGCGGGTCGCTAGTTAAAAATAAACCGTGAGAAACTTTGTAAAACAGTTTCATTAAATGAGTTCAAAAATCTTTTGCTGTGTGTCTTTTGTTCCGTACCAATTTAGAGTTTCAGGGTGATAAAAATGGAAGTCAACAACAAATTGGCTTTATTTTACAGTTTGTCTTTGATAAAGTCGAAAATGCAAACAAGTCAAGATAATGTTCAAAGTTGAGTGGCATGTTAGCAGTCGCCGCATTGGCCAGGGGCTGAAGATATAACAGTTTTAAATTTGCATGTCATTATTTGAATTTTTATCTGTGAAAGGGAGTAAAATCGATCCATTTCTTAAACGGATGGTGATTGAGAATGAGAAGTGGGTCATATACGACAACATTGTGTTACAACAATGGCCTAAACAGGACTAACCACCAAGAAGATTCTGCAGTGCATTTGTTGAGATTGTAAGGAATATTTTATTTTCATTTGCTACCATAGGCCAAAACACTAAAGTAAATTCTTTTCTGTCAACAATTGGACCATTTTTTGATATATGATATGATATGATATTTATTTATTTCTAAAATAATATCAGAACAGAGCATTTATATCTAATTAATGTTAATTACAATAAGAAAAAGACAACGAGTATACTGTGATATTGATTAATTTAATGCTATTGATTAAAAAAAAGGTTAGAATTGGCCAACAAGAGAGATTTTGTGTATGTCTTATAAATGTTTGTTTTAATTTAATCTCAACGAACTGACTGTATTTAAATACCAACTGTTACTCCTTTTTAGTCTCTACACTACAGGAACGATATTTAACGTAACATCGAGCTTAGTAAGGATAGAAGGTTATAGACGTTGAATGTGAAAATTGTGTGAAACTGAGATAGAATGTTACTTGCGAAAAGATGACGCTTTGACGCTTGTAAGGTGAAATATTACTCGAAATTACCCTTGAGATATTGAAGCCTTGGACACCAGTGATATTCTCGCATTGACCTCTGAATACGGGAGCCTCGTTTGGCTTGACTTCGGGAACGTAGAAGCATGCGTCGTCACTCTGGTCACTTGTTATATAGTACTCTTGTAGAAGGCCTTGTGTGTTGTTGATTATATTGTTCATTGTGTTGTTCGCCACATTGCTGAGGGTACGGGTTCTGCTAAGTTTCCAACTTGCCACTGTAACGAGTATTGTGTTAGGGCTATTAAGTACAGCTGGTCCCTCCTCTAGCTCCGTCTCTTTCATTACCATTTTTATATTTTTTTCAACATACGACATACTAATTTCGTTAACAAAATCGTGTTTTTGTTTGTATTAATGAATAACATGAATTTGAATCCGATTAGTTTTTTGTTACGTTATACTATCGATATATCGTTACAGATAAGTTCTAGTGATTTTTGTAACAACAATTACCTTGTCTAGTCCCGTCGGGCATGTTACGGCAACTGTACACCAATGAGTAGCTCTCGTAGTCAGTGTCAAGAATATATAAAGTTGCAACGTTCACAGCTGAAATAAAGAATAAATTTCACGTCGAGATTTGTACGTATATTATGGCTCTAGTTGTCTAGGGTGTGGTGATAAAGCTTTTTTTTATAAAAGAACATCCGTAAAATTTTAAATATGTACTCGCAGTATATCTTTCAGGAACATGTAAATTACGTCTATGTCAAATCTCATTTAAATTTACAAGGCCGTATAATAGCCGACGTGAAAATGAAAAACATTGTCCTATTTCTTGAAATCAAGTTGAAGAGTTTTTTGAAGGCTCTTTGAGAAATTATTCTGAGGGGATGACTTGAATTTTCTTTCAAAGATTCGATGTAATGCGTTTGATATTTGGAGAAAGGAAGCCATTGCTCGAGAGTAGAGTATTAATTAATGTGAGCACCGTTAAAAATAACAAATTACCTCCGCTGGACAAAACAAACGTCACTTCTATGAGACCACTGCCGTCGGTCGACGACACGAAGGCAGATCCGGTTATAGAGGCCAGTGTGGCGTTGACGACTTGCGTGTTGATAACTTGGATGTTGTTATTGGTGCCGAGATTATACTGTGCGCGGCTACAACGTCCCGCTTGTTGGAACTGTTGCGGGTAGCGGGCGATCTCGATCCATCTTCCCAGATACTGGTTACAAATTAGGTGAATTAGCAATGTGACTGGTAGGGCCATGCAACAGTATTCCCTGTAGCACAAATGGGCAGGTCCGTCCGGGTAAGTACCACGACCTCACAGAAGACCGGCTTGAAGTGGTGATTGTTTATATTTCTGCGTTTCGTCTGGTCTGTGAGGTAGCCGGAACCCACTTTGTTAAAAAGTGTCAATGCATCTGCACCCTTGCCGGTCTTGCAAATGTAATGAGCGGCGGTTATCATTTAACAGCAGGTGAACTGCCAGCTCGTTTTGCCACCATCTTACATAAAAAGGTAAAAATATTTTTTTACTTTTTAATTTTTTACTATTTTTTCGTAAATCTTACGCAAACGCTACACAATTAACAGTATGTAGTGTTTGCGTAAATATCTTTCGGAAGAGCGGGTGGCAACGAGCTGGCGATCTAGAGTAACGTAGTACCCGAAAAGTTAAAAAACCTTGGCAAAATTTAAAAACGTGGACTTCAGCCACCTCACTTGGCAGACGTAGGTATACGTATCCACCCATACGAGCCTATTAATTCGTGAATACCCGTTCGTGTAATAGCAGTAGTCACTGCGTAGCCATAATTATACATAGGAACATTGATCTCGTCCACAGAAACATTGATCTCGCACACAATCTATAAAACAGGCTTAAGAGGAAAACCTTGTATTTGTATAACTGATGTTACGCTTTCAGTCCTTAGACTATTAAAGCTTCATCGAACGCAGAACCGAGGGCTAGCCTGAACCCACGGGTTTGAGCCGCTCATCAGTGGGTAGAGCCGCGCATGTACTCATGCGTGCGTTAATTATGTCATGTCGCCTACGGGCCATCGAGGTTCGGTGCAGACCGTGACCCCGATGGCCGTTGACTGTGCTTGGTTAGTTGGAGGTTGAGGGCCTTAAGAACCGCCCTGGAACGTGTGTGTATCTAGCGTACGCGTTGTGTTGGTTTCGCCGTGCTCGAAGGCGAGGACGAACTATGGTGCACTAACTGACGGTGTAGTGTGTTATTTGGCGGAACCCCTGACGGTGGGTCCAAAAGAGGAAAACCTGTTTCATAGACTGTGTGATAGTTCCCATATTAATGGTTTGTCGTCTTATTTACTTCTACTCATTGTGGTATTAAGGTTGAGATTAAGGAAATCATAGTTGACTAGATTTCATTTAAATAAATTTTCTTAAAGAAAAAACCGAAGAGCACTAAAATCGGCCACTGGAAGCCCCACTTAAATATTTCTTATTCTGTTTTTAGAGCTCAGTGTTTGTTTTTAGAGCGGCAAAAGAAATACATCATCTGTGATAATTTCAACTATCTAACAATTACGGTTCATCTGTCTAACAATCAGTCTGGTGACAGGCGGACAGACAGACAGCGAAGTCTTAGTAATAGGTATAGATATAAAAACTAAAAACCAATAAGCTACGATTTAACCTGGGTTAACGAAAAATATACTACTTACTCTAGTCGCGTTGAAGTTAGGTATAGCCCGAATGGTGTCGTTGCACGGCCCCCTCAAGTTGATAGCCGGCGGTAATTGATCGAACACTGGATAGTAGAAGCAAGCCGCGTCACTCTGATCGCTTTCTTCATAGTAGTTCTCGAACAAGTCGGTTGTGTTACTGACAACGGCGTTGATAGCTTCATTCGCCGATTGCGAAAGCCCCAACTGGGATCGGCTTAGTTTCCAACTGTAGACTGAAATAAATTATTAAAGTCATAAATTGAATGTAATTTAAAAGCAGTACCCGATTAGAAACATTTTGTCAAGAATACATACTTTGTTTCGTTCGATTGCCAAGGTCTAAGCAGCTGAACAATAACGCGTAGTTAGTGTAATCTGTGGCCAGGATGTAGAGGGTGCTGTTGAAGGTAACTGGAAATTATAGAATTTTATTTTATATTAGAACATTATTTTATTCAAATACCTGTGTTTCGTTTGTGACGCACAAAGTCAAGTATAAACATAAATTAATCAGAGACAAGGATGATTCTTATTTCCTTTTCCAAAAAAATTTTTTTTGTTACACCGGGTGAAACATAAATAATAATTATAACTACTTTACGTTGGTCGTCAGCACCAGTGACAGCTGCGTGGCCTTAAACATTTTTTTTTTATTCAGCTATGATTAGGCTACCCAAAGCATCTGTTGTTTTACGAATGAGCAGGCTCACCTGGATAAGTACTACAACCTCACGGAAGACCGGGGTGAAATAAGTATTATGCGTTTCGTTTGGTGAGTGAGGTAACCGAGTTCCATTGATTCTACGGGTGAGTGAACACTTAAATACATATAAAGACGCAAGACAGAGTAACTAAAGACATCGACAAGAATATTATAAGATTCAACAAAATTTACCTCCTCCAGGTCCACTAACGTATGTGTTTAGGATACCCCTGCCATCGGTGACGGCTGTCGCGTTACCAATGCTAACGTCCAGCCTCTCATTGTAGATGATTGTTTGGGTTATGTTAATAGTGTTCTGGGTGCCGATAGTAAAGATGTTAGAAGCACATTGTCCTGTCTGCACTTCCGACGGGAATCTCGCCGCTTCGTACCAAGTGCCTCCGAACTAACAAAGAAACATGTCAACGTGATATATATCGCTTCAATTAATGTATAACATGTCCGAATAATAGCTATAAGATAAGAGGATGTTGTGAATTTGGATATCATGACAAAGAAAGGCCACGAAGGCATATTGCATGGACAATTAGGAATCGAAGTCGAAGAATTGTCTACCAAGCGATGTGTCTAAGTGAAAGTAAAGATGTCAAATTTATAAACTGACTGCGTTGAGATTGAAGCCGGTAACGGCCGCTTGCTCTTCACAAACACCGTTCAGTATGACGGGGCCACCGTTGTTGTCAGGGTAATAGAAGCAGTCCGCATCTGTATGACCACGTGCGAAGTAATACTGCTGGCGGAGCACTGGGATGGTGGCCATCACGTTGTTAATCGTCTGGACTGCTGCTGGTGTCAAGCTCCGTTGTCTGCTGAGTTTCCAACTCGTCACTGTTGAAGAATTATTTTTTAGGTTTTGGAACGACCGTGTTAGTATTGCGCTAAGTTGTGATTGCCGAATATGAAGTATACTTCAAGGTGGCTCACCACAGGAGAGTTTTTAAGAAAAAATATCGTATAATTTGAGATTTGGACATATTTGCCGTGATAGCTCAGTATCCGGGCCTCGCCTTTAATTCAATATACTCGAGCAACCTGAGTTCGATCCTCGGTGCCGGCACCAATGAAGTTTTTAACTTTAAGTGCTGACTTATCACGTGGTCCGCGGTGAAGGAAGATATGTGAAGTCCGCCAATACCCAATAGGGCGACTATGTCCTGATACCCTCGGTATAGAGGAGGCCTTTGCCCAGCAGTGGGATATGTATAGGCTGTTACTTTACTTTTTACTTTTTTACATATTTGCCCTTAAATAGATTGCGCAGTCTATTCAATGCTTTCTTCTCGGCAAAATTGGGGTTGAGAATGGGGTTTTAGCCGTTCATAATTAATAGTTCTTCTACGTATTTACATAAGAGATTTAACGTGTACAAAATCCATTATCATCACCAATTTTATTGTATTTACGAAGTAAAAAAAAAAAAGACAATCACCTCTGCGCCTTTCGCTGTCGATGTTGGAACAAGAATAAACCAAGGCGTAACTGGTGTAATCCGTGGCCAAAACCCAGTAAGGCATGCTGATGGTTGCTGTTAAGAAAAAAAGATATTTAGAATTAGAACATAATAGTTTTAATGAACTACCTATTAACAAACGGCGGATTTTATTTTCTAAACTCTTTTGTAAAATATGTGTTAAAATATTTTTTAGTATTTATGCAATTTAAAGACAAGAATGGTGGGTGTATATTTATACTGTGTAATTTCGTGTATGTGAAAAGTTACGTCGTTCTTTTTAATGATTGAAAACATAGAAAACAAACCATTCGTTCCGGCTATAGGGAATGTGACGGTGAATTTAGCGGATCCATCATCGGACGCGGGGAGTGCTGTGGCCGTTATGACGTCCAACTGCTGATTGAGGACTTGGGTATTGACTACGGCCACACCCGCGTCGGTGAGGGTGTACGTGGCAGTGGCGCACGTTCCGTTTTGGAACTCTTGCGGGTAGCCTTCGATGTCATACCACACGCCCATGTACTGAAATGAGCAGGAATACGTTGTTAAGCTATGTCGTCTTCGATTGCATAATTTCCACTAGCGCATAAAAGCTATGTTTCTTTGTTTGATGTTCTTTTTGTTTTAGATTATTGGGAAAATTTGTTTTCAAAATAATACAAATGAACAATTGCTCGCTTTCAGAATGGTTGTTTCCATGGTCTATTAAATGATTTATCATTTTGATGCCAAATTAATCTTAAAATGTTCTTGACAAGTTGATCTAAGAACAGATCAGCTGTAGGGAAGCTGATTCTCCCCCACTAATAATGCATTCAAGGTAGATTGGTAGGGTTAGGCTGTGGTGCTAGGGTCGAATAGGTCCGTCCGGGTAAGTACCACAACCTCACAGAAGACTGGCGAGAAGTGAAATACTTCTGCGATTCGTCTGGTGAGTGAGGAGGGGGAGCCCACTTTATTAAAAGGTGGTGGTAACGTTGAACGCAATTATACCATTTAAGAGTTCCAGCTTAAAAGCTATCTTTATTCCCAATTTTATTTAAATTAGACAATCCCATTGTAGAGATAAACCCGTTTACGATTATTATAATTGATGTGTGATACGTTGTTAACGTAAAAATAAAAAAGCAGATGTCACCTGCGCTAGATTGAAATTCGGAACGACGGGTATGCTTTCGTCACATTGGCCGCGGAATATGACGGAAGTGCTTTGATCGGGCGTGGGATAGTAGAAGCAGCTCGCGTCGGTGTGCGGGACTGCTGTGTAGTATCGGTTGTCCAGGACGTTTATACTTTCAATGACGCGGTTCATGTTAGTCACGGCGGTGGCCGAAAACTGTCTCGCGCGACCCAACTTCCAACTCCAGACTGAAATGTTATAGAACACAATACACCCTATGCCTGCTAACCAAAATTGACAAAACAGTGGTTGGCTTTGACTATTAAACAACTGGTTTCTAAATTAAAGAATATAAGGATCGCTTTAATATAACTAATTAAATAACTTAGTTGCATTCTAGATTGGACTTTTGATGCTTTATCTGAGGAAGAAAAGGCAGAAACGATATGGGGATAACATACCTCGCCGTCTGTTGCTACTGATGTTGAGGCAACTGTAGACTAACGCGTACGAATCATAGTCAGTGTCCAATACCCAATAATCAGAAGGCTCGGAGGCTGAAAATAAAATATCCTAAATGGACAATCTTCCTAGCCACTTAACTTTTTAGGTATTATTTGGATTAACTATTATGTTTTAGTGCCAGTCTCTGCTCTCAAAATTTACAATTACCTTTATTACACACAAACAGTAGATCGAATCAGTTATTTGAGAATATATTATTATATATATCAGTATTTCAAATTCATATGTGTAGACTGAAAGAGACTTTTTGAAAGAAATTTACTTAATTATTAAGATAATAAAAATATTGTATATAAATTATAATTTTTAACTTGACTTACCACTGGGGAAAGAAAATAGAAGTTTTGCCGAACCATCTGTTGTCGCTAAAACAGCTGAGCCAGTGATGGTGTTAAGGGTTTGATTAATGACTTGTGCGTTGAGCACTTGGTAGGCACCATTCGGCAGCAAAGTGTAAGTGGCTTTATTACAGACACCTGATTGGAAATTGGAGTGGTAGCTTTCGAGGAGGCGCCAACGTCCCGCATACTAAAAAAATAAGATTATCATGAATGAAACGTAACTTCGATGAGATACAATGTATATTTTTCTTATTGCTTTAAATTTATGCAATTCTATTTTTATTTATGATATACAGGGTGGCTTTTCTAAAGATGCCAAAATTCACACAGGAAGAACAGACTCGGTAGTATAATCGTTTATTGAAATAAAAACAAACTTTTTTTTTTAAATAAAGTTGCCATTCCATTCCCTAAAAAACAGAATTGGTTGACAATGCGGTAGTCATTCATAAATGCGTCGGATACTTTTGAAAGGAATTTGTGTGCGTGTTAGTTATGAATGATCGCGCGTAAAACAAATGAGTTGCCCGTCAATCACGCACTTTTTGAGATAAGTTCAAATGAATGTAATTAATTAATTACGAGTGATTTTAAATATTTATCATTTTTTATATAACATTATTTATGTCTAAATGAAATATAATCGTATGCTTCGTGGCGCTAATCGGTCAATCACATTATTTTTAAACCCAAGTTAAATTTGCTGTAAAAATGAAGTTTTACATCTAGAATACGAAATGATGAGTCATGAAAGTGAAGTGTGTTCCATGGCAGAAATAAATTATTTACCCTAGCGGTATTGAAGTTTTGCATCACTGGGATGTTAGGGTCACACTGCCCAACAAACTCTACTGGTTGTCCGGGTGCCAAGTCTGGCAAGTAGAAACAGGCGGTCGCCGACTGATCTATGTTTTCATAGTAAACATTATCCAGAACTTCAATGTTTGCGATGGCGTTGTTGATAGCGGTGTTTGCAGCCGCCGAGAGTTGTTGCGTTCTGCTCAGTTTCCAGCTATAGACTGTGAAAAATTCAAATAAATGTTTGAATTTATTGGTTAAGTCTTGAAACAACGTTAACTGACTTACAAAATTAAAAAGACATTACGTACCAGCTCTGAAATCTTGTCCTCGATTAACGCAGCTATAAGCCAAAGCATAGTCAGTATAGTCCGTGCTCAGTATCCAAAATGGTATTACGACGACTGTAATCGAAAATTAAATATCATAAAAGAACATTTGAAGGATTGACACTGATGCGATTCATTCAGGCAGTTATATACGTGAAAAGTTATCTATGATTTCTTCGACTATCATGAATAAAAAACAAAACATGAAGTATAATAACGGGAAGTATACATTTTGCAGAGGTGCCAAAGTTCCGTGATTTGCTAATTATTCTCAAACTTATAGATAGGCGCCATCAATGTCCTTGACTATAGTAAGTTTGATCTTCTTTTTTAATGCCTTAGTTTTGTTGATTTAAATTCCTGACGGTTATAGAGTTTGGTATGAATGAGCTTAGTATGAACTATTGTCAACTTACAATGCTTAAAATTAGTATTATTCTGCTATACATAAGGTCTATATTTATAAAAAAAAAAGATGTAATAATAAAACAGGTGATAGAAAGTGGATATGCATTATCATTGTTTGTTTAACATCTTGATTAGATAATTGAAATGGATTAAGGAATGTAAATTATAGTACAATTGGAATATTAGGTACGTACCATTAGAGCCTTCTGTTAGCGTTATCGTCAATCTTCCGCTACCGTCGTTCGAGGTTATTCTAGCTACACCTTCGGAAGTCCTCAAAGTTTGCCCAAGTACATTAAATGATTGGAGGTTAAGTGCATTACTTGCGTTAGCAGAATATTGGTGACTGACACACTGTCCAGTCTGTTCGTCTTTAGGATATGCCTGAATTTCGTGCCACGTCCCTTGGAACTGAAATTAGATTTTAAGTAAACGGTTATTGATGTATTTGTTAAAGTTTAGATATTAAAATGAAAAGCATCTCAAATTGAGGAAGTTACAGCTGTCAGTACAGCCGATTTTAAGAAAACGTTGTAATTACATTGAGATATTAAATTATATTTATTTCATTTTCTACCGTATGAGAAAACAGTTGACAGTTAGAGTGAGTTCATTACCTGACTCAGATTGAAGTTGGGGACTGCTCGGATGGTTTCATCGCACTGGCCCGGGAATACGACGGGCACTCCTGGTTGGGGCTCAGGGAAATAGAGGCAGCCGTCGCGGCTTTGGTCCTGAGCTTGATAGTAACGGGAATCCAGCACGGGTATTGTGTTGACAACGTTGTTGATCGCTGTGACTGCGGTGGCTGACAACTGTTTCGTCCTACTGAGCTTCCAGCTTCCAACTGTAGAATTATGGATTGACTATTACAAGCATTGTATATTGTAGCAAATATACAATGCTTTCGTTAATTGTCCATCAAGCGAGTAGTGTTGATTCAGAAATTTATTTTAATTCAATTAAACTCCTTGGCGTTGTTGCCAAGGTTTTCGTTTCTTCACCGTGGGTCACGGGTTCGGTTTCCACCCGGTACTGCTCGTTGTGTCACCCACACATAATTGATTGATGAGTGAAATTTTGTCCTGTCGTCTTTACAATACAAGATAATTTTTTCGTATAGTAAGGGCATTTATTTTTTAAACATTACATACGAAAATGAGACAAGTTGGATCAAACAAAGAAAAATAAACAATTGCACTGCAACTTTAGCGTTTGGTCATTTATTAGATTTTAAGTATATTACCTACGTGCTTTGTTAACAATAACTGTACAATAATCATAACAATTTGCTCTTTGAATTTAAAAACGTTAGTATGTTTTAAAAACGTAAGTGTCAAAAATTGTTACCTTGTCTTAGCTCATCATTTAGATTTGTGCACGAATAAACAAGTGCGAAAGACGAATAATCCGTTGAAAGCACCCAATAGTCCGTCGTAATCGTTTCTGAAATGAAGACTCGAAACATTTAGTCCAACATGACGTTGGTATTTTAAACGGTCAATATTCGATTAAATCATTTTTACGGATTTATCGCGTTAATTTTATTTCCCGAAGTTTCGAATCCTTTACAGCGTTCATGGACACGGGACAGACTGAGGCGTTGGACGTCTAACCGGGTATAAGCATAACCGGGCTTCCGTCAGTTATTAAATGACTATTTTTAAACGGTTTTATTTAGCTCGACACGTACGGAATTTGTTTATTTATTTGGGTCAAAATTAGAAATTGAAATTAAAGCACCTTCCCGTTGTCAGATTGATCTGAAATTTGGTACACACATTTAATTTAGATGACAATACAATATTGTAGTTTTCAGTGCACAAAACAAAACATAAAATAAAACCGTTTAACTTAAAAGGTTTTAAACGGTTTTATTTTAAATAAAATTTAAAAATGAACGCGTAAAATCCGTAAATATAGTTTAATTTAATAATAATTAACCGCGTAAATACAAGAAATTATCAAATCGCGATATTCAAATCATTGATTATAGACACTCACGATTTGTACCAACGATGGGGAAAGTGACCACGATCTTCGCACTGTTGTTTGGATCGGCGACGAGACTTGCTACTCCGTTGATCGTGGCCAATCGCTGGTTGACCACTTGAGTGTTTAACACGTCGACCACACTGCCGTTCAGGCTGTAGTAAGCGTTGCTGCAGGTGCCGAATTGGAACGCGTTCGGGTATGACTCGATATCGTGCCACAAACCTAGATACTGGAAACAACAAAGTCTTAATGTTAACTTAATTAAATGCGATCATAAATTATAGCCGTAACGTTTTTGCTGGATTAAATGCTCACTTAAATATCTCCATATCTAACATAATTATGCAAATATGCACGTAAACTGTTACTCGTTATTTACTACATATGAACTACTATAGCAGTGGTAACCAAATGTCTTAGTAGACCTAGGTAGCGACTTATTACCTAGGTCTACTATGGTAATAATTAACATTTGTTTAACTCTATAAATCAAACATCATAATAGCAATAATTCTCCTATGAAAAAAAAAAAAACAAAGTTCCTAAATACGATATAAAGCTTTTATCGAGTAACATTTATTTCTATTCGGATATATTTCTAGTGGAGTATTTATCTCACTTCAAGTTAGCTATCAACAGTATTTTTTGTTTTTGTTTGTGTGTGTCTTACTAATAAAAATGAAATACTGATGTCATTTCATACGATGTTTTAGTACGTTTTCAATTATAGGTAAATGAAAGTTTAAGGCTTTACCTGAAGGAGATTGAAGTTTGTTACAACTGGAATATTGGGATCACATTGGCCACGGAAAACGACTGGTGTATTGGGCTCTGGGGCTGGGAAGTAGAAGCAAGCAGAGTCCGACTGATCAACGACTCGATAATATCTACTGTTCAGGACGTCTATACGATTGACAATTTGATTAATACTGTTTGTCGCATTAGCGCTAAGTTGTCTCCCCCTGCTCAGCTTCCAACTCCACACTGTAAAAATTATTTTCTATTTAATGTTTTAATTGATATAAACAATTACAATGTTTTTAATAATATAATTCAAAGAACACACTGACAGCGAAAGTACTACTAAAAATCGAAAAGCACAAACTAAAAGAAAAAGTTACCTCTTCGTCGTTGACTGTCTAGATTCCTACAACTGTATACTAAGGCGTAATTGTCGTAATCAGTGTCCAAGATCCAGTAATCAGCTGGGTCTGCGTCTAGAAATATCGATTTATAACAATTTTAAATATATAGATTAAGGTAAATATATTTGTATCAATAGCCAAAATCCAAAGAAATTATTCAGTAAGATAAATGGGTTACCTCGAGGGAAGGTTATCAGAAGTTTCCCACTTTCTATTTGAACGGCTGTACCATTTATGGACATTAGTTGTTGATTTACAACTTGGGTGTTAACGACTTCAGCTGTTGAGTTCGTAAGTCGCCTGTAGTTAGCTTCATTACATCCTCCTGATTGAAAGTCTGAATGGTAGGTCTCAATCATACGCCATCTACCCAGGTACTAGAAAAATAGGCACGCTATAAGTACGCATGAATTATTAATTATTAAAAAATAAGTGTGTTTTTGTACATATGTATCTCTTTTGCAAGAATATTTAACACAATATATGTTGTTCAGAATAAACAAAATAAAAATGTTATGGGATACGATGAGAGGAAATAACGTAGGAAATAAAATTAGGCAAGGGCAAATAAGATAGAGGTGTTTTGCTTAAATAGCCATATTACACGTAAATCATTTCTTTATAATCATTTCAAACTTAACGGTAACTGGTTAAAATGGTTAAGTGTTAGTTAGATGCATTTCAGTATATAACAAAGTTCTTCATGGAGATAGTAAAAAAAAAGCTAATTATACCTTTTTTATGTTGCAGATGCATTGCTATCATTTAATTAAGTGGGCCCCGGCTATCTTACTATCCAGACGAAAAGCAGAAGTATGACACTTCCATTTCACGCTGATCTTCTTCGAGGTCGTGGAACTCGCCCGAACGGACCTGCCCATTCGTGCAACAACCGAAACTGTTGCGTTGCCTCTAGGTCTACCACAGTTACTATACATTTTAATAAATATTGGCAACTTCACTTACTCTTTCGGGTTGGAAATTTTGGACAACGCTGATGTTAGGATCGCATTGACCAGGGAACACTACTGGTTCATTGAGTGACAGCTGTGGCAGATAAAAGCAGGCTGCGTCTGATTGGTCAATGTTTTCATAATACCGGTTATCCAAGACCACGATGTTGGAAATTGCATTATTTATAGCTGTGTTGGCAGCGGCGGACAGCTGCTTTGTTCTACTCAGCTTCCAGCTGTAGACTAAGAATGGTGGTATGTTAAGGTATTGTAATATGGTTACAAAAAATATATCATTTGTGAAGTTGTACTTATTTTGGCACGTTTGTATATAATTATTATAAGAGTTAAATTTTGTCACTACGTATATTTATTTGTAATCACGATGCGCGCGAACACCAACTGCCAAAAAGCGACATGATGAAGTTGTATCCAAAATAACCAAAGTTATTACCATTGCAACCAATAACAACTTTTTGACATCCTTACTAATATTATAAACGCGAAAGTTTGTATGTATGGATGGATGTTTGTTACTCTTTCACGCAATTACTACTGAATGGATTTTAATGAAACTACAGTAAAATAGCTCATACATCAGAATTACACATAGGCATAATTTATATACATATTTTTATGCATATCTGTATTTCTGTCTGAATGTTACACCTTCAGCCTATTCTACACAGACGTAACGTTAATCATAGTCCAAGTAACGTTATATATTGCATTTAATCCCTTTTTCACAAACAAAGAGTACTGGTGCAGGGGATAAAAGTTTTTACTTCCTTTTCTTTTGTTACGTTAAAGAAGTATAACTCCTGACGTGCGTACATAAGTACATACATATTTTTTATGGTTTCATTTGTTTTGACTTTCACTTACCTGCTCTAAAACTTGTTCCCCTATTAACACAACTGTACGCCAAGGCGTAGTCAGTGTAGTCCGTGCTGAGTACCCAGAATGGAATTTCGATACCTGAAATCAATAAAAAATGTTATATACGAAGATACGATGTTTCGAAGTATATACAATAATTAAGGAGACATAACAATCAAACTTTTTGTTTTTATATAAGAAGGTGGCAAACGTGTAGGTAGTTCATCTTGGGTTAAATGATTATACCTATGAATATCTACAACATCTGGCGAGTTACAGGTATTTTTAACCTTTAAAAAAGGTGGACACCGATACCTTATACGCAAATCAAAGCAAAAGTATAATTCTTCTACTTTACGCTGGTCTTCTGCAAGGCCGGCGTAAAGTGGAAGCCAGCGCTTTATCGACCTGGCCTGTCTAATCGTGAAACAGTCAAAAGTGGTATGTTCCACATAATTTCTAAATTCAAACAAACTAATCTTTAATATCAAATATATAATTAGATTAAGAAGATGTAAAACATTTGTTAATACATAATGATTATTTTGTACATGCTAAAGAATTTTTAACAACTTCTGAAAACCAATCAATAAATACAAAGTCTCAAATAAAAATGTACGACTCAATGTCACTCACGTTCATTTCCTTCGGTGAGAGTGATCAGTAATCTTCCACTGCCATCTGCTGCGGTCCGAGTGACCACACCGGTAGATATTCTTAAGTCTTGATCAAGAACGTTGGAAGATTGTAGATTAAGAATGTTCGTCCCGTTGGTCGTGTACTGGTGATTGACGCATTGACCTGATTGTTGATCCTTTGGATACGCCTGAATCTCATGCCACACGCCGAGAAACTGCAGAAGGCAAGTAAAAGTGATTTGAAAAGGAACGATTTTTTATCATCTAATGTTTAAATCAAAATGATTCCAATCCAAAATCCTAGATCAGACAGTAATACTTCATGATATATATCAATACTTTCAGTGTATGTATGTTGTTGGTTAATTTTTATAACACGATTATCTTTTTATCAGTGTCTAGTTATAGACAAAATCATGTCTTCGACAAGTCTTTAGATTTTGGAGATTTTCGTTTAAATATTAAAATGGTTAAGAAAAAGCACCTAGAACCCATTTGTTCATCATGATTACATTTCACGTACTAATATGGTAAACACTGACGGAATGTTCACAAATGTCACGGCAAATATTTTGAATTTTGAAAACCTGCTCATGTTTGCTTTATAGCCTCATTTATTTATTTTATTTCAGAAGGCGACAAACTGATAACCGCCACATATGGGCATGTTTAAAAGATTGGATATCGGTTCTCTCACTTAACAGACAACAAAAGTACAAATATCTACACTTAAAGGTTATCTTCGGTGAGGACACTGCTTCTAGGGCGAGTATTCTCAAAACGGCAATGGCTTTTTCATGTCTCTCCTATGATAAAAATATAATTATAATGGCTAATTTACCTGGTTAAAGTTAAAGTTGGGAACAGCCTGTATCCATTCATCGCACTGTCCAGGGAAGACTACTGGTACACCGGGCTCAGGTTCGGGGAAATAAAAGCAACCGGCGTCACTCTGGTCTCTATTCTTAAAGTACCGTTGATCCAAAACTGGCACAGTATTAACGACCGTGTTTATAGCACTCGCGGCCTGTGCCGTTAGTTGCTTGGTTCTACTCAATTTCGAACTGTACACTATCAAATAATAGATATGTCATTTAATTGATTACTTAAAAACACATTGCTTTCATTAAGCCATACATTAGACGTGACTTTTACCTTGTTTTAGCTCATCTGTTATGTTGGTGCAGCTGTACACAAGAGCATACGATGTATAGTCTGTTGCTAAGACCCAATAGTCATTTGATATAGTTTCTGCAACAATTTTGGGTTGTAATCAAAGAACATTAAGGAAGAAAAAAAAAACGATTTACAGATAATTATAGACAATATTTTTGGCAAAATTATCTTAAACTCATATAACAAAAATTATCATCATAGGAAACTAACAACATTGGAGACCTGTTTCTGTATTAATTTATTATTAATATGTATAAAGGAACGATTTTATGTCTACGAAACTTTGTTTCGCATGTTTTTTTTTAAACAAAAAGACTAATGAAAATGTTACAATCAATAGCCAAATTTTATGTACATTTGGAGCTACATATTGTTATGAAACCTGGAGTTTTTTTAAACAAAATAAATCTAAAATTGATGGGTGATTTTGCCAATTCGTGGAGACGTTGCAAGACTTAAAAACATTGGGTCACGTGTATTTAACTTCACTTACGGTTAGTTCCTGCTATAGGGAAGGTAGCTACGAGCTTGGCACTTCCGTCATTGGAATCTTGTAGCACGGCCCGACCTCTAACAATTTCTAGTGTTCGGTTAATAACTTGTGAATTTACGACATCTACGGCTCCCGCAGACAGATTGTAAAATGCATTGGGGCACGATCCTTGTTGGAATGGAGTGGGGTATGATTCGATGTCGTGCCACAAATTCATGTACTGTAAACAAAATAGGTGTATTTTTAACAGATTCTGATATAATAAAACATTACTCCAAGGGGGAAAGGCTATTTATTTAGAGCCCTTTTTACCACGTATTGCTGCTACAATTATTTAAACATTTAATTCTATCGTCAGTATGGACTGTATACACTATTTTATAATGCTAATATTTTCGTGGTAGCTAAGTTTATATATAGGCTAGCTTTTAATTTAATATACTCAACGCAGCCTTAGTTCACATCTCGGTGCGGGCACCAATGAAATTTTTTAATTGCCTTTTTAAGATTGATTTCTCACGTACTCAGCGGTGAAGAAAAATATCGCCATTAAACTGTATAGTTCCGAAATAATAACAAAATAAAACATTTCGAAGTTATGTTTTTTATTTTGTTTTTAAGTGATATGGTGGCAAACGAGCTGGCGGTTCATCTGATGTGAGTTGATAGCCACCGCCGCCTAACGCATTTGCAACGCCATAGGGTTACAGATGCGTTGCCACCATTTAATTAAGTGGGCTCCGGATACCGCACTAGATGAAACGAAGAAGTATAATACTTTCACTTCACGTCAGTGTTTTGCGAGGTCATGGTACTTCCCCAGTCGGATCTGCCTATTTGTTGCAATAGCGAAAAGTGTTCCGTGGCCCTACCACATTTAATGTGAAGTCTGCCAATACGCAGTTGAGTCACATGGTGGACTATGCCCTTATAAATTCTGTACAGACGAGACCTTTGTCCAGTAGCGGGACTTATACCGGCTATTACTTAGTTTTATTTGTATTCTGTTTTTAATTATTAATATCTCCAAGAAAACAAGAGTTATGTATCGTAATTACCCTCGCTGCGTCGAATCCTGTGACGACCCTTATGTTCGGGTCGCACTGACCGCGGAAAATTACGGGATTGTCAGTAGGTTCCGGATAGTAGAAGCATCCGGCATCCGTTTGGTTAACGACTTCGTAGAAGCGATTGTTTAAGACCTCGACCTGGTTTATGACCCGGTTTATGTTGGCAACCGCTGTTGGGGTCAGAGATCTGGTGCGGCTGAGTTTCCAACTGAACACTGAAGGAAATTGGGTTTCGTTTGAATGAAGATATTCCGTCCAACAAATAGTAAAGGTATAACAATTTATTCCCTATTTTAATATAAAGTTTCAATCAAGTTAAATATGAAATGAATTGTCATAATATAGTCTGATGAGGGCATAGTTTTTTTAACTTACTTAGAGCCAATAATTATCACAATTTAACATGTCAATATCATAAATGTTCATGCTTTAATATAGCGTTTGTGTATACGAATACTTACGGGAAAAATTACCCGCAATTGTACATCATTGGCGTCTTAGTGAAGCTTTAGACATTTAAAATAGTTTCAGAGTACAGTGATTTTTGAAGTAATGATATAAAATGGTGAGTTGTGATAGTTACATTGTTAATGTAACATTAATCATCTCCAACAAAGGATTATGTTCCTTTAGAATAATACAGAATCTTTTTATGACTTTTCTACATACCTCTACGTTGTCCGGCGTTAATATTATTACAGGTGTAGAGGAGTGCATAGGAGTCATAGTCCGTGTCTAAAACCCAAAGATCTGCTGTTCTTCCAACTATAACAAAGGATAACTAAATTGAGTGTCATTAGCATATATTATTTGCATGGAAAAAGCTCAGTTGATGTTTAAAAGCTACAAAGAATATATTTTAACAATTTATACAATAAGTATGTTCAAGTTAAGAGAATATAAAGAGGAACGCAGTGAAAATTAATTGTGAACAACTTACGCGCAGGGAATGTGACTTGTAATTTTGCGCTTCCGTCAGTCGACGCTACAGTAGCCAAACCAGTGATGGTAGCGAGCTGTTGATTTACCACTTGAGTGTTGAAAACCTCTATGCCATTATTGGTCACGGTGTATGTGGCTTCGTTACAGGTTCCTCTCTGGGATTCGGCGAAATAGCTCTCAATCAGACGCCAACGGCCTCCATACTAGAAACCGATACAAACATTTCACGATGATAAATTGTTGGCCATATGGAAGAGATAGCCTTGAATAAATTTGTTAACAGCATTAAAACTACAACAAATCTTGTGTTGGCACATTCAATACAAATACATAATGCTTAACAGCAAACGTTGGTGTGATCATATTTATATTGCCATGAAGTTTTCACTTCCACCCGAGTTTGTCGTACCTCTGGCCGTTTATACGTTGCCTTAGTTCTGACACCATGTGATTGGAGTAGAAGAGGATGTTATAGTGAGTATTATATAACTTTTTAGAAGTTACGATATGTACATGTGCGCTTATTTCATTCAAAAAGAAATATCACAACAGTTAAATTCTTTAATGACATCGTATGATGAAAATAAAAACTCACCCTAGTAACGTTGAAATTTTGTACGACGGCAACATTGGGATCGCATTGTCCGGGCAATATGATGGGTTCTCCTGGATTAAGCTCTGGCAAATAAAAGCATGCCCGATCGGATTGGTCTATGTTTTCGTAGTAAACGTTGTCAAGTACAACGTTGTTGGAAATTACATTGTTGATAGCGGTGTTCGCTGCCGCAGAGAGCTCAGTGGTTCTGCTAAGCTTCCAGCTAAAGACTGATAAAAGGAAAATAGAATTTAACATACATCACTTAAGTTCGGATAAAATAATGAATAAAATAATTTTTCAAAAGTTTATGTCCTAGGCCTAACGCTGCGGCTGGTGACAAGAGAGCTGGTTCTTTTCTCGCTCAAAGGTTAAGCATAACTATTCAGCGAGGAAATGCAGCTAGCGTTCGTTGGCACCATGCCGCGTGGATTAAATTTATTAGATAATGTGTAATTTTAGATAGATTTAATCTTGTAAATATTAGATAAATAAAAAAAAGAAGTTAAAATAATAGACAGATAAATACCAATAATTTTATAGACCAGTTAACTAATATTAAGGGTAAATAAATGTGAACTAACTTTTACCTAAGTAGTTCACATGTTGATTGTTACCATACTTGTTTGATTTAAAATGCAATTAAAATAGACGGATTACAATAAAAATTATAAAATGTACTTAATAATTATACCTCTTCTGAAGTCAGATCCTTGATTAATGCAGCTGTATGCCAAAGCGTAATCACTGTAGTTTACGCTGAGTATCCAGAATGGGAATGTTATCTCTGAAAGGAATTTATATATTGGTTGTTATATTTGAACAGACAAAATTGTATCAGCTTTAATTGAGCTAGTCCGTACGAGTGTTTTCATTTGTCACTCACAATTTTTAGGACAATAGGTAAGCATGAGTAACTTGTAGATAAGAAAAGAATTTGCAAATGTTTACGTCTTAAAATTTAAATAAACAGTTTTTATTTTGTTACCTTGATTATTGCTCGTTATCCTTATAGTCAACCTAGCACTAGAATCTGTTGAATTACTGAACGATAAAACTCCGCTGCTAATTGAGAGGAATTGGTCAGTAACACTGGAGGAAGCGATGTTAAGCGTGTTGGTTAATCCAGAAGTATAGTTATGGAAGACGCATTGTCCAGACTGCTGATCTTTAGGGTATGCTTGGACTTCGTACCACACTCCTTGGAACTGAAAAAAATGAATATAATAAACTACGTTAAGCGCCCAATGACCTCACGACGCGTAAATCTCGACATCTATCCACTTTATTTAGCAATGCTATCTTAACAGTCTAAAAAAACCTTACAAATAATATTTGACGATGAATATTTGTACCTAGAGAATATTTCTACATCGTGAAAATGGATGAATTTATGGTTAATTTTATTTTTATAGTATGTCACCTCAAGATAAAAATTGAAATGTATATTTTGTAAATTTAATGATAGATACTTTCAACGCTGAGGGATTGGAACCTGGGTCTTCGACATCAATTTGTCTACTTTACCAAAATAAACTAAACTAAATAAAAAAAACAAATGTTCACAAACTGTAAACAGCTAATTAGAAATGTATTTTTTCCTCTTATTGCAGAATTCCACTATCCTTTGTTGTAAGGACCAACAAATTATTTGTGGGTCACACAAATATTTGTCCCGTGTGGGAATCGAACCCACTTTGGCGCCCAAGGCTTATATTATAATACCTTGGCAACCGCGCCACCATTTTTCAATTCGATATTAATTGTTATCTTCTACGTCTTTATCTCTTTGATTTCAGAGCGGTATTTTGTTACCTGTTGCATTGAAAACCCTGCGACCACTGGTATGTTTTCATCACACTGTCCAGGGAAAACTACAGGCACGTTGGCCTGTGGCTCCGGAAAATAGAAACAGCCTGTTGGAGTTTGGTCCGTCTCAACGAAATAGCGCTGGTCCAATACAGCTATGTTACTTATGGCCGCGTTAATGGCCACATTGCCAGCCGCAGTCATCTGCTTAGTTCTGCTCAATTTCCACGCAATAACTGGAAACGGATTTATAAAATCAAAACGACTATATAACAAAATAATGTTGTTATGTGGTTAGTTGTCAGACGAGCAGGTGGTTCAGCTGTTGATAAGTTGTGATAGTATTACCACCACCCATGTACCTGTAACACCTGGTGGGTTGTAGGTGCATTGACAACCTTATAAAAAGTGGGCTGCGGTCACCCCACTCACCAGGCGAAACGCGAAAGTATTATACTTCTGCTTCACGCCGGTCATCTGTGATGCCGTGGTATCCCGGATGATCCTGCCCATTAGGGCGTCAGTAGTTTCTGCGTGGCCCTACTACAGTAAAGTGGACTTTAATGTATTAAATAATTACCTCGCCTCTCGTCGCTGTTAATGTTGGTGCAAGAATAAACTATTGAATAACTGACATAATCAGTATCCAGAACCCAGTAATCAGTCGTTGTACCTGCGAATGAAAATGTGGTTATATTAGCTTATTACATATTAATATTTTATTTTTCAATTCCAAAAATTTTGTTGGGATTACTTAAGGTGAATCATTTATTTAATAATTACTTATATTTAAATTCTATGCTATGTTTAGAGAAGAGAAAATATAAATCCATGAAAAGTGAAATCATATTGTGAATATTTGTCCTAATATTGTGTTCAGAAGCGGTGTCTACTTATGGTACATTAAGCTTGAAAAAACACGGATACTTCGATGAACTTAATGAGCATATCTTCTTTGTATGGTTTACTTATAATAGTACTAGATAGTGCCCGCGACTTCGCTACGCAGGATTAGTATTTGAAGGACCTTATTTTCTTCTTCAAGGTCCTATTTAACTTTACAGTAGTTTAGTCTTGAAGGCGTAAAAGACAGAGAGAATTACTTTGCGAGGCCCTCGTATCTATATAAATTATAGCCTCTTTGTTATTTTGATGTATAAGTTATTAAAATCTATGAAAAATCATCCATACATACTAACTTTCACGTTTATAATATAAGTAAGGATTTAACGTACCATTAGGGCCGATTGGAAAACTGACACTTAGTTTTGCGCTTCCGTCATCCGATGCCACGACAGCATATCCTTCTATGGTGTTCAACGTCTGGTTGACTACTTCAGTATTATATACAATTACACGTCCATCAGCTAGAGAATAGTAGGCATTGGTACAAGTGCCGCTTTGGAATAAGGACGGGTAGGATTCGATGTTATGCCACAGCCCCATGTACTGAAAACAGGCGTTTATTATAATTAAAAATGTACGTGCAAAAACCACTGACTCGAAATTGTGCGCGGCTTACGCGTACAGGCGCTCCATTTATCGTGTTTGAATTCGCTATTGGATGGAAACTATTGGATGGAAAGTTGGAAGAGCCTTTTCTATTTTAATAACATTACTGTAAAATATGTTTGAGCCACACAGCAGCTGTTTCTGTTGTTAGATGCCGAAAAATATCGGCGTAAAGTGGAAGTATTACACTTTCGCTTTTTGTCTTGTGAGCGACCTTTAAATAGTTTTTTAAAGTACACTTCAGGTGCTGTACATGTCTAAGGGAGAATCACTTAGTAGCAGATATCAGTCTGTTCCAAAACCAACTATTAATATAATAAAGAAAATGGAAAAAGGGATGGATTGTATGGACGACGTTGTTTCAAGTATTTACCCGGTCGGCTTGGAAGTTGGGCATAGCTGGTAAGTTCTGGTCGCACTGGCCTCGGAAGACCACCGGGCGGCCTGGTTCCGCCGCGGGGAAGTAGAAGCATGCTTCGTCCGACTGATCCGTTTGCTGGAAGAATCGGTCGTTGAGATCGACCACTGACCTGATCAGATTGTTCACGGCCTCCCTTGAGGCAGCGGATAACTGCCTCTCTTTACTGAGAATCCAACTGTTCACTGAAATATTTTTTGTAATATTATATAATCATATCGCATAATAAAACATAATTTCTGGTAAAAATCATAGAATATTTTAATAATTACTATATAATTTGCAATAAATAAAGTCCAAGATGTATGTACAAACAGATCTCAAATAATAATTTATCTATATCACACCTTGTCTTCGATTGTTGCTCAGATTGTCGCAACTGTATAAGACAGAGTAGTTGTCGTAATCGGTTCCCAAAATCCATAGCGGGAGAACTTCTGGGCGCTGTAAATAAAAATTTTAAGTACCATGCAATTTTAAAAATAGCAACTAATAGAGCCAGGGGAAACCATCGTTGTGGAAATAATAAGCATTTTTTTCACGATCTCGTTACTTAATATGCTTATCTCTCATTACTTAGCGGCTACTAAGCTATTGCCATCGGTGCCGGGGAAGGCGAGTTTGATTTTCGTGATGTCGAACATAAGATACATGAATTTGTGGGAATCACAGATAATTGTTCTGAATATGGGTGTTTATTTCGATGAAGGTTTGACGTCAAGGGCAGGCGGGGATCGTGCTTGCTCCGAAGAAATAAATTACAAACATTACATTTGTGCCCCATCATTGTTTCTGACTTTGAAATAATGTGTAAATATATTAAATGAATGAATATGAAAAGGGTTGGCGCTATAGTAGAACTAAACATTTTTGTATTAACAAAAATTTAAAGATAAACACTTTTTTTAATATAAGAGCCATGATAGCTCAGTGTCCGGGCGCTCGCCTCTAATTCAATATACTTGAGCAACCTGAGTTCGATTCCCGGTGCCAGCACCAATGAAGTTTTTTAATTTTAAGTCCTGACTTATCACGTGCTCTGCGGTGAAGGAAAACATCGTGAGGAAACTGCATATTTTTGAAATAATAACAAAAAGTCCGCCAATCCGCAGTGGGGCCGCGTGGTGGACTATGCCCTGATACCCTCTGTATAGAGGAGGCCTTTGCCCAGCAGTGGGACATGTATAGGCTGCTACTTTACTTCTACTCTTTTAACACAAATAAATTGATATTGATTGCCTTTCGAGGCATGAAAATTATAAATCTTTTATCGCAGACAGCGTGTTATTTAATCCGGACGTGAGTGATAAATGACTTTATTGATTATGAATTATTTAATTGACTGTGACGTTGTAATAAAACTATTTGTCTGTAATCTATATATAAGGAATTATATATGTCATATATTGTTTTAAACTTCTTCAATTTGAATTTGCACTTTTTTGGAGCTACTATTACAAAATAGATAGACAAGTAATTAGGGAAAAATTTACCTATTGTTAAGAAATTACGTAAAATATTGCATTTAATTTTATCAACATGAAAGGTTAAGTAAAGGTAGTACTTTATATTTAAATTAATTTCTAGTGCTGTTTGTAGTTTAAATACTTGTCACTGGCGAGTTTTGCAAGCACGCCACCCGCTTCCGGGTGATTCTTCCGATCTTTCCACCCAGACGCTCTGACCATTAAGCTTAGCGATATCAATCCTAACCATAGGAAAATCTCCATGTCCCATCTAATTTGTTATCATTGCATTACAGCAATGTTTATTTATTTATTTATTTATTAAGTTACACCAACAGCATAACATATACTTGCATTTATATATTTTTTTAATCAGCCGGGTCAGATAGATAATATTATATTAATAGAATATGGATATATAAAAAAGTTAAAATTTTGCAATGATAGGTAAGTACGTTAAAAGTAATAGGAATATTTGACAATACATTATTTCACGGTCTCAATTCGTGACACGGTCAAAGATTGTTTTAAAAATACCAAAAAAATTATATCTATGTCCGGTATTAGGCATTTACTGATAGTATGTAAGAGTGACTGCTATTTTCGCTCTTATCCCAAATAAATAATGATTATTTTTGCGTGTCCTAATTTCTCATAAATTTGATTGTTTATGTTTGAAATGCTGAATTCTTCACAACAGCTGATAAAAAAATTAGAAACACACATATATCTGTTCACGTACAGGAGTGATGCTTTTAAGATAACTTTTTCAGTTCTTAATTATTAGATAACTGTTACTATATACGATTTTGTGTTATCTTTATTTATTAAATTTTAACATAAACAATTCTCGAAAATGAGAGGTTGAAAAAGAAACGTTAAAGATAACCTTCAAATCAATCTTAGACAAAGTAAATAAGTAGTCTGTGGGGGAGGCCTACATCTCGCATTGAACTAGAACAGGCTGAAATGATGATGCTGAGATAACGTACGTTAGAAATTAATGTATAATTTGAGTTTTCAAAATTATGATGGTTTCTTGGAAGCCACTGGGGAAGTCAAGTAGAAGAAGTACCGATTTTTTGATTTGGGTACTCATTGTAAAAGTATATCAGTTGATTAAAATATGTTTTCTGGTCAAGAAACTAATAGTTAAATTAAAAAATCTAGTATTAAAGTAGTAATTAAGTCAGGCTATAAGGAGAACCGACTCGAAAGTTTTTGATTTGGGTACTCATTGTAAAAGAATAAATAGTTATATAATTAGTTGACTAAATCGAGTATTGAGGTAGTTATTAATTATTCTCCATTCTATTAAAATAATTATACGTGAGCACGGTTTATAAGCGATGCAAGCGATATTATCCAAACTTATGGTTTGGAATAAACATATAAATGGAAAATCCTAAAGGAGTTCATTATGCGCCACTTATTAGAAATTTTGATGGGAAACATGTCGTCTTCATAGATTAGTAATCAATGCTCAATAACTGTAATATATGGCTTTATGGTCAGAATTTTCGAGTTTATATTCCTTTAAATACGCTAAACGTCATGAATATCGTTTTAAAAACAATTCATTGTCGCAACGATAGGAATTCAGTGACTACTGTATGATCTCTGCGTGTCTGTTCACAGCCTAATATTCTTTTAGCATTTAGCTTGAACCAAGTGGTTTAATCAAATGGGTTGATGTTTTACATTTTTAATCGTATATTTTATTATGAAGTATGTGTCAGAATGGCGGAGCACTTAAATCGCCTATATTGAATAAATATAATTTGACTTTGAAATCTAAATGTTTAACTTTTGAGTCATGCGTTTTGAATAAGTCGTTACGAAGCTGATTATCTTATAGACTATTAAGGATTACTATCTACCAACTTATTATCATCTAAAAATGAAATGTTATCTGATTAAAGTACTTAAATAATAATAACTAATGGGCAAAAGTAGGTTTTTATAAAAATTTTCACTTAGTAATGTACTTTTTATGTTGTTGGAAAAAAAAATATTGTGATTGACTTTTTGTCCCTTTCTGACTATCCGATGTTAATTAAGGGTAGTTAATTTAATTGCTAAAATATCATAAATCTTAAAGGCTAATCTACAAACGTATTTGTTCCATCGCTGCAACAGCTGAATTGATTTAGACATTAATGTACATACCTTATAAGTATATTTTTTTCAAACTCGCGTTAGTGAAGCCACGGTGTATTTATTGAAGGCTCACATTTACACAGCAAAGCATAATTTATATTTATTTATTTTTTTGAAAAGTTGGCAAGCAAGCTGGTGGTTCGTCTGATGTTAAGTGATAACCGCCGTTCATGGACATTTGCAACACCTGTAGGGTATCAAATGCGTTGCCATCTTTTAATAAAGCGGGCCCCAACTATCTGACTCACCAGAAGAAACGCGGAAGTGTGACACTTCCCCTTCACGCCGGTCTTCTGTGAGGTGATGTTACTCCCCCGGATAGACCTGCCCATTCATGCAACAGTAAAGACTGTTGCTTGGCCCTACCACAGTAATGTATTAGATCATAATCTATTAGATGAATTCATTCAACGGTTACTTACAACTTCCCGCTATTAGTGTGACCGTAAGTCTGGCTGAGCCATCGGCGCTGACGGTTGCGGTGCCGCTTATTGAGCTCAGCGTTTGGTTGATGACTTGATTGTTAGACACGTTGATAACTCCGCCAACTAATGTGTACCGGGCCCTATTGCAGGCGCCCAATTGTCTGCGCGTGTAGTACCTGGCCATTTCGTACCACAATCCCTGGAACTGGAATGAGAAAGAGACGTTTTTCGAAGAGAACTCGAAAATTTATTGGGTTGCTGGAAGATCAATCTTTCAATAGAAATTTGCTTGTCGTTCAAGTGTTAAGATTTGTGCTTAAACTGTAGTTGAGTCAAAATTAATATGTTTCCATTTTAAATAACGTGAAGAACAAAAAGTTGGTGGTACATATAAGTGAGGCATAAGTACCTATAGAATAAAAAAATATTTTTGAGTTTTTGATGGAGTGATGGATATGTGAAAAAGTGCTTGAAGTCAATGGACGCAGGTGACTCAGGGTAGTCTGTGGAGGATTCCTATGCGGAGTGGAGGCTGAAAGATTTAATTCCACATTTTTTATGTTAACACCGAAGTAGCTACAAGCAGTTTCGCTCTCACTATTGCGAATGTAATTTTAGCGCGAGGACAAAAAGCGGTAAGAAAAAAAAGTCGACGACAACTGAAAGACTATTAACAATTTTAAAACTAATTTTTTTTTTTTTTTTTTTTTTTTTTTATGCGAAAAGTTGTCAAACGAGCAGACGGTTCACCTGATGTTAGATGAATACCGCCGCCCATGGACATCTGCCACACCCGAGGGTTACAGATGCGTTGACAACCTTTTGAAAATTGGGCTCCGGCTACCTCACTCACCAGACGAAACGCGAAAGTATTTGTCATACTTCCACTTTACGCCGGTCTTCTGTGAGGCCGTGGTACTTACCCGGACGGGCCTGCCCATTCGTGCAACAGCCAAGGCTGCTGCGTGGCCCTACCACCTGAAAAAAACTAAATTAAAATTTCCCTACTTATCATCTTAATCTTCTATCTGACGTCCATTATATATTATTTTCTGGTTATATGTATATAATATTACATGTTTTCATCGGTGGTAGGGCCACGCAGCAGTCACGTCTATTGCACGAATGGGCAGGCCCTTCCGGGTAAGTACCAAGACCTCACAGAAGACCAGCGTAAAGTGGAAATATGACAAATACTTTCGCGTTTCGTCTGGAGAGTGAGGTAGCCGGAGCCCAATTTTCAAAAGGTTGCCAACGCATCTGTAACCCTCGAGTGTAGCAGCAGTCCATGGGCTGCGGTATTCACTTACCATCAGTTGACCCGTCTGCTCGTTTGGCAACTTTTCACAAAAAAAAATTACTTTTCTTATTATTTACTTAGTACACCCCTGCCACTCTCTTCTTTTAATGAGTTTCTCTGTCCTAATGTTGCGTGGAAGAGATCGCTGCTTAAGCGGTAAGGCCTCCTGTTGTACCCGTGTGTCTTTTAATTATGAAAACTATGATATCTCTTGATGTACAATAAAGGATATTTTACTTCTACTTTTATGTAACATATATTTTTATAGCTCTAAAATTTGCACATAAGATGAAACATCAAAATGTGTAGAAAATACTTTTATATTATTGGCAAATGTTTTTTTTATAAAAATTTAAACATTTTTGCGATGAACCCATACTTTTTACAAAATAAGTGTATGTGCACTTACGTACGCACGTCAGAGGTTATACTTGTTTGATAACTGTTATAACATGTAATTACACGTAAATGTCAAAAAGGTTTTTGTAATTAGTATGGGTTCATCGCAAGTGTTTGAATATTATATAAAAAAACATTTTGCTTTCTAGGGGTCAGGTTGTCATAAAAATGTTATTCTCATAATTTTTTTCCAAACGCACCAAAAGAACTTGGTGCGTTTAACTTTTGTTAATTTTTTTTTTGGAATTTCACTGTTTAACTGGAATTTTACTTCATAATATTTTGTCACATGTTGATGATGATGTTGTCATTACCTACGTATGATCAAAGTCATGTTGATTTTTTTTTGTTTTTTCCCCTCGCTATTTATTGCGCAATACGACCTGAGCAAAGCGTGCGCCCCACGTCGCACCATTCCGCGTCCATCGAAAACGTTCTTCGAGTTTCGCATCGAAACCGGTATTCAATTTAAAAACTCGTCGTGGACAAATCGATAAGTGTAAAAAAAATACTAATATGCGACGAATTTCAGTTGTAGAATTCGAAGGCGCACCAAAACAGGTTATGTTTCAGAGGATAAATAAAAAGCGCGGTAAGTTTTTTATACCCGCACTACTGGTATCGAAATTCGCGAACACCAGATTTAATTGCTATATTTGTGCTCGAAAAGTACAATGGCCGACGGTTTTCAATATTGATTTGGAATTTAAGGAAAAAACTTATTATAAACAAGTTATTCACGTAACAGATGTATCATACTATAACACGAAACATCAATTTAGTTGAGAATGCGATACATAGTTTATCGATTAGATTTTTTTATTTATGTTCATATAATTAAAAAGTTATAAGATTTCTAATGTGCTAAAGTCACTAAAACATGTTTGTGCCCGGTCGGTACTTAAATTGCAGTAACACTTAACTACGCAGGAATCTCGGAAATGGCTCCAGCGATTTTCATGAAATTTACAGAGGTTAACAACGAGATAAATAAATACATTTTTAGGACTCATTTGTACACAACATTTTCTAGTCCCAAACTAAGCAAAGCTTGTACTATGGGTACTAGAAAACTGATAAACATACTTAAACATACTTTTCTTTTGTAAATAAATACATATTATACATATAGAAACACCCAGACACTAGAAAAACACCATGTTCAACGCACAATATTTTTCCAGTAGTGGGGATCGAACCCACATCCTCTGGCGCAGGAGGTAGGTACACTACCAAATACGCCATTCGGGTCGTCAAGATTTTGATCTACTATATGTAAGTCCTGGAAAAATTGTCCCATTTACTAATTTTTTTTCAGCGCACGAGTTTTGGAGCATGTGAATTCACTTATTGCGTACCGTATGACGTCACGGAATATTTTTCTAAGCAAATTGTCTAAGAAAGCATAGAACATTTACGAGCGTGTGCCCGTTAAACGATAAAAGAGAACAGGTTGAAATGTCAAATGATAAAAATCGGATTCTAGGAAAAAGAAACATTTACTGTATTTATGACAGTTATCAAAACACAAAGATAATTGTGAAGGTTCTGTAAATTTGACATGACAGGAAACTATCTATTATATCATTCAAGTCCCGAGAACAACATGCATGTAGCCATTAAGCTAAACAGCTGATTGCCACACCGGCGAAAATCTTAACCTCTTTTATCTACATTGTTTTAAGTATTTGTAGCCATGCTTGGCGCATCCATTGTTATATCCCTTCCATCATACAAACAATTTCGAATATCGTTTTAAGTCGATAATTCGAACAAGAGATGTCACCATTGCTTTTTATAAATTTAATTTTTTATAGTGCTAATCCTTGCACTTAAGATTAAACATTAATTAAAGGCCTGACGCTTTAGCCACGAAGCTAAACGGCTCATTGCCACACCGACGAGCAATCCTAGCCGTTTAGCTTAGTGGCTAAAGCGTCAGGCTGCGAATGCTGATGCATGTCTTCGGCATTCGCAGCCTGCGATTCCCACAGCGGCGACAATCTTTTCGTAGATTTTCTACAAATTTTAATGTTCAAATTAAGTGCAGAGATTAGCAATATAAAAAATTTAAAAATTAAACATTAATGTTTAATCTTTAGTGCACAGACTGCACTATAAAATTTAAATTTCGATCATGGAAATATTCATTCATATAGTGATAGCGCCCTCTAGTTATTGCAAGTAACGGTTTGGCTGGAGCGAGTAGATTCCACGACCTCGCAACGACCGGACTAAGTATTTATTAGTTGTGTATATTTTCAGATGAGGGTGATGAACGGAGAGGCGTACTTTACAATGCCAACCTCGTTATCGCGCGCGTGCTCAAATGTCGATGACCATCACCCATGGAGTCATTTACCTTCTTGTTTTGTTTGTAGATTATGACTAATGCTTACCCTGGCTGCATTGAAGTTGGTAACAACAGGCAAGTTCGGATCGCACTGTCCCGGCAATATGACCGCTTCGTTTTCGGGAATCGGGGGCAGGACGTAACATGCGTCATCTGAATGATCGATGCTTCGTAGATCAGATGTGCTGATACCAAGTAAAGTGTTCAAAGTTGTATTCATGAGTGCTTGCATTAACTCCGTGGGAAATGACGTTTCTCTACCCATCTGCCATATGTATACTGCAAAAAAATAATAGAGACAGAACTCAGACTTAATTAGACGTAATGTATAAAGTATCAGCCTATACATGTCCCACTGCTGGGCAAAGGCCTCGTCTGTACAGAGGGTATCAGGGCATAGTCCACCACGCGGCCCCCCTGAGGATTGGCGGACTTCACATATCTTCGAATTTTGTTTTTTATTATTATTTCGAAAATATGCAGGTTTCCTCACGATGTTTTCCTTCACCACTGAGCACGTGATAAATTCAGCACTTGAAATAAACAATTTCATTGGGCCAGCACCGGGAATCGAACTCAGGTTACTCGTGTAGATTGAATTAAAGGCGAGCGCTTGGATCTATCACGGCTCACTTAGACTTATGCGTGCAGTATTTACTTATATTTAAGCGGATCACTATCTGGCCTAATGGCTAATTCCAAAACCATGTTTGGTTTGGTTCGGTTCGAAATGATGTTCAAATAGGAATTGGACTTATGATATAGACGTACAGACGTACGTAGTTTTACATAGGCATAGTTGAAAATACCGCTTTACAATGATGTACGAGGGAAAGGGAAAGTTTGCATAAACATATTTTACTGTTGAAGTATAACCGTATAATTAGATTTCATTAATCATCTTTACCCAATTAATTTAGATTAATCTCACCTTGCCGTTGTACATTTCCCAGGTTTACGCATCTGTATCCAATGGCGAAGTTATCGTAATCCGTCATCAATATCCAGAAGTCTATGGCTGTATAAAGAAAAATCAAGTAGATAACATTAGAACGAAAGATCCGTTATGAATATTTATTATATGTGACAGAATTATAAGGCGTTTGTGAAAATCTCTTCTGTAAAACAAATTAATTAAACTATTAGCGTTAATTTATTTAAATATTTTAAAATCGTTATTCAGCATATCAGATGTAAATTGGTTGGCCTCACTTAAAATGATACGCTTTCGGCACACTGCTAAGTCGTTAGAATTTTAATACGAATTAACCGACTTCGATAAAAGAAGGTTCCTCCCATATTATGATCGGACGTGAGGAATAAAAATAAAATAAAATGACAAATTTTACGACTCTTGAACAGGTTATATTCTCTAGGTCGATGGGACATTCTACAAAAAACACTTTTAGGGAGAATATTGCTAATAAATCATTGTGTGATTCGGCAATTATAAACTTTTGCTTCTTTTATTTTCATTAAATGCATTTGTTAGCTAGGAAGACATGAATGTATATAAGATGAAAATAAGTAAAGCACATTGGACAAAATTTGATAGACACAATTACTTTGGGCATTTAAGATTACGATACCAAAATGATAATAGTCCAGCGAAACGATATATCTTACGAGAAACAATATAATATAATCAGAAACACTCACGATCCTGAGTATTGGTCAAATTGAGCCTGAGCCTGGCCGTTCCCTGTTCGATGGTCGCCGTGCCGGTGGTCTCTTCGTAGAAGTTGTTGTTGACAGCTTCATTTCGAACGTTGATTGTGTTAGCCCCCTGGGTTAGTTGCAGCGTCGAGCAGTCGCCATTTTGTTTGCGAGCTATCGGTCCTCGCGATTCCGTACCAGGTTCCGAGGAACTAATGACGTATCAGGAACGGGGGTTAGTTCGCGGAGTTTTTGTTTGTTTGTCCGTTTGATTTCTTTATTGTACACACAATATAAAATATACAGTTGGAACAGATGACAAAAGACATGTACAAAGGCGAGCTTAACCCTAAAGAGAGTTCTCTTACAGCAGACACTTGAAAACAGGAAACTATAGTAATGTTAGGTAACTAGGTGAATATGTGTACATGTTTAGATATTTTGCTAAATTAATCATAACAATTAATAAATATCAATGTATAGAACTAATAAATAATAATAAAAAAAGAACATAAAATAATAAAATTCAAGTTAAAGTGATTTTGTTGTGATTCGATGACTTTTTGTGCTTACGCGAATACCATATAATGTTTCATTACAGCTGATCATGTCTATAGCTGTGTCGCGATCGCTCTTCGGCTCAAAGTGGTCGAAACGTTAGAAAATTAAAGGTGAAAAAATCCGTGGATTAGTTTTATTTAGCCTTGTCCAGATTAACGATTTCTAACGGAAATTGATATAAGTTTGATAGTGGGCAAACACTGCATATCAATACCTTGTACATTAGTATGTAACAGCCATGGGACAGCTGTCCCATGGTTTTCATGTATAGTATTAAGGAGTAATTAAAAATTTTTCTAGCAAGTATTCATTGACTAAACAATGAGCACATGTACGCGGAAAAAAACGAAAAAACGAAATTCTTTTTGTCGTGATCGATACTTCATTGGAAATCGTGAATATGGCAATGTGGGTTGACTTTCGCAACCAACTCTGAGGGTTCCATCGCATTATTGTTGCAAAACTTGCTTGATGATTTGAATATTATAAGATTTTAATCTAGACAACATAGAATAAAATATTTATCGAAAGGATCGAAACTTGAAAATAATCTATACATATTATATTATTATTCACGAGTAATACTGACAAACTTAAATAGTTCTTTAAGCGATTCATACTCGGTCATTACGTTGTTAGGTACTTTTCTAATAATATCTATGAACGCAATTGCAAATTTAAATATATTATTCTAAACTCAAGACTTTCCGACTTCTAATAAGAAGATTTGCTCGATTGTTTTCGGTTTCACGTAATAAGTTAAATGACGATATAAGATTGAACATTTCATACTAACGAATTCATAAATGACGTTGATCTTTTAATTATTGAATTCATTCGTTGTGATTATTAGACAACATGTCAATGTACGCAGATAGTGACGTAGCTGTCTCTATGCAAATACCAGTTCGTCGTATTTGGTCGTTTTATTAACACGTTTTTATCAACTACATTCATATGCATCAAATTCCAGGCGTCCGAATGTTTTTACATTTTGCAATCATTGAGAACAGATAGCGTCGGGGCATTGAGAGTACATAATCTGTTCAAAATAAAAACGATCATCGTTTCAGCCTGTTTAGTCCAGTGCTAGGATAGCTACATGGGCTTAAATATGATAGGTAAATACATCTGTGTGTTTTGCTTTCAGTTTTTAAACTAGTAAATTTGCATAAAGCGCCAAGGCTGCCGACTAAACATTCATTTACGTAGTTGTCGCTGCTTTATTTTATAGTTTATCTTAGATTTATGAATGAAACATCGGGCATAACATGAATTTATAATCATTATGTTATTGATTGTAACGTTACAGTTTTTTTTTTATTTCTTTTTAATTTTAAAAACAGAACTCGTATATTAAATGTATAAAACTAGGATATAAGGCCATTATTGAGAAAAGAATGGGGACTGAATGGGAAGGGAAGGAACTTATTATGCTTATGACCGTTTTCACCATCGATCCCTAACTTTAAGGGGCACCTAAAAAAATAAGTGCTATAAAAAATAAGTGCACTTAAGTGACACTTAGGCGGTGGAGAAAACGAAACTGGCACTTAATTTTTTTTAGGTCTCCCTTATAGGTAGGAATCGATGGTGAAAACGGGTATAAGGCCCTTATTAAGCAAGTATACGTACTACGTATAGCTATAGAAGCTATACGTAGCTTCTATAGCTACGTGGATCGGAACCTGCCTCCAAGTGCGTCAGTTTCAAATATGAGCATTTAAATTCAATTTAATATCTATATGCCAGCACTATTGAATTAACTTAATGCTTTATCATTGGCTTGAATAACTGGTTGTTAATTTATTTCATCGCCTCAAATAGACACGGACTTCACATACACTAATTCAGTACAATTGTTAAATAATAGAATAGTTTGTTAAATAATAGAATAGTTCATCTTTAACCAGCTACAAAATGGATGAGGTTCATTTCGATTTGTCACAACAGCAATCTAGTTCTAAGTTTCTAAGTATTTCGTATATCCTATGTTCTAGCTGATTAAATAAATGATTTTTTTTTATTATTATTATAGATATATTTTTTATGTATGTTTACGCTGAGATTTATGATCCGATTTACCTGATTCTTCTTTAGTTTGATGCGGAATAGTTGCGATTTGGCCCCATAAAAATTTAATAATATAATGTTGTTATCTATTTATTATAGTATTGTCGTATCTTTTAAATGATTAAATTTATTTGGATACACGTGTATGTTCAAGTTATATTAAGCAAAAAATAAATTCAATGCGACCGGCGAAAGGCATGTATAATTTAGTGGAGACAGAAACTGGTTCCGTACAAGCCACGTGATCGATTACAAAAGCAGAGTTCAAAAACACTTAAAAGAATTGCACAACAATTAAATTAAAATGTCATAAGGTGGGGCGGTTCGGTAAAATACGTTCCCAAAAATCCTTGGAACTTTAATTTAATTTTCTAAAATTATAAATTTTTCACTCAATGTGAAACAATAATTTCTGTGTCAAAAAATAAAAGTGCATGCCTATGCGTTTGTGAGACCAGTTTTTTTTTATGTGAAATTATCGTTAAGGAAGAAATATGTCTCAGTTTATATAGCGAATAAACAAAAAAGGATTGGGAGAAATATACACAAATACACACGTTTATTCCGAAGCGTGACATTATGTGACAATTAGGGGTAGATTAAATACCGTGTCAAGTAAAATTAATAGAGACCTGCCTACTATACACCCTTTGGGGAAATATTTATATATAGGTAAGGATTTGAATAATAACCACGATATTTTGGTTACCATCTCTGATGACTTTATACGTTATCGTTTCAGTACATTGGCTCCTCGAGTCTAAGTGAAAATCCGTTTGAAAAGTTATCCGCGAGCGTTGATAGATAACAACAGTCTTATCTAAAAACAACATTTGCTGTATTATGACCGGTTTTTATTATTGAGACTCCACCCACGCGCTATCGTTTCGGAGATAAGGGGTCTACATTCAGTTCCCATTTAACTGTCATGAAACTTTTTTTTTGAGTTCACCGATCACATATCAATTGTGCTGACCAGGGAACTAATTTATCTTGAGACGTTTTATACAGAAATAGTTTTATAGGATCTGGATTATTAAAGGTAATGTGAAAGAAAGACGTTGGCGTTTATCGTTAATGCAGAAACATAAACTGTGCTGGATAAGAATAGCCGATATAGGTCTCGTCCATATTTGTACAAATTTCATTATCATCACAGCTAAGCTAGCTCTGACCATAGATAGCCGTTATCTGCTGTCAAACAAGAATGAAAGTCTTTTTTATGCGAAATGGCAAGTGAGCAGCTCACCTGGTGTTAAGTGATTACCGCCAACGATGGTCATCTGGTAAACTGGAAGGGTTGCATCCACCTTTTAAAAAGTGGGTTTCGGCTACCTCACTCTTCACACTTTCTGCACACGGCTTTTACAATTCATGTCGTTGTTCTGTTAGACTGTAATACTTCGACGTAATACTTAGACGAGCCTTCATCCGCAATTGGAAACAGCAGAAGCTGTTGTATGGCACCAGACCAGTGAACTTGTATCTTCTACTCTCAATAAATATTTATCATCTTATTTAGAATTAATGTTGTAGAGATGTACACTTGGAAAACCTTTCACGCTTTTTTTTCTCTCTCTTGAGTTAATAAGTTGTAGTTGTGATAGTCGGGACAGAGCAAAAATAGGTGATACAGTGGAATATATTGAAAAGGAAAACTCATGGCTTCACGCCACACCTGCGACTTTACGATCTCAATTCCGTCGTATTACAAAATATCAAGAAACTTCTGATGATTCTGCACGGGACAATAGCGTACCATTTATTGTTAAGTATAGAACTAGTTTATGCAGAATCAACAACAGTAAAAAGTATAAAATTTTCGAAAGGCAAAAACACGTTTTTGCACGAGCAAGGTTCCGAGCTGCTATCGGGGCTTCAATTTATAAGTGTCAATTTCGAAAAGTTTAAAAAGATAATATTCTTTTCGAATATTTTGAAACGAAGATTATCAATTCACGCTTCGTATTAATCTACTTTCGGCATCTAAAACAAATTTTGCGAACGTATTAAATTAACTGATTATACGTTTTGAGTTTGTTACTTGATAATAATTATATGATTCATATTTCCTTATGTAGCTCTGAATCATCCATTTCAGTCTTTTTAATTTCTAAGAGAGCTCAGTAATAAACATATCTCGCTATTGTTGATCGTACCTTTATTAGAAAAACCAAGGAAATTAGATGATTCATGGACATATTACGAGCCTTATATCATTAAAATAAATCGATTTATAGTATTTAAAATTTAAAAAGCTATGCATTAAAGTAGTTAGAAACTATTAGTGCCGTTACTTACTAAAAATTAAAACTGAAATTAATTAAAAAATCATTTTTAGGCATCTACGCGTGTACCTAGAAATATAAAAAATACTATTCTATATAAATTATGTTTAATGAACAGTTTTATAAAAAAATTAAGCGTGTCGTTATATGTTGTCAATTCTTAACGTATCTTTAATGGTGTCTATAGATTAAGTTCAATCTAATCAAATACGATGAACTAAAGACTGTTTCCGTTTGATTCAATAAGGAACATATAGTATTTATCACTGACCTTGCTTTTTTGAACATTGATATAATAAAAGCAGTGTTAAAAAATTCGATATTTAATAACAGACTTTTTATTGCTATTTGCTTAATTTATGCTAGGCTTATTCAATTTTCTGCTAGGGATTCCTAATTTATGAGAACTCTAGATTTTTCTTTTTCTCTCAATATAAGAAATGTTACCCGAAAGGTTTCAAATGCATATTATATACAAGCGTAAATACATATTTTACATGCTTTTGCAAACAAACTGACATATTTACAAAACCAAGGAAATAAGAGATGTAAACAAGAACATTTTTATTTATGTCGTCACGTTGTTTAAATTGACGATCCGGCCCGGGTCAACAATAAGTCACCTAGCATACCTGACCGCCAAATATAACAGCTCTCTAGAT